TTCATTGTAATCACAAACAAATTTAGGCATCAGAAGCATTTTGTCTTTTTACTTGTGAGCATTGTTGTGTCCTGTGCATGTTTTCTCATCGCTCCAGTGGGAATTCTGCTCGCTGGAAGCCAGTTGTATATATGAAACAGCTCTAATGGTCAATCAATACTGTCGTCGCTAATTACATCTAGTGAAAAAACAAGAATAGGGCGTAAAAACTTTTAACAGATTTCCACTGCCAAGCGCTAACACAAAACTCGAAAATACAGATATACAAATATGTATGAAACCTAGAAAACAATGCAGCATATCGGTTTCAAGTTCTATAATAGGCGATCACTCCAAAAAACTGTGATATTTTTTTCCACAATTGGTACTGTGAAAGTGTTCAAAAAGAAAAATTCGTAGAAGAGATATAGGCAACATTTTAACCACTTCCGGTAAAATGGGTCTTAAAGGCCGGCCCGATCTTTCTCTTTTCTTTAAGCCCAATCCAAAAAACTGTTAGAACAGTTTTGAAGAGTTAAAAATCCCCGAGGAATTCAGGGGTGGCAGAGCCCTGTACCTCTAAAGTGAAATTTCTTAAGTAGTCGAAAGGCCGCGCAGACCTCCCCCGTACGAGTAGTGTTAATAATATTTTACATTAATGTAAAATATTATTAATAGTGATCGCCTATTATAGAACTTGATAAAGGTAAATAAAGGTAAATACCGATAAACTGTAATAAACAATATTGTTTATTACAGTTTATCGTTATTTACCTTTATCGACGGCACGAATGCGCACATTAACTTTCTGTAAACAGGCCAGTGTTAGCTATACGTATGTATGTAGGCAGTTTTCGTTAGTATACGACTGTATGACTTATGTATGGATATACGTTAGGCACACAGGAAAATAATTTTCATCTTGTGCGTTTATCAGTTACCCAAGTGCTGTGGTTGTAAACATCCTTGCTCATAATTTGATTGACATCCACATTTTTCGTGGACCCACCGTCCCATAATGTGGAAAACCGGCTGTACGGAACGGAATCTTTACCAAAACCATTGTTTGGGGTTTGGCTGGAAAGGGCAAACTTAGTTAAACCTGATTCAGTTAAATGGAAGCGGAACAGTCAGTAAAGTATCTGGGAGTTCACTTTGACCGCAACGTGAAGTGGAGCGTGCATTCTGACCACGTACTACGGAAAGACAACTACGGCATCGCAATGATCAGCCGCGCGAAAGACGTTCTGGATCTGCCTCAGCGTAGGAGCCTTTACCATGCCTGTGTACAGCCACATCTTGACTACGGGTCAGGTACGTGGTCGCCGGCATCTTCGGCTTTACGCGGCAAGATGGACAAGGCACAGCGGAAAGCACTGCGGGCGATTTCTGATTACAAGGAGCGGGTTACACCCGAGCTGTATCAGAAACTGCGCATCCTGCCGGTGTACGACCGTTGGAAGCAGTCGGAAGCGGTTCGGTTGTATAAGATCTACAACCACGAAGCATACCATCCGCCGCGGTATATGGTTGAAATGATCGATTTCACTGAGTTCGGAGCGCGGTACAACCTGCGGAACCCGACGAGAATTGCTGCCCGTGCAAAGAAGAAGATCGGAGAAGGGACGCTGGCCATGCGACTTAAGAATATCTTTGAACGCATACAAAAAGTTAACCTGCAGGTACTCAGTGTTGATGGTGTGGGATTTTTCAAATTTGCTCTCCAAACTGTTGATCTGTCTTAGCAGTTCTCATTTGTTTAGCTTTTTGCCGACCAGACGTTGAAGTCCCGTTTAGCGGGTTGTCTGTTCTTGATGTAATAATAATAATAATGAATGTTCTGTTTAAAATATAATTCTAAATTATTTTTATGGAGCATTTCGCTGGAGTCACACGTGACCATACTCAATTTAAAATACGTCACGTAAAACAATTTGCAGAACTGCTTATTGCCGGTATAGAGGGTACATAACGTTATTTGTTTAAATAAAAGGATGACACGAACAACTTACTAGTCAATAGCTCCGGTAATTTTCGGATTGCGACTTCCGGGAACTAAATCACATGGCATCCAGTTGCGCGTTGTTCCGCGGGGGTTTTGCATTGTCAGAATAAGAGCCTCAATTCTACAGCATCCTTTTATTTCGGGATAACGAGCTTTATCCATGAACGACTGCGAAAGGTCAACAACACCGGGAATATACCCAGACACACCGGTAAAAGCGCAAGCACATAAATTATCTTTGCTGCCATTTTTTCGATAGATCAAAATTTTTAGCCTCTAAATTTGATTTATAGACAATTCCTTTACGTGTATATTAGAGTCCACTTTGAATAACCAGGCAAGGACAAATTAAATCGGAATCGGTCTTTGCTTTTTTATTTGACGAATAATCCTTTATATTGTGCACTCTGCAAGCATACGTGTGCGTGTTCTATACGCTTCTTTTTCGGTTTGAGTTTGCTTTGTAATTGTCATTCTGCTAGCATAAGCAGAATGGACGCAGTATTTCGAAGAATGCAGAATGCATTTATGTTGATTATTTGTAAGATCAGGGTTGGGAAAGACAGTACGTCTACAACAAACACATATCCAGTTTTGGCAAAATAACGGAGTACAGTAATGGTATTAAATGTTTTATTGTCTACCAAACCACGATTCCGTAAATACGGTAGTTTAACATGAGAATGTGCACAGCAGAAGTATACAGTACACTTACAGTTACACGACTACTGTATAGGTAGCAATCTTGGCATGTTGAATGGTTGAGCTTCCATAACCTCAAACCAAACCACGATATAATATTATAGTCACCTATTCTGAGTGCTTATTCTCTTTACTTCTGGTTTTGCATGATTAACATCTTGCAGGCAACATGAAAGCCATTTGTACTCACGTAAAAACAATTGTATAAGTATTGTATAATTGAAGAGTAGCTGCTAAAGCCACAGTCAGCAAAATCTACTATTATATTCCAAAACGAATCCCCGGTTTAGCGTGGCCTGTGGGCCATCTCTGTACTTTTAGTACAAAGTTACGATGTACGTGTACTACAGTATTTATACAGAATTGAAATTTTCCAGCGATTCTCGAAAATGTCACCATGTGATCTTCTATCTGCAGGTTTAAATTAGCAACAGCACACGCACACACAATCTTTGCCAACAGATATTCCTTTTGATTGACTTTGCAGCACTTAATTTTCAATCCAATCGAGCGGGCAACTGGCGCTTAAGCACTATCTCAAGTCATTATTGTGTAGTGCATTATATTAGTATTTCTTAATTTTAATCCACAATTCATAGTTAAGTATACGGTACAATTTAGGGTAATAATTAGTTTCTAAAATGTTTAATGTATAAGCCAGTGACGTTCCAATCTTTCTTATTTTAACTTTTCAGTTGCCGGTCGAAAAGTCAGAATGTTGCAATATTTATTCCCTAGGCCCTACGCCCCTACTCATAGCCATCTTTCATATATACGCAAAATTATAAAATTATATTAAAATTATTTTAAATTATGCAGATACTCAAAACTTAATAATCTTGCAAGATACTGTGTTTTGAATTTTGTTGGCACCAGACGCAAATTTCCGCTCAGTTGATAACTGATCATTGTAGTTAGTTTCGAATACAGTAGAAGTGCGTTATGCGAAGCTGTTTTGACCGCGCTTTGTCACAGCGATATTACAGCAGCGAGCTGGCTTTTTCAACTCCCAAGGTTGAAGTGCCCAGCATTCAGTAATGTATGCAATAAAAACCAACGAACATTAAAGGCCTTCGTAAACTTCACTAAAATCTGGTAAACGTTTAGACCAAAATCGCTCAAGCAGTCAAAAAGTGGAAATACAATGGCATAATGTCTGTATATATGTTGCCTACGTCTCAACTGCTAATTTCAATTACGCAATGCGAGTAGGTGTAACTGTTAAGACTGTAATTTTCGTGTTGAGCAGTTGCAGGGTATTTTTTAAAATGATTATCACACAGTACTTCTAATTACTGCATAATCACAGAAAAATGTGTAAGAAATAAGTTCAGATTATGTACGTAAATGAGTGGCAACTGGCAAGCTTTGAGCTCGGTCGATGTTAAGTTTAGTACTAGTTACACTATTCTCGCAATCAGCCTTACAATTAAGTCCCCCGGTGCCCGTTAAGGACGCAACGTTAACGCCGGATTGCGGAAAATGGAACTGGTCACGAAATTAAAAATTTTTAGTACTTTTTTACCTCGGTTAGTTGGCTTTGCCATAAATTAGATAAAGCAAATCGTTTTGTGCAAATATTACTTTCTGATACCGTCTGGAGACATGGTTTATTTAAGATCAATCTTTTGTCCAATTACAGGGCTCCTAGATTTCTTTGTCCTGTGCTGCGGTCAGAAGATAAAAATCACGCAGAATTACGCCGATGTATTGTACGTCAGCGGAAGTGGGACAGGAATCACAGGATCCGGAACTGGTAGTCCTAGTGGAACTGGGACTGGGAGCACCAATGGAGGATGCACCGCAGTTCCTAACGCTATCGCGACCCCAAACACTTATAATACTGGCCAGGTAATTAATCAAGGGCCCGCACCTGTTGATCAATATTCAAAGCCGCTATAATCAAAGTCAGTGATAAAATTCGACAATGTTTGTTTTCTGTAAGATTTTGTCAGCATTATAAATTTAATGCTTTTAGCTAATGACCACCGGACCATGGTATGGTTATCTGACCTTTAGCAGCGACTCCGGCTCGATGTGAATGTGGTTAATTACTATACCAGTCTTGCAAAAGCGTCGAGCCTACCCGAAGCCAGTTATCAGAAGTGATTAATATCAAGAAAAGCGCAAATACGCAAGTGGTAGTTGTGCTTACTCACTGGAAATCAGTGAGTTCACAACTGACGGACGCCAATTTGGACCGTACAACGGACTGACCAGCACGGGAACTATAAGCGAAGATGGTATGCATATTTACGTAATCACATTAGTAAAATACTGTTAAAAATTTATTTAGTATCGATAGCGACAGAAACAACGCAGTGTCAACAGTTAAAATACTGGGCTATAGCCAATCGAAAATAGTTCATTTCAAGTTCCGGAAATCATCATTTAAGGAATATGAAGAAACAAAAAATAACTGCAACAGCGATCTTCATTTTCACGTGCAGGCTACGATGCTTCCATCATCTGGTCAACTGACCAGTCGACGTACATACTGTTCTTCTGGTGTGCAAAACACAACTGGGCGTCCGGAGCATGTGCCAGCACTTTGTACCTACCCTCCTTGCACCACATTTTCCCACGATACTGCAACGTCTTGCGGGGATCACAAGTGTGCACTTCGCAAAGTATCTGCAGAACAAATTCCAAATTAATTTGAAATTCAGTTAATAATTGACAGTAACTAACAGTTCACCTAATTAACTTTAAAACTCAGATTTACACCGATCAATAATTTATCAACTTTAACAACCCGGACAAAAATATATTATGCCTAGCACTAGTTCTGTGCAGTAAGGTTTTGAAGCCACGTCTGCACTTAACAATATAACAGAGCATACCTTGAGGGTCATTTGTAAAACAGCTTTCTTTCGTTCGGAATCCTGATTTTCAGTAAGCCACTTAATCCAGCGCGTTACCAGTTTCTTTTGTCGCCTATCGGGAGCCGGTAACGAACTGTCCATCAACTCCCATAATGCACAGTCGAAATGACCTCCCGCCAAATTAATACGACCGCATACCATATTGATCACAATTTCCACCTTGCAGTGTCCGAGCTCGGCATTGCTCACTTCTTTATCCTCGTCGAACGTTAAGTGCGACCGTTCGGGATTGTTGCTCAGTACTGTATCCTCATCCAAGGTTAAGTGAAACAGTGTGACGCGACAATCAACCAAACCGAGCTCTTGGCAATGCAGATATTTGTGCTCCAAAGCGGCGCACTGCAAGAAAAAATAAGATTGTACGGAGCGTAACGTTCGCACTCGAGATCGTCCGGCGGTTCGCCGCGTGCTTCGCAGTCCAACTGAGGATCTTGGTGCAAGCCGGTCTGAAAGGTCAGATTCCATCGGTGCAGCAGCAGTTCCTTAAGATTGACTGGGACACCCGTTAGGGAGGCATAATGAATACTGCCGGCTCCCGTAAATAATTCCCCGTCAAATCATCGTACATATTCGGTACTGAGAGGGACTTACGCCCTCGTCCCAGCAGCTCAGACGCAGTGCAGTGGCTTTCACGCTTGGATCGTATATACCTGATCGCAGGTATTACGATCCGCCCTTCCGCTATCTTCCGCCAACGGCATCGCGCCGTACCTTTTCGGCGATTGCGTGAGGCTTACGTAGCGGCGTATGGTAGAGCAGCGTTAGCGCAGGTATATTGTGAGCTATAGATTGTCAGTTGGTGATGATGATTTTTAGAGAGATGTTATGCTTTCGGTTTTATGATAAAAAGTCCCTTTTTATCCTTGTCTCGCTCCCGTTTCCGGTAGATCGGCACTAGAGAGTCTCCCACGCAGAGAGGAGGACTCTTAGATGGTAGCAGTCTAAGATCCGTGGTTACCTGTTTTCTGAGTTACTTTTCAGATCTATCGGATTGCACCGCTTTCCCGTTTGCCATCAGGAGGACGCGGAAACTCGGCGCAAACCCTACACCCAGTACCCCGTAGTGCCAGCATTGGACTACAGGGATCTCAGCGTATCAGCGTGCTCAGCAACTCATCGGTGGAGATTCGGACCTGCGTCTGGATCTCATCGACTGTGCACCTTCCCAAGCGTTCCCTGCGTAGCAGTTTCGGATCCTAAGGATCGTCAGGCTCATTCGCGTTCGGAAAGGGTAAGTAATCGAGCTTATCTGCTTTCTAAGGCTTATGTTAACAGTAGTTTAACTTAACGCTGTATGTGATATTAGGCTTACTGATATTTTCACGTTAATTTTGTATCGAAATTAGGCTGATTTCTTTGTGAAATTAGGCTTAGTTTGTTTGGAAAATCATAACTTACGGAAACTAGGCTTTTTTCCGCATATTTTTGCATCACTCCTAGGCGCATCAACCTCTGTCCAGGCTTGTTTTTCCGTGATCTTACAGATAGCAGACGCTACAGACAATAGGCGCAGTTCGGTTACCTACCTGGGTAATTGCAAGCTGAATAGAATTCCTTAGATTTCTCTCGCAGATTAGGCTTTTGTGAGTTTTAAATGCAGAATTAATATCTCCGCTTTAAACTGTTTACCTATAGTAAACGTTTATCGTTTAATGCCAAGTATTACGAAATTTCTTTCCTTGAAATTGACTACGCTTATGATAATACGATGGAAACTATAAAAGCTTTTCTTTCTCCGCGCAGTATTGTAAAAAAGCCAGAACAGCAAGCTGAAAATTTGCAAGCTAGTAATGCTCAAAAACCTAAACAGTCCGCGAAAACTAAAGGTGCACCTGTTGCCGCTAAATCAACAGCTGCACCGACTCATAATGTAAACACACGGCTTAATCAGCGCACTCGTGCTCATAACCCGCAGCTACCGCAAATACCGCAATCGTCAGCGAAAGAACCGCAGCCGGTTGCTAGTCTTCCGGCGGAAAAGGCTTTCGCGCGCAGTAGCAAAATGCAGCGTTCACCATCGCTTATTAATACCGCTTCACAGGTCGATAATGCTCCAGAACAGGAGGAAAGCAGGCCAAATTCGCAGCTTAGCGGTGTATCTCAGTTTGACAGTATCCCGCTTGCAAGCGACAGCCGTCATTCTCATTCAGGCTCTGATATGTCGTTATCCGAAAATGCGCTTACTTTTATTGAAAAAGATCAAGGCTTATTGGCTGATCAAGAATTGCTTAATTTTGATGTTGATGAAACGCTCAGCGGTAATAACGCTATTAATCAGCAGACACCGCCTGCTGATAACAGCCAGCCTAATATAGCTAATTTTCATACTCCAGGCGAATTAAATGACGCTCAGAATGAAATCATCAATTTACGCCGCGTTAATTCTTCGCTGGAGAAAAAGCTTATTCATACTGTACATGAAGCGAAAAATGAAATTGCACAACTGCGACAGTTTATAACCGAAGCAGTTGATGCCCGCGATACGGCTCAAAGTCAGGCTGCTGATTTATTGCAACAGCGTAATGAGGCTTTCACCGTAATCGCGACAAAAGAAGAGTTTGAGAAAAAGGCGCATAATTATATACGCGATTTAAAAAGGCGAATTTCTGATCACGATGATGTGGTTAAGCAATATAAGGAGGTTAAGCAAGAGCTGTATGAAAAGCTGCAAATTACAGAGCATATGGCACAGGAACATAAGGCTAAATTAATTACATGCGAAGGCGAATTAAATAAAGCACTCGAACGTCAGCGCAAATTGTTGGAAGAACAAAGCTTAAATGTGACTACTGTACGTAAGGCTAATGAAACCGCTGATTATTACAAAGAACAATCAACCCGTTTAGAAGGCGCTTGTGTAAATTTAGAAGCTAGACTTGAACTGTCTGAAAAGGCGAGCGAAGAAATGTTTCAAGAATTACAGGCTTATAAATCTAAGCGAAACTATTTCTCTGTTACAAAGGCTATCAGTACGCAAACTGATAATACTATCCCAGCTATCCAGGCTCCAATTTCATCTGCACCACCTTCACGCTTTTTTCCGACCGCACGTGATACTGGCAGCATGCCATCGGCTCAGTGCAGTGTACTTCCGGGTTTGTCTGGCAATGCACCTGCACCGGCTATCACAGTATCAGATCTTACGCAAGCTTTAAAAGCGAATAAGAAGTCACCAGATTTTAAGGCAAAATTCAAAGGCGATAAGAATGAAGTTGAAGGATTTTTAGAATTGTTCGATTTAAACGCGAAATATGGTCATTGGGATGAAGATGAAAAGTCAGCCGCTTTTTCAACGCTTTAGAAGGCGATGCAGCTTCATGGTTCAAGGTCGCGATTGTCGGCCCAAATAAACCGCAAACTTTCCCCAGTGGAGATTGGCTTTTCTGGATCGGTATTCCGATCCAGAAAAGGCTACAATGCGCTCAATGAGTTATCAAGCCGCAAAATTAAGGTTGGTAAAGAAACGCTTGACGAGTATTATCAGGCGATGATCGCTTTACGCGCTCGTGCAGGCGTAACAGATGACGCTCATTTTCTGACGTATCTGATGAAAGGCTTAGATTCGCATCACACTTTACGCCAAAATATGATTATTATGAAGCCAGCTACACCGGCAGAATTTCTGAAAAATGCGCGATACCTTGAAGCTACTTATAAAGATGATGATAATTTCGCTTATGGCAATCAAGCACAGGCATCACAGGCTAAACCGCTTTCATATGCACAAGCAGCCGTTAATAGTGGAAATAAAGCTAATAATTTCAAGCGTAATAAGCCATTCAAACCGCAATTTAATAAAGGCAATACTCAACAAAATACTAACGCGAATAATCCCCCACACGCTCAAGTACCTAATAATGTACCGGTAAATTATAATAATCACGCGCAAAATAATGCAGCTAATAATACCGCTAATCAAAATGTACGCCGTCCAGGCATTGCTTATTGTGCAAACTGTGATGTCGAAGGTCATTCACGTCAAGCGTGCAGATATGAAGGCGTTCCGCAAAGTAAAACCCAGTGTGGTGCAAGTTTCACTGGCCCACAACTGGTGAGAGGCGTACTTTAAAAGAATTCACAGAATGGAAAGCTAATCGCAGTAATGCCAATAGTCCTACAGGTAGGACTACAGGCGCATCGACCCCTTCTGGTGGTCCTAGCTTAGGCGGTCCTTCGCCGGCCCGGCAGCGTGCTCCGTCCGGTGCCAGCGTTAATTCACAGTTTGATACGGCTTCAGAATACAGTGAAGGCGAAACTTCGGCGTTAAACAGCTCATCTGATGAGTCTTTAAACGCGTAAGGGGCGCATACTCCGGCTATGCAACCCCCTTCCCACCGTCTCCGCCGGATAAGGTTGAGAAGGAATGCATAATTCAAAGCGCGGGAATATATGGCTACATAATACGCAATTGTTCATGTAATCTCTCACAAGCTCATACAGATACACAAAATTTCCGCGTAAATTATAATGAACCTTTTAAGGCAAAAATGCTTAATCACGACGCTTATGTAAATAATATTCTAGTAAAAATTGTAATCGATACAGGCGCCGAAACAAGCTTTATATCTGAACAGTTTTGTAAGAAAAATAATTTAAGCACGCTTCCCATTAAAAAGCCTTTTCATATACGCGGTATCGGCGGTGTGTGCGCATTTTGTGTTACACACTACTGCAACGCTTCAATAACAATTAATAATTGTACGCTTAATCATTCCATGTTTGTAAAGCCCGCACGAGATGGTATTCATGTTTTATTAGGCCAGGACTTTTTAAGCCAGGCTAATTATGAAGTTAAGGCGAATAAAATAATTAATTTTCATGTATTGCAGGAAAAGCTTGTAAATTGTAATGTAACTAGTCTGGGCGAAGTGCAGTCGGCCGCTGCAGTTCCGCCACAACAGGCTTTTTCCGCTACAAATTTTACAGGTGTACCTGTATCAAATACGCGCGTATCACGTAAAATGCCTTCTGCAGAGGCTCATGCCAAAAATGTTATTTACAGGGACCATACTCGTACGGCAAAAGCTAAAAATGTAAAAACACAAGCTGTAATGACGCCTTTCCCCATACCAGTGGCACCTACGGTAGCCACTGGTAAAGGCAAAACTAATTCATCCGCTTCTAATTCTAAGCTTTTCCCCGTACCAGTGGCACCTGACGATGCCACTGGTACGCCTACCGCTAAAAAGTCGCGAAAACAAATGCATCGTGAGACAGCAGCGATAATGGAATATAAAAATTATGTTTCTACCTTAATGAATACTTTAAAAAAGTTCCAAGAATTAATGGCTGAACTCAATCAGGCTTATAATGATGCTGTTAAAATTGATAATATTGAAGCTATTAAAAAGGCAAGCCAAGCACGCGCTGATGCTGAACTTGATTTGGTGAGGCGATTAGAAATTTATGAAGAATGGCGTCAGGCTATTAATAAAGCGATTAAGCAATTTTTCGGCAAATCTGCACGCGGAATAAATAAGCCAATATGCAGGTGTGCAGATTCAATAAGCGAAGCAAGAAAATATTTGAGAGAAGTTTACGCGAAAATTAAACCTAAAGAAAAGCTACAAGTCACAGCTCGCAGACCGCCTATGAATATTGTGAAAGTAGTGCGATTTCATGATACGCTTGATTTTCCTACTGTATCGGTGCGCTATTTTAGAAAAGAGGATGAGCTGCCGCCGCTGCGGCATAATCCACATTCAGCTCCTAAACGCTCTTGTTTACCGCTAAATACAAAAAGCCGTATAATTTACCGCTTTGGGAAAACAATTCGGCTAAAGAAGAACAAGTATGGGCAGATTTTGACCGCGTTAATAAAAGCTTTACAGAAAATGCAGATAAAATTCAAAAGCAATTGCAAAAATCAGCTAAAGTGCGTGTATGTATTGCAGATCAAGAAACAAAAGCTACGCAAACAGAAGGCGCTAATTATCTCATTGTAGAAACACCAGAAGGCGATATCCCGCTTGTAACTAACAGCGAGAACTATTTCGAAGATCAAGGTGATATAACTGAATTATTTCAGTCAATAGGCGACAAGCTTAATGAAAACGAATTATTCGCTAATAACCCGCTTAAAAATGAAGAATTATCAGCTGAAGAGCAACCATTTGCAAATAAGCCAGAATGCGAAGAAATTAGCGAAAAAGATAAAGAAAGATTCAGGCTCAAAATGGTGAAAGTGTATGCAGCTGATAACTACACAATTGTACCTGGTACATCTTGGGTGTCGGCTTATGCACACAAAAAGCTAATTTGCGTACACCGCAATTTATATTTTCACCTAATCCAGCTTTATACAGCGAAGGTAGATTACTACCACTTCAGGGCTTAGTCGAACCAAAAAATTTTCAGTTTGATATTTGCGTGTCTAATTATTCCGCTCATAAGCGTACAATAAAGAAAGGTACATGGTTAGGCGTTATCGAAACGTATGAAGAAGTTGAGCCAGATAAAACCGCTTTAACCGCTACTGCAGCTAATTATACGCCAGAAGAAGAAGCTGAAATTTGGGAAGCAATACGCGAATTTAAAATATCGGCTGACTTATCAGAAGCTGATCGTAAGCGCATCGATAACCTATTGTTTGAATTCGCTGACCTGTTGCCAACAAAATCGCGACCGTTTGGCAATGTAGATGCCTCGATAAAGCATACAATAGACACAGGCGATGCACCGGCGATAAAATCTCTGCCGCACCGCACAAGTTGGCGCGGTAGACAGCTTATCCAAGATCACGTTGAGGAAATGCTAAAGCTTGGCATCATTAGGCCATCAACCTCTAACTGGAGTTTTCCAGTTGTCTTGGCTTCAAAGAAAAATGCAGACGGCTCAATCGGTACACGCTTTTGTGTGAATTATATACGCTTAAATAATATTACAAAGAAAAATAACTATCCGCTTCCTAAACCAGATGAGCTTCTGGATACGGCATCTGGAAATAAGCTTTACTGCAGTTTTGATTGCGAAAAAGGCTTTTGGCAGATCCCTATGGATCCGGCCAGCATCGAAAAAACAGCTTTCGTCACACCGGATGGCCTTTTCGAATTCCTTCGAATGCCGTTCGGCGTGTGCAACGGCCCCGCGACTTTTCAAGCCGCAATGGACCGTACGCTTTCAAAGCTACGAAAATTGGGAATATTCGCTTATTTAGACGATCTAATCGTCGCAGCTAAAAATATGGAAGAATTGTTGTTTAAATTACGGCTTTTATTTGAAGCTTTACGCGCATCAGGCTTTACGCTGAAACCGGCTAAATGCCATATTGCTAAGCCGGTCCTTCATTTTTTGGGACATGTTATTTCAGAATCTGGCATCCATACCGATCCCGAAAAATTACAGCTATTAAAAATTTCCCGCAGCCTAAAACAGAAAAGCAATTACGCTCGTTTTAGGTTTAGCGAATTATTATCGCAAATTCGTACAAAATTACGCGCCCATAACCGAAAATCTTTATGCGCTTCTTAAAAATGTTAATGATATTACCGATTGGAATGAAGCTTGCGATAAGGAATTTGAGGCTATTAAAACAGCGCTAATGAACGCTCCAGTCTTGGCGAAATTCGATCCAGAAAACCTACGCTAATAGAATGTGACGCTAGTACAATAGGGATCGGCGCCATATTAAGCCAAGATGGTCATCCTGTCGCTTACGCGAGCCGCTTATTAACTACAGCTGAACGTAAATACGCGCCCACAGAACTTGAATGCTTAGCAGTTGTTTACGCTGTTCGTAAATTTCGCTATTATGTAGACTACATGCCGTTCACCGTTAAAACTGATCATCAGGCTTTAGTTAATTTATTACGCTCAACGTCAAGCCGCGAAGGGATGAATCCCAGGCTTGTACGATGGGCTCTACAGTTAGGCGCTTACGATATGACAATTGTCTACAGGCCAGGAAAGTACGCTCATAATGCAGACGCATTAAGCCGCGCACCTGTTGATCCCGCTGTACCGGAAGAGGACTTCGATATCCATTTCAGTACACCTACAGTACGCGTAATCAGCATACCAGAAGCGCCAAATAGCTCTGTACGCGATGCAGAAGAACAAAATTATGTTTTTCTGCGTAATGAACAGCTTAGTGATCCAGCGTTAGAGAAAATCATTCTAGCCATAGAAGACGCTGATAAGTCACAATATCCGCTTTCACGTCCCGCTAATTATGAATTATGGAATAATGTACTTTATCGTACAGGCGAAATTAATGACCGGCATACAAGGCGCTTTGTGGTACCTAAACATTGGCGTTATGATATTTTAAAAGCGATGCACGATTCACCAGCCGGCGGCCACCTCGGCCGCGAAAAGACGCTTTCCCACATTTGTGTTCGTTATTTTTGGGAAGATATGTTCCGCGAAATTAAACGCTATTGTCGTCGTTGTCTAAAATGCCAGCTTCGTAAAGTACCGCGTAAACCGCTTCCAGGAAAACTTCAACAAATTGAAATAGGCGAGCCATGGTTTAGGCTACAACTTGACTTTAAAGGCCCGTTAAAGCTTAGCAATAATAAAAATAAATACATAATTGTGGCAATTGATCAGCTTACTAAATTTGTAATTGCTAAGGCTGTACCTGACGACTCTGCTAGAGTTGCCGCCGATTTTCTGCTTAACGAAGTTATACTTCCATACGGTGCACCGCACGAAATAAATACAGACCGCGGTACACACTTTATGTGTAGTACAATAGAGACTGTATCTAAGCTTACTAAATTCGATCACCATTTTGGAACCGCTTATCATCCTGTAGGAAGAGGCTTAATAGAAAGGCAAATGCAGTGGATAGGTGACTGTTTATCAATTTTTGCTCAAAAACATACCGCTGAAAAATGGGATGAATTTTTGCCGTATGTTGTTGCCGCTTATAATCGTACAAAGCATAAAACCACGAGACAATCACCGTATTATATGCTCTTCGGCCGCGAACAAACGCTTCCAGGCGATACGATCACAAAAACAAATCTGCCAGAAAATTACGCTGATATCGAAGATTATTTAGATAGTCTTCAATGGCGATTAAAAGAGGCGCATGAAATCGCTCGTTCTCTTGCTAGCGACGACTTCCTTAAAAAAGCTGAACGCTTTAATAAGCGCCGCGTTGAACCTGATTTTTGCACTGGCGATTATGTAATGTTACGCTTACCTATTCCTAAAACAGGCAGCGAAACGCTTAAAGATAAATACGAAGGCCCATTCGAAATAATGGAATTTTCGTATCCTAATACAGTTATTATTAGGCGCTTACGCGATCGCAAAGAGGAGCAAATTGTTAACGTAGAACGGCTTAAACATTATCATCCAGAAGATGACCAGCTTAAACCGCGATTAATATTTAAATTTCCACCTAAAATAAGCAGCTTGATAATGAAAGTGAAATAACCCCGCTTACATCTGTTGATAATAGTACGAGTACATCTGCTAATAACAGCGTCAATAACACTCAGCAAGACCACGCTCAGCTACAGGCTAATAATCTGCAAAATAGTACTGTAGATTTACCGCTTAACTCTGATAATAATAATTCCGGCGAAATTAACGCTGAACAGAATGCAAAAAGCGAAGAACGCGTAAACATCCGCCTAATGACTTGTTATCTAAACAGCTTGATGAATTCTTTGATGGCGAAGATCCAAAGTTACAGGAGACGCTTAATAAATCACGCTATCCTAAGCGAACACGCAAACGTCGTTTTACACTGTGATTTACGCAAATAGTCGCTTAATTACAGTTAACAAACGATATCTTAGATGGTAGCTACAAGCTTATAATTGAATGCTAAATAAGGCTAAATTAATACAGGTAATTATGCAGTAGTTACGGCTTAAAATGTTTATTTCGCATTACCGTCTCAGATGGTAGCTAAAATGAACTGTAATACAGCTTTTAAACCGCATAATGTTGGTTGAATTATGCTTAAAATTATCATGCTAATAATTCCGCTTTTATCTTGTTCTGCAGAATATCGCGTAAGAACATGGCGTTCTCCGGCTTATACAATCCCGACAGCTGTTTTCCTTGCAAGATCAACTTAAACAACCGCGTATGTGTCGGCTGCCTTATGAAAGGACGAGCGGAAATCGAAGATCGCGTCTACGCGTTGTACTCGGAGGCAGTATGCGGAAACTCAGAGGCTTTACTCGGCTTGAAGCATATGGGTCTGTGGAATTATGCGATGAATAACCAGCAATACCACCGCGGGATCGCTCAGGCTATTCAGCATTTCAAGGCGAAAAACGAACCCGGCTGGCAAATGGTTGAAGCGATCGCGATTCCGTCTATCCAGTCAACTCCATCTACCGCGAATAAAGCGCTTCTTCCTCATCCGCCTAATGAATTACGCCGCGCACAGTTGAAGTACGCTGACGAAACCGAAGAGAACATCAGCGACTGGAAATCTGTCCCGCTTAAGCCGTCGTTCCAGAAAGCTTCTTCTGACGACTGGACGCGAAATGCAGATCGCCCATTGGGAACAGTACGTATTGAAAATAAACCGCGTATTGATCAAACGCTTGTTCTTTTAAAAACACAACCGGCTAATTATAACTCTGAACGCTTAAATTTGCAGAACACGGCTAACCACAGTCAAAGCGATGACCAGCGTCAGCGAGGCGATCAGCGTCAGTTCACCGAATATCGCCAGCCTACAGATCAGCGTGCAGATCGGCGTTCAGAACAGCGAACTACTCAGCAGAATACGCGCACTGGACAGTCTTCCGCTACCAGATGGGAGCCATTCCTCAGCGTATGAACGCTATGGACCAGGCTGAAAGGATTTTTAAGCATCTCGGCTTATCCAATGCAGCTAAGACGCATGGAAGTCTAGCGATCACCTGTGAAATGTTCGTTAACCGCTTATACGCGTTTATGGATGAAGTTAATATGGAGAAAGCGATGCAGGATGTGAATTATTACACGGATAAGCCTAAACCTGAAGACACACAGCTGATGTATAACGCTTTTCGCGCGAATGGTATGGAATCAGCTCTCAGCTTGGATACATTCTCCAACAAAATTAACACCATCGACTATGAACGGCTGAGCCAGTTTAAGTATTTCGGCAAAACTTCCCATTTGGCGCACCTTTTCCAGTTTATCTCCGCGAAAGCTAATCCAGCTCTGATGTTGTATGCCGCGAAATGTACCGTGCATCTGATGGACATCTACCGCGATTTGAAGGCTCGCCGAAAGGCTAATTTTAATGACCCAGCGATTAAGGCTCAGTACGATGAATTGTTTCGCTTGATGTTTGCCGCCATGTGTGGACATGCTTACAGCCATTCCCAGTTGGATAAGCGAATGAAAATGAAAGAAAATGCTGACCATCCGCTGAAGACAGTAATTACCGCGCTTGGACCGCTCACCAATGAGCAACTGCAGCTTGAAATGTTGGAAAGTGCACGCGCACGCGGATGGCAAATAAGGCTACAAAGGCTTAGCGACCTTGGTTGAGAAGCCCCAGGACGCTTATCAGTACTGGACTTCAATCCTGCGACAGCGTATGGAGACTAAGGCTTCCAAGATCACTCTTGGCAAACGCTCCCTGACGTCTCCGGAAGGCTCATCCGGATCCCCACATTTGCCACCAGGCGAACCGCTGGTTAAGCGTATGTACGTGTCTACGGATGAAGCAGCTAATGAAGCGACACTGGTGGATAAGCTGGGTAATTTGAATTTTACCGCTTCCCATATGCGTGATATCGAAAATGGAGGCGAAACTGATCAGAAAGCTGAAGGCGAAAAACTGGCTACAGATATCAAAACGGAAGGCGATAAAACTCCGAACGCTTTAAACGCTGATATCACTGATGATGAGACGAGCGAGAAGGATAAATCGGATTAAAGGCGAAAATTCATGGGATTAAGGACGAATTCATGTGGATCATCCTTGGAATGGATTAACCTTCATTTTCCTGTTTTGCTCACCCGGAATGACCAAAGTAACATGTGATGTTTTTGTTTAACTAACTCATTTCGATGGATCTTATTTTTCTTAGCATTTGTTTAGAATTTCCTTTCATTGTAAGGCAAATGGTATACTTGCGCTAACTTTGCGATAAAATTGTCCGCTTAATTGCAGCATTCGTAAACTTATACAGCTTCGCGTAACGCGCTTATTGTCTTTATTTTTGCGAATTTAGGTAAACGCTTATAGTGACTTCGGTCAGCTGCAGGCTTATACGCAGTGAAGAGACCATGCAGTCACGGGAATCCATTTCCGCGCTTCGGTCTTGCGGCTGTATCGCGAGGCTGCGGCGTGATGCAGATTCTCCCACTTGCACACTCATGCATATCGCTGGTATCGGCACCGGGGGTGCCAGGCTCTCGGAGGACCTCGAGTCCCCACCAGTGGCATGAGAGGGACTTACGCCCTCGTCCCAGCAGCTCAGACGCAGTGCAGTGGCTTTCACGCTTGGATCGTATATACCTGATCGCAGGTATTACGATCCGCCCTTCCGCTATCTTCCGCCAACGGCATCGCGCCGTACCTTTTCGGCGATTGCGTGAGGCTTACGTAGCGGCGTATGGTAGAGCAGCGTTAGCGCAGGTATATTGTGAGCTATAGATTGTCAGTTGGTGATGATGATTTTTAGAGAGATGTTATGCTTTCGGTTTTATGATAAAAAGTCCCTTTTTATCCTTGTCTCGCTCCCGTTTCCGGTAGATCGGCACTAGAGAGTCTCCCACGCAGAGAGGAGGACTCTTAGAGTACCCTCCACCCAACGGGGACTGCCATATGTCAGCGCAATTCGTTTGAAGGCTGGCGACAGATTTTTGACAATGGTTGATACGATTACGTAATCCGGTCTTATCCAATCGCGTTCCCAGAACGGGCTATCGGCGATCCAGATGGTGTCGTTTAATTTGGCATTCTTGCTTACATAGAAGAGTAGTCCAAACTCGGCAGACGCGCTGCAGTCGAGTTTGTGTTATAGTGTCCGGATACGACAAAATTTTACCTGTTATCTCAGGAGGCAACGTTTGAATTCTGGCAATCTTTCTAGGATGAATTTCCCGGTTGAGCACGCGAATTGTATTCATGTGCAGTGAGCTCTGGCTTTTTCTTCTGCATCTCGTTTCATAAACCGTAGAACCTCGTCTACTATTTCAATGATTTTGGGCTAAACAATAATAATAGAAAGAAAAAGAGTTTTTCAAATTGGTAATTATTAGAGAATTCGAATTTCCTCTAAGGTAAATAATAAAAGCCTACTAGCTACCTACAGAGTGTGTGTATGTGCATATAATGCGGCACATCAACTATAAAAATATTGTACAAGAATGGGCAATAATTTAAGGAAAACTGCAAACAAAATTATGTATTGTTTATGACTTAGTTTAATCAGAAACCGCTGGCCTATGAAAGGTCACAATTGCTGTACCTCTTTTTCCGGTCTGGAGCTGCCTTCCGGAAGCGCTAGAAGGCGAGATCGCATTCGCGGTGGTTCCGCCTTTGCCTTAGGGCGCGTCATATATTGCAAATGCCCGTCAACCACGTCAACAAAAACAACATCCATGTTAAAATCAGTGGTCCATGGCCACTTGTCGTCATCGTCATCAGAGTGAACGAATTCAGTTAGCAGGCGAAGGAATTCTTTTTTCGACACGGAATCCGCCAGAAATGCCGTGGTCTCTTCCAAGCGCACACTGTGTTTCGTAAAGGCATTTTTGGCAACACATTGGGGCGCCCCTAAAGGCTGCGTTTTGAATCGTGACAAGTTCTTTTTCCAGCCCTTCAGTGGTTTGCGGACGCATAGGAAGGGGAAGATATCCACATTCTTCTTGCCATCCGCGCTGTGCCATTCGACCTGCGCTAACTTGTTGATGTTAATGTTCCGCGCTCGTGTGAACGATGTGAGTAGTCGACCAGGCCACCAGATCCAAGGTCCGGAAAGGTGCTCACGCACCAGTACTTCCACCTCGGGCCCGAGGTCGTCAGTTTCTGTATCCGGCTTCTGAGCAGTATCTTCTTCATCGCTGGCGTTGTGAATAATAGGCTGTTATGCTGCACATCTTTCGTCCGTACAAAGCGTGGAAAGCCTTGGAAAAAGGAATCATCTCCCGTCTTTGGGCTGCGGAGCAAAGGTCAACGATAAGACCTTTCTGGCTTTCTCATTGTCAGCCACATCCACGACGCGGCCAAAACGATACTTTCCATCATTTCCCAAGACATCCACACAGTTCCATTCGTATGGAGACTTTGAAATTACCATCACAGCTGGATAAAAAGGCGATATTTCTCAGTTGAAACGGAAAGTTATACCATGTGCTCAGCTTCACCAGCCCATTCGATGTCGACGAAAGTCACAGATCAACGGAGAACGGGTCGCGCTTGGTTAATAATTGTAGAGATAGTAGTTAAAGGTGCATTGTTTTTTCGTGTACATTGTTTTTAATAATCTCTGTGTTACGTTGGTTATAATACAATCAGACAGTTTGGAGATTTAAATCACATACGTGTGTAAAGTAGTCAGTAAACCACATACATTAAAATGAGCCACTTCTTAATTCTTGGTATTCAGTTAGATTATGTTAATGCGCCTTCACACTCTGTTTTTTGCTTTTTGCGCGGAGTTTTGTTTCTTCGAGAGATTTTCTATAGAGTATTGATTTTATGTATACATATTGATTTCATAATATTTACATACATATAATAATAATTTGTAACAATTAATTCGCAGTAATTTCACTGTTGACAGAAAAAATCCGTACTTCGTACGGTACCTCATACTTATACTTCCTTTATGGCCTACCCTAGTGAGCAAATTGCATGTGAATCGAGCTACCTTACGAATGCAAAGCCTGAAGTGGCTGAAGAATTACGATATGCGGTACAAAATTGTAATATGTTCATGTATGGATATACGAGGTATCTTAAAGCTACCAGGGAAACAAAAACTGTCAAAATGCGAACAAGATAATGCAAAACTGCGCGCAGATCAGCGTAGATGAGTGCATTGGAAGTGTTTTACTGTGCACGCATTTCGTCATTATGAAAATAAATACAATATTATGTACTAATTCTTGTTAGTCACTGTTGTTAGCTAGAAAAACGAACACTTTTTACGGTTGGAATTAAGAAATATCTTCAGTAATATTAACATGGTAAATAAGCACTAAGCATTATTTCGACGCTAGCTACAATTTATGATATGCGGCATATACTGAAATTTGTCTCATTGGATTCAGTTAGTAAAGTATGCGACTCCGCGTTACTGCATACTTGCGTACAGAGTAAATATAATTTTTTAGAGTAAATATAACAGAGTAAATATAACTCTGTACAGAGTAAATAACTCTGTAAATATAATTTTTTAGTAGATACTGCGCCTTCTTTAGACCCATATGATTATGGCAATTAAAATCATTCGAAAACAAAGATTTCGCGTATATCAATGATTAATTTACTTTACGCTATTACAAGCGATAAAAGTATTATGAGACGTACGGGATCTCCTGGGCTTGGCCGGACTAAACAAGCTGTAAAACTGGGGAAGCGATCTGCATTCACTGGTAATTAAAAGGTTTCGCACATATATAATATTTTAATTAGTATGGTAAAGTGTGGAAACCCAGACAGAGCCAGGTTTCCAATATTTCCGTTTAGTACCACTAGTGTGAAAAATAAATATGGCTGTTCAGACTGCAACACATTTTTACAATTTGAGACCCACGAGGAGAACGCCGCAGTAGTACGTACTGCACATATACCACTGTCGTAAGTGTCGTTAGAAATAAGTATGCACTATATACATAATTAATATCAAAACAAAACCATATGTGGGTGAATCATTAGAGCACCGCGTACTGAGTTTTTAAACCAAAAAAGACAGCTGCTTCCACTTTTTCGTCATTTTACGTTAGTAAATTAAAGATAAGATTAACAGCCAAGAGTAAAAGCATTACCAACCACAAATTACAGTCCAGGCCATGTAAAAGAAATTTTCTTTAGATGGTTTTGTTCCAGCTTTAAAATTTGTTCGCATAAAAAAGCACTGTGCTGCATAAAAAAGCACTGTACTGCATAAAAAAGCACTGTTCGCATAAAAAAGCACATCCAGCCTACTAACTGGAAAGGACTGTGGCAATAAATGCTGTAACAACGCGCAAAATTCTTCTAACTGATCCTCTTTTATTATGAACATTTTTGGGAACAAGAATAAGTTACAAACTGAAAATCGAATTTATTTATGCAAAACAGAAGTTAATTTCATATAGAAAAATGCAGTCACTCACTAAATTTCCTGTATGACTTATAAATAAGTACAGATAGGTAATATAAATTCAACACCGGCTCTCTTATTTTAGTTTATATAAATATTACGTTGTTTACAAAGTCGCCGACATCGCTGGATACTGTACATTCTTGATACAGTTCATTATTGAATCGATACCGTCTTGACACGATAATATTGTTAGCTATGTGCGAATTACGTTTTTGATAACCTTCACATTTTGCAGTATTAATGCAGTACATTATGCAGTATACGGTTTACCCGGCGGATACGATATGATTTCCTGAAGGCCGAAAATGGACACATTGCTAAATACATTGTACGAGCAGTTTTCACATGGGACAATCACTGGTATGACAACTGCAAACCTGCAAATTGTGCGAAAGCGATAAGAAGAATTGTTTGAATGATGTTTATTGTTTATAATGGTACCAATACACTAGTTGTGCTTCCTTAATATTATACAATATTATAAGCCTTGATTGGAGAGATTTAAAATACTACAACTTCCTGCAAGAACAATTCGCGGTACATTTTTTGACTGCATAAATTATTAATCTTCTACTGTGGTCGTACAGCTTTTGGTTTTAACTTTAAGCGTACGCGAATGGCTGTGATCTTAAAGAATTTAATTTTAATTCACACTAAATCAGTAAGATTCTTCTGGAAAGACAAAAACCATACAAAGCACAAGATCTTCTGTTACACTTGGTCCAGTTCTGAGATATGACAGCCAAAGCGTCAAAAGATTAAACATTTTGGCAGATTTGGTTAAGAAAGTTATCACGTTTACTGCCTTCACTCCACACCGCAGGGCGAACGCGTATCATCGATTCAACGAAAAAACAGGTTCAATGGAATTAAAGAAACGAGCGGAAAATCAGCACATACAGGTGATTCGCAGGAAAAACGAAAGTTATGAGTTTTAGCGAATGGCATAAGAGTGACCTGCAAATAAAGGAAGCAATAAAAATCATGGTCCCGACGCCTTTTCTAGTAAAGTTGGGAACTCGAATATCTACGATTTGAAAAAATAATATTCGCTTGACCTTGCCAATAAACTTAGAATTTTATACAAGTACCATTCTAAAGCTGCTTACCGCGAGTGTTGTCGCGATCGTTGTTGCCGTATCCGCCATAATTGCGGGTGGTGTAGTTATCGGCACCGTAAGTTGGGCGATCCCAGTTATTAGAGCTGCTGCTGTAATAGCCACCACGCGCAGTTGCCTCTCCGTCAGTTGTGTAGCTGTTTCCATCATAGCGATCACGATCATAACTGGTAGTAGTGTTGGACGATCCGCAATTGTCACCTTCGAAACGATAAACCAATCAGTCACATTAACCATAAATATAATCATAACCCAAAAATTAATATAATACAGCCACTAGCCTGCAAATTAACGGGTAAAGTGCTTAATAAAAGTAAAAATCAGTAAACGCCAACGGTGAACCTGAGAAGAAGCTGCCAGTATTCAAATTTATGTGGCTGAAAATTATATAACCATTACCAAAAAACTTAGACCGCAAAGTTCAAACTTTTTACATTTTCCATAATTTAGTACACCTAGCGTACTTACGATCATAGCTGGTGCCGTATCCGCCATAATTGCGGCTGGTGTAGTTATCGGCACCGTAAGTTAGGCGATCCCAGTTATTAGAGCTGCTGCTGTAATAGCCACCACGCGCAGTTGCCTCTCCGCCAGTTGTTTGGCGGTTTACATCATAGCGATCACGATCGTAACTGGTAGTAGTGTTGGACCCTCCGCGATTGTCACCTTTGAAACGATAAACCAATCAGTCACATTAACCATAAATATAATCATAACCCAAAAATTAATATAATACAGCCACTAGCCTGCAAATTAACGGGTAAAGTGCTTAATAAAAGTAAAAAGCAGTAAACGCCAACGGTGAATCTAAGAAAAAGCTGCCAGTATTCAAATTTATGTGGCTGAAAATTATATAACCATTACCAAAAAACTTAGACCGCAAAGTTCAAACTTTTTACATTTTCCATAATTTAGTACACCTAGCGTACTTACGATCATAGCTGGTGCCGTATCCGCCATAATTGCGGCTGGTGTAGTTATCGGCACCGTAAGTTAGGCGATCCCAGTTATTAGAGCTGCTGCTGTAATAGCCACCACGCGCAGTTGCCTCTCCGCCAGTTGTTTGGCGGTTTACATCATAGCGATCACGATCGTAACTGGTAGTAGTGTTGGACCCTCCGCGATTGTCACCTTTGAAACGATAAACCAATCAGTCCACATTAACCACAAATATAATCATAACCCATAAATTGATATAATACACCCACTAGCCGGCAAATCAACGGGTAAGTTGCTTAATAAAAGTAAAAAGCAGTAAACGCCAACGGTGAATCTAAGAAAAAGCTGTACTATAACCATCACCAGGAAACTTAAACCGCAAAGTTATAACTGTTTCAATTTTCTATGATTTAGTACAGCCAGCATACTTACGATCATAGTTGGTGCCGTATCCGCCATAGTCGCGATTGTACTCGCCGCTGGTCTGGTAACCATATCGTCCGCGATAGTCAGTGCCCAGACGTCCGCCGAATCCACCATTACGAACGGTAGTTCGCTTGTCGTTGCCGTCGTCCTACAGTAACAGAAAAATTCTGAATAATTAATTTAAATCAAGAAGTAAAAACCAAACAGAAAAACGTGTAAATTATGCTCCTGTTATAAATAAGCAAAATATCACTCACGTTGCGATCATTATCCTTTCGGCGAGAATTTTCACGGGAACCACCAGTGGCAGGATATTGGCCACTTTTGAGCGCGTTGCTCTCACCTGGCAGCAGTAGGCGCACAAATCCAATACCCCGATCACGCCAAGCATTGTTCAGTGCCCTAAATTCATGAAAATATACCACCATGCATCCGTTGGCTTCTCAGAGATCTCTAAATCCCTGTACTTTAGCTGGAATAATCTCATTTTTGGAAAAGATTGCTAAATTTCTAAGGATTCTAACGATACCAAGCACTGGCTAATCAGAGAACCAAGTGGTAGGGAATGCGCCTCGTTATCTGGGCCTCGTGCACTTACCGCTTTATATTATCGAAGTCGTCCAGGCACCCAATCCGACCGTATAGCCAGATCTGGTCCGGGCCGCCCTGTTCGCCAACTTTACTTTCTATAAACGTGTGTGGCATGATTAGAGGACCTAAACGCGGTTCCAGAAACACCTCCAGAAATTCACCAGCTGTGAGACGCGGATACTGAGGAAGAGGAAGATGCTTATTTCCCAAAACTGCATCTAATAAGCCATCGACTGAAGTTTCTGGCTGATAATAGGCTCTGTTCAGATCATCAATCATAACGCCTATCATGAAATTACGACGATTTCCAGACATTTTCGGTGTTATCAGATAGCAGTGCAAAGGTTAAAGAAATCTAGCAGAATCAATAAAGCAACCACAAAAACCACAGAGTCTATGCGGAAAGATGCTGATAGAAACAGTGGCTGCCAGCGAGCTCGGTGAATGAGCGGCGTGCTGCAGCTGCGTATCAGCTGAGCAGCAGAAATCGCTCGTAGACTCGGCACCGCCCCCACGAGTGTAGCAGTACGCTGATTGGTCAGCGAGAACAAAGTATACGCTGAGCTGTCAGCGTATATGAGCGGCACGAGTGGTTTGCCACCTGCGTGCGGGCGACAAAGCAAGCCACAAGAGGTGTCTACCGCCTCGAGTGTGGGGCCTCTGACAGTGTTACAGTAATCGCGATAAAACAACAACAGTATATATATCCCAAGTTCTCAACCTTTACTGAGTTACATATGCTTTTATGCGGCAAAAAAATACAAGCGAAGATCTTCCTTATACAGAGCAGGAATGTGTACTGGCGGTAAATAGAACCGTGTCAGAAAATTTGAGAAAGCAGGGCAAATCGCAGCTACATTCAACCGAAGAACGCTGATTGGCCGTAGAGGGAGGCGCGGTCAAGTCGAGTCCAACTCCAAGTGTGAGTCGACACACCGGAAACAGGACTGTCGCATCCAGCTGCCACCGATAAGGTGGGCGACTGGCCTAAAGTGGCCCTAAACGGCTAAACTATCAATCTATTATATAATTACTGTATATGATGTGGACTTTAATCGTTGGTCAAATCAAAAACGCAATGCACAACCATGAAAAGAAGCACAGAAAAATTTCATTTAGTTTATCTAGCCCTTCCATCGTGCCCAGCACTGAAGCCGCATTTCCCCGTTGAATTTCCATCTGCTCGACAGCGAACATGAGCGCTCCATTGGGGCCTAGATTCTCCAGCTCCATCACGTCTTCCACGGAGACCAGTTCCTGCACATCCACAACAGCAGCGAAAGGTAACTTCTCGTTGGCGGGATCCAGATTGATAGTGGCCAGTTTTCAGTTTGCGGTTGAAAACGCTTTTTAACAGCTCCGCAATGTGGAAACAGTATGTGGTTTTCCCACTCCCTGGTGGCCCGATCACCAACTGTCCGTAATACGGCTTTCTCGCTTTAGCAGCCATTACGCTATTACGGAATCAAAATAATTTGATCGAAATTTGAGCCTTGCTGCCCTTGCAATAAAATCTTTGGAGAAATCGCTAAAACCAACAATTTACAACATCTTTTTTTCAGAGTTTGTTTCTCTGACGGCGAATAGATAGATTCCGGTACGCCTGCCCACTGCGTATACCCCGCCTGTGTGACGTAGGTGGGTGAGAGAAAATCGTATTTACATCCGCCGATGAGGTTTTAAGAGCCTTTCGCAGCCAGTTGGCCTGGACGAGCTGGCAGCACCCCAAAAGTGGATTAGTTAGAGATCACTCTATTTACCGAGTATTTTTCGGTTCCTATACGAAAAGGCGCAAAGAAGTTATTCCTCGTTTAAGCTCCATTAATAATGAGACCCACTGGGCGGGCGGACAATGCGACCCGAGCCTGAATTGAACGGAACTTATGTTTGAAGTCTCAAATGTAACTGGTGGAATTCAACCAATTACTGACTTGATTTCAAACAAGGACAGTTTTGATTGGGTTCGAGCAACCCAATCAAAGCGCACGGGCGTACTGGAATCTATCTATTTAGCACTTTAATCCATTTCCAGGGTGGCAAAGCCAGATTCACATTTCACAGCCGATTCCAATAGAATCACTGGAATATGTTCTTACCTCTGCAAACTGACTGGTAATGGTGAATGGTTGGTAATGGTGAATGGCCCATCTTCTTGGATATGGTGCGAAGCCACGCCCCTGTTGGCATACACAACTCTGGTGTCAAAGCGTTTCCGTTGAACAAGCCAGCTTTCGCCATTTTTGGCGCACGACACCACTAGCGAAATATCACTTGCCTCGGATGCATTAATTTTGAAATCTTGAAATGAAAAAGGGAATCTGTCTGGCTTCTTTTATCAAGTTTTTATCTGTTATGAAATTTGTTTTTTGAGTGTTTTTATTGAAGTTTTAGTTTTTAATTCGCATGCGTCGTTAGTGGTATTTATTGCCTAAACTTTAGCATCATGATTCTTGGGGATTTGGTAAGCGAAAACTCATTTGATAGTCATCAGTTGTAAGATTTCGCAACTCCGTAGGACTGTGCGTTTATGAAATTATGCGCTCTGAATTGAAATCGGCTTTTAGAGTTACCGTTAAGCTTTATGCCGTTATCAGTTAGGTTTCTTTTTTAAGCCCGGAATCTGGTATGGACATAATGTTGCGCAGTTAATATGTAACGGGATCGGTGATTTAAGCGCATAGTGCACGTTTTTATGAGACTTTTTGAGGTTAGGACTGTTTGTGGTCACTGGTTTCAGGGTTTGTAGTATTATTAACCACTGGCAAACTAGTTTAAACTGCGGCGAAATACGGGGTGTTTTATTGATTTAAACTTCGCTGCTTGTATGATTTAAATTAAGCACTCACTTACGTCTTCCCCAGGTAAGAGGCTTATGGAACAAAGCGGTCTATGTCGCCGACGTGCTCAACCCCTTTAATTCAACGGTTCGGAAGCCTATTCCCAGATTAGGTATGTGCAAATCAGGAAATTACGAATTTGAATCATTAGAATGAATAAATTGGAAATCATCTTTTCATCCATGTTGGCGAGCGATTTTTATCGGATTTATATGGACGATTTTCATAGACTTTTTAGCCAGCTGTTGCCTGCGTTGTCCGCACCACTCATGCATTTCGTTTAGTTTTTCTACCACGGCTTGTTGAAGAAAATACACATCAACGCATTGCATAATTGCGACTAGAAACTTTTATTGCCAATGTAAGTCATTTTTTGCGCCAATCATTGTGTTCTAATTTTTGAAATTAAGTTCCAGAGGTGTGATTTTCACTTGCTTAAATGTTTTGGAGCTTTGTTAAATTCTTTATGCGTTAATAATTTTCAGAACGTAGACTGAATTATGCTTCCACGCTTAGGCGATGATTTGGCGCCGGCGTTCCATACCCGAAGCGCTCTGGATCTGTCGGGCAAAGACATGCATGCCTTGGAAATGCCGGAGACGGTGCATCATAATCACACCAGCCGCACCGGAAAAGGAACCCAATCCGTAGGCAGTTACCTCAGCGATTCTGTCAGTCATCTTTTCCACAAAGAAACTCCCGTTCCTGTCATTAAACGCCGACCATTGTCGTCCGTTTCCAAGACATCCGAAGCGTCAGCGACGAAAGCGTCGTCCAGCACCAAAGCCTCTACACCCTCCTCTTCACCCAGCAAGGCTGTCGGGAAAGTCTCACCCCGCACCAAAGCCGCCACGCCGTCGGACACGAAGGCCGAGTCGAAGAAGCGCGGTCGACCCCGCTCCCAGTCCCGTACGCGTGCCGCTTCCGCCGCCAAGGAACGGGCGGCTTCGTCCGCGAAGGGACGCGCTGCGTCCTCCTCTAAGGAACCGGCGTCCAAGAAAGCCAAGACCGTCAGTACGAAGAAGACCGGGCAGCAACAGCAGCGCGGACGGAAGAGGAAGTCCGGAGAGACAACTTCGCCACGCCGCCTCCGCAGTCGCGATCCATCCCACCACACCCCCACGGAGACGCACGGTCGATCGGGCAGCGGCCGGAGCAAACGATCGTCACCGAGTAAGACGAAATATTAATAGATCCGTTGGTGCGTTGAAGTGTTCCTGTATTATTCCTGTCTTGGGCCTTGCGGATCCTGTTTTCCTACTAAGCATGGAGTATATTTATGGTGCAGTATTCTGTGCGTGTGGATCTCCTCCTCTGCATTGTTCACGGAGTGTGTCACCAGTCGGCGCTCCCAAGTGACCAAACTCTGATGCCTCTTATGTTTTATCCCGTGTTTTACGTATTTTTAATCGGCCCTGTGCATGCTGTTGGCCCGTATAGGTAATTATTATGTGGTGGGTGACGGGAATGTATTGTAAGCCAATGTTATTTTGTCAGGTACTTATTATTCTGTTTCGTTAATACAAACTATGCAACCTCAGATTTACGACATCGAATTTTGTTGTTGTCCGAATATGCTCTTGTTGTTTATTTATGCGAGACATAGTTAAAATGTGCCAAACTTTCACCTGTTGTTTTGAGGAAGCGATTTGTTAAATGATTTCATGGTTTCATCGTGTCGCCCTGCTGTTGGGTGTGCACTGTGCTGTCCAGTGCATACTGCAGGCGATACTGCTAAAAAGGCTGCCATACTGGTTAAATTGTGAAAGTTGCTGTTGTTTCTGCTTGTACTTAAGTTCTGTGCATTGTGCATTATTGTATGTTTTCCATTGAATCCATTCTATGCCTTTCTGTCAGCGGCGATACTAGGGATTCAGAGAACTGGTGAAAAAGTTAATAATGAGCAACTACGACGTTTTGCGATTGGTTAATTATTAATACAAATAAAATGAATTAATTTATTGTAAAAGAATTCGTATTCGGTCATTGGTTACCACCAGCGGCGTGGTTCTGGTGACGCGAACTTTTGATTCAAGTGTTCTCTGCAATGTTCTACGGGAGCCTGCATGAGAAGCAATGCCATCGACGTTCCCGATGTCTATCCCGATGCTTTTGCCAATATGATCCGGTGGGTGGATAAGCATTTTTGTTAATGTATAAATAGTGTGCATGTGCAAGGAAACACAGTAGCACTGGACACGGTACGATAAAGGGCAAATTACAGTGGGGTGACTCCTTCGATTTAATGTCGTGACTATTATTGTCGTCCGTAGATAGCGCTTGCATGATCTGCTATTTGCTGTTCCTTGCGTATATACGAGTTAAGAGTATGTATGTTCAATGTTGAATCCCTGGTTTAATTTTCCGTTTTAAAGTTTTACATGCACCGATGCAGTGCATTCCGACAACATATTCTGCATTCCGACAATTAACGTTTTGGCGACGATGAATTGCGCCGGAGAAGTACCGGAGCTGGTGTGCAGATGTGCTATAGCCTATAAGGCTGTAACCTCATCGTCAGCCAGTGGAACGCGGATAATTGTCTGGCTACTTTGACACAGGCAGGACGATTGCCCATTTTTAATACGGGTGTCGCGTGTACCCAGTTACCAGTACAGCTGGCTGCGATTTGCGAAAATCAGTAACGGATTCTTCCGTCTGCAGGTTCTGCACTTGCAAACCGCTGATATCATGGAAGGGTGTTCGGTTTTGGTGGATTTATTCGGGCAATTCTGCATTCGTACCATCTAATCGCCTATGCCATTCCCCACGGAGCGCCGATTAACGCACGAACATCAGGAGCGGAAGGTGATTCACACGGGAGACGAAGTGTTTGTGCAGTGCTCAGACAACATGGGACCATGGTGGGAGCCAGCGACCTTGATCGAGGTTGAGGACAAAAGAGTGGAGTTCACGTGGTGCAAAATCGGCTATGCGGACATAGAAGCAGCCGACAAGGTGATCCACGCGAAAGACCTCCTGAAAGGCGACCAGACGATGTTCTCGTATGTGCGCAGTCTGGGAGACTATGCAACATATCACTATGTCGGCATTGCTGGGAAGCGCTGGATCAGCGACAACCGAGTGGTTCGTTTGGCCGATTCGCAGCTGCACAAAGAGCTGGTCCAGCTGTGGAAGGCGAGAAAAGCTGGAAATGAGCCGCGGTGTGTGCAGTCATCTACCCATGTGTGTGAGAAAATCTTCGCTTTTTAATGCTTGCGAAAATCTTGCGTTGTCATGATTTGATACGTTGTCTGTTCTAATATTCATGCCGGAATATTAAAAGTTATTACATCACTTAAATTTTCTACAGCTTTATAATATTTTGTATCGTTGGAATAAGTCCACTGTCCACGGCGTTAAATAATTTTTAGGGCGCCTAGCTGACTTTTGCCGATTAAAAGAAAGTTTGATGATCGCATTGTGACTTACTGGTACAACTTTGTGTAACTAGTATTCCATGTTCGCAAGAACGTTTGTGTCATTGCAATTATATTAATGTATTGATATCGTACGTAGCTGACACTGACCGGTCAGAATATGCGCTCGTAACACTTAATACCTCACAAGATACCAACCTGTTGTTTCGAAAATTTTTGTATGCAGATGTGAAGAAAACCTATCGTGTTACTCCCAAAAACTTATGTGGACAGCACGTATGGCCAAAGTGGTCGACGTAATGCGACCTGTGGAGGTATACTGCATTTTTTTATAAATACGGGTACATCCGAAATATTACGAGATCCACAATAACAAGATGCACTTGTGTTTGTTTTTTGGTTCTTGTGGATTCTGTAATTTTCGATACATCATAAAGAATGAAGTGTAGCCTCACTCTGGTACTCGTACAGTCGTACTTTACTAGGATAGGATAGGATATACCTACTGGTAGTAGGCATTCATTGACGTCAATGTCCACAACAACATAACAACCCAAATAAAACAGTAAAACCAGCAGCAATACTTGACCGGAAGTAGAATTTCTTGTGTACTCGTTAGTCGTACAGCATTATAATACGGTTTGTGGTTCGCACTCGTCATCCTCACATTCGTCACATTTATTTGGTGATGTCCAGCTGGACAGCTGGCAGTTTGCAAGATCTTCGACGCCACCAGTTTTTTGGCTCGCAGGATTGTTAACTAAAAACGACCTGAAGACTATTGATTCGTTTCATTGATCGCACAGACTGTATTGGCGGTTATGTATTGCACAAACGATTCAAAGGTTTACAACAATATGATCACCATTCACCAACAACCGAAACAAAAATTACTCGTACATAAAATCGATATATAATACAAGGCAACTCAAAAATGTACAGCTTAACAAACAACGATTTAAGAAACAATTCAAAAGAGATTAGAAAATTGGTCCAAGATACATTTTGGTACGAGGTTTGATGTGACCGGAAAATCTGGACTGCAAACTGACAAATCTGGGCGCAACCGCTGCAAACTGCTAAAATCCATCCAGTATCTGCTAAATACATACACACTGCAAAAGACCAGCACGGGCACAACGCTCACAGACAGATAATATAATATGATGACCATAAGAAGCCCCGGCCAAACCCACGCGGAAAGGGTATGACTGACACTAACAGGATTAGATGGACTAATTTGCACCACAATAAAAGAAAGATTAAGTCCATCGGCGGCACAAATCTTGGAGTGTATATATCGCGTGCATGTGCCTCTTTCTCTATATCGTCTACAGCTGGCCAACATGTTGAATAATTTATCTGTGGAGAAGATCCTCAGGATTTCGTATGAACCGTCACATGTTGGGAATATTTGCTCAGATAATGGCCAGCGTGAGAAGGAGGATGGTGTAGGAGGTCAGCTGGATGGGGAAAGTGGACAGGAAGGTGCCGGGTGCGGCGTTGTTGCCGCTAAGACCCAGTGCCTGTGCTTTCCTTCCGGTATCCATGGGGAACTGGGTGGCTACAATAGGGTGGACATGGGAGATATGTTACACAGAGCTGTCGGCCAGTATGAGAGCTAATAAACTGTCTAAATGGAACTAAGGCTTGGAGAATATACTGCGGAAAGATTGCAGGCGGACGTATATATACGTAACAGGGTTAGTAAATGAAGTTGCACACACACAACGGGGTTAGTTCTCTTCACGGGATGACAGTGAACAATAATGCCAGTGTAAGGAAAATAAGGGACACGCGGACACTGCATGCTGAGTCAACGGGATTCAGACCGGCTAATAGGTTACGATCTTTGTAATCACCCACGACACGCGCAGATTCTGCAATATAATTATAATCAAACAGAAAAGAAAACCGAATTCCACGGAATAACAAAAGAATAATTTCACCGCACGATACAGTGTGAGTGAAACAAACTAAATACATAATTATTTTCTTGACGTCATCCATGTGCAAACAGGGGACAGTAGATATAGCATAAATCAAATTTCTGGAACACCGTTACTGAAGAAAACAATATAAACACGAAAACAAAAAACAGAAAAGGATAACACGTACACAGAAACTTTAAACTGAGCAGTTGCTCTTACATGAATAATTTTAGTATAGTTATATGAATTTATGAACTACCTTATATGAATCATTGAATCTGGATAGAAAAATAAAAGGCAACGGAAATACACAGCATGAACACACGCTCTCACGTATACTATACAAGTCTACTTCTACACAAGTCTTGGAGTCTGTACAAGTCTAAGTCGAGTCGTGTCGATGGAATTACGTGTTATAAAATAACTGCGTTTATCGTTAATGGTATTTTGTATTTTTATTACGGTTTTATTACGGCATGACTTGGGAAAAATCTATTATGTTTGCGCTTACCATAGAGGTCAACTTTGCCGGTGGCGGAGCCCAGCTTATTGTGCGCTACACACTGGTAGATGCCATAGTGTTTTTTCTGGATATTCTTGACCCGCAATTTCATCTCGGTGACCTCATTAACAACGGAAAATGTTGAAACATCGTAATATTGATCGCTGACTATTTTCCGTCCCTCAAACACCCATTCCACCTGCGGCGGCGGAAAGGCTTCCACGATGCACTCCAGTTCCCGTTCATAGAATAGTGCTTGACCAACGCGATCCCGTGGGACACGCACAATCGGCGAAACTAAACAGGTATGAAAATGGAGACTGTTCAGCATTAATCGATCATTCATCATTCCACACGCAATTATTCCGTTTCCTTCATTAGGCACAAATAGCACAGTACTCGTGGCCATGTACATGCACGCCGGTGAATTTAATAATAATGGCTTCATATTTCCCAACAGAATTGTTCCCGAACGTGCATATTAACCTTTCCGATACATTATAATAAGTCGATTTAATAAAAATTATTTATAAGTAACGTTAATGGAACAGTAATGCTACGCATAAAAAGGTTGCACAAAGGGCTGCAAAAGTTAATTACACAGACAGGAAATTAGGTGCAATTTACTTACATTCGACCCGTATGTTAATATTCCTTCGATCACCCTGGCCAACCGCATTATCCGCTGTGCAGATGTATGTTCCACGATGTTCTTTTTGTATGTCGAAAATTTTTAAATCGGTTCCATGGTAAACAGCGCCACCGGTCGGTAATGCGGCATTCCCCTGCCGTCTCCATGATATTTTGGGATGGGGAAAGCCAGTAGCATTGCAGAACAAACCGACATCCTCACCGCGACCAATTATCAAATCCCGTGTGGAATCGTCCGATATTACAGGCGGTCCTAAAATTTAACCGAAACGATTATGCAAGTGTGCGAAAATTACATTTGCACATAACCTGGAAATTTCGTCGGTAACTGTGTCGATTATGGTAACTGATAAATACCGGTACCCAAACCATAATCAAGCTTGCAATAAACAGTATGCGCAAATTCAGAACGGAATTTGTGTGAAAGTAGGAAAGCGTTTATTCTAGCGAGTAGATAACATTATTAATAGTTAATCATCGAGCACTGGTTGGCATTTTACTCACTGCGAATATGAACTGGAACCTCCGCCGTGATTTTATTAACATTATTAATGGGTATTTGGCACTGGTAAACTCCCTGATCGGTCTCCTGGAGATCCTGGATTTGTAATACAAATGTCATGCTCGTCTCATCGTAGCGCACAGAGTAGCGATTGTCAGGAACAATACGTGATCCTCGAAATGAAAGCGGGGTGTCCGTGCTATCGGCGTATCCCCGCCGCATCCACATCACCTGCCACAGCAGCATACAATATGTTACATTCTCAACGAGGTACATGGAAACATGGACAAACATAGTGTACAGTACAGACCATGTGTATATATTGTGTAGTATGTATATATTCGGTAAAATGCTAGTTGAATATTAATGACGCCGCCACTTGACCAGCGGCTCATCGCACACGGTCACCGATCTCGCGCCGTGTGGATACAGCCGGCACAACAGGATTAGTCAACGATCCACGTTAATTAGCGATATGATCTAGTTATTGTAATCCGTGTGTAAAGTACGAGGACGTAATTAATTATTCTTGGAGTGTGCGAAGCGTGTTTACAATATAGAAGTACATGTACACTTCGCATAAATTGCGGGATACGCTGTAGCGTTTACAAAAGGGAAAACACACAGCTGCAATAACAGTCTGTTACGAAATAGTTAACCCGTTCAAATATCCATAAGCTTATTACGAGTAAATGTAATATATGAAAAGCAATCAATATTAATACAGTATATTTATCGTTTATAACATACCATTCCATAAACATATACACAACAGCACTACAAGAAATTAAGCTTTTGCGAGAAAAGCACAACTTTAGAAAAGTAAAAATAATCGTGGAACACTTACGGGGAAATCTTTGGCAAATTGTACGGCACATTTCAGATCAATGGTCCCGCCAAGATCGGCCACAATTTCTTTTGTAATAAATGTTATCGTGGGATTTTGCTGCGCGGTCACTGTACAAAGCAGAAAAACAATTACAATTCCGATTGGGAATGTTATCATTACGGGCGACATGAAATCCATCACTATAAATCAAAACGCTGTATAACCGGCTAATGAATTGTGTTAGTCACATTGGACATGAAAATCATCAAGAAGCGGAAAATTAATATGCCCGAAAATATTATAATCACACATGGAACATGATGAGTTGTGGATGCAATAATTAGCCTGATTGTGATAATGACGGAATTGGCTGTTAATATCATGCTTGGTGAAGTAGCCGATGGGGGAGGGGGGCAGATTTTACAGGGTAGTGAAGCGGAGTAATGAGGGAGCGTGTCAAAGCCACAGTTTGCTTTGATCACACGCTACGGCAGTAGTCCGCAGTGGTGCTGTACAGTGTGCGGCTTTTGAAAATGTCCACCAGACAGGAAGGAAGCACCCGCACATCCTTCCCGTTCTGCCTTATTGCATTCACATCTTTATCTGACGTGCCAATGGCCAAACTGGTTCATATCCCGCAAACATTTTGCTAATATGTACAATATTAAGTCATTTACTACACGACTATGCAATTTTCGACCTTTGTGTATTGTTTGTAACCGGTCTGGTAAAAGTCTGCCGTGAGAATGTCCATTATCAAATTAGCGTGCTTAGTTGTAGTAAACGCACATTTTTCAGAACTTCAACAGGAATTTGTAAAAAATTTCCAGTTGAAAACGAGAATATTACTCGTAGATGTTTTGTACTGTATATGCACTCATGCCGGCGGACTGGATGTTTTCAGAAATGTGTTTTCGAAAAGACTAAATTCAATTCATCATTTTTACAACGTTTATCATTCCACAATCAAAGAAAACTGATACGACAATTAATTCGGCTATTTGCTTTGTGCTATCCTAACCGCACAAGCAATTGTCCAGTGCTGGACATATCCTCATACATAAGAAGGCGCATCAAAGTGTCACTGAGGAATGCCGCAACGATTTACGATGGACGCCGAGCGTCCATACGGTATTATGGAACGCATAAAATCTTTTAGGATCTATCGTCTCTTGTTTCCTCACAGCCAGACAAGTCATTAATACCGTAAAATGCTACGGATAATGTCCAGACCATAAGGCCGCACACTGGCGCTGCCGGTCACTATCCAATTGATTTTCCAATTCGGATTTTATCAAAACAACCTAGTAAATTTATTGGCTCACAGTTCATCAAATCCTCCACGATCGTGCCGTCGTCTAAAGATGGCTGCGAATTTTTGTATGACCATATATCACTAAAGCGATATTTTATGATTACAAATAATTTTAGAAACTGGAAATTATGGTCATGCATCTGTATACCGAAATTGATTTTATTTGAAGAATTTTCCGGTACCAATAAAAAGTCAGAGGTCGTATTTCCTGTATGCCGTATTGACTTTGTTATGGTTTCCCAAAACACTCGTCCGGAAAAACATTTGTAGAACAACATTAGAGACGCTGTATTGTTAGCACCTGAGAAGCGCTTTCTGCCAGCGATCTCCCGGCTAAGCTTCACACCGGATCAATGGGTAAACGTCCCATTCATCGGCTAAACAAGGTCAACCTATTGATCATTTAGTGGTCAGTCGGGTAGTCGTTTGATAAAATGAGAAAAGACTTGTATGTTTGCACATAAGAAGCTGATTAAAAGGAATACTGTAAAATGATACTCAATTTGGCTTAACTTAAACAACCGGCAGCCGTACGACGCAGCAAAGTGCTCTTATTTCTCGGCATATATATATATTTCTCCTCCCAGTCCTTATATAAAGTATAATCAATATATCGTATATATACATCTTGACACTTAATAAACTAAACAACGTAATGAATGCTCGTACAAACAAGCGATCTAGTTTCGCTTGTATAAATGAGCACATATGCTTAACGACGGCGTATGCATTCTGTCCATACTGAGCTTATTAAACATTTGCCGACAAAAATGTAATCGATATACAAACGAGCGAGAGTTTTTAACCGGCCACTGCCGGACCCTTCATATTTAATGCGTATATGGGAAAAATGCTTCCGAGACCTCTGAGAATGAGTCCTTCACAAGAAAAACACATTATTCATCTTTAAGTGCTTCCGCGACTTAAACGTTTTTAAGCTGCTGACCGCCTGCAAGTGTGTATATATGCCCACTGCGCGGGTTTATTTATTAATGTTCTTATACGCGTCTTTTCAACCTTCGCGTCCGGCTTTGGATTTGCCGAAAAGGACTCCGCTGTTAGCCAAATCTGAAATTGTTGATTTTAGCAGAGCAAGAGTTTTTTTACGAAAATATTGCGGATTGAGTCAATTGACATACCTTCGATATGGTCAATCTACAACCTACTTTACCGTAATAGTGTGTTTTTAAAACTGTCAACATTCAACAGTCATGTTTTAGAAACTCAGAATGCAAGAGGAAAGGGGATGTAACCAGCAGTAATGGATTATTCACAGTCATTACTGGGATATATTAATGATGTATGGAGCGCCAATGATAAGAGTGTTAAGACGCATTTTAAGTGGGTGGAATACATTAATCCCCGGCCGTAACCGTTTATTTCTCACGTTTTGCCTCAGATTTTGTTAAAGTGGCAGCATAAGGCCATCAGCAATTAGGCGATGAACCTCCATAAACTGGTCAGGCAGAAAAAAGCCCTTGAAAAAGTGGGCCAAATTTGCCGGTGTGCAATTTTACCGAGATTTTACACCGGAAAGCGAGTGGTGTGTACATTCGACTCCAATTGGGCAATTGACAATCTGCCGTGGCGATTAGGTGGCGAAAACCGGGCGCAGTCAGCGTACAGTGTTTCACCATCCATCTCTCGAGAGAAATGTTTACGAAAAATTCTTCGCTTTCCCCTTACGCACACAGGCAACCACGCCATCCGGATCAGTCATAATCCGACAAACATGGCCACGGGGTCTGATGATAATTTATGGTTTCTGTCGCTTGTCAGTTGCAGGTGTCCCCGTCCCCTTAATTTAACCAAAATATATCACAATACAGCCAGACCGGCATCATCCGACACCTTCCATAAACCATATTCCACCAATTTGGCCCCCATCCAAATAATACATTTTCCGTACCGTTTTTCTCCTCACTTATTTTCCAACTCATTGCAAACGCCGAGGCAGGCTAAATGGATGGTGGCGCAAGTCGCTAAGTACGCGGTAGTCAAGTGGAAAATTGCGCTGAGAAGTGCGGCACAATGCCGCTGCTGTGTACATGTATATTCGTATATTCAGAATGGGAAACTTGATCGGCGCTGTTATGTCCGCCGCGTTGGGATGGTAGATGCTGTTGTGGTGTTGCTTGTCGGCAGTGTGTGTGCGTTACATTATAGTGGCGTAAATGGGGAAGCTGCTGTAGTGTTGATGCATGGGCACGCTTGATCCCTTTTACATCTGTCAGAATATTTCATTCGATTCCGACTTGCATCCTTAACACATGTTGATGACGTAACCAGTGGTCAGGGTGCCGCGCAGGGTAAACAGGCAGAGAAATCTAATATGCGTTTCATCAACTCGTTATCGTTGTCCAATGGATACTTATCATTTACCAAAGCGCCACACAGGGTGAAACATTCCCGCTGATGGGCCAGCAAGAAACTTGTCAATATAAAACGCTACATTTGGCTGAAAATGCAGCTTCGGTATTTTCGTAGGCATTTCGGTTTTCCTTTTTTTTCAACATATGCCGTTTTAAATTTCACATTAACAGTATTACGATAAGTTCATCAAAAATTTTTTGAGGAAGTTAATATCTAGTTAAGTTCTAGTGTGTCATGTACAATGCTTAAAAAATCAACAAATAAAGATCTTGTCTGTGCACATTTCCTGTCAAGAGCAGACGGTTGTTTGAAACTTGGGAAGCTGTTATCAAAGCTGAACGGACAATGCCACCCGGATGGCACAGCATAGTTTTATGGACTTTACAGTCCATTTAAGGAAACTGCTGGATCACAGTCGAGTGCTTGTCGATGGGGTTTACTAACTTCCGGCGGTTAATTCGCGATTCTAAGTTGATCATGTTCCAGCAGTGGAATCAATGAGCAACTGGGTCCGGTGGCGGTTATATGCATAACGGTCGAGTAGGGGTGGACTGTGCTCGATAATATTGAGCTAGTTAATGCTGTCCGGGTTCGGTCAGTGGGAATAGTCGTATATTAGCCGGGGTTGTGTGGGGTGCGCGCGCGAAGAGCGTAAGTGCCATAAAACTTACAAATCCTGATAAGTGCTATTTTGCTCATCAATCCATGGACTATTAAAAGTGTATCAAGTTTGTTTGATTGAATAAAACGATGAGCATTTATCCGCGAAAGACTCTTTTAGCACCAATTCAGATAAGAAATATATATTGCAGGAAGCTGTAAAGATATATATGGAGATTGTCCGATAGGCGTCAGGTCAGTAGGATGTGTGTGTACAAAGAGCTGCTACTGTATATATATGCCGTACATCCCCTAATGACACACTGAAAAGCGTCCGGTCAGTTAAGGCTACCGTTTAGTGTAAATAGGCTAACAAAAGCCCTCGGTTAATCCATTTGATACACGGGATAGCTTTTCGTTCTACATTTGGTTTCAACTTGTATGGCGCAATCTATTAACTACCCCCACGGAAAATGACCAACAAAATTATCAGTCCTGTTGTCACGCTATTGACCATGTATGTCGGCGCGCAGACTGGCCGAATACATACAGAGGAAGTGGCGCGCTTTTCCGGCTGCCTCTAGGGAACAGGTGCAAATTAATATTTTTCACTGGTTGGGTCGATATACAGTTCGGCTACACTGGACACGCAGGTAAAAGGGAGAGTAAAAGTGAAAATTGAGAGAATTGTTCGGGTTGAAAATGGAAGGATAAAGAATGGGAAGCATAGAGAATGCTAACGGGCAGGATGGACAGTGTACATTTGACAACAACAATGTGCGGAGGTGATAGACGGGGTCTTATTAAGCTTATTTGAATAACCCAATTCCCATATGGGATTATTAGTTCGCAGGCGTATATACAGCGCCCATACTGGCGATGGCGAACGATGAGATAATCAAATGCATGGCTTCCCATGACTGAACTGGGAAGATCTTCCTCCATTGTATGTAGGCTGATGAGATTAGAGATAACAAGTACAATGGGAATTTTTTTATTTTAATTTCACATAAATTTCCGGAGCGCGGTTGACATATAAAAGTTTATCCTATGTACAAGAACAGAAAATCTGTTTTAATCCCACATTGCCAACTGCAAAAATAACTAATAAGCACGGCGTTTTCTACAGCTACTTTAAAGTTATTTAAAGTTATTAAACCACGATCCATATCAAGCGTGGATTACCCAGCTGTCGATTAAAATCACAGTGAATAAACACCACTAGCCGAATAATCCGCAGCACAGTTTTATACCAAAGTAAATTCGGGAAAAGCCTCCTGGGCCAAAATGGAAACATTGAATACAACGGCAGTGTAGAGTGATTACACGCCGTTGCAGGCACAGTTGTTTAATTTACTTTTGTCGTAATTAAGATTTATCTACATGTAATTAACGGGCCCCCTGGGGCGCCGCTTGGGCAATGAGCGATTCAGCGCTGTATTAATCCCATTGTCTCTTCTCCCGTCTGCCGGTCTCACCTGATGGTGACCGGCTGACCCCATGTGAACTGTCCAATTATCGGGGCTAACAAAACACAGCCACTGTGCCGCTGTAAACTTGTCCCTAGCTCCAGGTGAGATAACGGCAAATGTGAACTAATGCAACTCGGGCATAACGATAAATACACCATCGGCTACTAGCCTACTACGGTACACAGTAGTGTGGACAGCAGCTGGTCGATGCACTCGTCGATTATGATCGATATTTTATGCCGCTTGCGCTATATATATGGACTGGGAATATGTAGTGGCAAAGCCGTTATACACGCATGCGTGCTTGTACTTCCGCGTTTCCGCTAAATTATCATGCTCCATAAAAACTGTTCTTAATAATTAAAGTAATCAATGCACTGTCCGCGGCAAAGTTGTAAAACCGCGCACTCCATACTAGATATTAACAATGGTGCACATTTTTCGCTACAAAGTATAACACACAACGCGCGCGTGCGGCGCTTGAATAAAATCGTCGTGCAAAATGAGAGTATTCGTTAACTGACAATTTTATTAATTTTTTGGTATTCTGTATTGCTCGCTGTTCATCGAACGGATTTGTAACGATTTAATAGTCAGAGGCGTTTTTTAAGAGCCATTGATTTTCTAATTTTATCAGATTTAGCCGTAATCCGTAAATCTCGCAGCTTAGTCTCCGCGCGTTGCTTGCACATGCGCGCACTGTAAACTTAATAAAAGTGGCCGATTGCCCGTTGATCAAGTGGCCAAAAAAAGCCAAATCCCTTTAAGGCGCACAGATTGTGTAATGGGGGTTTGTTTTGTTAATGAAGAGAGCACGCCGGCTGTAAGGTCACTGGGACCCGTGCGTATACGGGACTGATCATTTGGGGATTGCGTCGTAATTTGTCCCATTAATACAATAGAATTACAGTGTGATTGATCGTTGGCTGCAATCTTGTTATACAGTGGGCTGCGATGCAATTAAATGCGTTTGTTTGAAAGTCCTGCCATACAATGTACATACACGACATTTTGGCCCGGACTTGACATAGCCATGACCATCTAGTAGCCGGCTGAGAAATGAAGGCATATCGCCGTGCAGACACATTATTGATAGGTTTTTAATACATTTTCTTCATAGCTGGAATGCGGCGTAAGAAGAGGATGTTAGGAAAGAGGAGAAAGTGATCCTCACTCTTTAAACGACCTGTCCATCGTGCCGGCTGCTTGAAGCGCACATGTACACACACTGGCCAACATACCAAAGCCGGTTTTATAGCTACGCAATATACCGTCGATTGTCCGCTGTCTGCAATTCTGAATAGCTTGGGCGCTTTAAAGTAGGCATAGTTAAGGACTGCAGCGTCCATTAGGATTGTTGGCTGTCGAATACGCTGTACAGTACGGTTAAATGATGAGATGGGGGGCTTTGAAAGAATTCTCAAGTTTGTAGATAAAAGATGGGACAATCTGATACCTGGTCAGGCTGGAGGATCACAACACCGTAAGGTGGTTTGTTCTTAAATCAACACTTCATAGCTCAGACCGGAGCGGCTACCGGTAACTGGTGTGCCGGTAAAGAAGCCTCTTATCGCAGACACACGGCAAATATCTAAATGTGATCAAGTGCTGCTGACCAGAACATTCCCGGCCTCAATTTTCAAACGGTAGCACATGCGCATGCACCGCTGTACTCAAACTGGGTGTATTTACTTTTTCATTTAATTCTCCATAAAGGAACAATTTATGTCGGTTATGAAAAGGATTTGGAAATTAATTTTACATGTATTGAAAATATTCCTTAAGCGGGCGTAAGAGGTGCTATTTATTAAATGCCATTCAGTAATCGTTATATCGACTATTCTCATAAATCAGAATTATTGTGTAAAAGATTTCGCAGACAGTATTTTGTTTGTTGCAAGTCCAAATATCAAAAATGCAATTTTAAGTTGAGAATTATGTTGGATTTAAATTTTGTGGTTGGCAGACTGTGGAAGTCAGATGGTATCATTAATCCTTTTTGCCGGCACAAAAGAAAAGCTTTTAAGGGAAACATGACTTAACACGAAGCCAGCAATGCCGGCAGATTAGGTGCAGTGTAGCACAAATAATTTAAATTGACTGTTGCTCCACTTTTTGAACTGCAATATACTACTGGACTCCATATTCCGCCGGCATGGACATCCCACACTGACGGGCACACGGGATGTAATGTTCAAATAAGAAAAATGTTCGATGCTAGCAAAAAGAATTGACTATTTTTCCCCCACAGCGCGCACTCTTTTTGGCTGTAAATAATTCAGTTTCCGGGGAAATTGTATAATGGTCACACTTAAGTGCGCAACAAAAAACACTGACCCAGATTGTCTGTTTGCGTAACGAGGCGTAATAGTCGGTGGTACGACAACAGAGGGACCGGGAAAAAATGCCCCAACCCGGCAAAAATGTAAATTTCATGCCACTTTTCACAGTTGTAGCTCAGAGCAATGGATTAGCCTATATTTTCATGTCAATGCAAATTGTAGCATTCCCCCGTTGTTAAGTGAATGCAACGGCAGTACAAAGTGCATCTCGGTAATTACATTTGTCCAATGGACGTATTAACCCCTTACCGAAGGATCCGTAAATTCCAATTAGAATAGCAAAAATCCACATCTTCCTGTCCCAGTCCGTGCAGTGCAACAAAAACAAACGAGACCAAGTTTGTTCCGCCGAACTGGCCGGGTTTTTTTTCCAAACACGCGAGATTCAAGTCAAAAGCTGTGGTTGCCGGCAAATGTGATAAAGGGCACGCTGACCATTAGGGAAAATACGTGCAAGCGGGAAACTGTAAACTTTAAAAAGCAAATGCGGCGCAGATTTGTTAATGCAAATAGACGATAAGATCTTAAAATAACAGACTAGCAGGAACAGAGGCAATTACGTGATGGCCAAATGGATCCCAAGCGGCATCTGCTTGTTGTAAAAGCTGTTTGGCGGATCGTTTCGCAGCAAGATCGTGTCGAATGCGCACCCCGGCAGCCGTGGTCAATGTCTGGCCAGGGGCGGGGCTAGCGCTACATACTGTGCAGCATTTAAAGCGGGATGTGGAGGAGGAGTTTCCGCTGGTTTTACGCGCTGCTGTTCTACTCGTAGTACGGATACCATTCGAGTTTCCATAACATGGACATTGTAAACAGATCGTAAAATGCCCGGTAGTACCGGGCGGAACCAACGCCGCATTGTTAACGTTGAGATATTGCTAAATAGTGGCTGCCTATTTACATGACTGGGTAAAGTGTATGAACAACATACTAAAATATAATAATTCAACCTTTCACTTGTACTTTCAGTTCTAGTTTTTTAGTTTAGCGATGCTGCATAAAGTACAAATTTATAAATATAAGTATTTTCAAGTACAACATTTAATGATGCTAGAAAAGTGAGAAAACGTAACCGCTGTAGCAATAGAACTTTTAATGTGTTTCACAGTTCCATATTGTTCATGAGCACTTGTCGGATCAGTGCAAACTGCTCTATAAAGTAATTAATCGAAAAACAAGTTCTAACAACAAAACGCAATCTAAACTAAACACTCCATGAATTTTTACTGCCTTAAAATTTGAAAATCTTCACGCTTTTTGGCACACATCCTGCAGAAGTTTGAAGATAAAATGTTCGGGAATTGAAACACCGATTAATAATTAAAGTTGCGTTACTTATGTCGATGAATATTTGCTTTGTTTTGGCATGTACTTTTATGTGCAAGCTTCCAAATAAATAACATAATTACCAATACTAATCAGATTCAAGGAAATTATTTATGTAGAGTACACAACAAGGTCGCTAATTAAATATATTCTTTAGTTATAGCAACTTATAAATGAGGATCTATTTCTATAGTAACTCATGGGATCCCATGTGCAGGCTTGAAAATACCGGCAAGTTAATGCGGTATCGTATATAAAATAACTGTTCTTTAAATAAGGTCAACCAATGGTCAATTATTTCCATTATTTCCTGCACAAAGTTTAATACCACAGATTCACAATCTCGGCTGCGGCACACGGAGGGGGTTAGCATTTAAAATGCTTTTAATTCGCTGCGACAGCACCGTATAACGAAGGGTTTCCATGCTGGATCTATGTCAAATTTCCTTTCCCAGTGCCTGAACAATATACTGCACACTCCGTCAAGCTGGGTCAGAGCGGTGTGCAGTGAAAAGAAAGATAATTGTCAAATATAAAATTTTAATACGCTCATTTTTCTTCGACAATGGTCAGTTGGCTTCTGAGCGCTGATCTCATTAGCCAATGCACCACTGCGCTATAATGATCTGACTGTCCGCATGTTCAATAGCGCGGCGTTAGCATTCTGCGGTTAGGGACTACATTTTCCGCATGGATGGAAAAAATTTACAATTTTTGAATTTAACGAAATGTGCTTACGACTGAGTGTGACTGACAGAGACAGCGCCTTTTTAACCGAGGAAGCACAGTTACGGAGTGTGGCATGCTAATCAGTATTGTCTGCAATGTCTGACTAATTTGAAATGTCACTGACGCAAAGTTTGACTTCGACCGGCACATGCACAAATTTAGAACAAAACCCAAAGCATTCTGGACAACCACAATTCTGTTTGCACTGCATACTGACATTAACGTACAAGCAAAATCATTACGAACTTGAATACTCAAGCTATATAGTTATTCGTTTATAGATATCTGTATTACAATATAAGTAAAAATATGAATAGAAGTATGTCTGTCTGGCATATTATGCAGCAGCGCGCGCAGATATCAGACGTAACATACGAACCAAAGAATGCGTTTCGCATGCATTAGATTCTGAGTTCTACAATCAATTTTAACTGTTCCAGTAGAAACTACCAACATGAATTTTTCATACGAAGATGGCAAGACAATGTACACGCATAATTTGTTTTTACATGAGGTACGATTTTTCTCGTTCGTCATTAACGCTGGTGATGCTACCCACCCATATCCGTCCAGAAATGGGTGGGTAGAAAACCATGAAAAAGTTTAGATTTTTCGTTATTATTTCTTTATGATATAGCATTCTTGCATCCTGTTATACATATACAGGATGAGCTGGAACCTGGAAACGGCTGTTCTCTGTATTCGATTTGAATTCCAGGCTAGCTCCCCGACATCTTATTCTGTTATTATACTGCCGTGGCGAGATTAAATCTAACCGAACGTTGGTGAACAGGAAATGGGACCTACGTAATACCGGTATATCCCGGTATGTAGAGCAAAATTACGAAACTTCGTTTGGTCTCACAACTGCAATCGTTAAAACCATCAGCCTGCATAGTGCATAGCGTTGTAAATTGTGGCGTTCTGGTTCTGCTTGCTAAATGTATAAAGCAGCACCTTCATTTCAACGGTTGCGCGGGGCTGAAAGACCGGACAAATAAACAGTTAAAATGATTATCCAAAACTGTCAGTATATTTCACAGCGGCACTAAACCTTCTGATTGTGAGATTAGCTCAATAAATTGAAGATCCTGTGACGCGAATTTATGCGACCGCCGGTTAAATATGACTAAACTGTCGCCTTAAGAGTTAAAAGGAGTCGGAAACGTACAGTGTGCCGCATGTATACGGTATTGGCACGCCGAAGGAATCGGGATAGGACAAAACAAACATCACCGTCGGGCACTGGAAACATTCGGAAAAGACGTTGTCCGGAAGGTACTGGAGGGAAAAACGATCCAAACCGGATAATGATGGCTGTGGGTCGGTGCTCCATGAGGCGGCAAGGAATACGATGGGGTAAGACTGAGTGTGACTGCTGGAGCAAAATGGCAGTGAGACGGGTGGAGAATGTTACCGCGCGCCAGAAGAAAGCAGAAAGCAGGCAGATGCGGCTACAAACAGGTTGAAGGCCCTGGCTTTATGGAGCAAGTTATTCAGAGCCAGGACCAGTGGACGGGGTGCGACTAAGGTTGACCTTTTATATATCGGTCTCTTCAGTATGAAATTCCAGTACGCCGAGTTTTCTGGTTTCTCAATATGTGTTTTCAATATGCCTTCTATGTTGGGTTAGAGAACCGACTTATGAGCAAAAAATTGTGAAAGCAAGCTGCTATTATAATCAAGCGGGCTTGTAAAGAGGAGAGTTTTTTATTAAACTTATGACATTTGATAGTGTCTGTAACGTAAAGTTTTTATTCACATTTTTATTCACTTCCGTCTTGCAATCACAATATCTTTTATGGATCGCTACATACATAATGATTTTTTTCGAGATTGTCGGTATATTTACAAAGTCGTAATCCACACGAAAATAAAACTGTTAATGCATTCTGCAAACAGTCTCAGGATAAATTGATTGTAAAAGTTTTAAAAACTTGTATCTACATTGTAATTGAGAAAATTAATAAATTAAACGGTACCGCTGGAAAGCCAACCGTTAATAGAACGATGCCGGTGAACACGTGGTGGACGAGGCACTCTTACATTTGCTGACCAGATTTTCCTGTGCATATCGGAAATCATTCATCGCCGCCTGGGGTCGCTCAACAAAATCGCACGGCGGCAGATCGTAGACCCACGGGTTGTAGAGCATATCAGCCGCACCCAGACAGTAAAACTGTAGCCGATCATCGACAATATCTCGAATGATCTTGTCCTCTAGCGGTGTGATATCCTTCGGCATCTTTCTTGTCCACACAGAAATTCCCGGCAAGTCGCAAGTCTCCGCGGTTAGGGTGTCGTTAGCCGTGAAACAGTAAGATCTAATGTACACAAAATTCGGATCCAGGTACAGCTTGTAGAAATTTCGATTGGATCCTGCAATGTCATCGCTATTCAGTACTAACTGATTTGCCGCTGAATTGTATGATTTTGTTGACCTTCTTCGCCGGTGCCCAAACCACCAAAATATCCGAATGCTATACAGAATCCGTTACAACTGGTGTTTTGTGTTCCATAAGCCGCCCAGCAGTTGTACGGTGGAGTGTCTTGGCGAGCAGTGACGTGGAAAGACTGTACATACACCATCTGATCCGAATCACGTCTCCATCCAATTCCGCGATTTTCTTCTACCGGATTGGTAAGGTTGACTAAGGGAATGTTTTTTGGTCCGTACATGTACTGATACCAGATACCTAAACTCTTAAAAAAATAGTAGGAAGTAACTAGACGGAACTGCAGTTTATGTCGAAGATCGTCAAATTAGAATTCTTACCGCTGGACTATCCCAGGCATATCCGCTAGGTTTACTCTGCTTGCATTGTGTTTTGTAGGTATTACTGCTAGTAAGCTGTGCTGCCACAAGACTAATTGTCATGACAGCGATGAGCGAAGAGGATAGAAAAAGCTGGCACATCATCTTGATACGTCGTAAGCGAAAAAAAACGAAAGAGCCGAGACTGGATAAAACGGAAAGCAAAATTTCTCTTTTTATTGAATAGCTCCGTTCGTTCTTGATTTTATGATAGGTTGGACTTTAAACTTGGTGATCATAGAAGTATCGCAATAAATCAGTAATTAGGATATCCATCTTTACACCTTAGTCTTGAATCATTGCCGCAATCAATCAAAACTTTCATTGTAGCCATTCTCACCAACGGAACCGTTAAATTATTCTAAAACGACAGCTATTAGCCTTATAACTCCTGCTTGTAAACGGTGTTTACAAGATTGGGTGATTATTATGCAGTGTCACCATCGCGTTGTTCGTTAGCTTTGTACTCTAGAATAGGTGTTAGCGGGTTGTGGTTGGCAGTTAGCCTTTAATTAATCGGAGTAAATTTATCTCGTCATTATAAGAGAGATATATAATATGTTCGAGTTTTTAGCAAGTTGCGTCCATCTCCCGCCCATTCTGTTTTAAAATTTTTTTATACATACACATGTGCGTCTTAAGTAATGTTGTTTTACGATAGGTGCCGTCATCTGGTGGATAGTAGAAATAGAGTTATATCCAGCTGGAAAGCTAACAACTTTCTCAACTGCAAAGGTCATGACATCAACGTTAATTAGCGAAAGCCTTATAGAAATGCTGAAAGCCGTGTAACAATATCTATATATTGAACTGTATACGCTATTAGAAGGAACCTGGCATCCGAAGTTCATGCCTTTTAACAAGCTAGACACCCTTTTTAAATCTAGGTATAACTTCAAAAATCTGCATTAAAATTTATGTGGTTATTATTTATTAATAAATGCTCCATTCGCAATTTACAGTGAGAAACGATGTGAAAATAGATGTGATTTGGTCAATCTTGGTTTCTGCTGGCGTTTAGATATTTGAAATATCTCATATTTGATCATATTTCCAATCATTCTAAACAACAAAAATACATAATACGTGAGTCATGACGCATGAATTTGATCCTCTGATATGGTAAACGTTGTCTGGGTAGCAAGAAGAATAGCATCCAATAACAAGGAAATGACGAATTTTGGACTGACCGAGTTCTTACTTGTTAGTGTTAAGTTATGACAGATAACCATCTCAACTGCCACAAATCAGAGAAAATGCGTATGGCGAATTCCTGCAGATGCGGAAAACGTTGTTAGCATGGATAACTTACCAAGTGCATTTCGTTTCTCGCTGTATGTTTAAATGCTATGCGGACTCACTGGACTACTTAATTTTCAGAATGAAAAAAGTGTGCGTTTTTCTGATCGCCCTGGGAGCACTGCTGAGAGTGGCAGGTAAATCCACAATAATTATTGTTATTTTAAGTATGAGTGCTTACTTTTAATTCGAGTGCGCAAAAATTCCAAGTAGCATTGGTTTTTTCTGAATATTGGTACAGGGATGTTGTATTTTTGTCTGTCTAGCTATAGGATCACCGGATGTTAATTCCGCCCCAGTTTTCACCATGCGCTATATGGGGCATTACATCAAAGTTTTTCAAACGGTGACAGCGAACTCTACCGATCCAACATTCTATTACACTCCGACTTGTATGCTTTTTCCAAACATATCTTCCGTTAAAGAATCCCCGAATCCATCCATCACTATCAGGATTGGTCTTTCCGATGAGGATTACCTTCATAATATCAGTCAATTTATTGCTCAACGAACTGGAACCAAGCATCCACATTTGCTACCGATTCCTTTTCGATGGATGCGCATTGAGGGCTTCGATAGTAACCTTCGACCAGCCTACATAAAAGACTTGGGGAAAAGTGTTGACAAATATCCTGACACAATTTTATTCCGCATTCAGTGTGTATCGCTCACTGAATGCAACCAGCTGGCGGAATCAATGAAAACCGATAGTGAACATTTTGCATCAAACTTGCAACTAGCCTTCTCTTATCAAAAACCGAACACATCGAAATTATTTATCACTATCGAAGCCGACCACGTGCATGCTTCCGTGACCTTTTCGGCCATCAGTGAGCGTTTTCCGGATGCCAGTTACGCTTTCTTACAGAAGGCTGATCTCGACGATCTCGTTCGAGAGACCGTAATGAAAAGTATCGAATCCTCCTTGGAAAGCGATGAATTCATGGACACTGGTCAGATGGACAGTATGATACGTCAGGTTTCCGGAAAGATGCGGCATAATGTGACATCAACGGTTCATTTTACAGAAGCTGATTGGCATGTGACCTTTTGGCATGATGAAAATAAGCGGCCGGATGTCAAAACACGTCATTTGGAGGCGTTATTTAGTGACGGAATGAACTGGTTGCAACGGGAGGTATCACGAGACAACCTCACGGAGGCAGTGGCCGAAGCGCTTGACGAACTGAAAAGAGGAGTGGGACCGGTGAAACTGGACGGGAAGCGAATTGTTATCAGACCAATGAAACTGTATTGTATTGATCTCGCTAAACTTCGTGGACAGCCGGGTTTAGGCAGTTTCAGTCCGCTTGTAACGAAGAGCATTGCTGATTATTCGTCTTACGCACATTCTATGACCCACGTCAATCCAATGAGCGCTGTAAACGTCCGCAGTGATAAAGAAATTCAAAACCACTCCCATGGTGACATCACGTCCGTCGAGCGTCAGTTGAACGAAACTTTTGAAAGACGATTACAAGCCTTCCAAAATTATTTTGAAGCCAAACTGCAATTAGCTGTCAACAAAAGCAAGGCAGTTGCACATGTTTTGAGCTTGCTAGAAGAGACCATGCAGCGGGTGACACAACTGGAAGCCAATATCACCCAGGCATTCCATCTCAAGGAAAATGATAGCGGATTGCAGTCTGCATCAGAAGAACTCAAACCACTATTTTACATCCGAAATGACAGTCTGGACGAAATTGCTCAAAGAATAAACCAGATGGAAACGAGAAACGAAGGATTACTCAGCAATACAACTGACCTTGCTAATATGTACGCATCATTACAGAGGAATGTTTCGTCACTGGCCCGGAATTTGGATGACCTCGCCGAGAAAGCAACTCCCCAAGCCAGTGCAATAAGGGAGTTAAAGAAAAGTGCTGCTTTAATGGAAAATAAAATTACGTTAGTCAACCAGACCTGTGAGGCCAATAGTTTAGATCTCGCTGCGATGGTAGGCCGATTTCTTCCAATCACTGCACAACTGCAGAGCCTCACGGAAAGAAGTGACAACCTGATTGCAGTGAGCGCTGGAAGCGACTCGACCAAAGTACCGATTGGATCCATTGTTGCATTTACGTCTGTGGGCGGGATGAATTCCTGTTGGCTGGAATGCAACGGAGCCTACTTTTCTACCAATAGTTATCCCAAATTGTACAATGTTTTAGGCAGCACCATCCTGCCGGACCTTGGAGGACGCTTCCTGTTAGGACGGAATTATCGGCACTCAGTCGATTCCACAGGTGGAGAGGAGAGTCATACTTTAACTGTTGCAGAGATGCCCCAGCACAGTCATGCTGCCGCTTACGGCGGTGAATTTATGGATATGAGTGGCAAATATGGTTTTGCAAGGTATTCTGCACGCTCGTTATACTTATCTGAGAGCACAGATAAGGTTGACACGAACCGCAATACGGCACGTACCGGCGGTGGCTCATCACACAACAACATGCCACCATATCGGACCGTAATGTTTTTTATCCGTGCGTGTTAACAACTGCTCTAGTTTGAATGGCTTGTTTTCGTTTTAAGTCGCTCACGTAGCTAGGTTTAAAAATTCGAGTGGAAATTTTTATGAACCGCCTGATTTAACATTTTCAGATGGAATTTGGTAGTACTAGTTCCCGGTTCGCCAGGTAGCACTTTTTTGACGTGTGTTGTGCAGACCCGAGACGTGACGGCGACAGTATGTTTAAGTAGAGTTATCGCGCAATGTTTGACGTTAATTGGTACGTCTGGAGTACGTAGACTACGTAAAATTACAACGAAATTGTTACAATTAAAACGCATCCGTCCTGGCTCCGTATTTTGATGGTGCTCGGCACATCTAATCCATGAATGCCTTTTTATGAAATCGAACCGGGGTTTGTATTTGTGACCTTTTTAATAAATTTTTATGCGCTTTATACAATACGAGGAGAAGCACAATACACTCTAGCTATGAGCAAGATAAACTAGGAGCATAACATATGTTAAAGGGCAAGAATGAATTCATAGGGATAAGTGACGGATAACATTCTGAGCAAACTAAATAGATACGTACTGAGAAGGTACTGTGAATAGGTACTGCGAATACGACAATTTATTGCCATTTGTGTGTTTCATGAACATCGAAATATTCATTTGAGTACAGTTGTACAACGCTTTATACATGAGGCGAAATCTCGTCTTGTACACCTTCAAGAAGAGCAAACTCGGCGGTATTATTGTACATCGGCTCCCGCCGATCAGCAGCAATGTAACGAAATATTACAAGTGGAACTACCATCACTACCGCACCAAAAGCAAACGAAAATCCTGACCACCAAAAAACTGTTACAGAAAATACCGTTGCAAAAACAAACGAACCAAACAGCGGCATGACTGCCTCGTACGCCGCAATGATGGACATCATCTTTCCGCGTTCACCAGCGTCAACCAAATTTGACAGCAGTGATCGGATGGCCGTGAACTGCATTCTGCATGGTGCTCCAATAATGACAAATATGAATGCCATCCACGTTTTTGTCGTCATCGAAAGGATGATGAAGGAAAGAATTGTAGATAAAATTCCGGTGGTGCCAACAGTGAAATCATTTAACTGCAGCATCCGTATAAGAAATGGCACACCAATCATCATGAAAATACCTAGAATAGGCATGGTTAAAGAAAGGTGACACAAATAAAAGTTGGGACTGATTTGAAACTGTTACCGCCAATTATATCGCTCATAGCCAGCAACATTGCGAAGTTTTCCATTTTCCAGTTCAATGGAGCTGTTTCGAAAAATAGCTGCTGAATGGAACCTGCGCCTGGAATATTAACATTAACGGCTTTACACACGTGATCTTCTTGAATCTTCGGTAAAACGCAGTTCAGTTCCATTACGAAATGGGCGCTCGTTTAAATTGTCGCAATAAACATTTTGTTGTACAAATAATCGCGACAATAATTTAAGCGTTTCGTGACCTCTAACCTTGTACGCAAATATGACCGATCACTGCGCTTATGATCAGCAGAAGAATGTGCTTCGATGTTCCCCCAATACGATCTCTAACCAGCAGATCCTTGTTTGCTTTGAGATTCTGTGTTGTAAACACCAGTGCCAATCGATTTTTTGCTGGTATTTCTGATTGCTTTGCCCGGTTACCCACGGCCAGTGCAATGTATGAAATCGCCAGTGCGAAACACATGGTGTACAAAATGATGGGAAACGGAAATCCAAATGTACGATACAGGACGCCACATGATAATTCGGCAATGCTTCCCGATAGGAACATTGTCCCATCGAAGATGGCGATATTAGCAGCTAGCTCCGTTGGATTACAATGGTCACCTAAATAGCTGTATAGCGCAGCACCGGCCATGGCGAATCCGCCCAGAGAAGTCTGGACCAATGAGAAGAGCAGAAACGCTGCAGGGTGCGTCGGGACGTACGCTAATACGGTGAGAATGATACCGCCCAGCAACATTCCAAACGTTGGAATCTAGTAACCAAAAAATATACATAATTACATTCTAACCATAACAGCGACAAGAAAAACCACGAAGCGTGGGGAAATGTTTACAAGTATCGCTCGTTTGTGTCCGAAATGGTCGCTCCATGATCCTGAAAATGCAGTATCCTATACATGTATAATGAATACCATAGTAGTGTAATGTGATCACTTATATGATATACAATGTATATACATATATATACTAAATATACATAATACTAGTTTTAAAGTTTAACATGTAGAATGTGCTGTTTTATACAAATATTTTTTTCGTTACATATTTTCTAATTAATGATACCTGTGAACACAGCAAACAACAGGCTCGGTAGACTGACACCGATTTTCTCCAGAAAGATGTAATGAGCCGTGCTGGAGCTCACTAGATCATTCTTCTTCTGATGAAGTCCATCCGTCAGGTTTACGCATATATTATGCGGGAATTGGTACACTTCGGCACAGACCTATATTTAGGCAACGAAACATGAAACAATTAAAAAAGAATAACTGCAAATGAAGTCTTACCCGCAGTTTTATTAGCTCGGTTAACACTGGTCCAATTATTCCAAACTGCAATCCAAATAAAAAAGCAGCCGGTGACAGTACGGCGGAAGGCCGATAAGGCGAAAGCTTATTCATTGTGCGCCGCAATCACGAAATCGACAAGAGCAGCTAAATCTGGTTTTTGTAATTCGGCCAATTAATATGGTAAAATGTACAGAAAGGTAAATCGAGTGTTATCTGTCTTGTTCAAGTAAAGATGCCGCATAAATCATGTACAAGGCATGTTTTAGCGAAATGCTAAAACATTGGTAAACCATGGAACTTTGAGACATTTTAACGAGAACACTTAAGCGATAAGAATGGATGCTCCGATAAATTTAAGATCGCAGATTCGCAGTGGTTCTACGTTGCTGTCTACGACATGTATTCAAATCTGCGAAGCATGATTACAGTCTGTAAAGAGAATCTGGAAATTGCGCAATCGGCTACGCATAAAGTGTAAGAAGTTCGTATTGTGCAATCGTAAAGGATGTGCAAGAATATTTATAGCCACATAAAATTAATATTTTCCCGCTGGCAATCTTACGGCCGACACGACCAAACTGCACGTGTACATATACGAGTATACAGTAATTAAGACTCGGTTCTTCAAAATGTTTACAGCCACGTTCAAATGCCACACCTATACTCTGCAGCAGTTAACTGGAACGAAAAGACTGCACATGCATGTGCTTGATGTTTACTTGCAATTACAGATCTCGTGTGCGATATTTTAAGGTATATACGCGTTCGACACGGTATTGTAGTAATCAAGTCAATCTTACGTCAAACCAATTTTACGGGCGTGTTAACCTGTAGAACCATGAATCATCCAACTGAAACTTGGCAATAACATATCGTAACTTCGATTCAGATTATTCAATACATTACACGGAAGGTCGAAAATAAAAAGTGAGAATTAATATAGTTTAAGAAAACCGTTTGTTTATATGCATGACGCGAAACACTTTCCGCAGTTTACAAAGAATCGTTTATGTGGCAAACAGCAGACAAAATATCCATGATGTCTACAATATCTATATATTGCCCAAGCGTATGCATTTGAATGAACTTTATGTATAATCGGAAGAAGGATTGTTACAAAAATTATGCAATGCCGATTGTTACTGAGTACTCTCAAATATAAAATGTGAGAAGTCACCAACGGTATTAATATTATTTCTTGAGTATGTGGTACCGTGGGACTGCATAATGTACATTTGGGTGTTGCATGAAGGTCATCATGGAAACCTCAAGAGGCCACGTGAATGTCGCAAAACACAGTAAATAAACACAACCCAACTCCCATGAGACACGGAAAAAATTATTATTAATAAGAACCATTTGCCACTACAGTAGGAGGAGCTATGTCATTGAATCCCGCGATATACTGGTTCAGGCATGAAGGAGCACCTATAAAGTCGCACGGGGCTTTATTGCTGGGAAAAGCCTGCACAGGAATGTCGCTGGCAGAGCATCCGAAAGGTCGGAAAAGTGGAGTAACGATATCGTTGTCGACATGGTCTTTTTCGCTTTGTGACCATTGCGAGGGATCGTTGTGACCCACGACAATTACAAATGGGTCGTCACATAATCCGGGCTTCAGACTGGGAGTTGTGCACGCATAATACACCTCGTATTTTGTGTCGTAGTAAAGGGTCACCACACGGGATGGCACTAAAAAACGAATGTGAAAGCAAATAAATCGGGCGGAAACTGACTAGGCGCGAAGTTTGGATGCGTATAAAACTAAATAAATCATATTTTATTACATTACATTGTATTTCTCCACCGCCGGGAACCGGTGCAAAGCTCAGACCGACGCTCTGTCCATTTGTGGCCGCAAAACCCGACCAAGAGCCATGACTGCACTGTGTAGAGTTGATATTGTCGTACTGGACAAATTCCAACCATTCAAAATTTCCTGTTAAGTTGGTTAACGGCAATATGGAGTTTCCCAAAACATGTCGGAAATATCGTGGGTGCACCGATGCAGCTTGAAGAGGAAACAACTGCCGGTAAACCCATGCGATTCCACCGATCTAGAAAAATTAATTACAACCAGATGAAAAGCGATGACTGGTGTGATCGTAAACTAAACCGACCGGCTTCTTACTTTGTTCGTATCGTACGAAAACGTACTGGCTGGTGGTATATAAAGCGGCCATATACACGCATTTGCGCCGGAGTTCGATGAACCAGCGGAAGCCGCGGAACCATAAGTTGTTGTGCCGGCGGTTGTGGTCTGAACGGCTGTGACAAAAGTGTAGCATTAGGCGTGATGACATTAGCGCATAATATTTTCCGTACCTGTAGTGTTGCTGGGTACGGTTAGGGCGGTTCCGTTTATCAGTCCGCTGAGACATGTTGGTGGATTAACAAGCGGACATGTTGGTTTACTGGTGTCATATGTTTGCAGCGGCAGATCTTGGGTGGTAATGCAGTATGGCTGAAATGTTGTATTAATGATACTGTCAAAATTGGCTTTATCACTGGCCGACATCTGGTCCGGTCGGGTGCGGGTCTGCGCCCAGATCATGGGAGTGTCACAAGTCCCATCCTGCTTCGGCTTATAACAGCCGTAGCCAATCATGATTTTCTGATAGTCATGGTACAAAACCGAATACGCTTTTAATCCTGTTAAAAAAATCACGTTAAAGTTCATTGTAGGTGCCACCCCATATATTTGTGATGTCGTACAATACATACGGTTGATCGTGTCGGTTGACACCGCGTCGAAACCAACTTGCATGCCGTTATTGGCGTAAATCCCAGTCCAGTATTCGTTTACACATTGGCCGGTACTTGGCGTCGCCCATGTCAGCTGCATGTATGTGCCGATGCCGGATGAGTTGGTGAAGGGTTCGGTGGTTGGACCGAAGCTAGTGATGACAATATTTTGGTTCTGCGTAACATCACCGTTCTGCCGGTAGCTGAACCAGGTTCCGGCAGCCTGTTACGAAAATACTCGTACTATGAGGAATATTAGAAGACGGAAATCCTTTGCAACAGAATAATTACAAAAATCAAACTTAAATATAGCGTAGTACTAAAAATCAAATATGTACCAACCTGTGCCGCGGCGTCGCCTCCAGGGGGGTTGATCAAAGCCGGATATCGACGGGAACATGATTGTCCAGTGGTCACCACGGCATGCACTAAAATCAATTTAGAAAAAACGTGTGCAGTTTATATCATAACCGTAAGTAAACCACCTACAGGTGTGACTTTTAAGTAGCAATAAATAATTTTTAAGAAAATTGTGAAAAATCGACAAACTGACCTGCAATTATAATAGTGATTAGTAAAACGACTGTCATTTTTTACGCAAGCTGATGGTTTCGAAAAACGTATTTCGCTGGTCTAAAAGCTTGCGAAATCATGGTTTCCTTGCTTTCTCGGTTTTGGTTAACCCCTGCCATAAATGCGCGGTGCTTCGGGCACCGGCTGCAACACAATCTGTCAAAAGCGCAGAAGTCACAGTTATAACCGAAGATTTATTTTCGTTATCACATTAGTAAAGTGGCGAACGTTGTTGAATTCAGTAAACAAAAAGAAACTGACCAGTCAGAGGTCGCAATACAAGAAGCAGACCAGGTAATTGTAAAATTATGCAGCAAACATGTGACATATTAGGCTTAAAAATGTCATATGTTACTCATAAATCACCGTCTGCTAAAACGGCTATAAATACGGTAATACTGGTGCTGGTTTGATTTTACGCACTTGATTGCTTTAATGTACGTACAAGGCATTTGTATGGACTACTACAGCATTCGTGGGAGTATTTGTTGATAACCGTTTACAAATTATCAATATCGAAGAAACTACCAGAGATCTGCAATTTAAATTGCTAATAATTATTGTGGGTAAAAAGTAAATTAAGCAGTTAGGCACTTACAATAAACGTCATACTACTACGCCCATCAACACACGTTTATATTCTATAACAAACTCGGATGCGGTTCGTATCCCGCCGCATGACTTGCGGCGGGATACGAACTACATCCACTGCACTGCAGTGGAATAAGCGCACACTTGTGCAACTGCCTACCGGCGTTTTCTGGGCATCTGAAATTGGACTTCCATAATCGAGATCGTTCGCGCCTTTTGTCTCGACACTGAGCATACTACGTAGCACTTGTGGTACTGCCATATTGATAACACGGGAATAAAGCTCCACTGGATGGCGCAAAGGGAAGCAGAGCACTCTTTAACCCATGCCCCCGTTTATTTACCACGAGAATTAAATTTTTAACGCGAGGGATATGTACAGACACCCTGTGTCCCGCGGTACGAGGGACGAATCGGGGAAGCGTTTTTTTAATGATCGTAAACTTGAATAGTTCAGTGTTATGATTTCGTGATCCATTAGCTGCAGCTCAGCGACACACCGGCCAAGTACAACAGTGCGTGTCTAATCCGATTCCGGTTCACTGGCAGCTCACACCGTACTTTATTGGCTCCTCCCTGTTTGCGGCTTTCAATCTCCTGTGTATGTGTGCTGTACATGTGTGTCTGTTAACGGACTACTGGAAGTTTTCTCCCCATTAATTTGTACGGTTTCCTGTGATGGGGAGACGGCGCCATCCGGGGAGCAGAACCCAGTCACTGGCAACCTTAAGGCAAATGTTGTAATTGTTTGCCGGTCTGCATGCTGCCACTGTGCGCCTGAGCATAAGGCTGTAGATTCTTTTTATTAGCGGCCTTACATAATTGCGCGGCCTCATATTATTCTGCCCCGACAACAGCTGTGTAATCGTCGCGCTGGACAGAGAGAAACTATCTGGATTAAGTTAACAAATTTTTCCGGATTAATTGTGTGTTGAGCGTGCTCGGTACGCGAAAGTTTAGACGATGTAGTCCTGCGCGGACAGTCTTGCTTCTCATTGTTTTAATAATTAACTGTGTTATTTTATCTGGAAACATAATGTGATTTTACCGGTAAGTGGGAGAATTTTTAAATTTGGCAGTAAAGTTTCAAATGGCATAATTCACCGTACAGATATAGATGGTCAGACGTTATTATACAGCGGTTTTTCTACTTGCTTAATTTAATGCGGATGTTTTACAAAATTTGTATAAAGTAGATTTACCTTTGCCAAGGATTTTGCTTGAATGCGCTCATAATGTTAAATTAAAACCCGTATTATTAAGCTATGTGGCAGATAAAAAATTACATTCGCCAACCACTTGATGGTATTATCAGGCTGAACAATATCACGACAGCGGTATTTTCAACTGCCGCATATCTTTCGACTACTGGGTAGGGGTATGTTATGATCACTGTATCTGTATGCCGTTGTAAATATGTTTAAGCACATATTTACAATAATGCATACCTGTGAAACCTAGCTAGTATCAATTAGTAATGACTAACGAATGCTATTAAATGACCAATCAGTGTTTATGCTGGGAAATTGTGCAAAACATTTGAAGTGATGGCAATGCACATATCTGTTTGCATATTTCTTAAAGATACAACAGTATAAAGCACTGCTAACATGCTTTGTAATTTTCGCATTGTTAGTCGAATTTTCCCCGACCCGTCCTGCTCAGGTAAAAAGCTAACATTTTTCGCCGGAAGGAAATGATTTCTGCATCTCTTCCGATGAAAAATATGTATGGGACAGCAAGTAGAATTGATTAAACATTAATGGGTAGACGTGAGAAATACACAATTTTGCGACCACTAGCGCAATCGTGTTAATAATATACTGTAATCAAGAATCGCGTTTGCCGGGGTGATGCCGAACAGCCGTGGTTTTGTGGAATATGGCCAGTGTAGTGTGTTACGCGTCAACGTGCTAAGTAGCACTAAAAACAAACTATCGATTTTTTTCGCTTTTGATTTGTTATATTATCCAGGAAATAAGAGAACTGCAGCGTGCGTTAGTTGAGCTATCAAAAGGATACTAAAATTAATGTGGCTCTTCTCGTAGTCATTTGTTTATTTGTCCCACTGTCGAGATGGCGGCGACCCACTTCACTACTGTTTTTGACAAGTTAATAACGCCAAACCAGTTATTGCGGGCGATGAAGGATAACCGGAAATTCAGTGTCAAGTCATAAAGCAATATATATGTATTTACTAACGTGATGCTGTGAAAATCGACGCAGATACAAATACACGAAGAGCAAAGGCTCGTAAATAACCATTGTGTATCATAGGTGCTGTGTTGAGATGATACGCAAACGTAGGAACACGGGTAGCTCGAGAAAATTAATTGTATGCCGACACAATTCCAGCCTATATTGTCGAATAATATGTGAAAAAACACCTTTGGGAGGTGCGCATTAAATGCGCATTTTATTAAAGTTTTACAATAAGGAATGTTTTCTCTCACGCCAGAGCAGTAAAGCAGGTTGTGTTTACAGGTACCATGCAGCGCGCCCTCTTTGCATTATTATCATGCTTTGCTGCATGTGGTCAAATTAGTTGGTTTTAGATTGTTCCCCTGCTCACAACTCATTTACGCAAGCTTATGTTTACAGACCATAATTAATGAGCGGAAATAAGCTGCCAGTGGATTTTCCAAAGTATCGCCAAAGTGTCAAACCATGAGTAAACATAATATGGAGTCTGCAAAACATTATACGCTTTTCTAGTAACTCGAACCACTGAGGATGAAACACTGCAAAGACACGAAATCGATCACCTCCAAGTAACATGTATTTGTATACTGACTATACTAAAAAATTTGACGAAGTCTACAGCAGCAGTTTCTAAGTATCGGGTTCGTCGGTTTGATAAAGGTCAATATTTGATGCATAAATATGGCTCAAGCTTACGCTTGTCACATGATCTTTGAGCGGCGTATCTTCGATCTGGCATCTCAACTACAATAAATATCAACGTTTTTGTTGAAAATCAACGTGGACAAAATCAACGTTTTTGAAATTTCGTGTTAGAGTTAAATCTACCTAAAAATTGAAGAGAAAATATCGATGTACTTACTGCATGTATATAAGGAACTTTTCAAAACGAAAGCCTATTAAAGTTTTACCATTTTTACAACGGCGCTTTTGTATAGTTGTATCCAGTCCTTCCGTCATATCATGTGCTTGCACAATGGTAACCTGTTTTACAAAATTGCATCACATTTATCATGAAATTTGTATTAATCGTCATATCGCAGTAATCAATACTTTACAGAAGATTTATTTCTTTTATGCGAGACTAGTGTAAAACCAATCCGTTTTGGCAGAAAAAGAAACTACCGGAAGCAGCTATTGTGTCACAGTTTGTATTGTGACTGCTCAGACGAGGCAAATCACGTCATGCATGAAAGATTCACAGTATCGGTGTTGGCGAGCCACGGGTATTATTCTTATGGACAGTGTTGATTATTTTTAAATAACTATGATGAATGGGACGATTAGCGGTGGTTAATCCATCTAACCCTGAATAGCTAGTACAGCGCTACCGCCCCCGAATGCCCCACTGCTGCGAAGTTATTTCCTCTGACAGCCCATCACAACCCATTCCCCGATTATTTAAGCCGCGCGATGCTCTTCTCACACGCAACTGACGTGAGAATAACTCCCGGAACCTGGGATTTACCTAAGCTGCGTGCGCTACTAATTTGGATGCTGTGGCATGCGCCGGCCGTGCTGTACATACGAGATTAATTCCACCGGTCGATGCACTTTTTGATGGATGTATTTAACGGGATGAGGCTGGAAATAATTCCATGCGTGACTGTTTTCAACCAGTGTGCTTACGTGGAAAAGCATAGGCGTTTTTGGGAACAATAAGCACGGCTTAAGCCAATCCAATTTTCTCATTCGACGTTTCTGCCCTTGCTGGCTCTTTTAACAAATCTAATCCGCTGCAGACTGTAAATAACACTAATTTTTCAACATACAACTGTATCCTCTTTAAAACACGTAAACGAATTTGTTCATGATTTTTTTCACAAGTAAAGAAAGCGACTATTTTCTTTGTTTTGACGTGTAGGTAGCTGTAAATTAATGAACGCTGTTTTTCATAAGTTATTTCTGACCAGCAGCGTTTTTATAAAGTCTTGGAGAATTAATTTTCCAAACCGCTAGAAATAAGTATATAATCGATGGTTCCCTGGCGCGCAAACGTTTACCGCGAGGATGACGTTTGAATGATCAAACAGTCTTTATATATACCGGCAATGTTTTTATGTTCCTGACTTCATAAGTTATGTAATCCCCGTGGTTGGGAGCATGAATAATTCAATTGTATTTCGCTTCAGTTAGCGATCTGTTTGCCCCGCAGTCTTAACCCGCCGACAATGTGACTTCGTTGTAGATCTCCGGGTGAAATTGGATTATGGAAGATGATTTGCCATCGAATTCAGATGGATTAACATCCAATAACAAATCACTCTCGCTCGTCCCGGCATCGCCGCTGCCTGATGCTGTGGACGCCGCCGCGTATAACACCACCGCCACCACCACCGTACCGGCAACGCCCGTCTCCCTGATCGACACGAACACGACACTACCGTTAACCGGCACCGATGACACATCGACCATCCACTGGACGTATAGTGTACTGGGCCGGCGTCTCCTCTTCCGGCCCTTCTACAAACCCGAGTACAAGGATGCCGAAGATTACTATCAGAAATCATACGACCCGCTAACCGGCGTACGGGTGGCGGTGGCGTTGGGCGGCCTGATGTTGTTCATTTGTGGTATTGCCGTGTATAATCGTTATGGATTCTTTCGCAAACGCCGGCGTCTGCATGTCAGTTTGCGTAATTCCCAGGAACAACTTGAAGGAATCGAGTGGCTGAAAGTGATAGGATTTCATGAGACTTCCCTGGCTTATAATCCCGTTTGCTCAGATCAGGATTTACCCAAGAGTCCGCCGTGCAGTGCCAGTACGGCGGCGGATGTCGTGATCCACAGTGCGGCACCGCAGCAGCAGCCGCAACACAGCTGCTGGCAGCCGGAACGTGATGGTAATACTACTGGGCCTGTTAAAGATCGATTAATAGTGGAAAATGAACATGCTGACGCGCGCTGGCCCCGTTCGGAACAGCGGACGTTTAATGCGCTACCCGTTGTTAGCAACTTTCCCAAGCGTACAAAAACTATCAACTACAAGCAAACGCTGCCATTGTTGCGGCGCACAAATAGTTTTTGAAGCAGTGCAGTGGATGTGTTGGGAAACCAATTGAAAGCATGTATAGTGTTCTATTATTTTGAATTAAACTACGAGACGAGTGTGAATACGATCCAGAAAAACAAATACCAGTATTACAAATGTTCATTTATGCTTATGCACAAGTACCTACGTACATGCAATAATTCCTCTTTTGTAGAAGTACTCGTATTTGCATATTAAACCACTTAATAACTTTAATTTGCTATTGTCATACGATTTATTATCAGCATAGAGCAAAAGTAATATTTGTAGAAATATTATTTGTAATATCGCCACAAACTGCACTTGCCATTGTACAAAATTAAGCACAGTGTCAAAGAAAAGCTGCATCGTCTGACATGTTGAACATGGATAAAAAATTTGATTAAAAGCGGAGTAGCTTGCCAGACCAATGGTAATTATGTGCTAAAAAGGAAGTGTAAGCCTGCTACGATGACGCGCGCGCAAAATCAGTAAATACCGTAATTCGTAAATCCATGGCCAAGTTTCAATATTATTTGTTTGAACTTGCAATATCATTATTTTACAGCAACAGAGGCAGTAAGAAAGTAACACCGCCTATCAGTGTGTAGTCAACTCTATGCTGAATCGCTGATAGCAAATTCTCCAATAACAGGATCTTACGTTCTTTCACAAATTTCGTAATTGCGACATAAACAACCCATATCGGAAATAAAAGGTGCCGCTACTGTTGATAAATTGGCCGTTTTCTTATTTCCTTCAAAGCGCGAAAAAGTATCTTCATTTTAATATAACCGTAATCACGCCATACGCAGTTCTCCTTTTAATCCTTCTTTTAGCGAAGTATAGTATGTGACAGCCAGTCAGCTTAATAATAAAGTACGTTCAAGGTCGCTATTCCATTTATTACTACTGAAGTACCCATTTTATCATTACGCGTTATATCGTGTACTGGCTAATTGTAACCGTCCCATAAATGATCCCGAATATCACTTTGCCTTCAGGACGATGTGACTGTCTGTCTCGTTCTGAGATCACAGAAGAACGAATTCTTGCGGTGGCGGCAGTTTGTCTATTTGGACTTCTAACGGTAACAGTGAACCTGCTACTTACATTTTCCATTGTTCCTTACAAAAAGCTGCGGTCCAACGTTAATTTGTTGTTGGTATCCAATGCGATCGCCGATGCCGGTGTGGGTTTGTACGTCATTCCCACTCAGATGATCTTATGGTTAGTCTCCGAATGTTGGCCCTTTTCCCATTTAAGCTGCCTCTTCTATTATGCCTCCAAAGAACATCTAATTGCCGTTAGTGTCATCCACATGATGGTCATCGCTATTGAACGATATTGCCGATTATTGCACAACACTAGTAGATTCTACAGACTGTGTCTGCAAAAATGGCTGCCGGTGACCATAATTATTTGCTGGGTGTATCCTAGTACTACGAGTTATATTCGCATTTCGCTTCCGTATTTTGCAGCGTTGTATCCATACGACGAGGTCACTCTGGATGCGAATCCAAAGGACACTTGTGCTGCGTACAGCCAGCAACCGTGCAATTGTGTCAGTTGTTTTACGACGGCATCGTTCGTCGTTGAGGCTGTACTGCAGTATTTCCTTCCAATGGGGATTATGGTGTTGGCGTACGGTCGAATTATTTTCATTGCGTTCTCCCGATTAAAAAAGTCTAACCATTTGCGAGAGCGTCTACAGTCGGATTTATCCAACCGGCTAAGCCACACAACGTCCGCTGGATCAGGTCATAAAAAGGTCACTAGACTGAAGTTTTTTCGAACCAAGGAATATCGCAGTATTCGACTATTTCTTATCATACTGATTGCCTTCCTTATCCCATGGGGACCACATGCAGTTAATCGGCTAATGTCGGCGTTTGGATATTCGACCATGGACAGCGGCCTCCTGGATGAGGCCCTGGAGGCTGGCCAACTAGCTTCAACAAGTTACTCAAACCTGCCGTACCGCACATTTCGCTCTTACATAAATTTGCTGGGATACCTGAATTCTCTCGTCAATCCGCTGCTGTTGTTCATGTTTTGTAAAAATTTTCGCACCGGATTTCGTGCAACGTTCTTTGGGTGCAGGTTTTGCGAACACGCTGATCATAAAGATGTAAAATTTGAAGAACATAATTCAAAGTGGAATCATTACGCGCAAGCGATAACAAACGCGACATAAAAATAAATGCAGAAAATTCGTGAGAAGAGAATAAATTTATGTGTTCCAGTGGATAATTACGTATAACGTAATGTGAGAGCAGGTGCTGGTGATACTCAATGCGACAATTATTACAATGCAATTATTTGCAGGAATGCCATTCAAGCCAGTACAAAAAAATGATAATACTGGCTACGTTGATATCACTTTTTGTTTCGTAACCGACATAATGTTTTCGGGGTTTAACAGTTTATGAACTAAAGAGCGCTAACCGAAATTAATAAAGCAATTTCATACATTTTTTTAGGGCAGCACAGGTACAGTATTGCGAGGTATGCTTCAATTAAAAATTTTTGACTTCAGATAATTCTTTGTTCGGAAAAATGTATTGTGCAGCTCATAAAATTTTTCAGCGGTATATAAAAATTAGGTTATTTACAGCGGTGATTCCTTCCAGGCTGAGAGATCAAATTGTCGAAACTGCTGACAAGATTGAATCGGATTTCTGTAACAACACACAGCTAGTGTTTTCCCCATCTGCAGTTTAAACAGCAAACAGGAATGCTACCTACATTGTGGAAACCGTTTCAAACACCCGTGGTTGGCTTTGTACCATTATGGTACTGACATCACACAGTAATTTGGCTAATGTGGTTCCCCGAATTTCGGCCAGTTGTGCTAGGTAGTAAAAACGCACAGTTAAAAAAACAGCAGTTTGTGTACGATGCGCAACAAAACTGGATGCTTTACCATCGGAAAATGTTGACGGTATGGGCAAACCATTTTCATACCAGAACCGATCGGCCCTAAAAATGTCAGCTCTTTAGCGCCTATTATAGAAAAAACTGGTGCATGCACATACCTTCGCAGGCGAGAAAACTGCTCCGAAATGATACAAGCAAAAGTTGGACCGATAATTCCCCCGTTTATACGATTCTCCGAAATACCGGCAACGTATAAATCAATATCATCTACCGACCTACAACGTAGAGTAGTGGCAGATTGGCTCAAGCGAAAGTGTCATTGGTTGTGCACTTAAATGTTCAGTGTTTGGTTTTCGAGATTTTGATTAGATGTTTTCATTTTTGCACATACTGGTAAACTGATGCCAATCTAACCACGACGTCATCAGGTAGAATTCCCGTAATGTTATTATTAGAACGAAGTTCTTGAAAGCTGTTGGCTACCGGAAGCCCGCATAACCGGCGAAATTGCATATATCCAGGCAGCCCGTGATCACGCCCTCGTTGCAGATTTAAACTAACCAAATCCATTCCGAATGTCGCGCTGGGTGAACGGAATAATAACTGGGAAAGGTCAGCGACGACATTGTTGTTGATAATCTTTCCGGCATCTTGGACCATGCCGATGATCAGCTCATCAGCGACGTTCTCTCCATACATTCGGCTTGACTGGAAAAAAGTATCGCGAACAGTCTCGTTGCCGGAAGATTCGAAATTGGCTCTGAGGCGTCGGAAATTTCCCGTCACCTGCAATAAAATACGAAACTCAAGTGGAAGTTGTTATGTTTTCTGTAAGTGCTACTTTGCGTACCATTGAGTGACCAACTCGGAATGCCGCCGTTGCAAATTCATTGGACATGGCAGGATTTAGAGTAATGTTGTAACCAGTGAAGCGACCGGTATTCAGCAAGGCTAAGCCGGTGTGGGTATTACTATTTGATACTCGAATACTGTCCCCCACCAAAACCGGCAGCCATTCCTAAAATTGAAATTATCACGAAAGACCTTGTGGCGATCGATGTTTGCTTTTAAAAGGTCGTGAATCGGAATAATTTATCAAAAAAAGTCGCATTGAATCGTCTTACGTTATAGGTAATGTGTTGCAACTGGGCAGCTACGATGGCTCGCGCCTCTTGGTACAGTTTTTCGTCGTTCCACTGCGGATTTAAGGTTTGTAAACGCTGACATAAAAGATTGTGGTGACGCATGAACATGGTTTGCACGGCTTGCAGACCAATCTGTAAGAGGAAGAAAGTTATTAACTAATTTCGCAAAAACTGAAATGCGTTATAAAAGGTTATTCATCAATGTCTAACGGATACTATACAGCTGCATACCTGCACATTAACGCGAATATCCCCTGCGTCGAAACATGGACGGTTTAACGATGCGTCTTGGCAGGTTTGATTGCGTCCATCGCTCGGTAGTAAAGAGTATCGCCGATTGCTTGGAAATGGCTCACTGGATTTCAGAAATCCTACAATATTTATTATAAATGATGAGTGCAAATTTAATGAACTCAAGGGTTTTTCGCACCATTTTGAAAGAGACGCAACTTGTTGGCTTGTTCAAGTGTGCTACCGTAGACTGTAAAAAACAGGAATGGAGATACAGGTTAAATGGTGGGGCACTCAATCAAGATAAGGTCACTTACTCTGGTTGCCATCAATATAACTCGATGCTTGGTTAAGCTGGTCTCTGGAACCTAAGGTACAACCGGCACGACTTCCGGGAAGACTTCGTACAAATTCCATACAACGCTGCCCAAACCTGTATGGATAAAACGACGACACTTTAGCTGAATGACTTGGTGACCTTTAATGGAACGTATTTCACTCACCGTGAATAGAATGGATCGTTGGTGGGAATGTCGATAGCTAGAAATTAGAGCTTTGGTAAAAACATTTAAATTGACTGCATCAGGATTTACCGCAGAGGAAGCACTGAATCACAAAATTGGACGGTTCGTACGCCTTTTCGCAAATTAGAATTTTACTGTTGGAATGCTACTGCCTTTCTAATTTATTGTAGTTATGGTTGTTGTCGCTCTTACGGAGGCACTGAAGATTAACTTGAGTTTGCGCTAGCGTAACGTTCGCAATGGAAGTCGATCCAGGCGACGATCCAGACGGAGGCAAACAGCAGTTTCCTTGCACTTGCGTTTGCGGGGTATGCTGGAAACATCAATTGCATAAAAGCAGGATGTATCGTAACTGTGGTCTGTGGTTGACGCAGTTCTAACTAACTTGAACAGGTTGCGCGTAATCGTTTTTAAATATATTTCAGAAGAAATATGGCTTGGTGTATAGGTAGTTCCATTACTTATTAATATAAAATTTCTTAAATGCAAATTTTTTTATAGCAGGGATGCCCACAGTTTATCGACTCCATTTCTGAAAGCACTGCATAACGCACCGTGAGATCATGGTCCTAAAAAAGATCAGCACACATAAGTTAAACATAAGAAACTAGTACGTATTATATACATGCGTTGTACAAAGCAATATTGTGCAGAGCATCAAAGGTAACTTACCAAGAACTGACCGAACTGCATAAACTGTAAAAGAAAAAGCACAAGGAAGTAAACAGTACCACTCCTTATATACAGGATGCGATTTAGCAAAGGTGAATTCCGTTTTGAAAAAATGAAATGATGTCCTACCATGGTTGTCCAAGTGGGTGCCAATCGGACTTGCGTTCCGACCAGGCTGGAGCTGATCAGCCGTGCGCTGGGCAGCGCAATTTTTGACTGGCTTTTTCGCGGCTCCGAAACACCTGTACATTATAAAACTGATTTAAAAATTGCCGAGCTACGAGTATACTGCAGTTCATAGCCATCAAGCAGGTATAAAGACCACAAGAAGATTTAATTCATTCGACGTACCGTCGGCGTAATCGGGATCGAGTAATCGCACAAATACGGTGGATTCTTTTCCTCTATCCGGAAATGCAACGTTATTGCAGCGTCCAGTTATGGTTCGGTATTTTAGTGGAGTTGACGAAGTATTCGCATTATTTCGGAAGCATTCTGAACGAACTAATTCGCTGGATGTAAAAGGCGATGACAAGGAAACCTGCGGACTAAAAAAACCAATTTGTTAACAAGAACGTATAATTATTTGCCAGACAAAAGCAGAAATTCACACGAGTGGACAATTACCAATACATTCAGCCCGTCAGGTGAACGTATATATTCGAATATCTACAATAAATCGAATTTGAATGATTTACGTGCAATGCATACTTACAATTCTGCATTCTGCGAGCAGTTGTCCTTAATTTGAGGAAGGACGACGCCGCTTAATACATCTGTTATTTCTGTCTTGTTGAGGTTAAGCCTGCAATGCAAAATTCCTTTATCGTACTGCCATCCAAGGGGTGCAAACCTTGCACAGCTAAAGCTCGCTGAATTGAAGTTAAATAAAGTACTTAAACGAAAAAAATTTGGGTTAATTATGCTACGCTAGTGCTTACATCTCAGACACGGATTTTGATACCAACTCCACAGTAGCAGCCTGTTCCGCTGTTTTTGTATTCTCCGGATTCGAGCTTCCAAATATCCCGGATAGTGACATTGGAGTGTGTGTGGTGGTCTGGCTGTCGAGTGGCGAAACTGTAGTAAAATTTGCCGGTGTGCTTGTAATCTGCGCTGCAGAAATGGTAGATGTTAATGGTGTAGAAAATGACGTTGAAGTTGTTAGGGATGTTAAAGTGACCGCGAAGACTGAACTGGGAGTTGTGGATGGACCGGACGTTGGACTGCCAGCAGCTGCCGGTGTTGTTGCTTTTTCCGCTGGAGTAACCCTTGAAACCGGAGTCACTGTTGTTACGGGAGTGGTATTCGGCGTAACCGGTGGAACCGCAGTTGTAGCAGGCGTCCGTGCTGGAGTTATCGGCGTTTGCGCCGGTGCTGGTGTTAATGGATTCACCGGAAATGAATTAAACGTTGTAGGTTGTACTGTGTTTGGTAAAAGCGACGTCACCGGGGTAACAAATGAAGTTACTGTCGCAGACGTCGTCGGGTTAGTGCGCGGTGTTGTTAAAATAAAGGGTGGCGATATAGATGTGCTTGTGGTGCTGCTCAAACCAGGAACCGGCTTGGGAATGGACGCAGTAGAAGTGGGCGCAACGCCCGATACTAAAGGTGTGACAAAAGGTATTCTGGGCAGTGTGGTTGGTGACGCCGTGGTTAAAGTGGCAATGGTCACCGACGGTGTATTGGCCGGTACCGGTACGGGCGGTGCATTGGCCGGAAGCGGAGAATTAGGACGTCGACTGCCGCGAGAAAATGTGTACTGTTTAGAAACATTTTTTGAAGCGGAGGAATAAAGGTTGTTGATCAAATCCTTGGATAATTGAGGAAATTTATCACTTAAATCCGTGAGCAGATTGGCAGTGGGTACCGACATAAATTTTGGTATTTGCACATTGTAGATTGACGATGGAAATGTGAAGTTAAATGCATCTATCGGAATTAGTGGGGGAACTCCTTTTGGTAAATCAATAGGTGGAAACTGGTCAACAGGAAACGTCCTTATATTTGGCGGCGAATTGGTCTTCGTGTCTGGTTGCGGAGGCAGAGGAATGCTTTTCGCAGGCGGGAATAGTGACGGAAAGGTCACGGAATCCAAAGGATTGTTCATATCAAACGGAAATAATTCACCAGGGAATTTTATCGGAGTCCATTTAAAAGGAATTTCATTATCGGACACAAGTTTACTGTGCGTAAGGTTAAAAAATTCAGAAGATTCGCGGTCTTCCCATAAGACCGTTTTTCCGCGTACAAAATACGCAAATGCGATAAGCGAAAGTAAAATATTCCGATTCCAAGTCTTCATAGTTGTGCTGGTGTAAGTACACATGCATAACCGAATTATCACCGTAGTATTCCAGCACTAAATTATTTTAGAATTATGATAAAGGAAACCAACGCGCATTTTATTGCCAGCTATATATACGCACATCGTAAGCAAGTGTCTGAGGTTTATCATTAATGCGAGGATATCGTTCTTTACTGTGTTTGCTGATTCTAATTTTCTTCCTGTACGATTACCGCTGACCCATTTGCAAAATGTTGTGCCACTGATTTTGAATTACAAAACAACCAGGAACAAACTAAGCGTCACTATGGTACGGGTATTGGCAGAACTGTAAATTTATGGACTGCGCTTTCGGTAACACAGGTACGCAGTAAAACGTCTGTAAAGTTAACGCAGGTGCCGGTTTCGTAAATTCAATGATGTTCGTACATATACTGTTTTGGAAAATGGTGTATTGTACTTGGATTGTCCGGAAGACATTCCTTCATATTCCTTCCGTTGTTGACGTCAACAGATTTAGACTGCTTGTATTGGTAGCTTTTGTAGATCCACTTGAAAATGTAAGGCATATTTACCTGATGCTGATACTAAGTATTATTATATGTGATATGCGGTAACTTCAAAGGGTGCATAAATACAAATAGACAACGTACTGTACGAGGTGCAGAAGAAAAGCTGCTGAAATTTGCAGTTTGCGGTCGGAGAAATTCGGTCGAACGGCTGTTAACATATCATTTTATTTTTACTGTGTAAAATCGTATGCAGTATAGATTGCGAGTACAGATTATGTTCAGTGTGCACGAACTTATTGAAACTTACATGTATTCTACACATGGCTTCCGTTACAAAGAACTTAAATTGCCAGTTTTTATGGGCCACCCATGGTGCTCGCTCGTTTTATTTTAAACGAAAACTGTCTAAATTGCCCTTTCATGAATTTGCAACTACAACAGTGTTAATCGACGCTTGCCCTATTCATGCCTGAAAAATGCATATAAAATAATTACGAGTTGACTGAGTCGCAAATTAAATTACTCCTTATTATCTGCAACATTAGCAGTGAAAACAGAAAACACGATCCGGCACATCGTTTCCGGCATACAAAAATATGCCACTCTGCATTAGAAACCACATTCTCGTTGATTAAAGCTGCCCAACAATAATGTTGTCTCGAGTAGCAGATGTTGTAGCTCTCTATCAGACGTGAGACAGTGCCAAGAGTCGATTACCGTCTAGCCTTACATCTTCCCGCAATAAATAAATCATCTGAACCCACATTCTTCGTGACTTCCGTTCCGGAAATATATCTTGTTTATTTGCATGCTAGCAAATCACTAATCCCCGATTCGGTAGCCGAATTCTTAGCGAGCAAAAGACAGGCAACGTCAAGATGTATACACAGTAACATGTACAAGTAAAACTGCAAATGTCAAGTGCATTCACTTATGTAATACCGCAACTGCATGCGATAAGAAAGAAGAACTGAAAAAAATAATTTAATTTTGGGAGATTTTCTAAAATTAAATTCACTCGGCACCATGTACAAGACGCTGAAACATCGTTATATTTAACGACCGAAAGCTGTCTTTCATACATTTAAATATTTGACGTGCACCAACTTGGTGAAAGCTTTGATTACGCAACAGCATTCCTGTAGAGTAAATAATTATTTAACTTCCACAATGTTGAGAGTGACATATTTAACGCAGCACAGATTCAGACTGGCCAGAAGGATGATAGCGCACGCGGTGAGGCCCAGCATAATGTACAGCACACCGGAACTGATAAAGAAGGCCATTCCTTCCACGGGCGACAATGTCGTGGCCAGCGGACGCGGGGTATGTGTGGTCAGCATTAACGAGTGACCATCGGTGTACACAATATCCACGGTCTCTTCGCGCTTCACCAGGAGGCCCAGTTGTATTAGGACGATGGCTCCCACCAGGCACGCCACGAACACGATGAAACCCAGGAGGATAGTGGCGATGAAGGTGAAACGGACTTTTGTGCTGCTTTGCTTTCTCACGGCTAAAATGGCGGTTATTCCGCCGGCTACTGCGATTAACGCAAACGGGGGCCCGAAGAAGAAACTGGTCTGGTTTCGCTGTTGACTGAGTACTAAAAATACAGCGGGGTTAATAATAAAAGCAATGGCCAGAATAAATTGTAAGTTTTACTCATAAAATTAATACGTTGATCGTAATACCTTGCTAACTACTAATGGTAAGCTGATTAAGCTCTATGCATAATATTATCTTATATTTGTAATGCACCACAGTTTTGAAATTTATGATATATATATGCAGTATACTCGTAATATGTCAGTAGATCCAGTACGTTATGGTAATCAACTTCGTGGAAGTAACATGGTTCCATAATTATATTGTGCGCCTATCCGTATCTGTACATATAACCTAACAATATGTCAGCATTTCCGGCGCCAGCAATATGTTTTTAACAATTTCGACCACAGATAGAACTAACTTCATGTGGGTTGGCAGTATCAAGCCTCAGGGATGCAGATACGTAACCGTTTGATCAAAATCACGTAAAGTAAATAAAAATGCCATAAATAAAGCGGTGGTTCAATCGCGAGTAACAAATTATCGTTCAAAGCAGTTTCGAAATCATTGCAAATCTAAATTTGCACACGATAGTCCTGTTACCGATAAATACAAATTACTTATTTTTTAACGTAAACCAAATGTAAGAAATCATCAGTAACGCCACTGCATGAATTTTAAAATCATTCTTACGGAGGCATCCATTGATAAAAAGAACAGTTCCAAATAATATCTCCAGGCTTCCGAGCACTGTCATCGGGACTTTGTACCTAATGGGATGTGGCGGCAGTATACTACCCGGGTCGTCCACCACGGTGCGCGTGGTTAATGGTACCTCAATAAATTTCGTCATTGTGCAAAACCGATAAAAAAACGCGATACCGTATATGAGTAATCCAGAACAAATCACGGGCTAATTGTGCGTGCTACTGCTGTCCACATGATCACATCGTTGTCGTTTTCTGAAGCCACAAACGGGACATAAAACCTGCTTGCTATTTTCAACATATATACACTGGAAAATCCCTGGCGGCGGATGCTCTCGCGGCTGTGGATAGCTCATGCACTCATTTTTCTGTACCGTTCCTATAAATAGAAAGATTTATTACTCCAATTTGAACGCCAGGAAGCAGAAGGGTATAAGTGTTTTTAAAATGTGTTACCGAAACTGACAGCAATACTGCACATGATTGCGATGCTCGCTGCCGATTCGCTGGAGCGGGGTATCCACGCGGGAAGCAGCTAGATTATGTGTGGAATGATCGGCTAGAGCACATTAGATGTTTTCGTATTCCGGGTAAAATTTTGACCGACTGACAAAATATTTAGGAGCTGCAGGATTATTCCCATATACCGATAATTAAGCAAATAAATTTGGCGGCTCAATGTTTTCTGACAGTTTTTCGCTTTTTTTAAATATGTAACTAGAATGCTGACGAAAGCGTGGTACGACAGCGTATCACGAAGGAGGAGATACGTCAGATATACGCCTCTAGCTGGCGAAAGATCTTGTAGAGCGTGAAATGATTTAATCACGAAATTCTAAAATTGTGAGGCGCCAGTTTGCTAAACAGCTTAAAATCAATTAAAACAATTAAGCTAAACAAACCACGCCACGTTAATCGATCCAGCATTTGTGGGCGATCATAATTTGTGACCTTATAAGTAGCCGTTTTATGCCTGATTAATATTAATAGGCCCGATCAATCCTAGCTGATCTTCTCGAGAAAAATATCGCAAAATAAAATGTGAAAGCAGAATGCGTCACCGATGGATGACACACAGCACAAAAGCAAATGCGTTGGACCAGTAATAAGCAGTGGATCACCAGATAAAACGCAAGCGCTGACTGCTAAATGAATTGTGATGCGTACACACGAATCCGCAGGAGCATTTTAATCCGCATGCTTGAGGTATCGATAATTAATGCAATAATTTATAACTTAAATGAAGAATGTATTCCATTTACTCACGCATTTAATGTAACTTAGCTAATTAATACGCGTTATTAATTAATGTAATTGAATTTAATTACAGTAATGCAACCTAGACAATATTGCAAAATGTGCATTGCTACAAACGTATGTAATTGTAATCACTAATATTAATTATTACTTTAATTACTAATCGTAATTACTTAACTAACAATCACTAATAGTCTATTACGAGCAAGAACTTTAAAATCTAATGGGGCTAAGTTATTAATGTGGATTGTGGATTAGTACTTATTGTGGATTAATACTTACTTATTATGGATCACATCTTATTAGCAAATTAGCAATTAGAGTGCTTAAATATCTATATGTTAAGGGTTGTATGGGTGACCCCTGTAAAGTTCGGTTGGCGATGCAAAACAACGGAGGTGAATGTGTATGTGAAATAGAAAACGCAGCTTCGAAGCTGCGTTTTGTATTCATCTGTGGATCACGTAGCGGACCAATGAGCGCAGTCGTTAGCTTTCGGCTTGGGAATATTGTGGTGACTAATTCGCGTTATCTTTCACGGGCGCGCAAGAGAGCGTTGTGCCCTACTTCAGCGAAAACATCTGCCAAATGTTTAGCCAGGTCTGATCAGCACTATTGTCTGTATGACGCATACTTTATGCCGTTTTGTACTCGTATGATCTATGTTTCTAAAATCAGAAGAAACCAGGGTGCATATAAATCGTAGTGTGTTTAATGGTATCTTCAATTTTTTCCAGTGCTCGGAATTGAGAACCACAAATGGTGTTAGTAAATATTATTAAATGATGCAGTAATTTATTTTTTACACAATAATATGAAAAAATTATGTATATATAATATGTGAATATGCGTTTTACTGTCTTACACATATGTATAATTATAAGATAGAATTATGTACAGAGTGCTTGTAAGGCTCAGCCGAATGTAGCGAAATCAAAGTAAATCTTTGCCCTGAAAAGAGCGCTTGAAATCCCGGTCAGTCAAGAATGACACCTTGCGCCAACATCCGGCATTGGCATGCTCGGAACGGAGCTTCTCCCAGTAGTTCTTTGCTTCCTTTTCTTGCTCCACATAGTGCTTTGTAAGACTGCTGTGCACGACCTAAACAGAGAAAATTTTAAAAATCTGCTTACAGGACGGATAAAACATAAGACTTCCAACACTGCAAATGCCGGAAGCTAAAGTGTACAGTTATATTCTATATATTTTATTTGGTTCCTCATCTGTAACCATCATGTTTTTATGATCGCGATTTGTCTGTATGAAATTTTTTCGCGATTTTTCGGCGCACTAAATTTTAGCTTCGTATTCATTATTTAGTAACAACTTACTACAGCAAAATCGATTCTGCGAAATATAAATTCCGGAATATTCCGCTGGAACAGCCTCCACTCATCCTGTTGTCCGGGAGATAATCCGCCAAACTTCTCCTGAAGACTCAGGTGCAGTCCAGCCAGCATAAGGTCACACTGATGTTTCATTGCAAAGTCAATGGAAGGCGAGAGCACTGCTACCGTTGGACTGAAATCCGATACCGTCTGCACCAGATCGCGCAGCATAAACATTTCGCTGAGTGTCTTCAATCGGTTCTCCCCATAAAAGGTCGCCAGGCTCAACATCTCGCGCGCGTTCTTCTCCAGAGTCGGTGCGATACCAATGTAACAGTACAATAGAAAGTCCAATACCGTCGATGAAGATAAGTTCGTGAAATTGTAAACCGGCTTTTCTCGGCTGGAATCGCTGCGTTTATTGGCCTCTAGATGTTTCAATAATACCGGCGACACACGGGCCAATGCCTCTTCGTCGACATGGAAGGTATCCTTCCCGGCCACTACCGCAATATTGCCGAATTCTGGGTTATTGAGAAGGTATGTCTGCTGGACATGGCAAGCCGTTTCCGTTGATTTGGGGATACTGGAAAGGATCTGACAAGCGTTACGCGTGGTGTCCAAGATCAGTCGCAACCAGCCGGGTTTGACGTCCACCGGCGGGAGCGTCGTGCCGGTACCGTATTTCAGCGAAGTCGATAGCTGATCTTCCAGTCCGTGGACTAACTCCAGCACTTTATCGTAGATTCCTGCATTTCTGTAAGAGCAGACAACTAATAATAAAATCTAGACGTGTTTCTTTACGTAAACATAGTGCAAATGTCATCGATGTTTCAATGTTTTAAGCTCTTCTACTTACACTAACGGGAGCTCTGGGCGTAAAAATACTTCCAGTGCTACCGTGAAAGTCGTTGGATCAATATAACCGTTTGGGGGGTCCAGCATTTTCTGATAAACAGGACAAAAATATAAAAATGAAGGGTCTACACTATATGCTATAAATTAATAGACTTACGTTCAGCGAGATAACGTTCGGAAAGCCAGCGCATTTGTTAACCTCCGTAAATACATACAAACATTCTGAAAAGCAAAGTATGTTTTATTCCAATACTGATGTTTTAATGTCCGTAATAATAATACGTTCCCTATATCTTGCGGATAATTAACACCTTTTTCAAGCGGGTTGGTTGTTTTTATCCACGGTACAAAACGGAAATCCATATCCGTTTTGCATACCCATGTACCAAAACTCGAATCGCATTCCAAGTACACATTGACGTAGGGTTTCGGTTTACCAAAAACCACCATGTCCTCCACCACGACAAAGATACGCCTGAATACGTAGAAAAACAGTACGTACTTGATGAAATAGTTCTACCCAAGAAAGTTTCTTTATTCTTCAAAAGAGCCAACCGAACACATTAAAATGGCTTATGTAACATTTGCAAAATTGACACAACTGCATAAATGGTGAGGAAATAATGTGAGCGTACTGCATGTACAATAATATTGGATAGCAGGCGACGTACCATATCAAATTACGGATATGAATGGGACTGCTGTACACTTTCTTCCCTTTTGTAAGCAGCCGCGCATCGGGAATCACAAAGTTGATGGTACCTTCCATAAACGACTTTCCTGCAAAAATTACGGCCAATACTGATAATGGATTATCATCCTGATGTTCTGTGCTTAATTTTAAAATTTGGAGTTTTACCGACCTTGATTCATCGTCATTTTGGATGCTTTTAATGACATCACGGCATGAGACGCACACTCACTAAATAATTATGTAGTCGTGTCTGGCAGCATCGCCGCTATATACCTACTCTACTTTATATCAAGTTTACATTAATTCAAAGCATCGCGCGTCCTCTTTAATTTACTTAACGTGTACGCACTGGATCCAGCACCATGGTTCTTGAGCGATGCGGAGCGCTGCAGTGCGTCGGCTTCGTGCCTGCTTGCCGAGTCCGAAATCTGATATTCACAATAGAAACGCGCGCGAGGTTGTTTACCTTTTATTTGTCAATTAAAGGAATACGTTTATCAAAGCGAACGGATCTTGGGTCGGCCTTGACGGCGAACACTAAAGCAATTAACAAACGGGCTTCATCACTTCCAGTATTATTGTATTTGAAGATGCGAATAATAAACATAAGTCAGTAGCTAGACTCGAAAGGCACTTTAAATGCGTTCTGTACGATACAGAGCCGGAAGTTCTGTAATTTTTCGATCACACCCCCCTACCTCTTATTGGACGGCCGAGTTAAAGTGTTCTGTATCTAAAAGGAACTCTCCTGGCTCCGTTACGATACAGAACTCGCATTTCTTGCTACGTCAAAGTTATTTTTGATGTGGGTGCACAGTCCGCTGTACGTCTAAGTCCTATTTTTAATTTTCAAGTTTTGAGGGTGTAATTAACGGGAGTTTAATTGTTTCTATCGAATCAACATTCCAGTTCTGCTTTGTTCACTGATTTTAGCTGCCTCCCACTGTGCATGTTTGAATTTGTATCGTGGCAACAAGCAGCTTCGCCATAGCCGTCAGCGCGAGGAATACCTCAGCGTACTTTACATGCAATGGCCTTTCGCTTTTTCACCAGTCGTTTGATTTCTTAACTTAACAAAACTTCAGATCGCCAGAAAAACAGAAAGGAACCTGCCACAAAGTTGTTGTGAAAATGAATAAATCGTTGACCAATTCAACTACGGTAACTGGGCGCTTTTAGAAACCGTGGTCTCGTTGCTCTGTAACGCTCTATAAGATTCAGCGCTGTACCATTGGTAGATTCACTTTTACAGAACTCCCGGCTCTGTATCTTACAGAACACATTTAAAGTCCGTTTCGAGTAGTACTAGTGTAAGCTTATGATTTGCTTTTTAGTGTACAAGCGCAGATTTAAGGATACCGGTATCCTTATACAGTACCAGTTTGCATCCATGGTTGGGCCAAGATGTATAGAGTCATAGACTATAGGGTAGAGCCTGGTGCTGAGTGAAGCTGAAGTTAAGCTGTACAAAAATTCAGTACTTTTCGGCATGTTTTCGTCAAAGGCATCAAGTTGTAATTAAGAGCGCAAACGTGTGGCACGACCTACAGCCTCAACCGCTTGGAATTTTTCAAAACGGATTGCACATTCTCTTGCTAGTTTTTTATGCTCTCCTGCTCGTTATCGATTTGATAAGAAATTATGACTTTTGCATAAGTCAAATTATGAATATGAGTGAGCCTTATATAAGTCATAGCAGCAGTCGGAGTGAGTGCGGTTGTAGGGCGCAGACAGACTGTCGCTACCGCGCTGCCTGCCTGGCCCCTATGTATACATGCCCGATTCAAACCACATTTTTTCTACTTTACTCGACTCCGATGTTTTTTGGAATTTCAAAAAACAAATGGCAGATTCAGAATCAGCGTAAAATTTTACTATGGCTTTCTGTCTGTAAAAAGTTTGTAGCCCTTATGGATCGTCCGAAAATCACTGCCACACGTTTACAACTTGATGGCCGTTTTGGTCATTGTGTTTCTTTTGTCTTTCGAGAAATGTTAACGAGGTGTGACGGCAAAAAAAGTACTGAATTTTTCCCCGGTTTGTTTCGGCATCAGTATCTATCCACCTTGGTTTGACCGAATTCGAAGGTCTAATGCAACAGCCTACAATTCTGTTATAACGAGGGCTGATGCATAATTATTAAAATGAATAATATATGCATATATAACGGAACCCGAATCATAAGTACGAATGTAGCTCCCGCTCGTAATGCTAAGATACAAGCGGCCCGACAGGCCAGGAAGGTCACCGATTTCTTCCAGTCTGCTCTGCGGGTGTTCAATGTGAAGCTACACATATATACCGCTCCTGTACAATAATTAGCAACATCTTTCAACATTATCGATGACCATCGTTCGTCCCAGATGATGGCCCCAGATGTTCCTAGTTTACACGATAATTCGATCCGAAAAAACTGTTGTATGAAAACGGTAAACAGCAGCACCTTACCGGGCATTTGCGAATACATACACATAGTGCAAAGGTTGCCGATCGATATACCGGGCACGGTGGAGAACACAAGTCCCACAAGTCTGTTTTGCAATTTCGTTTTCTCGTGTTTCCCGTCCGATCGCCGGTCTCTAAATGCAGATCTAATGCCATCTCGCACGGTAACGGTTCGACTGATCGATGAAGCCTTAACCGTACCGCTGGACGAACGAATGAACCACTCAATAATTAAAACAAATGCCACTTCTTTATTAAAATATTACACCTGTTGTATACGAAAGAAAAGACAAATTTCATGGCTGCAATTTATTACTGGTACTCTAAACTGGACTATAAAACATCCGGCCCGCCATTTGCATCCACTGCTGCGTTATCGCTCGTATTCGGGTCCGTGTTCGCATCCGGCGCACTCGCAGCCGAATCACGATCCGGTGGTGGTAGGTTATCCACATCCGAAGGTTGCTGCAGATCCCTGAATCCGTTGTTCATCGGTGCTGTTGTGGGTTTGTTCTCTGGTGGCATGCTGAAGCGGAGCTTGTAAGGTCGACGCGTTGTGGTGGGAATGTCCGGCACATCACATTTTGGCTTGACATCCCACGGATAGTCACACATGGTCCGATTCAGATCGTAATGCAGCCCTTCTGGGCAGTCGTACTCGTAAACGAAGTAGTCTTTCAGGTTGGTCGGTACACAAGCGTAAAATTTGTTACAGTCAAATGGGTTTCTGTACCATCCTTCGCCGGTTGGACATGTTACCGATACCATATCTACAATAACATTAATATCTTTGATTACAAATTGCAGCTGATCATGAACTATTATTTTGTGCTATTTAAATTTAACGGTTTCGTAAGTATACACTAGCCGCAACCATTAACCGGCCTCTATATATGTTTAAAATTGCTGTTTAGAGCATGTTTCCCGTTCATTTTTTTTGCAGTATTGTACAATACATATCATTAATGCTGTGTCAAACCACGAAATGTGTAGTAATGCGTAAGTGCAAACTAAGTGGATCTTTTTAAGAAGAACACTAGTAGTAAAAAATGATAAACGACAAATAAAAATTCTTCAGAATCCACGGTTCCTCTTTTAATTTTGTCTTTAGAATTGTTTACAGTTAGTTTTACTTTCTCGAACTGTAACTAGTACAAAGTACTGCTATAGTTACGCGGACTTATTTAAAACGGGAGTCGGATAATCGTAGAATTAGCTTATCAAATAATTTTCCGCTTACGTTAGTATAATAAAGTAGACACTACCGTACCCTATAAAATATTATTCGTATGTACCCGGGTCTTTCGTTTTTTGAAATACTGCTCGAACCCAAACATGGTTACAGTTATTTTTGCAAACATGAATAACGTGGGACACCATATCGATTTGCAATTATTTCATCGTTGTAAATTATTATAAGTACGTTGTTAAGTTATTATATATTATTGACCATATTTTTCAGTTGGCCAATTTTATCAGTTTCGGGGTATGCCGGCGCAAATTCGAAGTGCTCGAATATACGTAATGAATATGTAGAATTTTTTGGGATTGAGCAGTGAATTGATTGATTTACGGAAAAACCAGCGGCAGTCCATGGCACACTTACCTGGACCGGAAACGTAGTATGTTTCTTTGCCCAGCACGTCAGGAAAGTAAATCACAGCCCAGGAAAGTAGAGCAACCCAGGCGACTGACTGCAGTGTCCTCTGGCAATCCATGGCTGACCCCGACACGAGACAAGTTTAAAAATGTATAAGGATTCCCCGGCAAGCACAACAACTTCCCCTGTTGGCTGGACCTGACCTCAGGTGATAATCAACGCAATCGCTTCCATTAGCGATATCCCCATGAGATTATACTGCTGCGCTCACCAGCATAGCTTCACACTGACCGGCGGGTATATTGTTGCTCTGACTGCTACACTAATGAAATGCGATGCAATTAATTATACGAGTTTCGATCTGGTTGCCGCTCTTAAATGGACACTGTACACTGCCGAACTGGTTTATTTGGGTATTTATACGCGGTAATCGATACTGATTAATCAGAGCATGCCAATGAGATTTAGATTCAACTAAACAGATAGTACAATCCATAACAAGGGTTTTTCAATGTATACACTTAATTGGAAAATTCACTTTCTGTGATCTTGTTGAGCCATCTTTTTATCTGGCGATACGCTTCATTAAAGATATTTTCTGATACACAAAAACAAACCACATCAAAACGACCTTGTACCACTTCACAAAGCGCACCGTGTGGGTCAGTGTAATTTACGCATTTGCTAAAAAATCTGCGTATGAATTTTGGTTACGATTTAGCCTTTGGGTTCTTTGTGAGCGCGTAATGTTGCTTCGCTACTTGGATTTATTGGTAAATTTAAGAATGGATTGTAGTTTTTTATTGCCGTCATTAGCCAGCACATTACCGGTGAAATTGCGCTACATGGCGTGAGCGGGACCGTTAGCTATGGCCCATGTGTGCTGCGTGTAACATGGCGTTAGAAGCAATAGCCCAGTGAATTACTGGCTAACTTCCGGTTAATCTGGCCCGATCCCTTCTATTGGGCAATTGAGAAACAATATCCTTGCTGACAGCTCACCAGTCGATCTATCGGTTGGGAGTCCCTCTCCCAAGGATATAACGTTAACATGTGTTCGTCTGTGTCCCGTATATATTGCATGTCTGCATATATATGTAATATGTATATATCCGTCTCAAACTGCATCATGCCCTATATATCGGCGTCCATTCAGCGGGATCAACTGACCGATGAAGCGATGATGAGATAGATGCGCTAGAGCGACTCTCCCTTTATACAACACCCGAACAAGCACACATCCCAAGGGTGCTCCCCGGCTCCATGCTGCTCCAACAGCTCACCGGAAAACTGCCCTTTAAAATTGCGAATAAAGCCATGGGAGATTGATGTTATCATTAAGTATTGAACGCGAGCCGGCGCGAAATGGGTTAAGGCGGGAAGATTAAGTTGAGGAACGCGCCGGTACTGACGAAAGATGTCGGGTGAAAAGTTTCGGGGATTTTTTTCCAGGGGAGGGGCCGGGTGGGTGATTGATGGCGGAGATAAGGTATCAAATCTCGCGTCCAGAAACAATTGGCCTAATTGCCGGCCAGCCAGATCGATTGCATCTTGACAAACTGTTGAAAATAACCGCATTGCTCGCTATGGCGTAATCGCATCGGGGTTGTCAAAAACAGAGAGGAGCATTTTATTCGGTTATGTCAGCGAAACGAAATCACTTGCAACACGCTCACAGTTTGGGAAATTGCATTTACCCTAGATTGCTGTGCGGAACAGTTTTGAAAACCGCGTAACAGTTTTTCATTTTATTGCAGTAAAATGCAATTATTTGGCAAAATTATTTATTTCAGTTAAATGGTTACTATATATAATTCTTGAATTTCAGAATTTAATTTTCAACCACGAATCGGAAGTTAAAATCAAAACCTAACCATAATGCTGTAGGAAATTCTGTTCGCTTCCAATTGTAGATGTGAAGTCTGTATACATTGGTGAAGTGTTTTTTGTGCATTTTGTTGTGGGTAGCTTGCAAGAGTGGCGTATTGGTTGACAAGTGATCGGAAACTGTAATAAAAGAGAGCAAATGATTGATCGCGTTGTTGCTAACACACTAACAGTTTGACGAATCGGTGCACTCAAGTTCCTTTAACGGCCACAATCTGCTTTCTAACTGTTATTTAAACACATTTACATTTGTTTAAGTGATCCAAAAAAGTGTCACGTTTCCTGTAGTGTTTTCCAAACGAGCCATTGCGCACCAAATTAACCTAATTACGGTTTGCTTATCGACATATCGCACCATGTCCAATAATTTACAGGCTTTTTCCCTGATTATAACCGAACAGCGTTTAAACGTTTGCTGTTCAGCACGCTGAATCGCACGAGAAATGGAAAAAATAATCAGGAACGCGATGCAGCGATGCTGGTAGACTGCCTTAAAACAGGACCCAACGTCCAGTCATGCAAGATAAACATACGCTTTATTGCCAGAACATGCGTTCGAAGCTTTTAATTGTTATTTGCTAATTTTGTCAACACTACATCCTGCCTTAAATAAGCAAAATGAAAATAACCACCTTAAAATAAAATCCCTTCCCAGAAGGCCTACAAAAAATAGTGGTGACCCCGGGACACTAAATAACAAAAGACGGTTATACCACTGATATTAACACATGGACGGCGATGATATTTGATAAAACAAAAATTCTCTGAAATTCTAAAAATTGACAGTGCACATTAATTGGAATAATACATTGTAAGTACGCTTCGTTTGGAATGTACGAGTACACGCATACAGTAGTTGACAAGCATGATTAAAGTACAGCAATTTACTTTGTGGTTTGTACAGCTAAGAATTTATAGCAGGTTTTTTCACAAAAAGCCCAATAAAATCGGAAAAATAAATTGTAAAATTATTTCATACCATAAGCATAAAGAAATATTTAATTTCCGCACGTGCAGCTTTCGCCCGCGCCCGGCATTGAAATAGTATATCATATGTGTGTAAGGGATTTGTACAAACACCATTCGCTGCGCATTCTGATCACCTCCGTGTTGCCAGTGGCCAGCCATAAAGCTTTAAATTGTGCTTTGATCTACTCTTGGCGAAAACCGGACCGTATGGATTAATTCAACCGTTACGAGAAAAGGTTGCAGCATCCGGACAAAAGAAAGCTGAAATATTGGTGCATTATGGCGTGAAAAATACAGTGTTGCCATATTGCCGACTGTTGCTTGGCAGTCCTTTAAGTTTTGATGTCCAACATCTGGATACAGTCATGGTTCAGTGGATGTAAAGAGTCGGACAAAAACGCAACAGACGTGTTAGCCAGCACTCGGCGTGCGCTGGTGGTGAAAAATCTTTATTAGCTCGCTGCACGCGGTATTGCGCTGGTGCCGCCATGGATTACGCTATTTACGGCTTTGTTTTGGTACGCGCCCACTGCAAAGCGGCACGGCGCGCGGCCAATTAAGCCGGCAACTGCTCAAGTACCATACGGTCAAGTTTAGACGCATAGCGGTGAAAGGGGGGTTATGATTTCGGCTGCGGATGATGTAATTGGCTCGGATTTCTTAATTACTGGACTTAAACTGGACCAAAAAACGAACAAGGTTAAGAGAGGTCACTGGAGACAATTTTTACTAATTGATTATATCTTGCACGCATCGGTTGATACGTCATGTAATAGTTAACCAGGACTGCTAAATGGTGCTTATTAACTTTTGGTCACAATTTTTGCCGCAATGCTGCACAATCAAACCGGAAAACCAAAATGCGGTCTTACTTTGCGATTCATATTTTTAATTAAAATGCATAATTATTTTGTTATGTGAAAATTTACTTTATTTAAAATTTATTTTATTTTGCTTGTGAAAGAAGCCGAAAGGTTGTCGCGATTAATTGTCAGTAATTAAACAAATCAAACAAGGACAGAAGACTAAAGATAACAAATGTCCCCGAAAAGTTGTGAAATTAAAAGAAAAGCATTTTGGCGGAAAGGCACTGAGTTAGTTTTTTTATTTTACCATAGCAAAGTTAGATCGTACACAGCGGACGTTGTAAAAAGGTAGTATTCGGCAGCCAAACAGGCGGAAGTGACCGAGAGCTACTGAATTTAGACTAGATAAAGTTAGTCAATATTGCATTTATTAGACAAGAAGGACAAACATTTTCAGTTTTGTGGTCACTTTCTCATGCACAGCCCCATCATAGCGCATGCAAGGATGCAGGCACAGGCTGAGACGGTCCGCGTGTAGTTTAAACAGTACCACACTTCCGAGTGTACATTGCGGATGTTTTACTGCACTGTAAGGACACGTTCAAGTTGTCACAAATGTCCACTTGGGCCGGATCGTTCTTGCCTAGTTTATTTTCCATTAAGGTCAATTTTGATCTCTGATCGGGGAAAATGTGTTTGCCGACATTATCCTTCGCTCTACAAGCAGTGATGTCTCATTACGCCCGGCGTGCTACACCGCTCCATGGGTCGATTGTTAACTTTATAGAGAAATTGTTGAATTTGGAGCGCATTTTCCGTTTCAAGTTTATGTATGCCGGGTCGGCTATTATGCCGTTGTAGAGGAGGATAGCCGAAATATTATTATGCAGTCCAATTCAATCCAGTCACGCACACCATCTCAGGCCAGCCGGGGCCATTAACGGGGATGGTAATAATTTGCCGGTATACATGTTCGAGTGCAGCCCTACAACCTTGAATTGGGGCCGGTTCCCAGAGTCCCGTTAGTCGGGGCTGTATTTGTCTAACACAGAAAAAACTCAACAGTGAGCGTGCGAGCGCACAACATCCGACAGATGTTGTACTTCAAAAAACGCATGCTTAATTAGCGTTGTTTGAAAAGTGGGCCGCGATATATGTAACGAGTTGTTAGGACATTATGGTGCTGCTGCTGTGTCATGTGTGTATTGTCCTATGGAAGATGACGTGCTGCGGCTAATAAGCCTCATGAGCTGGGAGTGCTTGACTCCAAAACATGATTGTTGCACTGGTCATTTCCGGTCAGAGAGTGCGCGTGCACAAGCGTCTTACAAACTTACGCATGCTCATTCCCACCAATAACTGTGCCGGGGGATGAGTAGTGACATGATGTTTACTAATGTTTACTACTCACACAGGCGCACCATACGACGATGCACCCACATATTCGTACTGGATAAAAACAAAATAATGTGGTTTATGAATCACCCTGGGTGCATCATAATTGATTCTCCCCGGGAAAATTTAAATGCGATAAACACTGAAATAAATCCCAGTATACGCTTACAACTAATGCGTTCATGGAAACTATAAATTTTAAAGGGATAAACACTTAAATAAAATTTCATTCGAAATAATTGTCATTGATAATGTTGTACAAGTTGCTAACTAGGTTTAGCGGGATAATAATTAATAAAAAATCTCCGGAAAATAAATGAAATATTTTCTGTAGATGCTGCATGTGAACTTTGATGCACCCACGGACATTTTGCGGCTAGAGCTGTCGCAGATTAAATTTCCGGACGTCGGTTTTCACACACGTATACCGCACTGACCACTGCCCAATCCCAGAGTCAGACAAAAGAGCGCCAGCAGTTGTCGTCTTTTCGCAACCCCAACCGAGCACCCGGCTTAAAAGAAATTCGAGCGGACAAATCTGGCGGGATTAAAGGAGAATTCTGTGCATTTCCTGCTGGTTAATTGGCTGTAGTCCCGCACGTTTGTGGCCAACTAAGCACATGATTTGCCGCGCCAAATTGGACTGGTCAGCAAGTACTTGAGCGGTATATGCACACGTACAAACAGAGCACAGCAACATCTCCCCAAACGGATTTCTAACGAGCAGTTTTCCAGCATTATGCCGACATATTCATTTACACCAATTTATATCCCTTTTACAGGGGGATATAATTAGTCAAGCGGACAAAATGTGCGCTGACCGTGCAACTCAAATGACTTGTAACCTTGATCATGAAGCTGTCCGTATATATCACGGCGGTATAAAAACCGCGATACACATCGGCGCTCGACGGCAAATATTCCATCATGACCACGCTGCATTCCGGCTTGACCACTGGATGCACCGCATTGCCGACGCGCAGTTCTCCCATCAATTCTTCACGCTCCGGCCTCTTCCATCAACTGGAATGCTCCGATGTCATTACGAATTTAATTGGCTCAGCATATTGTACTTTTCGTGATGATTAAAAATTTTTTTGCAATAAAATAACTTAAAAACCCGTGCGCCTGTTGAATTAATGTGTACATATGTTGTGTACTGTAATTAGATGAGCACGAGTAGTAAACTGTTTCCTAAATTTATGGATCTTTTGTAAAAAAATTTAATAGCATAATTTATTTGAAAATTAAACGTGTCTGCCTTGGGGTAAGTGTGCGTGTAATAATTCATAATTTGTTGAATGGGCTTATCAAAAACCAGCTCTTCGGAGAAAACATTGAAGTCAGATCTACAAATTTGATTCAGTGGACTGCGTAATGCAAAAATTCCCGTCATTTACTTGGGGCGCTGATGTTCTAGCGGCTCGGTATTTAATGCTAACAATTTTGGTTTGGTGATAATATGTTCAGTAAAAGCACTCGATTTCTGCTGAAGTAAGTGCCGCTAGCGTGCGTTATTTATTTTTCATTGATTCACATCGTAACAGATCCTATTATGGTTATTTCTGGTTGGGATCCAAAACGCTCAGCGGTTCAATCTATTCTTCTAATGGAGTTAGGTAGCGCCGCGGCCAATACATATTAAAGAAACCAAATTAACACGCAATATCTGCCAACATAATCGATAGAGCAACGGTCAACAATCAATAAAAATCGTTACAAATAATTCATACACATCCTTGTCTGTTCACGAATGGCCGGCCCAGGTATGTGTATTTTGACAATGATTAGCGTACCGCGCGGGCAGCGGCGGCAACAGCATAAACTGGTTGCCGGGACAATGCCGGCGTGTACTACACCCCTGCTTATAACATTGCAAACCAGATTAATAGGCCAATATGCAGCGACAATCCATAAATAAGAAAACCTGTAGGCTTATGTGGATTTTTAATATTATTCTTCCATTTTTCTATCGCGAGGTGGAAGGTCGAATTTTACCGGGAAAAATACATATACACGTGTGCCGTTTATATGTTTATTCTATACCTGCACACAGCTGCTTACTCGCGCTTCATTGCATCGCAATCGAAGCGGGCCAAAACGGTTGGTGGGGAAATTTGCATAAGATTCCCGCCTGCTTTATTAATCATTTCATTACACACGTGGCTGGCCGGCGGTTAATGAATATCACCGCTTATAAGCCAGCCAAATTTACCTCGCCACCAGCCAAAAACCCGTTCCAATGGAATTCCGATTACGTGCAATAAAAATACCATGCATTCGCTTACTTGTGGCAAAAATGCCATTTTTTTCCAGCACATTGTTCGACGGGTTTTTTCATTAGGATAGCGGAAAAGTATGTGACGGTGTACAAATAGTTGTCTGTTTGTTACAATTACGCCGTACGTCTTTATTCTTTCTTACATTTTTGGCAACACTACCACCAGGATGCTTTATTGGCTAGCGGTCAGTCGGGGGCGGTGCTTGGGCTATGGTTGCAGGCGGTGTTGTATCGAAGCCGATACATACACGGCACATATTGTGAAATCTTAATAGCCACTACACTATACAGTGAGCGGCACGTACTCGTTGCAGTGATCTCAAACGGTTTTTATTCTTTCATATTTTGAGAGATACTCAACGGCATCTTTTCACACACGCAGAGAGTATAGCGAGCGGGGCAGAATCTTGAGTAATATTATCGCCGGTGTGTGTATGTATGTGTGAGTTATCTGTTCGGCAACAATTTTTTCGTTGTTAGAGTTTTTTTCACCCTACCTGTAACAGTCATCATCTACCGCCATATGCGCACATTGCATCGTCAATAAACCCACACTGCGAAGAATCGGAACGCGGAACTTTTACCTCAGCAATTGTTGTGCCACTTTTCGCTTGCTGCTTTAATGCAGCATATTTTTCTCTAGTCGTTCCGTTCGGCGCGAGAAGAAAGAGAATTGTTATATTGCGCTGTCTTCCAACATCTTCGTCGGATACACTCTATCATCGCTACTAAACAGGCGCGTATGTGCGCCGTGTGCGGCGGAAACCCATCTTTCTTTTGTTGATTTGCGGCGTTTTGAGACGACAGCGTGTTGTTAAGCGTAAGGCGTCTGCCATCATGAAACCTCACTTTCTCCAACGGGTATCCTGTGGCTGGATAACGGTATTGATATGCACTCAAGGTAAGTGTTGTCGTGTGTACGAGCACTGTTAATTGAACAAATGACCACTGTCGTCGGCAACCTTCCTGTACAATTATCTCGCTGTTTACTTTCCCATTTCGCACCGTGTAAACAAAGCAATTAATCCGCGTTTGTACACGCAGTTCTTATTAAATTTATTTTCGGCATTGGGCCGGTGATTTGATATAAATTAAATGCTTTAATGTTACTATGGCAGATTGCAGCTACCATCTGACGATAAAATATTTATGACGTTTGCACTAATTTAATAAATGATTGGATTTAAACGGCGGGAGTATTGCATGCATGTTGATGCGTTTTCACCAGGACGCGTAATGTTCCCTTGTTTACTGGACCTTCTAATTGTACTGATTGCATTATGACAAGACCACGTGCTGTGCTATTAGCATCGTGGATCGGGCTAATTGTTTGGAACAAACCGCTTTGGCGGATTAGTTAGATTTTGCCGATTGCTAACAATATACAGCCGCTTTATCGGCCAGCGCCGCTGTATATGTGGATGCACATATCCGTGCGAGATTGTAGTCGGAGAAATCGCAGCATGTACAACATTGCCCGTAGCGGTTGTCCAATCGACCGGTTAAAATATATACGAGTTTCGGGGCTGCACTTTGGGGAAACTGGGAATTAGGGAATTCACGTACACATATAGCATCGCTGTTCAATCGAAACAATACGCAATGAATTGTGAAATGAGTTGGTATTGTGGATGTTCACGGGTGGTAAAAACGGAAGAGAAAGGGGGATGCTGGCCCTTATTCAAGTGATCTTTACTGGAAAAAAAGGCGTTAAGCGAGGGAAGACTCGCCAGTGCTTAAACTACACTGATTTGATCACTCGCTCTGCTCCTCTCTTATCTTTGTTCGAACGCGATCTCATTGAACAAGATCACATCTTCCGGCGGGGAAAAGACGCACTAAAGATACACGGCAGATCATGGCTATTGATTCATGCAAAAGTTTTTTGGCACAAAAGATGAAAGTGTTTTAGGTTATAGGCGTTTTTGTTTGTAATACACGCTGCATCCATTTTCTTACACGATGGTGTGTATGAGCCACCGCTAACCCACTTTTATTCATACTCCCATCACTCACTTCCTCCACCCACATTTTCTCATCATCGCCGGCTATTATGCGCGCCGCATAATGCGGCACGGCGTTGGTAAATTGAACGTTAACACATATCCATACGTTTAACGCTTGATCATGATTTTCTATGGGGCCGGCTGTGTATGTTTTACGGCTTCACGAGACGGATGAAGATTGAGATTTCAAATTTGCTAGTCAGGGATTGTGTTTCATTCTGCCGGTAGGGAAGCCCGATAAGCGCTGGGAACGGCCAGAGCGCCCCACGATAACAGGATAAAAGCGGGAAAATATTTGAAAAATTGTTGGAAGAAATATTTTGTCACTGTGACAGGCGTGTGGTTTGCGTAAAGTGCAAAACTTTATGTGGATATTGTCGGCTGGTATCTCACCAGCAATGAAAACCGAAACTGAGAAAGATCGGTCCGAGTGAAGAATATGCTTAGGTCAGTCACGAGGGTTGATTTGACGGGAAACTGCGCTTGATATGTCCAGTTGGTGGGCATGATGCCGATTTGATGAAATATTGTATACATTTTCAAATCTCCCTCCAAATGATGATGATGGATATGTCAAATCCTGCTGGGTCGGATTAGGACAGGAAAAGATCTGCGCATAGCGATCATAAGAATTGTCCCGGAGTGCTGTGTGCCGGTTGAGAGGGACGCTTTCTCAACACACACATATACCATACGTACAACACTCGCGGTCATCACCGGCTCCGTTTCAACGCTTTTGATCGGCACTTTGGTCAGTGTAGTTGAGCGATGCGCAGGAAGGGGGAGAGATATTTATACGAGCCAGAGACACACACACGTTAATTCCACGCTTCATCACAACAGATAATTAGGGGGCGTCCTGGCCAATTGTTCCCTGTGTCCGGCTGCGATGCACTTCGGGTTCTCGCAATACGTATATGCCTGCGTGTGTTTGTCAGAAGAAGAACCGGGAGAGAATGGTGTGCGCGTGATCTTGATGATCTCCTAGAGCGGAAAAGTGGCAACTGTCATTGAAATGGTGAATGTTCCCAATGGACTTGCCACCTTCAAAACAATGCTGACTCACCAGGAGTGCGGCACGTCTGGGTCAATTTCTCGCAGTTGTACCCTTTCTTATTAGGGCTATAATATAATAATTTAGCTGTGTCATATGAGCTTCATACATATAAATATACTCGGACATGTTATGTCCCCGCAAAAATTCTGTTAAACTAACAAATAAATTCAGACACTACGTGAAGAAGAAAATTAAAATTTTAATAATACAGTAAAATATGATTTACAAATCCGCCTTTAAAATAAAGCACTTCTAAAATGCTTCCAAAGCAGACACAGGCGACTACTGGTCAAGTCTGTTTGCCATTTGTCTAATGACAAATGACAGCTGAGGTATTTAGACATTGTGGCTAATTCGCGGTTTTGCAAATTCTCACCTATTCTGTGCTCCTCTGCTTCCGATAGATATTACTAGCTCAGACAGCGACCACTATTTACACATTGCCTATAATTCCGTTTAACCTGAACCCGTCTGCAGCAGTCAAGAGGACAAAAACGGTCATGAGAACCCGTATTAATTAAACGGATAAAAGCGTCACACATACTGTCCCGAGGTGTCCGCCTGAACAATGGAAAAGAGGTCGGGTCCAGTGCAGGGCAGTGTAACAAGTATAACGGCAACTGTGTGCTAGACTACGCTACAGTAGCCAGTCTAATTGATAGGGTCTTCCTCAGGCCACGCCAGATTACCGTGTATTGGCGGAGATGCCCATTGAAAAATATTTAGCACTTTGTTTTGGCAGATTTCGGCCAGTGTTTCCATCTTCACTGTACACTGTCCATCGTCGCTCATTAGGACGATCGGGCTGCGCATATGGCAGGAGTTGGTGTTTATTTAAAGTAGAATTCTTTCACGGCTACTTAACAAGCGCTATGTTTACCAAAGACATTCCTGACTGGACAGAGAAATGGCCATAATGTTATGCTCTCGGACCACACGGCTGTAAAAGCTCCACATTACACACAGCTGCTTCTTTAGCGTACGAAAGTATAGTTAGTAGAGAGCGGGCCCATTTTATGGGGCAGTTTAGGGGAAATAACGTGCTGAGCACGATTTAGATGGCTGTAAAATGGAGCGCTACCGGTGGACATTATCGTTGATAACGGTTCTCAGGCCGCTTTTGTTGTTATTCACTTCTTAACAAGTAGGAGCCGACCGGTCTCCCATATAGGATTTTGTTATGGCGCTTGAAAGTTTAAGAACGGATGTCTCCATTTTATTCAAGGATCGGATGGAAAAATATGAAAATATGTAATGTACACGAGGATTTATGATAGATGATAATAGGCGCATTATAGTGTAAAGAGGCTTGCCAGTCAGGCGAAACTCAGTCTGCGTGGAAGATCCTTTCATCGGTGGATATAACTGAATGTATGTTATGCTTGTTTGCTTGCCCTTTCTTGGACCGGAGCATAATTCATGCACATAAATGGTCTACCGTTTTAGTTTACCAAGTGGCTTATTTTTATTCGCAATTTAAATATAACTGAAATTAGGAAATCGAAAAATTTTTAAAGTACTCTCCGAGAACTTGAAATATTTTTAATTTTAGTAGCACGAATACAAAAGACAGTTGACTATCCGGATATTGAAATATCATTATAAAGTGATAAAACTAATGTTATAAAATAAGGTTTAGTTTTTCGCTTTTGCTGAATTTAAACTGCAGTATATTAATTTTGTGACAAGTAGCAATAGACAGTTTTTAAAGAGGCGACCAAAATAAAATACACTATGTCCCCACAACTCACAAGCGTCCTATCAATCTGCAGATAAATGGTTTATCCAAACAAAATAAAAATCTATAAAAACCATATGATTACACGGAATATTGCAGCCGGATGTTTTAGTCCATTGAGTATACTGATTGTATATTGAACTGACAAGCGTGTCGCTTAGAGGATGATGGAAGATATTAGAAAGGAAAATATTTGTGGAAAAATTGATAGCATGGAGTAGTTGATTATACAGTGGGCATTATTAAGCCGATATTACCGTGCTCCATGTCGCAACTACCATGGTCTATATCTGTGTGAATCTTGGACTCTAAAAGCGATGATTTTCTTCGATGCCCCCGGGCCAGCCGCAGTCGGCAATGTAGCGGAAGTGCCATCTTGCATGGCATACTCTTTCAATAACCTCTACGACATTTGTCTATGCTGTAATTATTAACACAGGCAGTTCCACCTCCACCATTCCGACGGGTACTAACCATTATGATATACAACAAAATACTCTCTCTGCGTCGATTGTAACCAAGTTCATCTTGTCTATCTGTATGAGAGCTTAAGAGAATAACTTGACCGCAGCAAGCTTGTTGTGTTGTTGTCATAATGTGGCGGGCCTGCCAGCTGTGACGTCATGCAATTTGACGGTGCTTCATCATTGTCGCTGTCAGTCTGGGAGAGTTTAAGGAGTTGCCCAGTTAATTTCCTTTTAATCCAGAATAGCGGATAGCGGATAGCAGATAAAATAGCGGATTTATGACAACATGCTCGGGCTTATGATAATCATGAACCAATCCAATTAAATAATTAGATCTAGTTTTTGGCAGTAATTTTTCAACGAAATCGTGTTATCCAAAATCACTTATGCTGGCCGTTGGGCAAAGTTTATCACAAAATCTAAATTGTTTAAAATTTTTTGATAATAAAAATACTGTTTTAAAGTGGTTGCCATAAATGAAGCAACCGAGAATAGTTTTTTTTAAGAACATGCTCATAATGTTTGGAATATGTGAAGAATGGCCATCGGTCAATATTAATTAGGTGTGGCGAGCCGTTTACATCATTATGCGCCGGTAACGCTGCCACAGTTGGTGCATATAGCGAAAAGACAACTGTGTTGATTGTACATTTAGCGAACCGTAACTATTTCAGTTGCATTGTCCGGCGTTCGGACATAAATTCGGAAAAATTGTCTATGCAGATTAACCTGCAAGACTGTCACATTCAGTCAGACCCTGTTCGCACCACTGAACACTCTTTGACATGCAACACAACATGGACTACTCGTACCAATTGCAAAATCCCACTATTTAATCAATTGTCTTCGCAACCGCGTGTACACGGAGCAGGCAATAGTAAAATGTCGGAGCGAAAAAAAACTCAAAAATGATCGTGACGGACTGTTTGTGTACAGGCTCACACAAAGCAATCAAAGACCCGCGTTGCGGAGCTCTGAACAATGCTGAAGTAATCGGTGACTCTCGGGTGGCTGTGTACCGGCATTGACCTACTGATCATTTGAAAGGAACCGATCAATCACTGAAATCGGTTATTTTGTCTGCTTTGTCAGCAGACTATATTAATCTTACGTAAAGTTGTCTTACAAAAAAACTAATGAATTTGAAAATTTGGGTAGGCATGCGTCACTAAGCAGTGACCGGTTTGACGAAATATAAGCTCCGCAAAAGATTGTCCAAATTTTTTAATTTTTTAAGATTTACGATGAAGATACAGGATTTAAAATTTTTATCAGCTACACAATTTTACAAATGGTATAAACGAAGTACATCTTGAGTTTACTGTGCGGGCGCCGGTAATTATCATTAGAATTTCTCGCATACGAAATGAATCGCTGTCACACAGAAATTATTCTAGCATTTGGGTTATGCGTAGTGTACTTTCCCATTATTGTCTGATGCGTTGGAGCATGACAAATGCAGTATGAATCAGTGCTACGCGCTGGTAAAGCGAATTATTAGAGCGTAATTAAATTCATAATCTGAGTATATGATGCATAAATTTGCTCGTTTAGATGGGGTTGTTATCGCAGTGCGCTTACCATAGAAGTATACAACGAGGATGAAATGACGATACGATGAGCGCTTCCGCAGTTTACGCGGGGCAGTCGCTCGTAGAAATCACATACCCTGCGGCCTGTATAATTACTAATTGGATTACAGCATATATCCGACTACGTTACATGACACTTATGACCTTCCGCACTATTCTACGCTTATAGACGCACGCGTTTCTTCCCCCCTCCTACGGGCTGTACAGTGTGTGCTTGGATAAACAATAGTCAAACTGTATACAATTTATTTGCGCAACACCAATCGTTCGTTTTACTCCGGTCAATATTGGCTCAGGGTATTTGAACAAATACAAAATTGGGTCGTATGTTTTATGCGTTGTTCCGCAGTCTGAAGCTTAAGCAAATAGAAAACTCTTTCGTTCCTATGTATTCTTTGAGAAAAACAATCTTGGTGTGCAACGAATTATGTGTTGCTATTTTTGTGAAACTTTTTTTGTTCCCTTCCAGAAAAATTTCGTTAACGCTAGAACGCACGTAAACGTGCACACATAACTTAGACGGAAGTTTTTGTATAATAAATTCGTAGAAAGATAAGCAAACGATGTTAGGGGATAAAACATATGCACATTCACATTTGCGGAACTGGACATTCACAGCTGGTCATCACATATCGGCGTAGGATTGGGTGAGAAGTTTACTGGCAATTATGTGTTTAAAATTTATGTGCCGACGATAAAAGTGTCCGGATTGTCTTGTTAACCTTGAGCAATGCAGACAGTAGATCCCATTACCGGTTGCCGTTGGATTGACCATATGTTCCAAGTGGACGATCACTATAAATAATATCCAATTTCACATAACTTCTATCGTCCTCTGCCGCGCCGTAAATATATTTTCCTCTACGCGTTTACTCTTGAGATTTTCTTTGACGGAAATTTTCTGACAATTCGGGTTTATATATATTGATCGGGGCATGTTGATTAGACGCGGGGGCCGGTTCATTCTTTCTGGCACGATTCCGTAGTGATAGATATGGGGACCTCATGCCGGGACAATTTGCCGGCCAAAGTGTCATAGAATGTGCCCATGCTAAGTACCGGGCCTTTTTGTTTAATTATACCTATTTTTCATGCAGTTTACTATGTAGATATTGTTAGCACAAGATGGTCCGTTTCGTTAACCCGCTCACCGGACAGTCAGAAGTGCTCACAATAACTTAAACAGATACAAAATATGCAAAAAAACTGATTCGGTCTTTAACCTAAACTGTATCATCATAACTGCCCCCTGAACTGCTTAAACAAATAAACAGATCTATTAGCCAGTGCAATTTTGAACATTTTTTCACCGCTTAGTTGTTTCGTTCGATAACAGTCATTATCTTAACACAGCCACAGTACACAAAATGCACTTTATATTTATTAGTAAACAGTGTATTCTAGCATATAATTAGTTGCCAAATACCATTGTACAACCCTGCAGCACATCTATCATTAATCGAGTTGTATGTGAATTTCCACTAATTAGAAAATCATTTCCTTCTTTAATTTGCAGCTTCAGTCGGCCATTTGTCAAAAGTTTAATATGCCGAGTTTAATTTCGCCAAAGCTTAAATGCATTTTGCAGTACATGTTTACTCTTGCCCCTTTTACTCGACCCGATTCCCAATAATTTAGCCTGCTTCCTGATTAAAACTTCCCATCTGGTACACTTTTCTTTCCATTGACTGCTTAAACGCTTTATGGCCATGTCCGGGCCTTTAACACGCTGCATCTGCATTGTATGTGGCCATGGTCCGCTCCATCCTCGCACAACAGGCAACAATTTTCTTGTACCGTAACACGGGACAGAAGGGGCCAATTGTTTGGGCGTTTATTTGGCCACCTAAAGCCCTAATTGTTTAGCATGGCCATAATGCACTTTATATTTATGTACCATCCATTCTAATTGCACACTATAGGATTTTTGCAAGCCACTGTTAACTTGAATGGTGTTAGATTGTTATAATTAAAATGCCGGTGTGTATATAGCGCCTGTCAACGCGTTTTTGTTAGTCCATCATCTGTTGACTGAAACTCTCCACAACTTAAGTATCGTTTTTCCCCTCACGATATACACGGCAAGACCTCTTGAATAAACGTAACAAAATCTACTTGGGCGCAGGATAGTGTGTTGTATTCAGTGGTGATCAGCGAGTTTTGACTATGTATTAAATTGTGATATCCTTGATTGCCAATGAACGGGTGAAGATGTTTGTTTGGTTAAGGGAGCGAAGCTGTCACGTCCTTCGTCCTTTTTACCTGAGCGGATCAGTGCCGGCTACTGATTTGGCTACTGAAACACTCGGTAGTACGAGTTGCTGTCTTATTCTGTAGACTGTAGTTCATATTCGGATGATTCGCTTCGCCGAGTTCTCTTATCAAACGCCGGAAATGCAAACTTTATCAGCGCATTGCGCTAAGCCGCAAACGATCATCTGGATTATTTTAAATATAATCTTTATGGGATCGCACAATCAGATAGCACAAAACAAATCTATCATGCCAGTTGTAAAATGCATAAGAATAATAACGGCTGGAATTTTGAAATATTTTTTTACAGAAAAAAGAAACAATTGAAACATGTATGATAAATACCGAACAAACTTCCTGTTAACGAATGTTATTGCAAAATGCAAACAGCTTAGCCAGGCAAACTCTTAGCTGTAGCCTACAGCGTCGGATATTGATATTCATTATGAGACGTTGAGGGAATCGGTGTGAATTTGTGTCAGACGCGATATCCGATCTCTTTTTAATAGAAATTTATAATTTGATGAGTGATCAGCACATGCCGATCGCTAACGCTGACCGTCCAAATAAAAATCCATTTTCCCATTTCGGAACGGGGCAATCAGGCGGCCATTACAGCGTTGACCGGCTGTTGCAGCACCGGCACATGGCCATCCTCCCTTGTCCCGTGCCGTCCGGACGGACCAAATTATATTCCTAACGTCGGGGCGCTTGATATATATTTGCATGACAAAACCGCTCCCGACAACGCCGGCTGGATTATTCCCATCGCAGCCAACGTCAGTTTTATTAAAGCGTTTAGACAAAAGTTTCATGCATATCCGGTTGTGCGAAAGAGGTCATATCATAAAAGGCCGGCGCTCGTCCAATTTTCTGGACCTGTCAACGCCAGGAATATATTTATATGAATTGTATTGTATACATGACAGGAATATATGTACCCATCTATCGGGACTAAATTGACCAGTGGCTATATACGTGCCGTCCGTATATATAGCGCTTAGGTCGCTTAAAAACGATTGATGGAAATTTTCGGGATTATGCGCTGCGGAAGTTGTTGTGTGTATATAAAAGTATATGTATTAGCTGGAGCCTGAGTAATGCCTTGTGCATCTTGCGTGCTGGCATGGATTTATTGTAATACGAGATGGTATTTCATTTAGATAAGAGCTTTTCCATGTCCAGCGTCTGTCCATCCTTCACAGCGACATGAGGCCCCTCTTAATCCGCTTTACGATTTTCAGTTAGCCCCTCTTTTCGGCATGGTCAAGCTAGAGTGTACACTAGTAAAAGCCGGGCAGGACTTTTGCGTTTTGCGAGAATATTGAAATGAACAGCTCAGGTTTCATGTCATAATAATACTCCTTGTGTTCCGCAGCGGTCACTTGAGATAAGCACTATGCATAGTTCCGTTTTAAAAACCTGTATTCAGAGCATAGACCAACAAAATAACATACCACAAACCTCTTGATGCGTATTGTTACAAGAATACATAAACAAACACGCCGGTTCAGACTGTCTGGGAAATGGCCCGACATACGATAGCACTTGACGAATGTATAAACACAATTAAAATTTTATCAAATCCGAATCACGACGTATTAATAACAATATTTTATGTACACAAATTTTGGTTACACTGTATTATTTTGCCAGTACTTAATTAACTTGACAGTTCAACAGTTCTTTTGTTTTCCATTGTAGTATTATGTGGAGCATCGCCAGGTGCATTCGTGGAAGAGCCAGCCGATCAAGAAGTGAATCCAGCTGACACCGTCGATCTCCGATGCCGGCTGACTCCCCAACCTGCCGGACCAATTACCGTACTCTGGCTAAAGGACGGTAAGTGTGCATAATGTCTAGTTAATACTCCATATCCGGTAACAATACACCTTCTACCTACTGGTCACGCGTTCGTTCACGTTTTTCGATATACTAATTATACAGATGTTACCAAATGCATATCCCGGCAAGTACACACTAGACTTGCTACTACTCTCTGTTCTCTTTTCACCCTATGATTAACATATAGCGAAAAACTGACCAGCTGGGCTCCACTTGACGCGCTCTACTTGGAGACGGTGTTCTTGTATATTGCGCAATACTCTTACATCAGCTGCCGGCCCCCGCGGCCGGCCATCCCCACGAGTGTACAAATGGTAATTAGTGCTGCTGGTGTTAATTGTAGGCCAACTGCAGAATACGCAGGCCAGCGGTCTGTACACCAGCACCGGTGACCCCAGCAACTTCGACTATTCCATTCGCATCAACGGCGCCACCGTCGAGCGGGATGACGGGGTGTGGGAGTGCCAGGGATTGGTCAGCGGAGGGACAGTGGGTTCGCGGAAAGCCCATGTGGTCGTCCGGCAGGCACCGCACGACCGACCGATCATGCAGCAGGATGCCGGGACCATTCGCAATGGGGATGATCTACTGCTGAAAGCCGATCAGAACTATACGGTCACTTGCGAAGTACACGAGGCTAATCCTCCCGCCAAAATTAAATGGTACGTACGTGCCAGAAAGTTGCCTTGACTGTTCTTTGCAGCAGAAAAGAGCAAAATCAAAGGCACGATACATACACTTACACAGGGAAATCGGTGTTGCATTTTCTACGTTTTTTTGTAAATTTTAATAAAAACTTTTGGAAAAAAGAAGAAAAAATGTCAAGCGAGGCGCACTTTACAAGAAAAAAATTGTGTATGTGTTTACGTACTCTGGTTCGCCTTTAACTGATGATGCGTTTCAAAACTTCAGGTGTTGCGAATTATAAAATTTAACAGCAAATTCGAAATGATTAACTGTCTAAGGACGTTTGGTACAATGTAAACTGTAAAGTGTGCAGAGGAAAAATATACCCGTATATTAATGAAGATAAAATGAGCTGGTAGACCCATCAATCTGTCCATCTCAGAAATTATTGCCTAGCTGCTCTACTTCTTTTTGATCTGATAAAAATTCGTTATGCTATAATTATGGCAATCATTACATATTATTTTCTGCAGCAAATGCTCTCATAACTTGGCATAGCGGTGACCGATTTTTCGACGTTACACACACCACTTAGCCACTCGTTACCTTTTAAGTCATTCCACTACGTCAATTTTACACCCGTAAACGGCATTTATCATTCTTTATCCACATGGCGCTTTTTGTCGATTATGTAGCTGGCGCGTTTTTCATGCTGCTCAACGGATGTACAGTATTTGTAATGCAGGAGAAAACGCAGTTGACCGTTCGCCATCGTACCGAACGCTTGAGCGTGAAAACGACTAATTTCTTCCGATCATACAAAACTGAACATCGATTAGCTGGTCATTGTCAAAGGAAGGTTTATCAGTGTCAAGTAGATGTGGTGTGTTATTGAAGGGTCACGCACAAAAGTGCATCCGATCAATTTCAAGATCACCATTCTGTATTTATGACATAATTTTTATTGCCATTTAAGAAAAAATTGATTGATAAAAATTGCTTTTGTTATGTGTAATGTTGTAAGTCGTACATTAATCAGCAGCATTGCTAAATGTTTAAAATGTACTTCGTATTGATTTACATGGATCGAAAGGTTAGAGCGCTTTATATGTAAACTTGTGGTGAGAGTCAACTGGACAAAAGACTCGATGAGCAAATGTGTACGGGAAATTCTCAAGACGAAACAGGCGTTGAATACAAAACATCAGTGCTGTTTCATCTATTGACAGAACACCGGTATATAAACCTGAGTCAACATTGCCAAACGTGTGTTGTGTATTGTTTGCAGGACGATTGGGAATAAAGACGTTAGTGACTTTGCCCATACCATCAATCAAACGGGACCCAACAGTAAACTGTACAACACCATCAGTACATTGACCTATCAGTATCAGCCGCGGGACAATCAGGCCCAGCTCAAATGCGACACCATCCACGCGGCACTGGCCGGTCCCTTATCCACTTATGCCCATCTCAATGTCCAGTGTACGTGCTACTTTCCATTGCAGTGTGGTAGTGGAGACGGAATAGATCCGCTTTTAATATCAAAATCCCTTCTCCCCGTGTATGTTTAACTTCTTAATGTTACTACAACCGCGCGCCGCTTTAATTGTAGTCGCTCCCATAATACAATTTCAACAAGAGCCTCCGGGAGACATTAGCGAAGGACAGGATGTATTACTAACATGCCTGGCTAATGCCAACCCGCCAGCGTCCATCAAGTGGAACGTCAATAACAACCAGGAGATGCCCATGCTCAATGAGACCACCATCAAGATCCAGTCGGCCTCCCATGTTTCCAATGGGAACTACACCTGTGTGGCCAGTAACGACGGTTTTGCGCCGACCCGGGTCTCCTATACTGTGGCTGTACGATGTACGTACACGCTCCTTTACGATTTACAAACGGAAGAAAATTAATGTCATTCGTTGTATTTTATTTTTATTTCGAAACACCCATCATTTGTACGTTAAACCTGTTTAGTAAATATTAGAATTTTGTTGACCACCAATTTTAGAAAAGGTCATCCGATGTATTTAACGTTTATTTTGATGACGCTGATGATTTATAGTTAAAATTATTTGCTGAAACTTAGACGCTGTTAACTGACCACGAATTTTTCTCAAGTATAAGTTTTCAAATTTTACACGTAATATGTTTATTGTTTTAGAAAACACATTGCTCAATATCACCCATAACGATAACTGTGATATGGCCGACATGAATTATATATCACGCTCTTGACATCGTCATCCGTCTGGTTTTTGCACAAAAGAATATGTTATCCTAACGTCTTGGTTTTTTTTGTGTTTTTCCCACCAGATCCGCCCAGCTTTGTGATACACCCACAGGGCAGCAGTGTTGATGTTGACCAAACCTACTCGATGTTTTGCGATGCTGAAGGATACCCGCCACCCCAGATACAGTGGCTGCAGAACACCACAGATGGCCAGACGATCGTGCGCGGCGCCGATCGCATGCTCAACATCACCGTCGACTACAGTTCACAGGGAAAATATTGGTGCAAAGCCAGTAATACCATCAACAATAAGGACAATATTGTTCTATCCGATGTGGCGGATCTGCTTGTCAAGGGTAATTGTATTAGTTTTTCGTTCTTTTAGCGTATACCGGCCACTGTCGCGTATGGTGTTTTCTTAAGGTTGTGTAATATTAATGGATTGTGCATTTGTGCGCATACCCTGTAAATGTCATTATCAAGGTTGTTCACGCTTTGATAAGTAGCGCGTTTCCCGGTACCCTAGATCTGTATTTTATAATATTGTTTTAATTATAATGTTTTAAATATAAACACGTCTGGCAGCGAACCGAGTACTAACCGGCGTATTTTTTCAGGACCTCCCAAATTTGAGAATTTAGCCTCGAATCCCCGACTGGAAGTTGTGGGTGAGAAGGGCGGCGATGCGACGCTGACTGCCTTGTATTGCAGTAATCCGCCACCGACTTCCGCTTACTGGATGCGAGAACAGAAAGCCGCCGAGCGCTCCAAGTCCCAGCGAATCGAACCCGGTCCGACCGGCAATAAGAAATACGACATCAAGACGAAAGACCGCTCCTCCGGATGCTACGAATCCCGACTAATCATCTCCAATCTGGAAGCGGCTGATTCCGGGAAATACAAATACTGGGTGGAGAATGAAAAAGGACCGAACGCTTTCACGACCATGCTTACTGTCAGAGGTAAGTAGTAAATTAAATACCTTGGTTGGAATTTTTCTGTAGAAAAAAACTCTTTTTGAATTATTAGCACTTTGCATTCCACTGCTCTCAGTTTGCGCTTTAAGCGTGCGTAATTTTTAAATACATACCGCAAAACCCTTCATTTAAAAATTCTAGTAAAATTTTGTAGAAAATACCACATACGAGAATTTAATAGCTTTACGTATTTGCAGATTCCGTTAATACTGCCCTGATTATTGGACTGGTTGTTGGACTGGGAGGAGCGTTGATTTTGGCGTTGATTGCTGCTCTTTGTTGTTATCGACTGAAAAAATTCTGTTTTGCTTGTAAGTGTTCATCAGAGGTTGCTGTTATTAAAATTTGAAGAGGTTAAAATTGTTTTATATTTTTTTTAGCGAGCAAAAAAGCCGGGAGTTTTGACATCGAGAAACGGGAAGTTAAACAGGAGAACGGAACAACCACCATCGAGACAACCCGCACTGTGCAGAGAGAGGATAATTTAAAACAGAATCCCCTACAAACGGAATCCATGTTCATTAAGACGGACAACAAAAAACCCAACGGTGTCGGCAGTCATGTGATTATGAACGGTGTCAATGGCGTTCAGAACGGAAATGATCTCAGTAAAAAAGTATGCATGGAATCGCATGCGAAAGGCATCGCGCATCATTGTGCGAACATTTAATTTCTTTTGTGTTTTTATGAAAACTATGCCTTCGTTAAATTTTTTTATCGTTCGTGTTTTCTGATTTCGTTCAATTATTTTGTTTGAAATTTTTTTACCGGTAAACTGCAGGAATGTAATGTGAAGATTTTGTTGAGTTTTTGGTTGCCGGCAATTTTATGTTTGCTTTTTATCGCTAAGCTTGGTTGTTTTCTTGCACGACAGACTGGCCGTGTGGATGGGATGCCGGCCGAAGTACTACATTATGCTCAATTGGATGTTGACGGACCAAAGGAGAACGGCCACCATGGACCAATGGGCAGTCCCCGCCTGGAGGTGCGCAACGGCCACGATTACTCAGATATTCGACCAACGGTTTTGTAGAGTGTTGTCTCTTCCTGGCGCTTTTGCTTTGCTTTGATGCACAGAATGTTTTTGGTTTTTCTTCCGGCATAATTGTATTGGCGTGTCATTTATCTTCCGCAACGCGTATCGCGACCACCATGGACAGGTTTTCGGGGGCGGATCGGAACGAATTTGTTTGAGGACTTTAGTGTGCGTGCATGCACGGAACATTCCGCTTTCTTTCAGCTTTTATGAATCTGTTTTTAGTGAACCTTGTTGGATTTTGCTTTGTCTACTTGTCACTTATAAATTTTCCTAAATTGTATCGTGTTGGATACTATTACTGGACGCGGAGGTCACAATCTCTTGAATTTATGTACTCGTACGAGTGAATACGTCATGTATATACCTACCACCGTTAAATTTATAGAATTTTGTCTCTTATTGTTTTCGGTAGTAGCAGACTTTGTGTTTGAATGGGTAGTGACGTCATATTTTGTAAACTGCATGTTTCACCTTTGCTGCTGCACCTTTGTCGTTTGATAGTCATTCTGCTTTAATGCAAAGTGATTTTTATTAGCTAATTCAATGCTGTTCTTACGTGTATTCGTGCGCCACACCAATAAAGTTTGTGATTCACGGAAGAGTACCAAAGCGCGCCATTGATTGATTGATTGGTTGATTTAATTACCGAATTACACATAAAATTACGTATATGTAAGAATCAATAAGATTATTTTGTGATGATAGTGCAACCCGCATAGCCTCATAAACTGATAATAATGACAGAAATTGCTTAATTTTCACGATGGTAGAGGTGCACATCAAATATTCGTTTTGAAACGCTAGCTTTTGTAATATTATCTGTGAAGGCATTCGTTGTTTACGTTATGCAGAAAAGCTCGTACACCTATTCATATATTGATCTCTTGACGCAGCACTGACATTGTAGGAAAAGGCCATTTGGGAATTTCCTTTGTAAGTGTGACCTTTGTAGTACGAACATTTCATGTTGAAGTCATATATTCCCGTGGTAAACACACTCTGCAGTCCTATGCATGGCGTTCTTGACTGAGATTGGAAAATGTAAACTACAGCGTCGTGCCAGGAGCAGGAGTAGCTTCATTTTTGAAAACAAGCGCGCAAAAACGAACCACCAGTGGGACATTGCTTAGCCCAAGAGTCCCGACGTACCACGACGGTTAATAAATATTTGTATGTGAAATAATATGCCTGCTATGTGCCTTTGCAGTCTGCATCGGGCTGTCAGTATTGCGTACTTGTACCGTAAAAGCTCAGAAAATTGCTGGGATGACGAACTCAAGCGACGCGTTGTTTATCCAGCGCCAGCATGGTACGTTGAATTAAAGATTTATTGCTTTATTGGTAAGATCGCAACACCTCCGCACGCCAGCCGCCCTTCCACTTGTGGATTGCGCAATGGCCCGGCTAATTTCCACGGTCTACGCGTCTACAGCAGTGAAAGCCTACATCCACCTCCGTAACTCCCTGGATAATAAGAAATCATCGAAAAATGATCCATTAGAGCCCAGGAGAAGGATTAATTTAGTGTACGCTGATTGCTTTCTATATCCTCTTTCACGCGTGACTTCCGCTCAGTCATAAATATCCCATGCTCGACCTATGCCGGGTCCATGGTAGCGGTACAGTTTATAACACTGGACTGCGTATGGTGAACTTGTAATGCAATTTTTATATCAATGCTAAGAAAACAGTGCTGTATTCCTGGATGAAAAATTTACGGCAGTACCGGTGTCCCATATTTTCGCCGTGATGTGGATGATTTATGCCAACCGGATATAAAACTTCGGATTAGACACAACGTCATGTGCGGCGTCCGGCAGTATTAGAAAAATGATTGACCAATTTTTTAATGCAACGCTACATAATTTCACGCATCTCGTGGTTAATACTTCAAGTGGACAGTACAGTACGGTGTACATGGGTTATTTGTACGCCGCGATCACCGTGTTCAGTTACGGCAGTAACGTGTTTCTGCTGGTCATTTACGTGAAATCGCCCCTTCTGTGGACACCGTTCTACAGCTATCTAATCAGTCTGGCCGTCCTTGATCTGCTCAAATCCTGTACCGTCAATATTATGCAGGTTAGCAATTATCTTCAATTTCACTGGGTTTTTGGCAACGAACTTTGCATACTGTTCTTGTTCTGCTCGCAAAGTATCGGCGTCAGTATTATTTATCTGCATCTGCTGATTTGCGTCAACCGGCTGTGGGCGGTCATGTCACCTTTCAGTTATCGCGCCAAACACAAGCATAAATTAGCCATTGGTCTAATCATGAGTGTCACCATAATGGCTAATATTTCAACAATACCCATATATACCGGTGACGGCACCAGCGACATCCGCAGTCGCGCCCCTGTGCTGCGCCATTTGTGTATATACCAGTTCGGCGCGAAGCCCTCGCTGTACTTTTTGACCTTGGGGGCGCTGACGCATCCGGTGCCGCACGGGCTCATTATGCTGCTGTACCCGATTATTGTCTGGAAGGTGCGCAGTACCGTGCGCCAGATGCAGAGTGTGTTTGCCAGTGGGCAAAATCCGTCCTTTACCCTGCATGTATCCCTGGATACGTCGGAGGAACAGGTCCGAATACGGGGCACGCACAATAAGCACAAGCACATCCTCCGCGAAGCCAAACGGTACTTTGGCGTGCTGACAATCTTGTTTGTCAGTTCGTTTTTGTTCTGGACGCCGGGGAATGTGGCACGCAGTGTCATGGTGACGTCGCCGGTGGTGGATATCCGGGTGTTAGCGGTCACGGATTTCCTCTTCGCCATGGACTGTACCATAAATCCCTTGCTTTGTTTGGCTTCGTCGACCGAATGGCGGCACGCGGCAATTTCGGTTTTAAATAATATTCGAAGATCCGAGGTTCAGCAAGCTTGTTAAACCTATACGCCTGCACATCAAATTATTTGAAGAGGAGCTGTTTAATAAAAGCTATGTCCCGTGTCTTTATTGCCAATTTCGGATCGTTGTTGTGTCAAATGTGATAAATGACAGATATTAACTCTGGCTATATATACTCGTAGCTGTAAGAGCCCTATGATGCACTCATATAATCATTAAAATTAGAGGCTGAATCATTCACCTTTATCCTGTGACAGAATAAATTCCAAAAAAGTTCGGTAATTCCAAATTAATTGCAACCAGAAAAGCATAAAATCTATTCATAAATGTGCATAAAAGTATTAATATTCGTATACACAAGTAGGGATAATCTACTGCAGTAGAAATGGTGTCTGTGGTCATCCCTCATCTTTCCTAATAGCCGCATATAAATATATATATATATATATATATATATATATATATCACGGTAAATTAAAGAAATTTAATTGGTCATACATACAGCAATATTGAATGACTAGTCTCTATATTCTGCAATTTGCAATCGTATAATAAAGTTATAAAAGGCAGACGTTGCATCTAACGACAATGGATGGTAAAAGGCTGGAATCTTGATTTGTGAAATGAGCGGATGAAGCTGATCCGATATCCCCGCTCGCGAGAAAGATTAATCCATCAGGCATGTGGTAACGCAGTGTTCCTGCAAACTATTATTTCCGAAATCCTGATCCTTCAAATTTGATTCTGTGAATAAGATTTTTCAGTACGCAAAATAGATCGAGAGGCTGTACGTACTATAGATATAGCTATGTAGCCACCCTACATACTGGTAAAACTTTCTTTGCTGTAATTGGGTGTTTGTCATGTCCTGTAATTACTGAAAGCAATCATCTCCTGCAGAAGATACTTGTTAATTTTTGACACCCAATACGCAATACTTTTCTACTGGACAATTTTGAATTACTTAAAACGCACCGTATACATATGATACACACTAAACAGACGTAGGTGCTTCGCACAACAAAGTTATTAACGCGGGATTACGAGATATATATATTATATACGTAAAGATTATCAGACTTGCTGCTCGTAGATTCCCGGAACATTCCTGTGGTGCTAACAATGTGTTAATTACTATGGTCATTAGAACTGCTATTAAACTGGACTAGCCCAAGTCAAGTGCTTAGTCATGGGACCCTTAGCAGTATAAAGTGGGTTTGGGAAAACGGGAATAGTTTGTAAACAGTGGCCGAGCAGCGTCTATTCACTCTATTGCACGCAGAGCAAAACAAATTAAGCACACCTCTATTAAAAGTTTTGTCTTCTTGTTCTTGTAACGAAATAAACTACACCGGCCAGAGTGGAATGGTAACACACGTAAAACAATAAAAAATTCAGAAAAAACATTTGTTTTCCATATACCGTAAAATTGCGGTAAATTCAACCAGAAAAGACCGTCATTTGCAAAAGAACTGAGCGTGTCAGCATATATACACATCATGCACGCCCTTTTAAGAGTAGCACTGACCTTTCGCAGGACTACTTTCCTAATTTTAATGGTCAAAAGATGCATAAGTTTATTTACAGCAACCACTGCATTGTATGGTTCTTTAATTAGGTACAGCATGTTTATTCAGTCATCTGCACGTAATTGTGAATTATCAGAGTAACCACATGCGGACACCATCTGCGATATCATGGAAAATCGACATTGCCAGCGTATCACAAATGCCATCTATATTTGTAGCTAATGCGTTAAGAGCCATTCCCTGAACACTCTTTGCTTTTTTTGCCTTCTGGATCACTATATAAGCGTTAATGAAGCACTTCCAGAAAACAACGATGCAACCATCGACAACATGAAAATTATCTTATCTGTACAACACTGATAACTACATAATTTTAGCTTTCCTTTCTGGTATCAGCGATACAGTGGAAACCGCCAAACAAAATCGACATTGCTGCTAACTTTGACGATCTTGCATCAAAATAGTTTTAAATAACCATAACAAATGGCCGAGGAAAGCAACTGGTGGGAGTAAGTCCGCTATGATGAGTAGTTCAAACTGCATAATCAGTTTTGGAAACCGTTTATGACCTTATATCTGTACATACATCTTGTGCCGTTTTCCAGCGATGACGTCGTTACAGCGGAAAACCCAAACGAGCAAACGTAAGACCTACTTTAGTAATTACTGTTGTAAGATTATAGTTTTTACAAATCTTTGTTTCGTCTATTCTCACTTCACGACGCGGTAAGTAGTATTTACAATAATTATCTCGGAGAAACTTTTGCTGCAACAGTGCAAGCCGTGTTGAGTTGTTCGAAGTGCTTGTGACACGGCGAGTTCAATTTCAGGGAAGAGGCGCCAGGAAAGCGTGAAAATGTGGACCAATCCGAAAATGTGGACCAACCCGCGGCCGCAGCAGCAGAGTTAGTTCTCGAAAATTACAACAGTTTCTATATAGGATGCCAATGTGTGGAATAAATTTGTTGAAACTCTTATTATTGGATAGGACCGTAATACAACCAAACGGAGACAATTTGCTGCTGGATTTTGGTACAACTTCGCAGTAAGTCATGGCATTACAGCTTCATAAATACTGTAATTCATTAAATCACTTTTGTACTAATGTTTTATAAGCATTACGTAAGCCATTTAGATTTGCAGTCCCGCTTTTATCATTTTAACTCATATGGGCAGATCCCAGTAATGAAGAATGACTAGAATAATTCATGATCAAAAGCTTATATATGAAAACTGTAAGGGATGGTAGACAGGCGATATAGACTATACTAGATATGCACTATGCAACATATTCTCAAAAAATGAATAAGCATGAAGGTATATTAGTAAGAATGTTGTTATTGTTTTCTTTACTTTTTTACAACAGTGAGGTGCCACAAAGAGCAGAAGCCCAGCCAGATTTGTTGCTCGATTTTGATGCAGGATCATCCTGGAAGTATGTGTACCAGTTATGCATTCTGTATACTGCGAGAAATTTTATAAACAATTTTATAAATAAATCTGATACCTTGCTTCATGAAGCAAAATAAATTCGTAATTGTTTTAACGACTTATCGTTTTGTAGAGAGAATGTGCAACTTGAAGATGCGGACGTCTTACTAGAAAATGCCATTGAAGACGACCAGTGCGTAAAATAAAGCCGCATTTGATTAATGGAAAAAGAACGTTGTAATCTGTTACGGTGTAATTATATAATAGGGAGAGTGCGCCCACTGGTGGGGATGACGCTTTACTGGATCTGGGAATAGAGTCCGAATCAGAGTACGTATAGCGTACCTCCTTTGACCGAGATACTTTGGACAACGTACAACATGCAAAATGCATTAACGCTTATGTTTTTGTTTTTAGAAAACGGTACGGAGCCGGCACGTGCATGTTTACGGGGTTTTCGTGCAGCGCATTGCAAAGTAGAAATTGTTTGATTATCCTGGCGAATAGGTTAGCAAATTGCTTTATTGCAGCGATGAGCAAGAGGACCGGCCGAAAATGAGGTTAGTCGTGCATGCCGCGTTCCACGTACAGAGTACACTTGTACAATGGACTATCCACAATAGCTTGCATAATGGCGTTCTGCCTTGATTTTAAAAATTCAGCGGTATTTTGTGGGCTGATACGAAAAATGATTATGCTGAAGCCGCTTTACCTACCTCTGTAAACAGTATTTTTTTTTCCTCTAAGGAAAATGCAGTCGGTAGTAGAACCAGCCGCACCGCCGTCGGCGGAAGCGAAGTCCGAGGCGCAGTTGATAATCGAAGCCAAGCAGCGCAAACGGGAGGAAGAAGATATGGAAGAACTACAGGCTCTGGAGGAGAAACGACGAGCCGAGCGGGAACGAGAGGAAGAAGAGCTGCGCCGTCTCAAGGAGAAACAGGTCAATACAACTGCAGTTTTTTACTAGTAAAAGTATACATGCTGTAACAGCGGCAGCAAATAAAAATTATTATGATTTTAATATATGCAGTATTAAGAGCATACTGAGATTTACAAAAACACGTAGACGTACTTTTAATAGAACCTTTAAAATATTAAACTGCAGGCAGAAAGAAAAAAGGCTCGTGAAGAAGAAGAGCGTCGTTTGGAGGAGCAAAAGCAGCTGGCAGAAGAACAGAGAAGGAAAGATGAGGTAGGCATTTTGTTAGTGCACGTGCATAAATAATTTTAATGCCAAAACAGTTTAGAATATGTAAGCTACGTAAATACATACATAATAAATTGCATCAAAAACATTAATTACGTACATGAAAACATATAAGGTGCTACAGTATACATTTGCATACATATATGCCACCATTTGTCGAATTTCGAATTTTGATCCATGATAGGAGTATCAATTTGTTTTTAGGATGCGCGGCGCCAGAAAGCGGAAGATGAAAAGCAGCGGAAGAAGGAAGAAGCTGAACGAAAAAAAGCAGCTGCTGCCGCTTCGGCTAGCGGTGGACGTAACTTTGTTATCGACAAGGAGCGCAGCGGAGAAAGCGGTGTTGATAAGGTAAATATCTGAATAACATTTACGAATCAGTGTTAATAAGATACAAATACATAATTTTATTTTAACTGTTTGTTTAATCGATAAAACCTTGCTACAGAATTGCGCCAAAAATTAAAAATAAGGTATAAATATACGTCCGTTTAATTAAATTCGGTTTGCACGGTTTTAAAAGTTTATTATGCACTTATTATTCGGAAAATTGTGCTACAAAGGCATAACTGAATATGTCTGACAATGAGATCTTATCCGGAAGTAGAAAACATAAAACATGTTATCACAAATACTGTGCATATTTCTAGTTCATGAACATATCAAAAGCCAAAACGGAAATGTCCCTAAACGCCGGCGAATTGCAAGACCTACGCCAGAAAACCATCAACGATCGGGTCAAACCGCTCTCGGTTTCGGAATTGGATCACAATGGTTTAAAATCCAAAGCGGAAGATTTATGGAAGACTATTATAAAACTGGAAACTACAAACTATGATCTGGGCGAACGTTTCAAGCGTCAGGAATATGACGTAAGGATTTTAATAATTGGCTGGCATTTCGGTAATGCATGCACCTGGAAAGCAAACTATTTTTACTGCAGCTGAAAGAGCTCAATGAGCGTCAGCGCCAGATCAGCCATAAAAAACATCTGGCACAAGGACTGGACCCGGAAGCGGCCAGCTCACGCTATCCACCGAAAGTACAGCTGGCTAGTAAATACGAGCGACGCGTCGATCGCCGGACGTTCGAAGAGCGCAAGAATCTCTTTGAGCAGAATGGCGTCGACGATAAACCCAAAGAGCTGGTTAAGCCGCTGGCTAAGAAACGCGAGGACTGGATTAAGCCGAAGGAAACAAAGTCTCACCGAGAAACGCCGGCAGATGACTTCGAAAATGAACATGCGGAAAACGATGAAATGGAGAAAAACAGCGTAGTGCATGTGGATGACGAATCTTTCGAACAGCAAAAGGTCAACTCACAAAACAGCCAAGAACACGATCAGGACGATTGGACTGAGCCAGATCTGGCAGAAGAAGCGCAGGAAAATCACATTGCTGTGGCGTCAAATTCGAGGAAGTCAAGCGGTATTGTTTCTCAGACGGAATCAGAACGAGACATCAATGACGAAAATGTTAACGAGGACGATTTGTTTGCCGGCAAGGAGGATTATACGGCACTGGCAACTACGACTGAGGCTTAATTGATACTAATACCTACCCGTAACAAAGATACCACAACGCAAACCCACTTCAAGAGCAACTCTAACTTCACTTAAATTAAGATTGTATCCAATAGTCAATGTGCTGTAAACAGAGTGCATGAGAAATATTGTATGTATATACACACCGTAAAAAAAGCACTGGTTAAATTTTTAATGCCGCAATATGTGCATGTGTGAACAATAGAAGTTCGAAAAATGGCCCATATAAAAGACGTTTTGAGGGCGATTTGGCCAGATTAAGACAAAAACCTGCTTCGTAGTTATACAACACTGTGTTTTATGTACCACTAATTTACCGAAAGAGTAGGCATTTTAATAAATCGATCCGAAACAGCATAAAAGTGCGTATTACAAGACCGCTTATTAGCAAATAGCAAAAAGTACCGTCGTAGTTAAGATTATACCTGACAATTAATAACTGAGACAACAAAACTGCGCTGCGATACACTTTTTCCAGTGCACTGTTCTTATGATACGTTATTCGATCAGTGTTTTGTAGGAGTTCACAGTGTGATTAAAACAGTCTGGCCATATCGCTTCTGGACATTCCGGTAATGTGTTGTCCCACTTGTAAGCGGCGAACTGGGACGAGCTCAGGCAGTAGGGCTGGAGAACAGCGTTGACCGCGCTGTTAACAGATTGTATGGCTGAGTTCGACATGTCCGTAGGTTTGGTTTTGGTGTACACATAAAGATGAGTACTGGCACAAGCTCCCGATGCCCAGTTGTGCTTAGCACACCAAAAGAACATCACGTACGACGACTGGTCAGTTGACCAGATGATGGAAACATCGTAACCTGCCAAAACAAGAATAGAGGTCACTCTTTCAGCTGTTTGAATTTTTGCTTTCGAATGGCTTCTGGAATTTTGAACAAAAAAATCTATTAATTTAATTGTACCGATACCGGCGATACGTATGCGTCTACCGCAGTAATCTTGTTTAATTGTCGTTTAGTATACATATTTCATTATATAAATATACACTACCGTGGAGGGTATTGTTAATATGCACACACAAACACAATACGTACCATCTTCATTTATAGCCCCTGAACTGGTCAGTCCAAAATACGGCCCAAACTGGCGTCCGTCGTTCGTGAATTCGCAGACTTCCACTTCATAAGCGCAAGAACCACTTGTATATTTGCGCTTTTCTTGGTAAATTATTTCAGATAATTGGCTTCGGGTAGGTTCGACGCTTGTTCCCAGACTGGTGTAGTAATTGACGACATTTACATCGGTTGGATTTTGCGCCGTGCCGGAATCGCTATTGTATGTAAGGTAGCCATACCATGGTCCGGGGGTCATCAGCTAGAAGTAAATAGAATAAAAGCCCGGTAAAGATAACTAATCGGCAAAGTACTGCACTGTATATCTAGGTATTTGCGTAAGAGGTAAATTACTGCTTAACCAAGTTTGTCTGCTAACTAGTCAAATGTTTTTTTATTTGTTTATACGGATTGAGTGCACGCTTATACGGATTGAGCGAAAATAGGTACCTGGCCGATGTTATACGTGTTAGGAGTCGCGACAACGTTCGGTATTGGAGTGCAGGATCCCGTTCCACTACCCGATCCACTACCGCTTCCCGTACTTCCGGTCCCTGAACTGGAGCCGGTTCCGCTGCCATTCCCGGTTCCCGTGTTAGTTCCCGTATTAGTTCCAGTGTTAGTTCCAGTGTTGGCACCAGTATTGGTTCCCGATCCAGTCCCTGATCCAGAGGTACCCGCTCCGTAATTGCCAGTATACGTTTGACCATTGGCATAGAACACAAAAGTTAGCCAACCTATAATTATTACAAAGATTATTAGTCAACAGTTTTTGTTACGAATAACCCTGTACGGCATGTAATATTATGTTCATCAAGAATCATCAAGACAGTATAATAAAGGCAGCAGCTAACAAGTAAGCTGTTAGTCCACCCTGCAAAGTACAGAGTATGTGAACTGGCTGCAGACCTAAAAAAATAATGCCAGTGTTGCTGTTCATGTTGCCGGTTTTTCAGTATTCTAGACTGGGTAAATAGATAAACAGGATAAAACAGAATATTTTAAAAAGTCAGCAATCACCAAATTGGAAGCTTACTGTTCGCGATGGACAACAGCAGTAAATTATACGTGTCCACTCTGTCACATACGTCCTTATCCAGATTCAGATCTATATTGCCACGAATGGGATACACCAGAGCCGGCAAACCAGAAAAGACTGACCAAAACCGATATCATATTCTGAAAGCCCGTAGTCGAAAACCCGGCCAGATAGTATTCATTTCTTTCAAAACCTCTCCCGCTTCGAACGCCAAGGCGGAAGAGTTTTGACTACCTTCACCAAATGTATGTTACTAAATTATTATAATAAAAATTATCGTCGTGGGACTTTTAACCAGGCCGTATTGCCACGTAAACCAACTAAAATATAGCAGTTACAAAATGAAAGTATTTTCCACTAATTAAAATATCAGAATGAATTTAGCAGAACGTTATTACGACAAGAACGACTACATATCTAACGCTGTCATCGAGAGCAATTTCCAAACAAGTGCCGGCCGAGCAGCTATCGCTACACTATCACTACTGTGATTGTCTGTTCAAAATCAGTGATAGACCGAACTACCGCCGCTGTTCAGTGCACAAACCGTTAGTTCAGCGAGTGACCGAAATACCACTATATTCTAGTTAAAATAGCCCGCTAAGCCAGTGAGTGACCGAACTACCACTATGGATAGCTATGTGAGCGGTTGACCGAGCTGTCATAACTGTCCGATGCTCAAAGCCCGGTGGGTAAGCGGGTGACCGAGCTGTCACTACTGTCCAGTGTACAAAGCGCGTTAGGGAGCGAGCGACTGACATACCACTACTGTCCGTGCACTCAGCCCGGTAGGTGAGCGGGTGACCGAGCTGTCACTACTGTCCAGTGTACAAAGCCCGTTAGGGAGCGGGTGACCGAGCTGCCACTACTGTCCAGTGTAGAAAACCCGTTAGCCCGAGTTTCCACTACTGTCCGGCGCAGAAAGCCCGTTAAAGGTGATACGAGTGATCGAGCTACCACTATTGTGGAGTGCACAGAGTCCGTTAGGTGGGCAGCCGATCGAGCTAGCACTACCGTCCGGCGAACAGAACCGGTTAAGCAAGCAAATAGTCGAGGTACCACTACTGACCGGCCGTACACTACCGGGCACCCACCACTTTCCAGTGAAAAGAGCCAGTGAAGTGACGAATCACCGAACTAGTGATCCAGTGCACTATCACTGTTCCGAATTTCATACCTTATACAAGGTAGATTGATATTTCGGCTATCTTTTTTCGGATAGGGGATATCGTAAAAATTATCTCCATGTACAGCCAAAGGGAATGCTTTCAAGGTTGAGAGAATCATGAACTGATTTTCATATAAAATTCGTGTTTGCCCTATTGCATGTATCAATCATGTTCGACGAAATACAGATGTTATTCTAATAAATATTCGTTCAAATTCAAATAAAATGCCCATGGACCACAAGAAACGCGGAGGCGAAGCCGAGGCTGTTTCTCGTATACTGGTATTAACAGCCTACAAATATTTTACAAATTCACAAAACAGTCAAAACCTGTTTAGCTAGTAAAACGTGGAAGGTCACTGCCTCGAAAACAATTTTCCGCTAAATTGGCGCGGAGTGCTAGAGAACATTGTCTTTGAATAATCAGTGGTTTTAAAAAATTACAAATACCCTTTAGCGTTGTATTAACGCGAAAAGGTCACTAACATCTCCAAGTCAATGTTAGAGAAACTTCCACTACGTAATTAAAACGTGTTTTTTAATGATACACGATGAACTGGCAATTTTTTAGCAAGACACTGTCAAGGATAAAACCAGAATTTGGCTCAGTTCAAGCTGAAAGTACCTTTTAATGCAACTTTACAATAACAAACTACTCGTAAAAGTTGATCACTTTTTCAACCTGACTACAGCATTGCAAAGAACCTCAGAAAGAATTTATGTTGCGATGAGCTTTTGCATTGTAATCAAAATGCATTCGCAGTATATAACTGCATAGCAATATTACGACAATATCCATCAGGGATGATTATCAAAGTTGCACTTTTACAAAATTTAGATTCAGACCGTATAAAACGGTTTTGTCATAAATTAAGACGATCAATCCTTAAAAAAACTGCACACAAAGTCATGTTTAACAGTATCTTTTGAATAACAAGATGGTACACAACCGTATATAAATTTCTCTCCCAGTTTAACATCGGCATTATGTTATTCAATTAATGTTTTATAGGCGTTTACGGTGTGATTAAAACAATCCGGCCAGGCAGGTTTGGGACACTCCGGAAGTGTGTTGTCCCACTTATACGCGGCAAACTGGCTGGTGTTTAAGCAGTACGTCTGCAGGACACCGTTAACCGCGCTGTTGATCGACTGCGTCAACGTAGATGACATATCCGTTGGCCTTGTCCTGGTGTAGACGTAAATGTGAGTGCTGGCACATGCTCCCGATGCCCAATTGTGTTTTGCACACCAGAAGAATAGTATGTACGTCGATTGGTCAGTTGACCAGATGATGGAAGCATCATAACCTGCAGGTGCAAAATTAAGATCGCTGTTGCAGTTGCATGCTTCTTCATATTTCCTTAACGATGATTTCCGGAACTCGAAAAAAACTAATTAAATTTTGGTTTTGCTATAGCCCAGTATTTCAATTGTTGACACTGCGTTGCTTCTTGCGCTATCAACGCTAAATAAATTATTAACAGTATTTTACTAACCATAAGGTGATTACGTAAATATGCATACCATCATCGCTTATGGTCCCCGTGCTGGTCAGTCCATTGTACGGTCCAAACTGGCGTCCGTCAGTTGTGAATTCACTGATTTCAAGTGAGTAAGCACAACTACCACTTGCGTATTTGCGCTTTTCTTGATAAATTATTTCAGATAACTGGCTTCGGGTAGGCTCGACGCTTTTCCCAAGACTGGTATAGTAATTGACGACATTCACATCCGTAGGGTTCTGCGTCGAGCCGGAGTCGCTGTTAAAGGTCAAATAACCATACCATGGTCCGGTTGTCATTAACTAAAAACAGAACCTCATGTAACCATATCACATAATTTTACTTTGCGCAGCGGCTTCGAATATTTACAGGTGTGAAATCGTTAATTACCTGGCCAATATTGTAAGTGTTCGGGGTCGCGATAACGTTAGGAACTGCGGTGCATCCTGCATTAGTTCCAGTCCCGGTTCCAGTACTACCAGTTCCAGATCCTGCGATTCCTGTCCCACTTCCGGTGACGTACAACACGTCGGCATAATTCTGCGTGATTTTTATCTTCTGACCCAAGCACAGGTCAAAGAAATCTAGGACTATAGTAACGATTTTACAAGGTGTCATAGATTAATATTTGCACATAGTCATTTGGTTGATCAAATTTATGGCAAAGCTTACTGACCGAGGTAAAGTACTAAAGTTTTATATTTCGTGACCAGTTCCATATTCCGCAATCCGACGTTGTCTCCTTAACTGGTACCCGAGGAACGCAAGGCTGATTGTGAGAATATTGCAACTACACGTAACATCAACCGAGCTCGAAGCTTGTCACTCATTTACATAGCAGTCTTCGGGCTATTTATACGAGCATGATTTTGTATGTTATCTGTACCTATTTCATACACGTTTTTCTTGTGATTACGCAGTAATTAGACGTACTATGCGATAATCATTTAACAACATACCATGAAATCGTTCAACACGAATATTATTTACACCTACTCGCATTACGTAACTTAACTTAATTAGTTCGAAATTCAAATTAGCAACTCCGGCGTCGGCAACATACAGAAATTGTACTCGTATTTCCACTTTTCAACTGCATGAGCGATTTCGGTCTAAACGTTCACCAGATTTGAGTGAAGTTTACGAAGGCACTCTAATGTTCGTTGGTTTTTATTATATTATATTTTTGTACTGAATGCCAGGGCACTTCAACCTTGGGAGTTGAAAAAGCAAGCTCGCTGCTGTAATATCATTATGGCAAACCGCGGTTAAAACAGGTAGAGTAGTGCATTTAAAATTTTCAGTACAATGATCGGTTATCAACTGAGCGGAAATTTCGCCAGAGGCCAACAAAATCCGAAATACAGCACCTACCAAGATAGATTATTTCTGAGTGTCCGCAGAATTCAAAAACCATGGCCATTTTAAAACAATTTTGCTTATATACGAGTATAAACCATTTCAAGGGGTATAAACGTACAGTAGGGAATAAACGTACTAGGGAATAAACGTACAGTAACTAGGGAATAAACGTACAGTAACATTGTGAGTTTTCCACCGGTAGTCGAAAAGTTGAAATAAGAAAGATTGGAAAGTCGTTGGCGTATCCAATAAATTTTTTATTAAGGCTCAGCCATTCAACTTGCCAGGATTGTTACCTATGTATACAGCAGTCGTTTACAGTAAATTCAGTAATTGTACAAGTACTCCTGCAGTGCATGTTTTCATAATAATATTGTATTTTAGACTACCGTATATGCGGAATCGTTTTTGGGTACTTACACAAATCGCACAATAACATCTACCACCATTACTCCGTTATTTTGCCAAAACCGGATAGTTATTTGTTGCAGATGTACGGTCTTCCCAACCCTGATCTTTCAAATAATCAACATAAATACTGCATTCTTCGAAATAGTGCGCCCATCCTGCTTATGCAGCAGAATGACAAATACAGAGCAAACTCAAACTAAAAAAGAAGCGTATAGAACACGCACAACGTATGCTTGCCGAGTGCGCAACATAAAGGAATATTCATCAAATAAAAAGGCAAAGACCGATTCCGGTTAAATTTGTTCTTGCCTTAGGTAATTCAAGGTGGGCCCTAATACACAAGATAAAAGAATTGTCTGTTAATAAAACTTTAAGGTCGAAAATTTTGATTTATTGAAAAATGGCAGCAAAGATAATTTATGTGCTTACGCTTTTACCGGTGTGTCTGGGTATTCCCGGTGTTGTTGACCTTTCGCAGTCGTTGATGGATAAAGCTCGTTATCCCGAAATTAAAGGATGCTATAGAATTGAGGCTCTTATTCTGACAATGCAAAACCCCCGAGGAACAACGCGCAACTGGATGCCATGTGATTTAGTTCCCGGAAGTTGCAATCCGAAAATTACCGGAGCTATTGACTAGTAAGTTGCTCGTGTCATCCTTTTAATTTAAACAAATAACGTTTCCCTTTATAACGGCAATGAACAGTTCTGCAAACTGTTTTACGTGACGGTAATATAATTGAGTATTGTCACGTGTTACTCCAGTGAGACGTTTCCATGAAAATAATTGTTAATTCGATTTTGATCATATCAGTTCAGAGTAATTAAGTTTCCACTTTCCAGCCAAACCCCAAACAATGATTTTGGTAAAGATTCCGTTCCGTACAGCCGGTTTTCTACGTTATGGGACGGTGGGTCGACGAAAAATGTGGATGTCAATCAAATTATGAGCAAGGATGTCTGCAACCACAGCACTTGGGTAACTGATAAACGCACAAGAAGGAAATTATCCTGCGTGCCTAACGGACACTGCTAGTTGAATTAACTAACACTGGCTTGTTTACAGAAAGTTAATGTGCGCATTCGTGCCGTCGATAAAGGTATATAATATAATACCTGGTAATAAACAATCTAAAATACGGTAGTATCAATACTGAACGGTTATTATAGAACTTGAAACCGATAAGATAATTATGCTGCATTGTTTTCCCGTGTTTCGTACGTGTCTTAGGGTAGGGTTTTGTTTTGGCGCATGCCAGTGGAAATCTGTAAAAAAAGCTTTTATGTCTTGTTCTTGTTCTTCCCAGATGTAATCAGCGACGACAGTATTGACCACTGGAGCTGTTTCATTTACACAACTGACGCCCCGGCTTCCAGCGAGCAGAATGCCCACTGGAGCGATGAGAAAACATGCACAGGACACAACAGTGCTCACAAGTAAAAAGATAGAGTGCTTCTGATGCGCAAATTTGTTCGTGATTACACTGAATGCTTAATTCTCTCCTTTGTAGGATTACCTGGAAATACCGATGGTTTTATGTGCCGTGCTCATCCTGCAAAGAAGTCGCCGGAAGTAGTGGTATACTAAGACGATATACGCCACTAATTGGTTGATGATCAAATGTACATAATAAATCTACTGTATTGTACGACTGTGCTGTACTTCAAGCGCGTCTATAAAGCATACCGTTGAGCATGGTTTAACAAAAAGTATACTAAACTATAAAAAAGTCTAAATAGATATTTTTAGTGGATTTACACGAGTAATACAACCGTTTCGGGAGGGATAAATCTGTTGGCATGCATAATTTTGCGATTTTGTGAAGGTTGGTTACAATTTTAATGTTTCAACTGGCGCTTACCATTAGACTGCGCAAAGGTCACCGACACCTCAAAATTTTGCATGCAAGAGAACTTACCATAAATCCTGATTATTGTCAAACAGAATACGGGGCTACATTGAAATACAAATTAGGCGATTGCTGGCGTAATTCGCGATGCAGCACTATTGTAATCACTGTCATAACCACGTACAGGAGGAATTATTTCCGTAATAAAACGCGTATTGCCTGATGCCTGCCGCATCCTCTCATCCGCTTTATCCGTGTAATGTAAACTGCAGCAAGCATTTACGTTGCAGTTGCATTACAGTAATATTGTACAGCGTTAGGCCGGGAGTGGAGCAGCATCCGGCCGTGTATTATACAGAATTGTTATTAATACGCCATTCTATCGCGTCAGTATCAATATATTGGAAACAAGGTGCGCTTTTTGATGTTGTGCGGTTATGCGGAAGCACTAACGATGTTCGTCTGAGGCGATCGTGATTTAAAGAAATATTATGTACCACAAGATCTATTTCTCTACAGTAAAAGTTTATATTGCACAATTTTAGCGCGATGCTAAGGACACTGCTGCTGTTAATGTATTGCTTGTATTTTGGGCTTCAGATAAATTTTCTAAACGGGCAAAACATGCGAGCATGCGTATTTAAAAACAGCTATGCACGAAAACTTCAATTTGATTACAGTAAAGCGGGAGCAGCGGTTGAATTAGCTGCTGATTATGTAGTCAATGACAGCGTTTTACCGGCTGGCGTTAATCTAGAGCTGTTTTCTATCGAGCTCGGTCCAGAGTGTCCAGATCAGAGTCACGCCCAGGATTATGTTTTGGATCTATGGAGTCGAGGGTTCATCTGCAATATCTATATCGGTCCAGGTAAAGCTAAGCGGCTTGTAGTTAAAAATTAAAAATATTATTTGCTTTTCGTTCTCGCAGTTTAAAATTTTACATTGCGTCAGGCATGGTTTGCTGCTTCCTTAAATGAAATGCAACATGTAGTAAATTAATAGCGGCACATGCTGGCCATAACGCACTACGAGTACAATACAACGGTGCAGTTCATCCTACTGAGTTGTGCGAGTGTCAAAGTTAAATAAGTGTTAGGAGTATTTCTAAGTTTCTTCTGGCGATTAAAAGCTGCTTGTAGTGGAAACACCAGTTATATACCTAACACTAATATAAAAATAGTAGCGCTATTACTCGTATTACTACGTTATATTCAAGACCAAGTTCGCTGTGTACAAAACAGGATGTTTTTACTTAAACTGACTGTCAACGGGTGAATTTCATCGCAAATTTACGTAATATACATTTTTTAATTATTAATCTTTATTTGTGACCGAAATTAGGATGCACAGCCGATGTGGAAAATGTGTACGACATTTCCGATTTCCTTCGGATTCCCATGATTGGATTATCCGGTGCCGGTGTTGGTGCCGGGACGAGTCTGGCGTTTTATCCGTCTCTAATTAGAATGTCCGTTACCCACACGAATACCCTCTCCGTATTATTACGTTTCTTTGCCTACTTCAATTACACCAACATCGCTGTTATTGTGGATCGGTCTGACCGGTTTTACACCGATATGTTTAATGTCATCCAGGGAACCATCTACAGGCAAACGGACTCGCGTTTCTATCTGTCGACGCTATTTCGGCAATTTAACAGCCGTAGAACTAACGCAAAGGAAAGCATCCGAATGATTTTCAAGGAAATCGAGCAATCTGCACGAGGTGTTGTACCTTCTCAATCCTCACAAAGTAAAAACTGTTGTCTTTCCGATTTGTGTAGTTAACGATATTTTTTACAGTTGTGTGCTTATTGGCCAATGGAACAACCACAAGAAAATTGATGGTAATAAACATTCGTACAGATACTGCATGCTGTGCTGAGATTCCAGTAAAAAAAGTGATAATGATGTATTCCACAAAATAGTACTTCCACTCTAATTAACCTGGCAGTGCCAGCGGTATCAAGGAGTTTTTTGTCGAAGTTTGGTAAAAATTGAGGAACCTTAGTGGTGCTTTTTGCACCTAGCAGACGCTGCCGGGTTAATGTATGGCAAATCCAGCGGTCAAATAATTTAGTATGATTTATCATTAGTTTTTACAGTTACGCCTTACATTTTTAGGTCCGGGCTGCTAAGTACAACATGATTTCCAGCGACTATGTGAGTAGCCTGCAATCTTGCAATCTGAAGTTTATGGGATAAATGATTTTTTTTCTTGATAATTTGCTTTTTAAATGCGTACAAGCACGAGCAGATGTAAGTCATCCAAAGTTATAATGTGCCTCCTCATTATTGCGAATATCTGTACTACGCTTTGTTACCCTACCCGATACTGGCTGGTACAAATGTAATTAATTTATCAAGGTGACGGATCGAAATATTATTTCTAATACCCAGTAACGCAATAATTCAATAATTTATTGTGCGATTCAGGTCTATTTGGCTGTGGAGCTCTTTCAGAGCGCAACATGGGGATCGTTTAGTTGGCAAGTTTATGATGACGATGACAATGTAGGTACGACTTATTATGCTAAGTACCTATCTGTACGTATTACTTTCATTTTTGTTTTATATTATAGTCTAATTTTTCACGTTCTATATTCACAGTTTTTCAGTATTAGAGATGAACGTCTTCAGTAAAATTATGAAATGATTATCATCTGTATTTTCTTTCAGGCAGCTCGAACAGCGTATTCATCGCTACTACTGGTGTCGTACAAGCAAAGCATATCAGCAGTTCAAGAACAGTTTGAAAGAAAAATCAAAGAAAAATCTCCTAAGTACGGATACATCTATGCAGCCCGGGAAAAGGTCTCATATCTCATGTTAATTTTTTTTTACATTTTTTATCACTGAATATATATCGTAAATTTATATATCGTAAATCATATATATATTTCGTAAATCGTAGTAGGTTAACGCAAAAACTAATGGCATATCTTGTATAGGTGGAAACCGTTGTTGCGCATTTCTATGACGCAATTGTTCTATATGCGTCGCTCTTATCATCCCTCGTGAAAATGGGTGCTAAAGTTACGGATAACGAGGCACTGTGGAAAATAGCCAATAACTACAGTTTTACGAGCCCACTCAGTGGATTGGTCCAGCTGGACAATAACGGAGATCGCCTCAATGATTACGCAATTAAAAAGTTCAGCGATACTTCTTCCAGATTTGAGGTACATATATTTTCTGAACTTCAGTATAAAACAATTCAGTATAAAAAAAGAGCACGTATCTGTACTGTAAAAAGATTAATACGATCGTACTTCGATTTGGTGTACGTACGGGCAGCACTCTAGATAAACACAGTTATACGGACTACAGATATGTGGTAATATGCATATACAGGCAATTTTTAGAATTTAATGCAGCAGAATTGACACATTAATGCTTTACCACAGATAAAGAATATTGGGTGTGTGTGTTATATTAAACTGTTTGCAGCCTTTCCTTGAGCTTCCTTTCGCAACTCGCACCGTTCAGATTGTGGACAAAATAACATGGAAGGATGGAATGTCTTTCTTACCACCGAATACGCCGCGATGTGGATTTCGTGGTGACAATCCAGATTGCATTGTCCGCAAAGGTCATCAGTGTCAATCTAACGTTTGAATAACACTGCGGCTAGCGGCGCGTGTAACTGCTCACGTGTAACGTTACAGCATTAAGTTACAGCATTGCCTTTTTATGGATATCCGGAACTTTCTTGCCTTTCTCCAGATTATTCTCTAAATCTTGTAGATTCCGGGTGGGATGCACGCACCATCGTGACCATTGTGCTCATACCGCTGCTAATCGTCATCTTCGGATGCGCTACAGCGCGTTTCGTCCTGACACGGTACATCTGGCTAAAATAGAACGGATTATCTGATGTTTGCAAGTAATTCTTAGGCTTTTGTCTCTGTAGATATTTTAAGGGGACGTTTGATCCGTACTGGTGGCGCATACTGGAGCAGGAATTACGAGAACCTAGTATTGATGGAATGGGAATTACAGCTGTGCAGTCACGATCGCATCACAGTGCTTCCGGCTTATCTGCTGCGCGCTTTACAACAACGTCAAGCAAGGTATGCAGAATTAAATTAACAGAATAAACAAAATTAAAACTGCTGGTCTCAGAAATACATTTTGAGATAAAAGCAAAAATTTTGTAACGCCCACCCATTGATTTACTGTGCGTGGAGGATCTTTGTATTAATATTGGTGTTTAGGACAAAAGTTCCAAACTTAAAGACACGATATCGGCCGTTAAATCCACGTTTACCATCGGCTCATTATATCCTACCTGCAACCAAATCTTTGTTTACAAAACTAATCTCGTTGGAGCAACGGTGCTGCCTGTCCCGCTTAAACGGGCTAATATGGAGATCGCCCAAGCAATGCTTCCGGTACTGTAAACTGCGAATAAATTAAAGTCGGCATTACTTGCGTAGCTTTAACGTACTTCCTTTAACAGTAATTTAACAAGTCCAAAAAGATAACTTATGCTAGCTGCATCAGCGGTTATTAGAAAAAGCAATTGGAGTAAATTACTCATATATACATCTATTTGTAGTTGCGGCTGATCCAACATGTTAACTTGCAAGAATTCTACGGCATCGAGGTCAGCAATGAGAACTTGTGCCTATCGCATATTGGCGAACTCTGCCCAAAAGGCAATTTAGCTGTCCTACTCAAGAGCAGTACCGTTAAGCTGGATGAAGTGTTCAAAATTTCTCTCGTCCAGAATCTCGTTACTGTTAGTACATAAGTTGTGATCATTTTGGAAAACTGCATTCACCACAATATTTAATTAATGTTTCAGGGGCTAAGTTATCTGCATAAGAGTGTGGTGGCCAGTCACGGTTTTTTATCGGAAACCACTTGTTTAATCGACTCGCGGTTCGTGTTGAAAATTACTGGTTACGGACTGAGTGTATTCCGCACCGAGGCACAACTACACCCGCCGGCCAGCAACGCTGACATTAAAATTTTCTACGATTATTTGTGGCGTGCCCCGGAATTTCTGCGTAAACCAATGGGCCCCAAGGGACGCCAGCCGGGAGATGTGTACAGTGTGGCTATCCTCATGCATCAGATTATCCTGGAAAAACCGCCCTTTGGTAACCCGGCGCACGAAGAAGACCCGTGGATTGTGGAAGACGAGGGGAAAATTAAGGATATTATTATGGAGGTACCTTCGTAAATTGCATGTCAGATGTCCATAAAATTATTAATGCGCTGCCGGTTTTTAAGGTCATCGATGCCTAACACAATTTTTATGGCACAGGTAAAACGCGGATCTCCTCCATTACGACCGCGCCTGGTCCGTAATGTCGGGCCAGACTTCCTGTGGGATTTGATGGAGCAGTGTTGGATGGAAAATCCCGCTAGTCGACCCACCATACACAAAGTACAGGAAACCATTAAACACCGGGCCCCGCAGCCGGGTGACCGCGTTACCGACCATCTTATTCAGCGAATGGAAGGTTATGCGACTACTCTGGAAGAGGAAGTCGAGCACAAGACCCGGCAGTTTATGGAGGAAAAGCGTCGAGGAGAAGAAATCCTTAGCCGAATGCTACCAAAGTCCGTCCATGTATAAATATTTTTCAACTGTAAATCCAACGTTGTTCCTATGCATTTTGACAAATCGCTAATCCATCATATAAATTTCTCTTAAAAATTTAAAAAAAAAATGTTTACGGTTAAGTGTTGTTTATGTTGTTGCGAAAAATTGACATTTACGTTTTATAGATATGTAGCCCGTGCAATCACTGATGGAATGCACATAGAACCGGAGACATTTGATAGCACGACAGTTTTCTTCAGTCACCTGGAAGGTTTCGAGCAGATCATCAGTAGGGCGTCTAATCCGTTGGATATCACAACGATCCTAAATAACTTTTACGTAATCTGTGATGCCGTGATCGATAAATATGATGTCTATAAAGTGGAGGTCGTTACGGACGCGTACATGGTACAGGAAATGACCTTTCCATAGGATTTCATTTTGCAGTAAAGTCAGTTAGCCTTTGTGTGGCGCAGGTTGTTAGTGGATTACCGGTTCCCAATGGAATCGAGCATGCCAGTATTATTGCGAAAATGGCGCTGGAACTTACACGGAAAATAAGCGGAAGAGCGTTTGATGGCTCCCCGGATGGCACTTCGGTTGACTGCGACCTTCGAATCGGAATGAATTCCGGTATGAATTAAGCTGCTGCATTAAAACACTAAAGTATTTGTAACAAATAAAACCAAAGCTGCACAGTATAAATTCATAATTTAAAACAATAATAATTACTGACTAAGTGGAAAATGCCATCTCAGGTATAATAACGCATTTCCAGGTTCATGTGTAGCTGGTATAATTGGAATCAAGCTTCCACGATACTGCTTGTAAGTTTGTGATACCCACGCTTGCAACTAATGTAAATGCGGGCAGTAAGGTGGTTTAGAAACGCTCGCTTTTGCAGCGCAGAGAACTGATAACGTTTTCATTACATTAGCTAAATACAAAAATGTATATTAGCAAATATCTAAAAACATGTCTGGAAATATTTAGATTTGGTGACACCGTGAACATAGCTTCCAGAATGGAGTCAAACGGGCAAGGTAGTCTTAATCGTGTGTCGACAGTGGATAATCACATGTACAATACCTAACGTATGTAATGGGTGACTTACGTGTGTAACCCGTGTCCCATAATAATTGCAGCCGGCAAAATACACGCCAGCACAACTACTCAGGAATTGCTCAAGAACAACACAGATTTCAGCTTTACTTGTAGGGGTGAAATTACAATCAAGGTGCGGTGCACCTAGCTAATTAGACGCTCCCAACTACGAATTTGAATAAATTATTTGCAGGGAAAAGGCATGATGACGACATACTGGCTACATGGAAAACAGCAACAGCCACATTAGTTTCCTTCCGTTTTTTACTTATCCAAATTAAATACATATTATATTATTCATATCAAACTAAGTTAGCAAATCGACTGTATTTACTGTAGCCCAGGAATAATTTTTCAATAAAGTTTTGTGTCTAATTTATTCCTGAGAAAACGATTTGCGCCAAAAATAATTACAAGTATCATAAGTCTTGCAAATTAGCGGTCTGTCGAAAGTTATGGTACTGCCCGATGATTAAGGCGGAAAGCGGTTTTATTATCATTTTCCTATTTGGAACCACGGTAAAAAATGAACGGGGTGGAGTGAATATCATTATTGTATCAACTAACGTTAGCCATAACACAAACAAATATATCCGCGTACCTTGGCATTAATCATGAGCACCAAGCCTACAGGGCACAACTGACAATCGACGTACAAAGCCGACTACAGTCAGCCATCCCTACCTGCGATGTTTAACAGCAAAATGTCAAGTTTTCTAGGCAAAAAACAGCATTGACTAGCGGTTTTACAAGAACAGTTGATCAGGTGTCACAGCCGGTTGCTCATATTTATACCCGTTCAACCGGTCGGCTGCAGTGCACACTGCTACTGCTTCCTCTTATTTACTAGCAAAGGGTGGTTCTTGCATGCTAAAAAATGAATCCCCTTTCCTTTTTTACTACGATACTGGCATGCTGCTCCTGTGCTTTGGCAATTCCGGGACCATGGGATCTCATGCAGGACGCGCTGGACCTGAAGAACACCAAGATTACAGGCTACTTCCGGATTGAAGCGCTGATCCTCACCATGCAGAATCCACGCGGCACCACCAGGCGCTGGATGCCGTGCGACTTAGTTGCCGGGAAGTGCGATCCTTTGATCAAAGTTGCCATCGACTAGTAAGTGTGCATCGCTGAATAGAATGAAAATTATATCGTGTACTGTATTGAAATATGTGCAGTTTGTCTTGTGCATAGCATAAATTTACTGTTACGCCTTCAGCTACAGAGTACTAGCAGAAACAGTTTAACTTGGTAAAGGTTTAGAGGTTTTCTGGTTAATATATATGCATTTGTAATCCTTTTGGAAGTTTTGATTAATTTAGGAGGTAATAGTTGCTGTTTTACAATACTGTAATGTTAATGTGTGCATTCGATCATTTAATTAAGTTAATTTTCAGTCATACCCCCAACTACGACTTTGGAAAGGATTCCGTTCCGTACGGCCGGTTTTTGACTATTTGGGATGGAAGTGGTGAAAACAACGTCGACATCAATAAAATCGTCAGCAAAGACGTCTGCAATCATAGTACACGTGTAAGTTAATCAAGACAAGTTCCCACATTTATCGCGTCTTTTTGCCAGGAACAACTCACCTCCCATCACGAACAAAATGCGTTAGAACGATGTGTCAGTTAAACTGCCTTGAGGCGATGGATTTACAGTAATTGATTAATATGGGAGTGTGATTATGGGAGTGGAATATTGCGATATTTAACGAACACAGCACTTTTAGATGACTTAATTGTTTCGTACCACTCTGTCGTGTATTTTACATACAACTACCTTGCATGTGCGTAACACATTATTACCATTTACTGAAGTATTTTACGTTGCAGAAAGTCAATGTGCGAATATTGGCAAAAGATAAAGGTAAGCCGTTGGTGTGGGTTCGTTTCTAACGATAAGTGCTGTACATTAAGTCCAAGTATGTTTCTCAAAAGTTTGATTTTGCTCTGTATAAAGACTGGTTTTGAGTAAGCATATTAATATACTGTAAATACGTGAACTCAACTTGTTGTTTAAACTCATAAGCAATCAAAATCTGCATCTTTCCTCTGATTTACACACATCATTAATTTTTTGGTGGTGTTAAGCCGTATGTTAGTGTTTCGAGTTCTTGTCTGACCGATAGACAAACTAACAAGTAAAGTAAATTGATAATATAATTTTGATCTTGCCATTATGATCAGATTACAATTTGTGTGAAGTCCTTTGCAGTAGTAATAATACTCTCATTTTATCATGACAGATGTTATTCGGGACGACACTATCGATCACTGGAGCTGTTTTATCCAAACGACACCTCCGCCGGCAGAAAGTGAGCAGACTGCCCAGTGGTCAGAGGAGAAAACATGCAGCGGCCACAACAGTGCGCATAAAATTACCTGGAAATACCGATGGTTCTACGTACCGCAGGATCAATGCAAGGAAGTTGATGGCAGCAGTGGTATCATTCGTCGGTACATTCCATTGTGGGGCAAGAAATAAATATTCTCTTTAAGCTGCTAAAATTGATGTTTACCGGTTAACTCTTTCTAATCTTGTTGTTTACGAACCAACCATTTCGCGCAAAGTTGTAAACAAGGTTGCGCTTGCGGGCTGATGCAGTATTTGTTCCATAAAATTGATTTTGATACATTAGTAAAAAATCACAGTTCACAAGGTGGACACAGTTCTGTTGTCAAACCATGAATTGCCGTGAATTTTTTATTTAACTTTCATGGAATGCAGTAAGAAATGCCGCAATGAGTTAACGCAGATCTGTACCTCAAGATTGTACTGATCACTGTTGAATACGGGATTTCGCGGTTATGCATAAGATTGGTCGAAGTGGACACCAATCGGATTGAAATGGTTAATAAATCGTTTATCTTAAACTGTCATCAGTAAACTGTATCGTGGGCTTTTAAATAGTGCAACCAGTTTATTTGGCTGGCTACCAAAGTATTATTTTTACGATCTCGCTCTACACTGCAAAGAAACAAGCTAGAAGTATATTATTTAATAATCAGCACTAGATAGTGATCTTGTTGAGTGACATTTATCCCAATAAATTCGACTATTTAACCGCAATTAGTCTAATTGTTTCCTGTCTTCGCGGAAACTTCTTGGATTCACTCTATGACTTAGCCACCTGGCAAAGGTGCCCCAACGGTCATTTGGCTCTCCTTTAAAAAATAATTGATATCAGTACTATCCCGCAGCAAAGTGGCAAAATTTTTTTGGAATAAATGTGAAAAGTCATCCGGATGACACCGGCCAGTGAAAGTAAGTATATAAAGCGCTAACTAAAAATAACCAACCAAAAAAATTGCGATCTGATTTTGTAATGCACGGCTAATTACTTAGTATTTATTGCCAGTAGTACCGGTAATCCATTTCGCTAAGACGTGCACATAACCCATATACCGCTATATGATCTGTTTTCTGCAATTTGACCTTTAGTGCATTCACAAGGCACCAAAATGTCGCTTGGGCATAGTACGGTTGTTTGTGTTGGTAAGTTTCATCTGGGTAGTGCATATGTATAATACAAGCACATGCAATGTTTATAAATCGTACCCGAGCAGACATTACGTTCCGTTTGTAATCGTTGTTGTATGGTTTACAGGCCTTTTACTCGTGAGCTTCTACCATTCGGCTAATGCAGCTGGAAACAAAGCTTCGAATTCTGGGACCACCACCGGAAGTGGCAAGTGTAGCCAGCTCCCAAATGTCCTTTCGAGCACTAACACATACAAAATTAAAGAGGTATGTGCAATTATATGTGATAATATTATGATAGTATACAATATGGCGATACAATGATATACAGTGTTTTACCAGTAATAAAGGAAAAATTATGTAAATGTTCGTGACTTTGCTGTTAATTGCACGATTTATAAGAATGAATATGATGTGTGTAGTAAAATATTTTTGCGACATCGTATTACTGCCGTCTTATTTTACTAACTAAATGCCTGTTTTAAGATAATATTTTTAACTTTTCATGCAGCTTATGACCAGCAACCCTTGGTACGGATACTTGACATACAACAGCGACACTCGCACGGCGCAGGATCCTTCAGAGTTAAACGTAGTAAATTATTACATTAGCTACTGGAAAAGCAGTGAGCCAACACGATCCCAACCGTCGGAACTGATGTATCAACAAAAACGGAAATACGTGAACGGCTCCTGTGCTTACCTGCTGGAAGTAGCGCAGTTTACCACCGATGGTCGGCAGTTTGGACCATATTTGCAAACTAACGGTTCAGGCCAGATCACTGACGATGGTAAGAGTGCGCTCAATTTACTAAATAATAATTTTATTTGCGTAAAATTATTAATTAAACGTAGCAGTCTTCAAACAAAGCACAATCGCATACACAGCGGTTTTAAAAAAAAATTCTGATTAAATTTAAAACAATTATCAGGTTACGATGCCTCTTTCATCTGGTCAACTGACCAAAAGACTTACATCATGTTTTTCTGGTGCGCCAAACACGACTGGACATCGGGCAATTGCGCCAGCACTCATATTTACGTTTATACAAAGGCCAACCCGAATGACATTTCCAAGTCTCAGCAAGATTCCATAAATAACGCTGTTAACAGCGTTCTGAAACCCTACTGTCTGGATACCGGGAAATTTGCCAAGTATAAATGGGATAAGAACCTGCCGGAGTGCCCTCCACTGCCTGTATCAAAGAGACCGGACTGTTTTCAGCATTACGAAAACGCTTTCATAACACTGATAGAAATGTAATTAAACTATCGTATTATCCCGGAAAAACACTGCAAACCGGGTTGCGGAATGAAAATGCTAATAATTTGAATGAGCCTTTCAAAATGTGTAGTTCTCATCTTCACGTATAGCTACTTGCACTTCCGGCTGTATAGCTGCAAAACCATGGCAGTAATAATGTACGGTCATTGAAGTTGCTCTTATTATATGGTTACGTGCATAATAAATGAAATGGTGACGGTGAACTTTTTTCGGCTTCCAGTAAATATGAGCTTATGTAGTTCCCTCTAATATGACTTCCTAGCTCGTCCATTCAGATATCAGCACTTTAAATACAACATAGATGCCAGCATTCAGTCATATTAGAGGGAATATTAGAGGGAACTAAGCTCATGCTTACTGGAAGCCGAAAACAGGTCACCGTCACCATTTCATTTATTATGCACGTAACCATATAATAAGAGCAACTTCAATGACCGTACATTATTACTGCCATGGTTTTGCAGCTATACAGCCGGAAGTGCAAGTACTGTATGTATGCTTACTTCTATAGACTCACGTAATTCAATGTTGGAAATCAACATTCATCATGGTCATCGAGATAGACGGTAACTGGCTAAATCATATTATATTAGTTGCTAATTTATATTTTGATTGTTTGTGAGCTGTCCAGTAATCACAAATGTTTACCTGGGATTCGCCATGTTTATTAGGGTTGCACAAATTATTTGCTTTTTATAATAAAAGTATTACGCCAGTATTAGTGCTAGTGTAATTTCAATAAAAATAAAGACAAGATCGTGAAAAATTTCAAGAGTTTTAAGGTTATCCGCATTGTTTTCAAAGATCAGTTTGGTGTCTTTAGTTGGCGATCCCGGCAATTCTGCAGATGGCACAGAAAAGCCGCGATATCCCTTGCAAGTCGGTTGCAAACTTGGGTTTAGCGGTTATTAGAAAACGAAAAATTATTATTTTGAGGTTCTGGTAATTTAAGGTCACCTAAACAATTGCCTGCAAAATTTACTAGCAGTACCATATCTGCAATTAGTTAAAAGTTGTAACTATTTGTAAATACATTAAGCATCTATATTTTAAAACGTCAGTTTGCGACCAGATTATTTGGCAAAAAATAGCCGCAAAATAATTAATAATGCAGAATAATTAATTAAACATTACCATTTTAAAGGTATCTTTTCTTGTTAATATACACTCCTGTGGCTTATTAAAACAATGGGAAGAAAAGTTATGTAGAGCTGCCGTGGAAAAACTTATGCTAAACGCAAAAGTGCAAAAATGGGCATATTCCAAAAAGAGTAATATTTCAAACTGAATACCAGCACTACATAATTATCATCATAAAAGTGCTAGGAGTAAAGCTAACGAAACCAGCCATTTTTTGTATAGCCCGGACTATAACTGTCTTGCTTGTCTTTTGTTTTATCTTTTGTTGAGTTTTCCTTGCATCTATAAGTCGATTGTACGCTTGCCTGGTGATAAAAGTCATAAAACGGCCATAGTACTCGCTCATATTACTGGATAATTTGACAATGAACACAGAACAAACATCGTAAAGCTTGTTTTGTTCTGTTGGTAAATATTCTGCACTGTAATAAAACTAATATGGTAAACGACTTGCGATTTTGCTTGCATGCAGCTTTTATCTGCAATTGACATTTGCCGCGAATCTCAAAATAAATACAGAGTAAAAAATGCAACTAACCGGCTCCTCCCATCTCCCCACGACCCGGTTCTATTCGAAAAAAAAGCGCCCGTGTCTTCTTCATCCAAAAGATGTCCTTTGGATGGGTGCTTTTTGAGTTTCAAAAAGCTATAATATAGTTCCGTAGACCATGTATTTTAGACGTGAAAATGTACATAAAAGGGGGCTCCATATGTATACTGAAACATGCCGTTCTAAAGACGGCGTGTTGTGCTCCGACGATGTCTAAAGCACGTCAAAAAATTGCTTGCCGTAGAACCGTGCACCCAGCTTGGGATATGGGGACAGCTTGGGATGTCGGGCACTTAGCGATTAGCACTGTCACTTGAAAATTACTTATTTTAATACAGGTTTACCATAGGGCATAGATCAAAGATTACGACAATTTTTACGTTGTTTTTATTTACTATAGTAATATCAAAAGGAAGCAGTTACAAATAAACTGTATACGGTGAGAATAAAAGCGATTACTTATGGGACCTTTTTCTAGTGTGCACATGTAAGCATATATCAGAGCTACAATTTAGTTACACACGACGTTGCCGCTTTCATTATATAGACAGTATAATCAAAAATATTTATCAAGAGCACAAGGACGTACGTTTCCCGAATTTTTATCGCTTTTTAGATCTTTAGCAGAACTTGCTAAGTACCGTAAAGCAAGTTGCATAGTGCAGTAATAAGCAAATATTCCAGTAAAATGTATGTTGGCAGCGCAGTAGTCACTGACGAGCGGCACGTACTGCGTACAAAGAATCACCAGTGTAATTAATTAATCACACGTGTTTAATAAACCGAAGTTTCGGATGATATCTGGAACATTCAAAACATACTGTAGTTGAGCCATTCCGCCAACTCAGTCAACGATATAACACTCAAAGTACTCGTAATTTATATATATTTGTTTTAATTTGCAGTCGAACAAAAGTTGGATCTTTTCATTCTGACATAGTTATTAGCGGATATCTGAAATGCATCTAAGCATTTTTGGGATCTTGATGTTCTGTCCGTTGCTGTTAGCCGTTCCTGGGCCCTGGGATTGGCTGCAAGACCTCTGGGATCTGCGCAACAACAAAATCCAGGGGTATTTTCGTATTGAGGCACTGATACTCAGTATGCAGAACCCTAAAGGTACCACTAGAGCTTCTTTGCCGTGTGACTTTGGAAATGAGGGCAAATGTGATCCAACAATTGGAGCAACAATCGATTAGTAAGCCAGCAATTATTGTAATAATGTATTACTTGAACTTATGCATTTATTGATACGTAACTTATTCAGAAATCCCAAGTGATTGTATCCTGTGAATAGTATCTGATTGACTTTGATTAAGAATAAAACCAATGAATATAATGTAAATTTACCGTTTGATTACTGTTCGTATATAAATTTGTTAGGTAAATCATGGACGTAGTGGATGCTTCATCTGCCCTATTTTAACCGGATTGTACGAAATGCTTTTTGTAATGAATAAAAAAAATAATGATTCGAATATCCCAGTTATGCACGTTTTTAAGTACATGATTCGACTAAGATTTTACGAGGCACATGGTTTTACTTAGCAGCACGTTGAATTTAGATTGGAGGTTTTTCTTCTTGATTGGATTATGTAATTTATGTAACCCATAAACATCACTCAATAAGAAATTCTTGTTGTTGTGAATGATGTCGATATAAAGGATTCGATGCTCGTAGTCATACGCCAAATTATAATTTTGGGAAGGACTCGGTTCCATTCAAGCGTTTTGCCATCATCCACGACGGAGCCGGCGAAAGTGACGTAGATATCAACCAAGCTGTCTTCAAAGACGTCTGCAATAACAGTACTCGCGTGAGCTCTTAAATTAGTTTATTTGGAGTTTTTGGAAAAATATAAGTTCATTCATAGTTATAACTGCTATCTTTTCCACGACTGTATTTTCTGTATTTTTAGAAAATCAACGTCAGAGTCTTCGCCAAAGACAAAGGTCAGAAATAACCGCTGGGCAGGGACCATACCACCAGACCTTATTTGCCCTTTCTAGGGTAGTTGCGCGTATCCCTTTATGAGGTAGTGACAAGCGTGTTAATTGCAGATCCACTCCCGTTGGCAGATGACCTTATTGACCACTGGAGCTGTTTTATTCAAACAAATCCGGGACCGGCTGTCGACGAAAACGCGGCGCATTGGTCGGAAGAGCAGACCTGTGTGGGACACAATCCAGCTCATACGATCAAGTGGAAATATCGTTGGTATTACATCCCACAGAATGAATGCCATGAGGTGGAGGGCAGCAGCAGCATCGTCAAGCGGTACAACCCTTTTTCACAGGATTATCTCGTTTAGTGGACGTTAAATATTTTTTTCTTAATATTTTGTGGGAAGTGCATTAGAAACTTATGTGTTGCGATCTAACAGTGTATTCCTCGGCTAATTTCGTCAGCAAAAATGCGTTCAACAGGCGTGATTGTTTCTGCTCACCTAAAATTGATCAAATACTAGTCACAAGGTGAACCTCTACGTTATACATGTGCCTGTAAATTTTATAAGCGTAAATTTTATGCACTGTGCATTGTGTTTCGGAAACCCTTTGCTCCAGCTATACATATTATTCTACGTACAGTACTACAGTACTACTCTGTACGTACATCACTAATGAAGTGCAATAAAATCCTCATCCTAAGTTCGAGGGCACTGTTTCGGAGGCTCTTTACTCCAGCTATGCACATACAGTATATAGATATTACAGGGTGATACTATTATATATTTTCTACCTAATACATTGGTACATGTATTGTACCTAAATTTTTTGAGTTAACAACTAAATATGTTAGGTAAGATGTAGACAGATACAAAACGCTAGCGAAGCTTGGTTGTAGGGGAATAGCAAAATTGGAGCCATACTACCAAGAAATGACCCAAAAATTCGGCACGAAATTTTTTTACGGTTTACCTATGCTAACATTTAACATTGTTATCGGAAATGTGAGTCATCCACTCAAAAAACAACATTGCTATCCGGTCCTATACCGGGTAAGTACTTTTGCAACTGCGATTAATCACAGCCGCAACCAAGAAAATGCACAGGTAAGCGGCTTTCACACACGGTAGCAGTGCATAGGTGAGACCGGTATATAAAGCACCTGCCGAGCATATTGTTATTGCCACAGCATCTAATCATCGATGCAAACGATTATACAGACTTTATCAAACTCAGTACTATTTTGCTCTGTGAAAATGTCGTCGATAGCGCTGCATCTGCGTTTAGTGGGAATTCTGGCACTGTGCCCTTTACTATTAGCCATTCCTGGTCCATGGGATTTGCTGCAGGATTCCCTGGATTTGAAAAATACCAAAGTGTCTGGCTATTTCCGCATCGAAGCACTGATTTTAACTATGCAAAATCCCCGTGGAACAACGAGAAAGTGGATGCCTTGTGATCTGGTTGCTGGAAAATGCGATCCTTTAATCAAAGTGGCCATTGACTAGTAAGCGCACTGTAGTTGATGATATACACTTGCATTGCATAGTACGAGTATATACCTATAAGTAATGTCATAATATTACTAAACTAACCAATTAGTTTAGTAGTATTATGGTACAGTAATGTCACTAATGTGCATAGTAATGTGCTGTAATCAAATAAGACTTCAGTCCGGTAAAAATTGCTCGCGCAGTAAACTCTTCTATTTCAGGCTGATTTTCAGAATATTAACTGCTGGATAAAATTTACTATTAAATGAAACTTATATTACCATCTATTGTTTGCAGTAATACTCCCAATTACGACTTTGGAAAAGATTCCGTTCCCTATAGCCGCTTTTTAACTATCTGGGACGGCAGCGGCGAAAACAGCGTGGACATTAACAAAATTGTTAGCAAAGATGTTTGTAACCATAGCACACGGGTAAGTCCACAAAAGGTCACATGCTTCAATTTGCGGCAAACCTACCATATTTTGTTTTTTCCTTCTCCCATAGAAAATCAATGTCAGAATCCTTGCCAAAGATAAAGGTGAGAACTGCCGATTTGGCTGTTTTAACATGCTGTTACGAAAATTTGATCACACATATGACTGTGTATGCGGCTTCGCGAGGACTGTACTGTACAGAGTATCTAAGGGCTTCTTTTTTCGGATTTAGATGTACTGCGTGACGATACAATTGATCACTGGAGCTGTTTCATTCAAACTACGCCGGGACCGGCAGCTGATGAGAGCTCGGCCCAGTGGTCAGAAGAAAAGACGTGCAGTGGACACAACAGTGCGCACAAGATAACCTGGAAGTACCGGTGGTTCTTCGTACCACAGGATCAGTGCAAGGAAGTCGATGGCAGCAGCGGTATTATACGCCGATACATTCCTTTATGGGGCAAGAAGTAAACTCATTGGCCGCAAATGAGCAGGGTTTTTTAACTGCTCCGCTATCAGTATTATCATTTCACATCCGTGTGTATAATTATTGTTATTAAAATTTCATTTATCTGGCAGTACATTTATGGCTTATAATTTAATTACCTGGCGAATCAGTGTTGCTAAACAGGGAGTATTATTTACTTCCCTTAGCGGCGCCTGAGGCAGTTTTCGATCGTTTCTGCTGCAACTAATGATTGCACTTCTGATTTCCTTGTTTTCACTTTTTTACGAACTCGCATTCTATTACATAAAATGCTTTGCTGGATGCTGTAGACTTCACTGTGCTTTATTTGTCAAATTGCTGCCATTTCATTGAGATTCGTAAGGGTAACGACTTCCACGCTTCTCAACAGGAAAAATTGGTCAGAAGCAAATCAAATTAAAAAAGCACATCATACAACGATGTAGCACGAAACAAAAATCCAAATACCAAAGGAAACACTGAATAACAACAACTGTACAGAGAAAAAAAACAAGACGACGCTAATACTTATTGAACACCGTTCATCTGAAGCGAAATGCCTATGTGCAGTGTGACATGCGGAGTATGGACACAGCAGGGACCAGTTTAGGGGGGTTCGTATCATTCGAAATAGTTGATTATTTGAGCTTGCGGTTTGATCTGAGATCTGAGCTTGTTTCGCCGGCCCATATAATCCACACTGCGGGCAGTGTTCGTACTGTATTCGGACATGGTGTCGTTCCACGTCGGGATCATCATGGCCGGATGGGCCGAACTGGGACGCCGAAAGGTGCCCGTAGTCCGCTCCGGCATATACAGATCCTCATCTGCGCAATGACAAATGCAATATTAATTTGAATACATATTTGTAGAATAATTTTTATTTTTTGTCCTGTACAATACAGATCGCTAAAAATACAGATCTGTTACTGTAAAGTCATGTATATGAAGCTCCGCAGGCAGTATTTATTATATACTTACCTTTATGATATACTATACTTCTTTGTATTAGACTATTAGTGATATCCTATACTTCTATGTTCTATGTATTCTAGCACAAGCAAACAAGCTTATAAAAAATTAATAAATAATTTATGTTTTTGCAACAAACATACAACTTTGTATACTAAATGGAGCGAAAATTAATCACAAATCGCAGCTGACCTTATGCATCATACTGCAAAACTTACTTGGATCGTTATATAAACTGTGGTTATCCAAAGGACTTGCTTTTCGCGACCGAGGAACTGATCTCTGAAAAAACATTCCAAATAAGCAAATAAAACCTTTACAGAGAAGTTTTTTGCCGCAACGAGCCAAAATCTAGCAACACAAATTTGATTTGAGAACATCACAACATGGACCGAAAACAAGAAACTAACGTGAAACCGAATCCCACAAACCACGCACTATTTCCCCTTACCTCAACGCTTTCTGTTTCCGGTTCGCTGTCGTTATCGTTCTCATGCGGCGACGCCAAGGGTCGCATGACATCCAGTTCTCCATTACTCTGGCTTTTGCCGAACGGTGCCCCATTGGCACTAAACGCCGGATGCAGATAACCCGGCGTATGCATGGTATTGGTCCTCTCCTTAGTCAAATCACGCGAACTACTCCGCAACCGGTTTCGCACGCGCGGATTATCCAGCGTCTCTAAACCAACACAGAAAACCGGGCATTAATTACCAGCCATGCAGAAAAAACTACCGGCTCGGCTTACTTTTCTTGGCTTGGTATTGTCGAATCTTGCAAGCCATCATAAAAATCAACAATACCAAAAACGCTGAGCCCAGCACAATCCCCAGCACCATGTACAGGAGATCGCTGGTCTTTTGTGTATTGTTGGCACCGGCCAGGAAGAAGTCATCCGCCGGTACCGTCGGATTGGATGAGCGCATCTCTGAGGGTTTCGTATAGTTAACCGCCGTCTCCGGCTGGGTGGCGAATTCGAATACATTACTATAATCACTAGCCACCTGGTTAAAACTCTGCATTTTAATCTGGTACTGGGTGGCCGGCAATAAATCGGTCAACGTATACACCGTGCTTCCGACGTCCAGAATACGGTGTCGAATAAATTTCTTCGTTGAGGTCAGTTCGCGGAAGTGGAGGTAGTAACCTTTCACCGGGGACGATGGCTGCATCCAGCGCAGCGTGATCGTGTTGGTCGTTGATTCCGCTCCAATAATTACCGGCGGCTGCTCCGGTGCATCGGTAGAAGGCGCCACCGTCACCGTCGTCGTCTCCTCGACACTCCCCACGTCGGTTAACTTAAATTTCCGTGATTTTCGCCCCACCCGGTTGTCATTATTACTGTATACCGCGGCAATCCGGAACCGGTAGCTGTGACCCGGCGTCAAATTCCCCACTTCATAGGCGCGCCAATCATTCGGGATCAAATCCTCCGTGGTACTCCAGTCCTTCTGGACGTCCATATCCCGATACTGCACCCGGAAGAACGTGATATCCAGCCCATCATTCGGCGGCACATCCCACCGCAGCATCACTGCGGTCCCGCTGGTTTTCTCTACTTCCGGTTGACTGGGCGGGACCAGTAGTTCATCGTCATCATCCTCCTCGTCTTCATCATAGTCCGATGGTGTTCGTTGCGGCGGTTTGGTGGTTTTGTGCTTCTTCCCTTTCTTTGGTTTTTTTGTGGTGGCGACGTCATCGTAGCCTGGGGTCATCGCCGGGTCCGGCTCGGACACCGGCCAGAGATCGGTGTAGTCGATAGTGTCGGGGTGCGCATCCGGCATCCACTCTGGGAGTTCGGTGAACTCGTCGGCTGTCGGTGTGGTGGTCGTTGTGGATGATTCAGTCGTCGTTGGCTCGGGTGTCGTCTCTGTTGGAGTGACACCGTTCAGCATGTCGTCGATGACGGAGAATGATTCAGGATTGATAATGTAGTCGGATCGTCCCGCGGGTAAGGAGCGGTCTGTTGGTGAATAAGATGTTGTTGGCACTGTGAGATCCAGGGTAATTTCTATAAGGAGCACAAAAGACGTGACTAACATAAAATCAATAGTAATTTGAACAGTCCTCAATTTTTTAACTCAATAATCCTGGCACACGTACCGGTCTCGTCACCCTCGTCCTGCTTGTTAAATATTTCCCAGTACGGTTTCGTTGGCTTTTCCGTCGTTGTTTCTTCAGGGGTCGTTGTCTCGGTGGTCGTCGTCGTCGGTTCGGTTGTTGTCGTTGTGGTGGTCGTCGTAGTTGTGGTGGTGGTAGTTGGCGTCGTTGTTGTGGTTGTCGTCGTGGTCGTTGGTGTCGTAGTGGTTGTAGTCGTAGTGGGCGTTGTAGTTGTCGTTGTTGTGGTGGTGGTGGTGCTCGTCGGTTCCGGTACCGCATCTACTTGATACGTCCGGCTTTTGGTCCCGAACTCGTTGGTGGCGAAACACTGATAAAATCCGCTGTGCTCCGTGTTCGAAGCTTCCACATCGACACTGGCATCGGTTTCGCTAGGCAATAATAATCCGTTGTGGTACCACTGGATGCTCGGAGCCGGTGCGCCTTCCACCGGACAGGTCAGTGTAAACGGCTGCCCCAGGTACACAGGAAAGTGCAGACTGGGCGTCACCGTGGGAAAATGCGGCGCAGCACCGGCATGCACGGTCCGTACCGACTCAATCGTTTCCCGCCCATTACTGGCTTTGCACGCATACGTGCCGGCATCATCCGACTGGAAGTTAACGATAAATAAATTGCCGGCAATCAGTTGGGCGGTGGACGGCAGGGGAGCCGTGTAGCGCTCCCAAGTGACGCTGGGAAGTGGAACACCGGCCGCCGCGCACTCCAGGGTCACGTTCTGGCCGGTCTCCAGGCGCTGCGGATTGGCGGGGGGTTTGGTTAAGAAGCGCAGCGTAGTGGGGGTGGTCGGCTTGGGTGTTTTGATGATCTTGAGATGGATACGCTGGCGTGACTTGCGCTCGTGACCGCCCACTGGGTTAGTGTACACGCAGCGGTAATGACCGGCGTCGGATGGCGTAACGGATGCGATCTGGAGGGTGCCCTGTTGGGATGTGTAGTATTTATCGGAGGATAAGGGGATCCTGATGATGGGATGTTCGCGGAGGAAGGAAATGAGGGGACGCGGATACATATCGGGGATATCACAGCTTAGGAGGGCAGTCTGATTTTCCAGGGCTTCTACCACTTGATCCGGTGTTTTCCTCAGTTTTGGCATTGCTAAAATCACGAAACAAATTCAGCAATCGCTCGATAACTGGTACGGTTAACTGAAAATCGTACGTTACACCTTGAAAAACCATTTATAAATATATATATATACATAAATAAATGTATGTATTTCTTTTGCTTTATATCAACGTAAAGGCCCAAGTTCAAAAGCGAAAAAATTTTATTTGGAATTCTAACTTCATCGTTGAGGTATAAATACCACAATTGCTTATACGAGTGTTTTCTCAATCAAGCTCTATAATTGTTTGCACAATTTTTTCATTCTACCGGTAATTTATAGCGCTTGTTTGGTTAGATTTTTGATATTTTGACAAAGTTTATTCCCGATGTTGACCCATTGCACGTTTACATCGTCCAGCTGTTTAAACTTGAATAAAAATGTCAAACTGAAGCATGTGGTGTGTTTTATCGCGCGAGTTATTCCCGAGCCGACATCTTTCCGCTGTATTGGCCGATGCTGTGGCTTGATAGCGATTATATTGTGCCAGCAGCGAAATTTGGTCTGAAAATCTCTACCAGCTCCGATACATCGGAGAGATGAATTCTATCAACGTCAACAACATGATTAGATGGACAGTGTGGCCCAGGAGGAATTATGATTTATGAGATTGGAGTGTGCACGACATGAACATGTTCTATCGCATGTCCACTACAATATATAAACTCCGCTTGTCCACCAGCGAAGCAGCAATTCGACTATCTGTTCAGCTCGGAGATTAACATTGAATTTCTCACGAATAATCGATTGCTAACAGCAGTTAGTACCCATGTTTAGGAACATTACAACGGAGATAAAAAAACGTCTTGTTAAATTTTTCAATAAAAACTAACAATCATTAATTTGGGTTCAAAAATTAAAATAATCCAAACACTTTCCGAAGACAGTTTTCGAATCGCTACCTTAATACAGCGCAAAATTTTCATTAATGTGCGAGGTCGAATTTTATAGCATGTTAAGGTTATTCGTTAGCAAAGTTTCATAGAACCGTTAAAATTCAATACGAGTATATGCTAAAAAGCGCATATGCTACTAGAATAAGTACCTATCTGGCGTATTCAGTTTCATAAACCATCCAATAAACAAGGGTCATTTGTTTAGATTTTGTTTAGGGTGGGTGCTGTGTAAACTCGTCAATATGGCCATCATCTGTCTGGCTGCAAAGCCCAAGCAGCACGTGTCACGTCCAGTGCATGCCCCCTACACCACGCCACCCACCGGCCCCATTCAGCCCACCACACACACTTACAGGCACTTGTGACGCGGGCCGGTTCGCTGAGTAGACTGGCCGAGCTATTCAGCCCCGGCTGATCCAATCTGGCCAGACACTGGTAAACACCATCCCAGCTCTGGTTGTGCCGCTCAATGACCAGTACACTCTCATTAGGCGCGGGATAATGAATATTGACCAGGCCGTCCGCATTGCCGGCATCCTCGTCGATACGGCTTCCGTTCAGCAGCCACTTTATACCGGCAATATTCCACTGGACGGCCTCTGCACCCTCCACCGGATGCGCCGTGTCCAGCGTGATCTGGCAGTTGAGCGTCAGCCGGTGCCGCGGCAGGAGGATTTGGGAGCGGGGATGCTGGGAGAATGTGGGAATGTCCACCACGCTGTCACTGCTGGTGGATTGTGCGTGTAGGAGTCCGGGGAGGATTGAGATCAAGATGCAGATGCGCACATGGAGTCCGGCCATCGTCCCGTTGTTCGCCGGTCGAGGGATGTGTTACACTGGTGTCCTATAAATAATTAAAAGCCTGAAGAGTGCTCCAGTGTGTACTGTATCGCACTAAATTTAATTACGCACGCTTGATCCTGTTTGCATTACAAGCGAATACATAAATTTATTAAATAGTAGACGTACAATTATAAAAATAAAATACTTAAAATCATATACATCCAGCAGAGAGAATTATTTTTTCTAGTAATTTTAACATCTGCATTGATCTATTAGTATATCATTTATTAGAGCGTAATTACAGAATACGTAAAAGGATTTCCTGCGTTTTCCATAAAATTCTCAATAACAGCTGCCACATAACAGGAACACATTTATGGTGCCAGTAATTTTACACTGAAAAGTCCTGTTGTAAACAGGCAGTATTACAGTATATCACGCTGTTCCAAAAGTAAACACTGATGCTGTTACTGCAGCACAAATGTGTTATATTGTATGTACAAATATATATAGATATCTATACATATCTGTTTATAAATGCTCTATACATCAGTACGGTCAATACCTATGTTTATACCACACGAAGCTGTCAAATCAATTAGGCATATAGCGCAAAAAATGGCTTTCCTAATCGAAACCCGATGGGAGGCAGTGCGTTGTACACGCGGCACTTAGATCGTTGCCGTTGCAAATTACGGTATCTTTTTCCTATTAACGCGTCGGGACTGACCCGCGACTGGATCAGCCCCGATCCTGTTCCCGCACGCAAATCCTGTTCTTTATCTGTTTTCATTAAAACTAGAACAAGACGCTGACTAGCCCGGCAGTATCGCAGGTGTTGGAGGCTATCAATGCACTGAATAGGAAACGACGTTTCGTGAAATGTCATTCTGACTGTGTAATACACAAAGGGATCGCCTCGTCAATCCCCGGGATCGGAAACTGTACAACCGGAAACCGATGCGCCTATATGCGCGCCGCCTGCCACTCTGTTCGTTAACCCGCGTTAAGAAAACAATAATAACCGAAAATGACGGCTAAAAATGCGGCGAAAAGACATAATATGCTTTTGTTGTGGTTAGCCACCCGGTGATGCTAGAAAAGCAGGATGATATGGTGAAAAACATCCACCCGAAACGCTTGAAAATTTATTCACATTTCGCCAGTAAGTGCTTAAAAAAGCCACAAATTCGCCAATAAAGAATTTCGAAAGTCCCCGTATTTTGCGGTAAGAGAAAAAATTTACCGCAGAAGCGTACAAAATTACAGAAAGGCCAAACACTGATTTCGAATAAAAACTAAAAGTGAAATTTCTTGAAGTACCATTTTCCGCTGCAAGAAGTTGGCCCAGTGTGCTTCTAGTGAAAGGATTAATATTTAAGAAAATTTATCAATGGCAAGCGCGTTTTGTAGAAATTAATTAAGTCTTGTAGAATACGTTCATCTGGTCGGTCAATAGTGAATAAAGTTTCTGTGAAAACCCTAAAGAAAGTATACAAGTACCGATCAACGGCCATCGACCACCACGAACATAATAATTCTCTTTATAGTCTGGCTATTTCAAATCGCGGCGACCAATTCTTGTCAACAAAAGGTAGGATTTTGTAGTGGTTAAACTTTAGGAACCTGTTCAGCCGGTCCATTGTAGATGACAAAATTTATTATGACACTTATTTGACTAGTAACGGCTTTCTGTCCACTGCAAAAAAGCGACGTGATTATCAAATTTTCCTCACCACCAAACCCAAATCGCTACATGACGCTTCATTGGAGACGAAAACCGAGACGAAACTGTCCACCTTGTGAACGTGATCCGGAATAATTTTTCAACGTTAATAGACTGCGAAAATTCGGTAATTTTTTACGATACGTCTGTGCCATATGTGTCAACACGTGCAAGATCTGAGACAACGCTGTGCAACGCTGTGCTCAGTGAATTTATTTATTAACAATACTTACAACTTAGCCAATTTTAAGGATTGAATATGAAATAAGTAAGCCTAGGTTATACATAAGAAATCCTTACAGTTTCCGTTGTAACTTGTAAGGCATATTTACAGTTTCTGCGCTTTTTGTATATTTGGGTTCGATGCGTCAGTTGTACGCATAATGTGCAATATGGATCATGTGTACGAGTAAAATAAAACTGTTTTTTTCATGTTGAGAAATCTAGAAAAGGGTTTGGAAAATACAGAATTCATTTCCGGTCGGCAAAGCCGGTCACATTTCATTGATAAACATGAAGTGCTGGGCTCAAGCGAGCATGCTTATTAGACAGGTAGTTTAGCATTTCTTTCGGCAATCAGAACGAAACAGTAAAATTCCCTGCTAGAAACGATGCCGACACCAATAATCACGCATAGTATATTTGATCAGCGAGATGTGTCCCTCTTTCCTCCCTCCGTAATCCCTGATAAGCCGGCTTTATGTTTATGTTCCATAATCACTGGGTCAGAATTTTATGATCTTAGAGCCGCGAATTTACCAGCGCGTGCTTAACCAAATAAAAGAGGAAGAACATTTTCCAGTTGATTGTAATCGACCGGTTTTCTAACAACTGTATCGTTAGCTCAATGGTACACAGTGCGCGTATATAACATGCACTAGATCACAACCAATAACACGTCTAGCCGCCACATACACCCGGCGTCCTTTACGTCACGATCCCGGGCAGAAGGGGGATGTAAACAGCCGAGTGTAATCAGGGTGAAAGTGGGTCATAAAAAATCGAAAAATGTTGCAATCGGAAATAGCCGGCGTCTGTCATTTTCTCATTACCTGCTCTCAAATGGTGCTAATGGGGATTTTTCAGAGTGTTTTGTTTGTCATTAATCTTGATGGATACGAACCATTTCAGCGCTTTTCGATGGCTTTATGTAATCCGTCAAACCACCGTATAAGATAGCTCCTACAATCCTAGTGGCACTTTGTAAAATAAAAATTACAGCAGCTCTTATGCGCAATTCACAAATGCAAAAACCTGCATTTAAGCCAAAAATATCACACAATTACTAGAAAATCTAACTCGTAATCCATATCTAGAGGGGAATATTTTATCCTGCGTAATGGAATTATGAAGCAGTAATGATTCCAAAATACAAATAATTTTTTAAAAATTTGTTAACTGTAAAACCTTCCGATTTAGCTTCCTAGTCGTTTTCAAATTTGGATTACTATCGCACAGAAACTTCATACTGTGTGATGTATTTAATTAATGATACCATTGCCCGGTGAGACCGCAAAGCTCAAAACGCGGTTATTGGAAGAATAATTTATTACACTATTCTCTGATAAGATTCGACAGCCAGTTCAAAATACCCGCCACCATAACCACGGGGTTATTTATAAATTTCCTTATCGCGTTAGCGATGTACCGCGATAGAACTGACAGTCGATTTATCAGCACAAATTTCAGCTCGCCACTGCCGACTAAATTACACTGGACGCTACGGCTCGTCCGGTAGATGTACGGCATGCAAAGTATGCAGTCACCCCGTCTGTAAAGCCAATCGGACAGACCATTTGTTTCCCGTTAGCGTTCTCCCGGTCCCCGTGGCATCGATCACTTCCGCCTGATGGAAAGTGACAAAATAAAAAAGCAAAGCCCCACCGCTTCTTGTAGAGGGGACAGAAAATATATGTCGCTACTCATCACAACCATCGTTAGTTTCCGGTGCGGAAAATGTGGGTAAGCCGTAAGCTCCGCAATGCAGTTGACTGAACATGGCCAGCTGCCTCTGTGTAATTCATGCGCCAGTGTGCAAATACGTTAAGCATTTTTTCCAACTAACCAAGTGGTCATTATCCAAAATCAGAGCAAGGAAAAATTGCTTTGAACAGCTTTTTATAACGTATTCCCCAGAGAGCGGCCAGTCAGTCCCTGGCTATCAACAGTTGCCGGCGCTACTGTGCAGTGTTTGCAAATATCATCGAAATTTGATACGTGAGAACTGATACGCTATTGCAAGTTAAAGTTTAAATGCTGCACTAAATTGCTCGCTAAAGGCAACCAGCGCAATTATTTTTAAAATTGTTATTCGACTTGCATATCTAACGGGTTTAAAACCTTATTCAAATAACGTAGTTCAGTCATCGATTTGTTATTCCTTAACCAAAACAGTTTAACTCTAATCAGTCGCTTGGTAAATCATCGCCGCGAATGCGATAATTACGAGGAAATTACAATGACAACAATTTCTGCTGTAAAAATATTAATCCGCCGAAATCGCCGGCCCATTACTGCAGTATCAATCAATTTACATGCATATTTTGTCATCGGACTCCACTTTGTGGAAGTACACTCATAATCAGTTAATGTGATACCATATGCATAACGACACTGTGGACTGGGTTTATTGTTTTACTTCATTTCCATCATCGCGATGGATAACTAGGCATTAGCCGGCATAATTCCAGCGGCTTAATAATTATGATTAATTGGAAAGGTCAAGTTACGTACAGGGGGAACGGCGACTAGCTACTCTCCAGGGATCTAATGGCATATTGAAGATTTTTCCGGCCTAGTGGACAGTTGGGGCCTGATGAGAACAACAACTAGCATCCGCAACTAATGAACGCTGCAGATTATACAGATATTCTCTCTTCCACATCTGACATGTAAGCACATTGCGATCGGCCCCCTCTTCAAAATGGGAACCCGGACAAAAGCCCGGCAAACAAAAGGAAATTTGACCAGCTGCAAACAAGTGCTTCCTGGTGAAGTGAAAATGTCAATTAGCATTTCACCTTATAAGTCTCTCTAATTTTCTTATCCTACTTATGGCTAGTATACCGGCATCGAAAGGTGGCCAGTGTCGCAGTACTATAATATTAATGCCTTGCATTTGCGCTTCTCAGTTTCTGTATATATCTATTTAAATTCTATATAACTTTAATTCACCACCAACACTGCACAAATTTTCCCACTGACTCGTTTGAAAATTGACAACATGAAAAAATCTTGGAAATTTGAAAATACACTGCAGAAGCGAAGAATTCCGATAAACGTTTGAAGCAAACAACCCCAATTTTTGCAATTTTACAGTCATGATTAGTTTTGGTAAAAACCAAGTAATTCGCAAATTAATGACTGATAATTTTACAGCTGGTGTCGTCATGGACGCGTTTGTAATTCACCATTGTTTTGTAATTAAACATTTCTGCTATCTATATCAGCTTGCTATCATATTGCAGCTCAACGATAATGCGCGAAACTTTTGGTGAGATAAATCCGCGGACAACGATGTGTGAACTGTGAAGTTTAGTAAGGGGCGCGTATATTTTACTACGAAGCGGAGCGGATGTCCAGCGACAGCAGACTAATTAAAGCGCACAGGAACCGAGAGATGAGAAAGATTGCAGTCAAACGATAAGCCATGTGGCACCGCCACGACTTGACCCTTGTGGAGAAAATGTTAAATTAAAGCAAAACTGGTCAACGTTTGGTCGTTTGCCCCCAGAACCCCCAACGCGCTCACTCAACGCCGGCGTCGAAGGATGGCTAATTAAACCGACGCTGCCCAGTAAACTCGCCCCAACAGCGCCACGACATTATTATGGGATATTATAGCGTCTTGTGTGCCAGAAATGAAATCTGATCAGAATCGCCTTCAAGAAGTTTTAAATGTAAACAATAACTCACAGCAGACATTGACCGGACCGGGGCTACAGAATATCATATTCATCTTACTCGCAGAAAAGCATTCACAAGAATTATGCGTAGAAAGTATTTACACGCATGAACGTATGGGTCGGCACATTTGAGCAACGCCCTCTTTACAACATTCTTCCATTTTCACAATGAATCCCAAGAAAATCATCAGAAAGGAATTCCCGGTGTAAATTAAAGTCCATCACCGCCAACCATTAGTGGATTATTCGAACTGCCGCAGACGAAAAGCTGACCGTCGAATATCTGCTAAACGCTACTACCTGCAGTCCTGCATTAATATTTACAAGTTGTAACAATATTATACGTACGTAATTATTTCAACAGCTTAAGCTAACATCAAAATTGATAATTATTACGAGATAAAAATATTTTAAAAGTTGTTAAATACGTATTCGTATAAAGTGTGTCGTAATGTAAATTACAACTGTAACAGAAGCATGTCAAATACAAATCTCGATTATTTTGCGCGTTATTAACTATAGAGAGCAATAATCACTTGAAAGTGACCAGCAAAAATATCTCCATTATAGCCGGCATTCTTGGTGATCAGCATCAAGATTAAGCCTTGCCCGGCTGCTTGTTTTCATTGGGATGAAGAAATCGATAATCAATATGTTGGGCCAAATTACTCACTTCCGATGCATGTGTTCTCAGGACAACTCACGATCAGTCCCGGACCCTGGGAACAGTGGAAAAAACTAGCCATCTCCTAAATGGGGTCAACACCGCTTCACTACCTGACAAGACCATTAGTGGACCCTTTTTACGATTTAGTGCAGCCAACTGTCACGTAAAATGCACTTGATGATTATTAGCCAGCGAAATTACGCGCCTCAACGCCGTTTCGGCTGCCGTAGCGCCGTGTGCGCTTCGCGTCAAGCCTAATAGGCTCATAATCAGTGGAAAAATGTATGTTATTATCGCCGTTAAGATTATTTAGTCAACGATCGGCGACATTTACGGTGAGCCAATATTAGTCGAATGTGGGGCGAACATTATTATGCCGCGGTGTGAATTGCTGGATTTACAGTTAACATGAGGTCGCCTTTAAGGGCTATTGTTCACACGTAACGTAGCCTGTTTTCATTATGTCAATTTCAATAATCAAAGCACGCAGAGATTTACTTCACTGCGATTGATTTTCCTGTGGTTTAATAGAGCTCTGCTTGAACAATGGTGAACCGCAGTAGGTCAAAAAGCGGTGTTTGTAATTGCAAACAATTCATTAAAAATGAGCTTGTGCCAAAATCAATTTGGTTGGTCATTTGTCTACAATATAATCCATTGAATTTTTTTCAACGATCGCACAAGCTCTTATCTGGGTATTAATTTAGCAATTTCATTCAAGTTCGGTGGTAGCTGTGCCGGCAACAGATCGAATTGCGCGTTAACATTAAATTAAATTGTCTTATGAAATTTCTCTGGCAAATTAGTTTTTTAGTGTGGTATTATATACTCTGTTCTGTACCCGTTGACTTTAATTATTACAAGTTTTACTTAGAAATTGAAGCTGGCCATAATCCGAGTTATTCTCACCTCGACAATAAAAATACCGTGTTTTGTTACTGATTAATGTGATAACCGATGCAATGCAAATAGAGCATTTTCGATTGCCAGAAGAAACCGGCTCCACTAAAACAAATTGCCGCACAATACCAGACGGAAATTATTTGACTATGAAAAGAACGCCTTAATAGTAACTGTACACCACTTCAGCATTTTTGCCTGATTTTCTCCATGGTCATCAGCGGAATGTTTTCTGAATAGAGAAAATCCACTTTGTATGAAAGTGAAATAAAACTGCATACGGGGGCAAATATTAGCTTTAAGAGATGCGTTTTAGTTAAACAGTCCTAGCAGCACTGGTTTCTAAACAACAGAATGCACTCAGGGCTAACGGTGCAGCTGATTACCAAAAAACGCAAATGGGAGATAATTTGCATCCTGAGCGACCGTTGAACCCCGACTGGACTCACGGATATCATCTTACACACAGGGAATAAATCACTCAGCTTCCTTTAGCATATTAACCGGCACAACTGTTAACCACGCTATCGGCTTCCGTTGAAAGAACATGATGAGTATTTACCGAACAAATTAAAACCAATAAATATTAGCAAATACACCAAATTTTGTGCAAAATTTTGGCGCGAGAAAGTACACGACAATAATTTTCTAAACATATCACGAGGTTCGTCTATTAAGTGATAAAAATTAAAAAGCTTATCGTTTTTGAATGAATTTGGGAAATCCTGGTTCCAACGCCTGGATGCTGATCCTGAATTTTTGGAATAAACAGTTTTACCTGATTAGCGCAAAATCCATTGAATCCATATAAATTGTAGTCGCATAATTATACTGGAAGTGCATAAATCGTTCGTTGCCGCACTCGTTCATCTTATTAACTCCGATGCAAACATTATTAAAGGCTTGAGAAACATCACAGGAATCAAAATAGTCCCAATTATTTGCATGTGTGATGAAGCGTGGTAAGTGCAATTCCAATATCGGCTCTGGTCAGCAAGTAGAAATAATTCACATGGCGCAGAAGATTTCACTTTTCCTTGATCTGGATTCCAGCGGTTGCTAATGTTGTGCCGATAAGCCCCGATGCATGAACAAGCGTTGTCGACTCCACCGGCATCGCACAGATGGGCCACGCTGCTTCTCTCCGTCTACTTACGAACCGGCTGAGTCAAAATGCAGACAAAGCCCACCACTCTTATCAGACAGAACGGGGCGGAGCCCTTCTCTTGTGCTGCTTTCTCTCTGACTGACTGAACCACAACAGTAGGGATGCATAATTATAACCTGTGGATTTAGGGATAGGAGGACTGGGTCAAGAAGTTGCGAGGGATATCCGCTAAATCTTTCGAGAATGCATCGGATGGAAATTATGCACAAAAGCCAGTTTTGGCCGCGAGGCGCATTGTTGCACCGATAAGTGGTACAGCATACTAAGTACAGGGCGGAGTTTGAGCGGATGACCACTGGTCAGCATCCATCAATAATAATTTGGCCGAATACATTATTGCTTTAAAAAATTTCCATACATGTGTGCTCATTATTCCTTTATATTTTGTGTCTCCAATAAATTAATAACCACTAAAACGTACTGTAATAGTGTTTATGAGTGCTGATGAATATTTCATCTAGCGGTCCACGCACTTCAATCTTTCACTAACACAAGCAATTTTCCTTTCGAAAAAGGGCAAGTATGTATGTTCTGTGGTATGCAGTGAAAAACTTGCAGACAAATGACCGCTCAAGTAAAATTGCTGAATTATTCTCCAAAACAGCCCTAATGTATTTTCCACACGTGTTTTCAAAAGAGGAATACTTCAACAAACTACCAAACACCAGCATTAGCCGCACACGATTGTACATTTATCGAGCGGAATGAAGCCCTTAAGGGACACACACACCACATCGCACATGCAGCCGGGCAGCTCCGGTCCGATTATATTAGCTTGACCCAGCACAAAGAACTTCCTTTCGCCCTAATGATGGTAGCAACGGAAGGATTTGCGAGTGGAGTACCGGAATAATTGCTGAAATGGACTTAATTGCGCATGACTTCGTCATTTCTTTTCCCGCGTTCTCGCTTTGACAGCTAATGTAGTTACCAGCTGAAAAACACCTTTTGTTTCCATGTGCTCGTATAGAAGTACAGATAGATCTGTGTGGATGTTCACTCTTACCGTTTGTGACTTTTCTCCAATGACCCATAACTACTGTAGCTGTTACGAATTTACAGCTATGGAGTCAATAACCAATTTATTTTATTTTCTGACCTGTTTTAACTGATGAGAACTGCATAGTTTTTGCGGCTTTCTGTTTTACACATACAGAATCTGTTGCGCAAAATTTTTTGTCCACCAAACGCAAGTTTTTGAAATGTCGTTTAAAATTGTGGATGACTAGCTGAAATATCAATCTGCATATAAAAATTTGGAGAAAATGACACAGTTTCAGAGTATATTGCTCTAATCAGTCGACTGTGCGAAACACTAATGACATGTCTACGGGAGTCATGAATTATCGCGCAGTAAGAAAATCCGGTAGAAGCTTTTAGCGCTTCCGGAAGAAAACACTAATGCATGTACCATACATATAGACGTATTCAAATTAGAGAGAAGTAGCTCGATGGCCAGAAGAAAAGCATGCCAGACTCATCTGGGCAGTTCTAAAAATTGCGCAACGCTTAATCCCATATGGACATCCGGCAGGCGTTCTCGACACATTAGGGATATGTCCACGCTGGCAGATACTAACTATATGGCACACATAGACACGGGTTATTACATCCGCGTAACTGGGCCATGTCGACACATTTTTCGTTTTTGTCACGAAAACCACGTAAGTACTCAACAAACAGGCGAGTTATTAACGCAATTGCCAGAATTAGTGGAAGCTGATAAGTGAAAAAGGAAAGCTAATTATATGGTACATACGTGTATTTAATAAATAATTATGTTGCAACTTGGATGTGTGCAATCTGAATAGACAGATATACAATATTCTTAATGGTCAAATCTGAGCTATTTTGATTTAGGTAGAGCTGACCGCGAATGCGTTTGACTGTTTTGATGGCTGTTGCCAATTAGAATACTTACATATCTAACTGCATATCACAAATTACAGCTAGCATAGAACTAACGCTTATACTGCTTATTTTACTAAGTTTATATTGTTACTGTATAATTCTTATTTACAACCGTAAAAAGTGTTCATTCTTCTAGCTAACAGCAGTGGCTAATTAACAATCACTGATGTTGTATTTTCATAATGTTGAGATGCGTGCACAGTGAAATATGTGCCTCCACACTTTTGTTTCTTGCAGGGAATTTACACAGTGAAATACTTCTAACGCTAACGCACTCATCTACGCTGATATGCAGTTACAGTATGCATAGTCTTGCTTCACATTATGACAGTAATTTTGTTTCCCTGGTAGCTCTAAATTATAGTACGTACTCGTTACTAGACTATAAAATATAGTTTTCTACCGCATACCTAATACTTCTCCACCCCAGGACTTTACATTCGCAGGTTATGTGTATTCCCATGAGATACCGTACGTACGACGTATTGTTTTTACTGTTAACAGGTACGACGTATTGTTTTTACTGTTAACAGAGTTAACAGAGAAATTACTGCATTTAATTATTACAAAGTATTATTAAATGTATCACGGAATCAAATATTATGTATACAGAATTGATACTATCGATGAAATAAAATTCCCTGCAAGAAACAGGAGTGTGGAGGCACATCCACACAATCTCAATGCATACGTACCAAGAATTAAGAAGTAGAATTATTAAGAATGTGGTTTCCTAATTTACACTAATTTACACAGCGTGCTTGATTTAAAACTTCAAACTGTCTGATTGTATTATTCGTAACGTAACACACGGTCTATTGTAAACAATGCATACGGGAAAACATTGCGCCATTAATACTTCTATCCCTAAAACCAAGCGCGACCCGCTCTCCGACGATCTGTGACCTGAATTCGTCGACATCGAATGGGCTGGTGAAGCTGTGCACATGGTATAACTTTCTCTTTTTCGACGGAGAACTGCCTTTTTTATCCAGCTGTAATGGTGTTTTCCAAGTCACCATACGAATGGAACTGCGTGGATGTCTTGGGAAATGATGGAAAGTATCGTTTTGGCCGCGTCGTGGATGTGGCTGACAATGAGAAAGGGCTCATCGTTGACATTTGTTGCGCAGACCAAAGGCGGGAGATGATTCCTTTTTCGAAGGTTTTCCACGCTTCGTACGGACGAAAGATGTGCAGCCTAACAGCTTATTACTACAACCACAACGTCAGCGATGATGAAGATACTGCTCAGAATCCGGATACGGAAACTGACGACCTCGGGCCCGAGGTGGAAGTACTGGTGCGTGAGCATCTGTCCGGACCGTGGATCTGGTGGCCTGGCCGACTGCTCACATCGTTCTCCCGAGCACGGAACATTAACATTAACAAGTTGGCGCAAGTCGAATGGCACAGCGCGGATGGCAAAAAGAATGTGGACATCTTCCCGTGCATATGCGTCCGCAAATCCCTTAAGGGCTGGAAAAAGAATTTGTCGCGATTCAAAACGCAGCCTTCAGGAGCACCGCAATGCGTTACCAAAAATTCCTTTAACAAGCACCGTGTGCGCTTGGAAGAGACCACAGCATTTCTGACGGATTCCGTGTCAAAGAAAGAATTCCTTCGCCTGCTCACCGAGTTTGTTCACTCTGATGACGATGACGACAAGTGGCCGTGGACCACTGATTTTAAAATGGATGTTGTTTTTGTCGACATAGTTGACGGGCATCTGCATTATATGACGCGCCCCAAGGCAAAGCCGGAACCATCCCGAATGCGATCTCGCCTTCTAGCGCTTCCGGAAGGCAGCTCCAGACCAGAAAAAGAGGTAAAGCAGTTATGACCTTTCATGGGCTAGCAGTTTTTGATTAAACTAAGTCATAAACAATACTTAGTTTTGCTTGAAGTTTTTTTTTAAATTATTGCCCATTCTGTACAATATTTGTATAGTTGATGTGCCGCATTATATGCACATAGTAGGCTTTTAATATTTACCTTAGAGGAAATTCGAATTCTCTAAAAATTACCAATTCGAAAAACTCTTATTATTTTTATTTTTTAGCCCAAAATCATCGAAATAGTAGACGAGGTTCTACGGTTTATGAAACGAGATGCAAAGGAAAAAGCCAGAGCACTGCACATGAACACAGTTCGCGTACTCAACCGGGAAATTCACCCTAGAAAGGTTGCCAGAATTCAAACACTGCCTCCTGAGATAATCGGGGAAATTTTGTCGTATCCGGACACCATAACGAAAACTCGACTCCAGCGCGTCTGCCGAGTTTGGACGACCCTTCTGAGCAAGAATGCCAAATTAAACGACACCATCTGGATCGCCGATAGTCCGTTCTGGGAACGCGACTGGATAAAACCGGACTATGTAATAGTATCAACCATTGTCAAAAATCTATCGCCAGCCATCAAACGAATTATGCTGACATATGGCAGCCCTCGTTGGGTGGAGGGTACCGAATATGTACGGTGGTTTGACGGGGAATTGCTTACTGCAGCCGGCAGTATTCATTATGTTTCCGTAACGGGTGTCCCGGTCAATCTCAAGGAACTGCTGTTGCACCGATGGAATCTGACCTTTCAAACTGGCCTGCACCAAGATCCTCAGTTGGACTGCGAAGCACACGGCGAACCGCCCGACGATCTCGAATCCGAACGTTATGTTCCATACAATCTTCCTTATTTTTTCTTGCAATGTGCCGCTTTGGAGCACAAATACCTGCACTGCCAAGAACTCAGTTTGGTTAATTGTCGCGTCACACTGTTTCACTTAACCTTGGACGAGGATAAAGTACTGAGCAACAATCCCGAACGGTCCCACTTAACGTTCGACGAGGATAAAGAAGTGAGCAATGCCGAGCTCGGGCACTGCAAGGTGGAAATTGTGATCAATGTGGTGCGCGGTTCTATTAATTTGGCGGGGGGTCATTTCGACTGTGCATTATGGGAGCTGTTGGATAGTTCGTTACCGGTTCCCGATAGGCGCCAAAAGAAATTGGTAACGCGCTGGATCAGGTGGCTAACCGAAAATCAGGATTCTGAACGGAAGCAAGCTCTTTTACAAATGACCCTCAAGGTATGCTTTTACAAATTCTGTGATCGATAATTACAGTGACCTTACTGTGAATACTATGAGATAATATGAGAAAAATAATATGAGAAAAATTCCAAGTGCATACGTAGATAGAAAACCTTACTGCAGAGAGCTGGTGTGCTAGCACTGCTACGCATAATACATATATTGCTGTCCGAGTTGTTAAAGTTGATGAATTATTGATCGGCGCAAATCTAATTTTACCGTTAATTAGGTGAATGAATTATTAAATACAATTTAATTAATTTGGAATCTGTTCTGCAGATACTTTGCGAAGTGCAGACTTGTGATCCCCGCAAGACATTGCAGTATCGTGGGAAAATGTGGTGCAAGGACGGCTTGAAAGGCATAAAGTTAAACAAGTTGTCCCGAATTACAATGCACTTTCTCATCAAGTTGACTGCTCAGTTTCCGGAAACGGATGATCAGGAGGTTGCAACCGACCCTGACGAGTGAACAAAATTTAGAGGGCTATGTAGATTTGCAGTACGTTATTGTGTGTACATGTGCATCTTGTTGGATCAATTTAAAGATGTTTTAAATTGGTAAATTAAGTAGTTCAAATTATCTGATGGCCATGTTGCCGCTAATGCTACATTAGTATTGGCCCTGTGAAGGAAAGTTTAATAAAAATACCTGGCCTAGCTGAGTGCAAATAGGTGTAAGTGATCAAAATTAAATTTAATGATGATTATTGCATTTCGATCAATATTACCTACAGATCTTCGTTTCATTTTTGCAGTCCATTGTACCAGTTTTGCTTGTTCAGCTTGATCCTTATTTTTATTTATGTGATAATTAATTTTACGTTTTATAGATAATTTTCATGTCAGGAAAATTACTGCTGTAATTTTCCTCAGCTGGGTATCCGGTTCATGTGTAAGCCAGTATGATCTATCCGAGATTGCAGTAGTTACCCGATACGGAACGTGTGCCCATTCTTTTTTAATTTATAATATTAATTATGCTACATTTGACCAGCGCTTGTTCAGCAAAACAATTCAACAGAAAGCACCTTAAAAGTGTACATGTTAGATCCGTTTGTGCACATATACTAATTATATAAAACAATCACACATGGAAATGTCGAATGTAATGCATATATACGCAGTTAAGCAGTACTGCTAACAATCGTAAGGTGGCATTTAATGATGATGATGGTGCTTGTTGTGGTGGTGATGGCCGTGATGGTGGTCGTGTCCATGGAGCAGGTTATGCAGAAGGCCTCCCGAGTGGTGTCCATGATGGTCATGATGACCATGTACCAGATTGTGGATCAATCCGCCTCCGTGATGGTGGCCATGGTGGTGCGTGTCATGGTGTACCACATGCGTGACCACCGGTGGCGGCGGGACATGGTGGTGCGTGGTCACATGGTGGACGTGGGGAACGGGCGTGGCATAATGCGGTTGCTGTGCTCCAGGGTAACCGGGCGGCAGCGTGGATCCAGCGGGATACGGAGGAGCAGAACCGGCGGGATATGGGTACGACATTGTAGCAATGAAATTAAGAAAGTTTTACGTAGATCGATGTGCGCTCACAAGGGGGCGTACAGTCGATCAGTGTGAAAAATGGCTGGATCGGATTTGTGGTACCGCGCGCTGGAGCTTTTATAGTGCGGAAGACGGTTATCGATGGAAATGCGATTAGCTAGCGCTTGCGCTGTTGATTCGTTCCTGAATCAACGCAACTGGCGTATGCGTTCGTGTACACTATGAGTCAGCGCAAGATTCTTTTCTGATGATTGTGGCAGAAGTCGCATGACCTTTGATAAGATAGGCAGGAAGTATTGTGCGATTGTCGCTCTTATCCGCAACGATACCTTGAACAATTTAAACACGTGATAAAATTAACATTTGCATTTGTTGAAATGCTAATAATCGATTGTAGACTTAACCATGTGCAAGAGATTACCCACCGATGTACGAAACTTAATTCTATCTCGTATTATTTTTATTTACTGCGCCAGAAAGCAAGCGCGACAAGCGTTAGGTTATTTACAAAATTAATGGAAAATGCTTCGTATGATATGCGGGTAGAGAAGATAACAACAGAAACAGAAAAAAATAGTTCGTTAATGTCATCAATTACTTAAAAAGATTTAACAGTCTGCTCTAGTGAACAAATATGTAATTTTGTCTCGTTCTTTGTTTCTATTTTCGTTCTTTGATATACACAGGTTGTGTTTATCAAAGAACATAACTGATCTGGAAAAGAAAATGGCTAGAGAATAGAAAATGGCTCGAAAATAAATAACGTGCCACTACCAGAGGAATTTATGACTTAAACAACATCCGGAGAGGAAAAAAAAGCACACACAACTAACTTACTGAGTCTTACTCATAACTCGCGCTGCATTCCCCGCGCACCGATGGCCGCGAAAAGACCGAATATGCAACAATTTACAAGTGCTTACCTACAGCTAAGTTATGGCGCCACAGTTGTATTGTTTTCCAGAAATGTTTCCGTTGCCAAAAACAATCCCACAATTCAAATTGTTGTACGAAAACGCTGGGTACTCGCCCATTACTCGTCGAAGAAGCAGCGTACCTTTCGATGGCGTTAAACAGTACTTCTAGTAACGTCGCAAGCCCCAAAACACAATTGTCAATATTAAACATTTAGAAAGTCAATAATAATAAGAATTGTGTAAATGAGTAAGTGTGTTGTAAATGCATTTTTAACCAGTATTCCATGATATTATACGACCAGCCTCGATAATTCACACATTTTAGTTAAAAGGACGTGCCCTTTGTTTTGCAATTGGTGGTCAATTTACGCATTCGGTTTACGCTTCAGAATTCAGCCTCCAACGACAAACAGTGCTTTGCAGTTTTGAGTAATCATCTTTCAATTCTGTTGGATTTAGTCAATTAGCAGCGGATACTTAATACAATGCTTATATGGAAAATAAACGACGAGCACCGGATAGCATTAATTGCTTTCGTGACAGGTAAACATCGTGAACGAATACCCTTATCGCGCGTAGCCTTAAGTGAGGCCAGAACAACGCAAAACGATTGTTTTCCTTTCGTTAAAACTAGTAACTATTCATGACCTAACATATCAAAGAATGTCTTTCCAATTTTTTAATAATTTGGCATAGCCCATATCAAAACCAAGTCCCGAACCATTCATGCATCTAATTTGCGTGGTTCCGAACGATAATTCCATACGATTTTAGCATGACCTTTGATCAGAGTGTTATCTGTTTCCGCAGGACTGTTCGGCATCTTTGTTGACCAATGCACCGGCCAAGGAGCTGTACCCAACGACTGGTTTTGGAGCGACACCGGTGGTCGCGTTGTAATGCAGAACGGAGAGTGCCCTTTAATCCCACAAACGGATACTTTGTCCCAAAATCCAAATTCAATACCAAGCCCGTTCGTTCCTCGGCGATATGTAAGAAAGCGTTTGATCAACTTGTTCTTTTTAAGAATATTTTTTCGTTTAATCTTGCCGGTTGCAGACGAAATGTTACCGGACAAAGGACGAACCATGTTTTATGCGAGGTGACTCTTATAATGAAGACTGTTTCGAGCGACTGCGTTACAATTTACGAGATCCATCTAAGCGAGAAGTTGTATGCTGTCCTGGAGCGTGTGGGGTAATTAACAATATTAATTTTTCACTTGTTTGTGAATCTCCAGTAAGTAAATGGAAATAATCACTTATACATAAATTAACTTATTGTTACATAAATTAATATTCGAAGATAATCAATAAGATTTATAAAAGCAGATTTATCAGTAGCGTAATGGTGATAATACATGTAGATGTACACACGCGAAATTCAGCTTGCGTTCAATTTCCAGTGGGTGTTCAAGCATCCTTGGGTGTCCGGTCAAATCCTCTACCCCGGCGCACGTAAAACCTATCAGTCCGTTTACGGCTACGGATCGGTCCTGCAGACCCCGCCGCCCGGTGCTCCAGCAGGGCAGTTGCCCGTAGAAAGCCCGAGCAGCAGTCTGTATCCGGTACTACGTGCCGACTGCATCGTCAGTGCCCCCTACTCGCGCAGTGCCGCATCCGCCCAGAATCCACTGGCTGACATTGCCGCCATTCCCCACACGTGCCCGTCGCTGGCGCTCAATAACCCATCGGTCACCTCGCCCATTTGCGTGCAGAAACTATACGCTTCCGGCACACAAACCCTCTTTGAGCCTGAGACATATTGCACCGTGCACTGCTGTAATGGAGATTATTGTAACGGGATCGGCAGTGATTATGTTGGTCAAGGAAATCCGTACTATTCCAACGGAAGCAACGATAAGACGAAGATTTTGGCGCTAATTCCTGTAGTGATGATTGCGCTGAACGCAGTTATTCGCGCCCCTTTAGTTCAACAAATGTATTAATTTTGATTAAAATCGTGACTGTACAATACGAAATGCTAACCAAAACTGTTTAGTGCTTAATAAAAAAGCGACGTTTCTGCGCAATTTCGTTAAGACAATAAGTAACTTCGTGTCTGTACTGTAGCCGCTAAGCGATTGATACGGAATCATGTACGCTTTATTAGTAAAAAATAATCCCAAATAAAGAACAAAATTTCATCAAGATTCCGTATAATGTGGAAACGGAGCGGATGAATATCATACAAAAAAACGGTGACCCCACACACAACAACAAAGAGAAATCTCAACCCAAAACGCAAGAGAGATAAAGGAAAAACCCAATTCCGATCTCGCTGCAATTTTACACTCCCCCCAGTTTGCAGATCGTAACTCTATACTGTACAACATCCCTTATACGCAGCACACACCTGTCCGATGCCCTTTCGAACCACCATCACAAGGTACAAAAAACCGTCCCACCCCCTGCAACAACACGCCCACTGCCCCTTCTCAGCCGTCCTCGTCGTCCGGTGACGCCCGGAACGTACTGCGCCGTGTGCGGACGGGCCGTGCCGGACGCTGGGCATTCATCGCCGCGATCTCCTCCGGCGTCTTCCGGGGCCGTTTCACCGTGGCCGTTTGCACTTTGACCTCCATGGGAGGCGGCTGCTCCGCACTGGCCATCACCACGACTCCACCGCCCTCCTCGCCGTCCGGCACCTTCTTCTCCCCTTTTACTTTCTTCCGCACATCATTCCGCCCAAAATACCGGTTCACCTTGCTGGATTTTTTCGACACCTTCTTCCCGTGCAACAGGCTCTTCTTCCTCCGCGTGCTCTTCACCGGCGGCGGACGGGCGGCGGTGCCCTCGGGGGGCGGATTGCGCTTTCTGGTCTGCTTCTCCGGAACGGTGAAGCGGGTGCGCTCCTCCACCTCGCATTTGATATGGCGCTCAGCGAAGGCCGCATCGCTCAGGTCCTCGTCCTCGCAGGAATTATCCACCTCGACATCGGTCGGCAGCAGCGGCGGCTGGATGGTGTCCAGTTTCGGCAGGGACTGATCGCCGGCTTCCCCCGCGGCATCCACAACTTCCGCCCCATGGGGGACCAGGGGCACTGTTTTGAGATCACGGAATTTGGGAACAATGATTTCCTTGTACTGGATCTTCTCGATTTTGGACGGGGCGGTCATACCGTACGGTATCACAAAGCTCGTCAGGTCCGAGCGGGCCTCACGACGACGGCCGGCCGGATGGTTCTTGCCGGTTTCCGATTTCGAAGTGGTGCGGTTCATTTGACCTGTAAATCATGGAAACATGAGTTATCAATACTCCATAATCAGCTAACATTATATTTTGTAAACCTGAATGCATTTTTGAAAAAATTATTTGACAGTTTCAGATTTCTATTCGCATATGCTTTGTATTATTATTTTTTCAAGCTCCGAAGAGGTTCATTAATCCAAACAGAAGTGCATTAACGATGTATTTTTCTCAAACAGCTGTTTTCTAACAGGCGGATGCGTGGCATGACATTGAGCCGTAAACTCCGTCATACACAAGCCACTTAACATTCTCACACTACACAGCGCGGCAGAAACGTGTTTCCTGATCAAAGGTTCAAGCGATTGACAGTGCCCTACAGCCGGGGCGGCTAAACCATCGTCAAACAAGGCACCAAAACAAATAGTAACGATGGTAAGTTATGCGCGCACTCAATGTCATTTTTACTGCTCAGCTGGCAGAAAAGCAGCTCACTACGGTGAAAATAAAACAGTTCAAAGTTCTCTGAATTGCCCAGCGCAATTACTTACGTTTCGTGGCGTTCTTCGATGTAACAACATTCATATCCGTGGAGCCCACACTGGTCGAACGTGTTAGATGGCTAACGGCCGACGATACCGTTGTATCCGAAGACACCGATGAATGCCGTCGTTTTCGATCTAATTAAACAGCCATAATCAATCCAGATTTGTCACAGTGACAACAAAGCAGTTGAGTAGTCCTCGAGCCAACTCTACACTTACTTTTTGTGGAAATAGTTCGACTTCGATGTGCCTTCTGCTTCTTGTCGCTGACGGTCTTACTGTTCTTCGGTCGCTTCTGCGTATCGCGGTTGTTTTCCAGCGCACCGAAACGCAGTGCCCGTAATCGCTCGCGCTCCGCCCGAAGTCGCTCCTCCTGTTTTCGCAAAACATGCGCCGCTTCCGCTTCGGTTTTGATTAAATCCAACGCGCGCTGTCGACGCATCGGCCTACAACAATTATCACACAATAAAGCGAATACTCATAAGACAAATATTTTCCTACTCAAGCAAGCTGAAACGTTCATAAATTAATTACCATTTACTCCATTTTAATTACAACTTTACGAAGTCTATTTCTTTTGAAGATAATCTAAAACTGTCTTTTAAATTGACAAAAATCATTACTGACAGACTTACCGTGGCTTAAACGGTCCTCTAGAGCTAATAAACATAGCGGGATCAAAATCCAACGACACACCGGATAATTCTGCATCTAACGCTCGAATGGAGGGTTGTGAAAGACGAGGATGGTATCCCGGATCAACTAGCGCCATTGCTTCACTTCGTGGTGTCCGCAGCAGATTTGTATGAGATGAAAAGGTTGGCATGGGTAACAAGCCCATACAAATAGCACAGCTAACGGGACCTACAAGGTCCGGCAGTAAGCAGCGCGTTGAACAATCGCAGTGGCGAGGTTTTTCATCCATTTGATATCGTTTTGGAGGGTACGCTATAAAAACAACGAAAATATTAGTTGTTTAATTTCAAAGAAATTTTATAACAGTGATACAAAATACAGCAAAGGAAATTACAAAAGCAGTAAACTTTCTTCCTGTGACTTACCATCCATATCAACAAACACCCGCTTCTTGAACGCCATTAACGGCCTGGCCCGCGCACATCCCCTTGCTGACGACACCACCGCTTCCGACAGCTCTCGGATCTGCTCTCCTTCCGCCTCTCCCATTTCCTCATCATCCGACCCATCCTCAATGATCCTCCCCACCGCTAATCTCTCCTTCCACATGGTGGCCTCGTACGTTTCAAAGGGAATATTCAGTCCCGTACTGGGCAAGGCCACCTTCATCTTGCGACGAAATAGCCCCGCCGGTCCGGGATGCAGTGACTGTCCGGCATCGCTCTTGGCCGTGGGCAGCCGTAATACCGTCGAACAATTGGCCGTCTTCGCCACGCTGACGACCTCCCGATCATCCCAGGGCCGGGGTGTCGGGCCCTTGTGCGCTAGGAATGCGGTTTTCAATAATGGTTTGGAGTCATCCGCGGTACCGCCACCGAATGTCACGATGCCCTGTCGCTGCTGGATACGCTGAAGGAGATTGCCAGTAACCTACACATACAAAGTATTAGCACAATCATGCCAACAACCCTCGATCAATTTTAGCAAAAGCCTCTTTTTAATCGACTGTACCTGGTAGGCATATTCGGCTCGAGCTAATTGACGGTGAGCATAGCTGTATCGCGACGCAATGCCCTGCCGCGTCGTGGCGTACCGATACAGTGCCCGCTGATCACTGTAATAAAAGATTCATCACATAAAAAAAATCAATCAGCTGATATTCCTCGTCAGCAGCACATCACATACACCGTAAAAAGAAACGATCTCTATTCCGTCAAATTAGACGATATATCCTCTAGCACACACTCAATTTCCTCTAGACACAGACAGGTAGGGAACAAAGAAAATCAATAATCTATGATTATCCATTACTAATTCCCCATTTCCCCCAGTGCACGTACTGCACCGAATGTGGCGCTCATCATTAGCTCACAAATATCCCCATAACGGCCTGTAAATACCAAATAGGAAAAGATTCGATCGATGTGCACAGCAACCCTTCGCAGCAATTCCCGTATGCCGTAAAAGCGCACAGTGGGAAGCATGAACCCTGTCGCATTGATCAAAGTCATAGCGCCTTTCAGACCAGCTACAGCCGTCGGATCCGGAATAACATATGGTACTTAATAAGTGGGCCAATTCTCCGTTTACATGGATCTCATTATTGACACAGGGGCTGTCCCGACTGATCCCGTCAATAAACAGCTTTTTACCAGGTACAAGTTAATCGAAAAAACCACCAACAGAAAAAGCGTTCAAACGGCTGCCTATCTATAACAAAATTCAATAATTATGACTAAACATTTTACTGAAAAAATCCTGTCTCCAAAAAATTACACCCGCACCAAAATTATATCTACATGTCGCAGATGTCACTTTTTGTAGTCGTATAACCTTCAGATTTTCAACACCAAACAATTTTTTTTAAAAAAAAGTTCAAACCTTACTCACGGTTTCTAACTAGTTCCGTATTCACAAATCTTCAAAGAAATTTTGTTACAAACTCAGCACCGTTATAAGACGGATAAACATGTCTCAGCAAATTCGGCAAAACATTAGGTTGATAACCTATCTCGGTATTATGCAGATAAAAGAGCGAGCGCAGCAGAAATTACGCATTAATAAGGAAGCAAATAACTCCGCCACACAACCATCGATAAGAATACGGCCTAATCCGAATAATGCAGCTGATTACGCTAACTCGTATCTAGGTATCTACCGGAATATAACGAACCAACCCGGCTAAAAATGCCTCCAAAAACGCTGATGCAATACAAACAAATTAAATTAAAAGCGGGAGAATGTCAAAGGTCAGACTGAAGGACCTCATCAGCACATTATACCCTGATGACCCGATAGCACAACAACGTGACCATCCCTAATCCGACGCTAATCGAAGTGCCTACAACCATAATCACAACCCCCCACTTACACTGGAATGAGTCGGTCCTGATCGAACTTCTTTTGAAACAGTTCCTCCTCGGCCTCATCAGCACTCTCACCGCCGCTGGAGCTATCCGTCACCCAGGCATCGTCGTTAATCCGATCCACCGCGCGCTGAAATCCCTGTGCCACACCGGAGAACATTTTGGCGCGATCAACCGACTGCGTCCGTGCCAGCTTCAGCAGATACGCCGGGCGCTGCTGCTTCTCAAACGCCTCACGCCGCTGATTACTCTCCACGCGTTTAACAAACTCCACCAGCTGGGACGGGGTTTTGTTCTTCATGTCATCACGCGACACCGATAGGACACCGAATAAATCCTGCATAGACTGCTGTTCCGTGCTGCGGGAGGAAATCACCATCGATGAACTGCTGGCGCCGTCCTCATTGCGTCCCTTCCGCTTCGGCGACGAGAACGCCGATTCCGTGCGAAACGATTCATCGCCGAGGAAGGAGAAGGACAGAGACGATTTCGTATCGGGTTTGTAACTCTCGCGATTGAGGAAATCATGAAAGGACGACGTCCCGGTCTTCAGCGTGTCATCGCCCGCACGATTAACCATAAACGTCCCTAATCGCGAGAGACGGTGCTTCAGGGAGTGCAGATCCTCGGGATGGTGTTTACCCAGAACTCCTTTCAAGCAGACGAACATCTTCTTAACGGCGTCCGTGCCCGGTTCGCGGCGAGGTTTTTTCCGGGCTGGCGAACCCACGGTGGCCTCGTTGGTTGTTCCCGCGTGGACGCCCGCCGTGGTGGATGGTTTGGATGCCGTGGCTGTCACTCTGGATTTTTTATGGGCATTTTTCCGACTCTTGGACCGGACGACAGCCGTCGATGGGGTCAAAGGCTGGATCTTCTTGCTAGCCTTTTTGGGCACAGCTGGCACGGCGAAAACAGCGGGCTCGTCCAGATTCTTCATAATACCCGACGAGGAGGGCAACATGGGGTCATTTAGGTCGTTGGTTGGTGATTTATCCGGGAAGTGTGGTGTTGGAGATGTGGGAGGAGCGATTTTTTCTTGGACGCCATTATCAAGTCGACGCCTGTTTATCGAACATTTCTCCAGTTTTCTTCCCAATAGCCGAGGCAATGTGGTATAGTTAAGTAAAGGAATATTTTCTTAACTTACCACGATGGAGATTCCGATGAAGCCACCATTAGAAGATTGATAAAAACACATTAGAAAGCCAATTGGGAAAAGGAACAGAATGGGTAAAAATTATATCAAGGGTTTTCGATTTCTCAACTGTGTCAGTTGAACTGCGTATGCTGCAAATAGCAAATGGTGCACACTGGTGCAAGGCTGCCTGGCCTGTGCGTTCCACGAAACCTTCGCCTTTCATGTACAAACACTAGCCGAGAGAGCGACAGAGAGAAAGCCGGTTCACCCGGTTCAAACGGAAGTAACACGGCGCAGTTCAGCCGATTCACAGACATCTTGCCTGCGCTTTGTCACGCGCAGGGTATAAAAACATCAGTGGTGGCAGCACTGTCGGGCCTGTACCGGCACAGCCGCACAATGCGCTTAAAGCGCACACGAATGATATCATCGATCGATTGTGGGCAGCCATCAATGGGCCCATATGAAATGGGCAGCCCATCCTCTAACTTTGTTGTGGCAAAGTGACGATTATCAGCCGTAGTCCGTGATGAAACAACTGCCGCAAGATTTCGATTTTCTGGCGAATGATGCAAACATTCGCCGCCGCGTGTTATAATCCTCATAACAAACATCGTAAGGAGTTCTTCCGAAATTGGCATGATCAGTGATAATAATTTATAGTGCTCCATTGCAAACTCTGCAGGGAAATATCTGGATTATGATAAATTCCGTTTTGTTTTGATAAGGCACTCGTACAGCGCGTGACGGATCTGAAAAATTAAAAAAACGATCGCTACAGTAAAGAACACACTGCGATTAAAACAAAATATAAAACTCAATAAGAAATTGTCCCTAAACTGTTCCCAAAGTGAATGCCGAAATCCCCAAATACAGTGCTTGAGGATTTATCGGGAGACAGACGGGAGTTAACTTCAATAACTATTTGCTAGAACATTCCTGTCTGTTAGTTTTAAGCTCGCGAACAAGAGTTAAACAAAGCAAAGCTTATAAACTGGGTGCAATATGCTGATGCAGAGCGTTGCTAGAGGGCCGAAAATACCATACAGAAACACCAAGCGAAAAAAAGGAAATTTTAGTATAATCTAATAATCACGTGAAATGAGAATATTGCAGTTGCAAATGTTTTATACGAGTATAAAATGATCCGGTATTCACTACTGCAAAATTACAATCTTCTGTGTCATGGAAATACTTATCGACTTATCGTCAATTTTAAGCCGATTGTTTGAAATTTCTGGAACATATATGTACGTTACTACGTTGCCAGAATTTTAAAGTCAGAAAACACCTTAACTGAGAAACTTGTCACTGAACTGCACGAAGTGTTTGGATTTTCTGAAGTGGCACAAATAAGTACAAAAAGCCTGGATTATCGGTATTGTACTAACAGAAAATCTTGCATGGACACTATCATGGTCATGCGAAGTTGCAAACCAGTACAGTACTTATTCCAAACCGACAAATTACGGACAGCTTGCTGATATTTTTAGATATTGACATGAAAAATAACGCACAATATAGATACCATCTGAAATATGAGCTCGTACTGTAATTTAAAAAAATTTTGGAATTACTGCGCCCTCATAATATCTACTGTCGCCCCACTCTGTTTCAGCAGCGCTTCTGCACTGTCGATTGTGGTTTGTTAAATTTCGATCCAAATTTCTGGATCGAAATCCTGGTTGTAATTATAACCATAACCACAAAGAAAAGTTTCTTCAGCTGACCATTACTCGCGGTCGAGGTATGGATGCCGAAAGTCGATTCGGAAGTTGAAAGCAACCCAATTTTTCTCCAGCAACTACCCTACGAAGCTAAATTAGCAAAGAAATCGAAAATAACAATTTCCTCGTGTTGATTCGTTCAAGTGGTCAATGCTGTAGTTACTGTATAAAGGATATCATCATCGGGATACCGGTATGTTACTTTTATCCTGTGATAAGAGAGCCCATTTATCCTGTTGACCTACTATTTATATTACTAGGACCATCATTGTATTTGTGGTACTTACTACCAAACGGTGCTATGTTATGGAAGTGCGGGACTGTTAGCGCTACCGGGTATCCATGAATTTCTTACTGTTAGATTCGTTTGGTCAGTTCATAATAATTATTCTCATGACATGCGACAATCTGTAATAATAATATAGAAATTTAATGTCTATACTACTAGCAGCGGCAAGACCTCTCAAATTTTTGGCTGACCATATAAAGTTTTACCTAAACGAAAACCGCGTGCTGTTTTCTGCGTCCCAGCAGGTGGTTAGCAACTTATTACTGCTAGCGCAATATGATGGAGAATTTACAGAAACGACAAAAATCTACGTTATTAATCTCGTAAACCTCATAGATTATAGGGATTAGGGATATTGGTAAGGTACTCCAGGTGAACGTTTAACATCTACTCCGTAGCTACGGATATCACAGAGCTATCTGTATTTGAAGTTTAAAACCACATTATATTATATGGTTATGTACAAACTACAATACAACCTACATATGATATCAGCAAATCTAAATATTAATATTTCTATGCACTAAAATATTGTTTACTGCGTTTACTAATTGTTTACTGCGGTTAACCTTCTCGACCACGGTCCACGGACGATAAACAGTCATAAACTTACGCGATGTCGCCACAAGGAATGGGGATAACAGTAACTGCTTACAGTAAATACTCGAGTAACAAGTTACAGTATAACTGTATAAACAAGACTTTGACATCTCAAGATTCCCACGTTTGAGGAATCTCAGGAAGATTCAAGATTCTCGCGGCTGCAGCCGAGCACAATAAATTGGGGACAGCGAGCAGAACACAATTCGGCAGAACACCAGAATCATTGCCCAGCGGTTCTCGTTTAGACAAGGCCGAACCGGGAGCCCCACCACCACTCTATCTCTGTAGGGACTATAACACTGCACGCATGTTACGCCGACTGTGCGGTACCCTTGGGCGGATGACGGGAGTAAATGTATACAGAGAAACCGGGCACTGCGACAGAATTCTTTTCGCATAATTATTACTATTTATTAGAGCTTTCTTGCGCGTGCCGTAACTCTCTTGCAGTGATTAGAACTTTAGAAGTTTATGAAAACTATGAGTGATATAACCTCAGAAAATCACTCATTTGCTTTGCGATCGATCTTACCGCACACTTCAAAGAATGCACGGTAGTTGACGGTACTGAATAGGGATGGTACAGCACTTTAGTGAGCACTACTGGTAATGATGAATACGGCCATTTTTCCCACCCTGCAGCTCATAAAACTACAATGCTTTTAAAACTGGATCTGTTTTTTTAGGTAAATTAAGTAAAGCTATCGGCAAGCATTTGCTTATAAGTTTTAACTTTTAAGCAACCACTTTTATCCATAGAAGTGTCAATTCCAGTCTCGCAGCATATTTAGAGTATCGAGTAAGACATAAACCGGGAGTGCATGAACATGGCGCCATCATGCTAACCGAGCTTTGCTGCTAACTCCCCTTTCAGCCCGGAAGCCGTTTTCAAAACTGTCTTCTCGTACTAAAATCACTTTTCAAGGCTGCATGGTAAATATAAAGGGATGCTGCTGCAAATCTCTTGGCATGATCCCCCCGGTCCGGCAGCATCCCCACCTTTCTGTATACCGTACTATAGTGCATGCTGTACTGTACCTTAGCATACTTACATACCTCGTTGTTTATGCCGAAAGTTGAGCCAACACCTCCCTAAAAGGACCTACAAATAAAGAAAAGCACAATTACCTTTAGCTGTGTAACTTGTTTTATGCTTCTTGTACCTTTTAACGTCAACCTTTTCCTTTTTGAAGATCTTCAAAAGCTAGACGGAGAAATGTACAAGTCGCGTTAAAGTGTAGTGCGAGGTCTGTCGTACGAGTGTACGAACTTTCTAAAACGGCAAAAAATTACGGAACTGTGCTGCCGTCGGTGCCGTGCTGTGGTACACTACTGGTAGAGTCGTAGACGCAGCTGATGCTGGCGATCGCCAATGACGGTGTCGAGCGGCGCAACGAGCTCCGTTAAATTCTCGAACTCCCTCATTGTTCGGTTGTTCCTGTGGCTGCCATCAGTGGTGGTAGCTGGTAAAATTTGTCAGGTGAAGAGTGAAGACTGAAGAGTGAAGACTCCATATACTGGAATCATAACACTGACAAAAATGCTAAAAGAAATTTGATGAAAACTTTATTCTGTTTTGCTGCTCTCACCATGGTCCCTTCACTCGGGCCCACTCCTCGAATTCCGAAACAAATGCCGCTGTTGCCGCATCTCCTGATTGGATGGTTGACCCCTGAGACGAACCTCGTGTGGGTACGTTAGTCTTAGTGTGCGAGTTTTCAAAGCACGATAGTAGCAGGTTGATTATGCAACGTAACGACTTCCGGAGAATTATTTTACAATAGTCGTCTTAAATTTTGAGCCTGTTATTTTTTAACCTAGAGAAATTTTATACTTACATGTTGAAATAAAAATTATAACATAATTAATACTACCATGAAGTAGTTAGTTGCATGAAGTCGAGCAGACGCAAGAGCAGAAGTGGTGTGGAATTAAACCGATTCTGTTCATGAAAATTAATAGTGCAATGAAAACTCCAAAATCAATGTTTTTGTTGTTACAATACTGCAACATGACAACATCTAATTTTGATAATATTGCAGCGTTGTTGGTAATACGGAACTTAACGGATTCATTGTGATAAGATAAGTACTTAATAGCAGCACACACCGTACAGCTTTATACGACATACTCTTATAACAATAAGTTACCAACCTTTTTTTACTAACTTAAATTACTGGAAGCAATAAAAAACTTTTATTACTGGAAGCAATAATGCCGGTTAATGCAAGGGGAATTCGCTAAAACTGGAACACAAACATCGCAAGAAGCACTAATCTTATCTAAATAATATTAAATAGTAATTACGGAATTAGAGCAGCCTGTTTAACTTACAAGTTTACATAATTGTAGTTTTATACTATATTGTGTATAAGTACTGTAAAAACATGTGCATTTATTTTCTACGGACTACGAGTACGTACTGACTACCCTAGAAGCTAGAAAAATGCATTATGCATTTAATAATTATTTAGTACTTACCTATTAGAGGCAGCAAAGCATTTGCTTTGCGAGTGCACTTTACTTCTTTCGAGACTATCAATTGTTGCACCGGAAACACAGAATCACAGGATCGGCTCACCATCGGCATCAGGTCTCGAAGTACCGCGGCCGTAAGAGCATGCGTCAATGCGCTGTTGTCGGCAGACGGCAATCAAACGTTGAAAGGCGGAGTCTGTTAGTCAGAGAAGACGAGTACTCGTACTCACAACTACAAGTCACAATCAGAGTCATCAGAGGGCATTAATTTTCATTTTCGGATTTGATCATTGGAGTGATGTCGAAATTTTTATGGATCGTCTTATTTTTACAATAATTATGCGGTTTACCGTTACTTTAGAATTCGGTTAGATACTCGTAATTAGATTATAGGTGTTTTGTGCAGTTTAACTTTAGTTTATACAGGCGCGTACCCATAATTTTTCGAAGCTTAACAGCCGAGCAACGGGAAAAGTGAGAAACGCTACTTCTTTCCATCTCCTGACTTTGACAGCGTCGCAACATCTTGATTGTTAGTAGTGGACTATATAAAGCGAAAATCCTTGCTGCGATTTACGGTTTTACTTATGGTTTTACTTTTACCTCCAACCATCAGCCTACGTATTCCATGCTTTTAGATTGTTCGTCAACTGACTTCAAGTCCAACATGTAGCCAGCGCACCGTCAGCTGTTTCATTCACTTCAGCGTTGCAGTTGCATTCCCAAGGCGGTTTGTTGTGTGGCGTGGTGTCTGATTGTGAGTTGGTCCAGTTGGACAATATTATTCCTGTCAGTGTCATCCCTTTTCGGAGTGCCCCCAGAAACACCTGAGAATGGCAGTTAGTGTACTTGGAGGATTCGGATGCTCCAGGAACGCATTGATTGCGCTGAACGTCCTTTACATAGTAAGCAGTAACCTGTAACCGTAAGCTTAAGTTAAGTCTGACTTTCGAAACTTCCAGCAGGATAGGGTAGTTTGACGTTCGAATTTTGAAGCAAATTTCGGATTCGTATGAATAGTTCCTACGGTTCTAGGCTTTTAGTGGATGTGATTAACGGATAAAATTATTTTAATATTTTGGCGATAGCGGATACTACCATATTTTGAAACATGGGTGTTGGTTATGGCTTAATATTTCCAGTCCAGCTTTATTAACAGTTTTTTTTCATATTTTTAAAGGGCTTGTGAACGCTAATACCTGGCAAGTACTAAGTAAAAGTGCTCTAGTTTTTTAATGTTCGATAGACCAATCTTTACTTACTTTGCACTGAGTTTGCAGACGCCAAAAAGTACTAGTACTGTTTTAGTGTGACAGCTACCGTACCATAGCTACTCTAGATGGGTATAAATTTAAATTTTAGTATTTTATAGTTTATGAATTTACCGTGAACCATTTTATGCCAGCCCTATATTTTGTACGAATAGAAATGATAGAATACTCCATTCAGTTTACAGCGATTTACTGCAACATAAGCGTACTGTGCCTTGTGAACTGAAAATTTGGGATGCAGGAGACAGTATAACTGTATACTGTAATTGTTAACTGCTAACGATTTAAACAGCCTAGAGGTGATTTCCGTTCCTCCAGTGGCAGGAGAAACATGTAGGCTCTGAAATCTACCACATGTTGCAATTTGCAAACAGCCATCCATTAACTCTAATCAGTCGGCGCTGTTTATCTCATGAACGGCGTATTATTAATGCATAATCCGTTCGATGCGTAATAATAATTCTGATAAAATGTGCTTAATGTTTCCAGTGTGTGGCTTTCATCCTGATTGGAGTGGCCGGGTATGGGATCGCCGCCAGCAGTATATCCAATTTCGGTGTAATTATTGCCATCGTCATGGTGAGCGTCTTCCTCTTCATCATCGCCATCATCGGGATTGTGGCGGCCATGAAGCATCATCAGGTTATGCTCTTCTTTGTAAGTATCATGTCTCGGCTGGTACCAGCTCTGAAATTTCCACTGGAATTTTTCTACGATTTTGACTAATATATCGTGGCTCATGTGAGGGTTTCTGTTGACAGCTCTTGAGAGCATTATCGTGTTGTTGCACTGTCAATCCGTTTGACGTTGAACATGTGTGAGGCGTGAGATTGATTAGCGAAACGATGCGCGCACGGGTTGTCCTGAAGAGAGACGTAGGATTTGGAATTCGGTCAGCTGTCGTTATTTGAAAAGAAATCTCTTGATGAATTATTTGAGAAGCATGATCCTTTTACTATATCGGTGGATAACTTGGTAACTTTTTAACCATCGTAGCTATCGAAAATTAAATTAAACTTTAAATTGTTCGACAAGGACACTAACAAAATTACCATTTCCTGGGCTATTGAATTTCATTCCGTCCTAATTGTAAGTTCACAACTTATTGAAAACGGAGTAATTGATTTTACTCCGAGTGCTTTTCTTTGAAAAGTTTTCGGATCCGAAAAGTTTTCGAATCTGAAAAGTTTTCGGATTATAATAACGATCAGTCTTTCTTGAAAATGTACGGTATTGGAAGCTGATCAGAAAAACGTTAAGGCGGTTCAGTCCTCCCCCTTTCCATCTCACGCCTGTACTGTATTTCGGTGAAATTGTGGAATATAGATCGAACGTTTTTCTTTATCAGATCGCTTAAGCAAATGCCAACTGTGCAAATTGATTTTGCATTCTTTATCATTTTTGACTTTAATTCATCAGCTAACGATCAGATAACCGTCTGCAGTCAAAAACAGTTTAGCTTCTGGTCGTTTTGTTTATTCATGGAATTTCTTACAATGCAGCTCATTTGGATTCACTGAAAAACCGGTATTAACTGTTAAATCGTTAAGAGTACCATAAAACTTCCGAATTCCTGCTGCGAGTGCAAATTTCGGGTGCAGTGTACTTATTAATTGTAAAAGTCAAGTTGATGTTCGCTACACTTTTGAAAAAGGCGTTTTAGTTCCGTTGTGAGCACTGTTTCCGATATGAAAATATCGATGAGTAATGTTAGTGAAGTTGTAAACTGACCTATTTTATGTTTGGTTAAAATGTTAGAAGTAGTGGTGCATACTTGATAACAACTTAACAGACACCAAATGTTTCACTCTTTAATTTGGGGCGGGTGTGTGCTGTTTTTGTTGTAGCGTGAGTCAGGAAATGGATATGGCCATGGTAGGGGAACATGTTGAAAATTCTAGGTTACACTTTTCTGCCGTTAGATTTTCCGGCACAAATGAAATCTGGCTAAACCGCGACGCATAAGCGAGATTGTATGCTTAACAAGTGAAAGTGATTGTATTTCCGGCAGTTAGTCAACATTCCATGCTAATATGGGGAACTTGATAAACAGCGCTTGACGTCAGGGCTGCCTTGTATTCTCGAGATTCCAGAATAGGCCGGAAGAGGATTTTGTATGGTTTCTCCCTGGTCCGGTGTGTTTGGTGTGCAATGGCTTTGCATAAATAAGGAAACCGGCGATTTGATTTTTTCCAGTCTGCAAGTCTGTTTAAACACTTGAATAAGAATGTGGCTAATTCCAGGAGAGCACGGTATTTGTTAGAAAGTGCTGCTAAACGGTCTTATTGAATTTGTATGAATTTGCCACTTTTGTGGTCGGCGCTGTAGTATGTTCCTTCGATCGCTATGACGTTAGTGATGGGGTAACAACAAACAAAAAAACGTGATCGCTGTATTTCGAGCTTGACGGCTTTTGGAAATTATTTTTGCTGAAATTGCGCCCAGATTTGAGATCGGATAATGAAGACTTGGTATAAACAATTCTCTTAGGATTTCATGTCGACATGATCAATGTCTTATACACAAAGTACACATACATCTACAAAATTATACAGATCTACAGTACAAGTAGTTGCTTATGGATTAGCAATATTTCCGATATTGGTAAACCAAATCGTATATCATGCTTTTTATTTTATTGCAGTACATGGTCATCCTGTTCCTTCTGTTTATCGTCCAGTTCAGTGTGGCTTGCGCGTGCTTAGCAGTCGGAGAGCAACAAATATACACTCTCATGAAGGAAGGATGGAAGATGTCCAAAAACTCAACGCGGGATTCCGTAGAGGGGTATTACGAATGTTGTGCTTTCGAAAAAGCACCGTCGGACTGGAATAGAATTAAAGATAACCACACGGAAGAGGAAGTGCTTTACTCACGGCGCGGCTGTAGCAAGGTACAACGATGTTGTGTAATTGTAGTTGCGGAAGACGAAAGTAAGAATAGCGCTCCATGCAAGAGTCGTTATCGATTGCCGGTATTTACTTACGTTGGTACTCGCGAATTCGAAATACGAGCGGTGATTTTTCAGCTGAAAAGAGACAGAAAGCTGTACGTTAAATAGGACTGAGTGCTGTAATTGTGGGACTGCTTGGGATTGGGAATTTGGGATGGTATTCCAGGAGGGTTACTGTTACGTGGATCAGCATTTATTGTTTAGCTAGATAAGAGGTGGTTGGTGAATAAGTTGTCGAAGTATCTTTCTCCTTGATTATGTCTTCGAGTATCGATCTCGGCTAAGTTAAGAGGTACTGACGATTGAACTTTTTATCGCTCCATAAATATTCGTATGCTTCCGGTGGGGGTTAGGTTATCCTGCTGTGCACTGCTGAATCTCATTGCTCATAGATTTATTCGGGCAATAGCCAATTAAGATAACAACAAGCTTGCGCTGATAGAGACTAATTAAAAATTTCCAAATTCACACATTGAAAAAACAACCAACATTGCTCATTGATCATTAAGCTTTGAAGTTGAATTTTTTGTCAGATAGATAGCTGTCCGAGTGAAGGAATAGTTAACATTTTAGGCAGAATCCGCAAGTAAAAATGTATAATTGAGTTTTCCACTTACGTTGTTGTCGCGAAATCTACTGGAGACGGATAGTTAAATGCAGACGGTTAATCCTTTCAAAAGAATAACTTAACTGAAACTTGTTCTCTTGCAGTTGCATTGTTGTTCCGGGAAAGAATCCATGTGCACGGAACAAACGGAGTGCGAATTTTGCTACACTAGGTTACAATCAATCGTTCAGCCGTCTCTAAGGCTGTGTGGAGGAATTGGATTGTTTTTCAGTTTTACTGAGGTAAGCGCCGCACCTGCATGTAGCGTATATGTAGCCAAGCATCTTTGACCGGCATTAAACGGGAAAAAATTAAAACTTCTGAATGAGCAAGTGAATCTGCTTAAAATATCCTGTACCAGCAACACATTGTTTTAACTGCTCGTTGATGGAAGTGATTGATTCTAGTCGGTTTCCTGATTTACAGTAATCGTATTTAAATCAGTAGCTTAAGCAAACGATTAGCGGGGACAGACAGTTTCATATTTATTTCTGATTTTTCTGCAGCTGATGGGTGTTTTATTAACCATACGCTACCGCAACCAGCGCAATCCTTTCATCAATCCGTCTGATCTTGTATATTTCAAATAGAACCTGTCCGTGTTTGTGATAGATTTCTACATAATTTATTGATGATGTACGTAGTAAAATGCGTGTAGTACGTGATTTCGTCTTCACTATGTTTGTGTGCTCTTTCATACTTGGTTTTCTTATTTTACATGATGGGAACCCGCTTCTGTTGCCCGATTTGTGACCCGGTGTTGCTATTTTTGATTGTAGATTGTTGGAATATTTATTGCGTTAAGGTATCGCAATCAGAAAAATCCCCATGTTGATCCTGCCGATTTCCTATAGCGATTTCCGATTTTCTTTGATTTCTGGGCCACATGGCCGGATACCTTGATTTCAGTTTTTTTTTGCATATTTGTGTTACTCTTTTTGTTGCTGTTTTTATCTCGTTGAAATGGATGATGATAGAGATGTCGCAGATGTGGCATCTCATGGGATCTGCGGAAAACCCGGATAACATTCGGTGAATGCCTGTTGTACTGAAGTACTGGATATAGATATCTCAGCCAAACACGTCTCTGATTACTTCTGATGCCAAATTGGAGAAACATATTTCCTCTGATTTTCCGCTGTATTTTCTATGCATGATTGTACATGGAGTAAATCGTGCGCCTTTTATGATTTTGAGTTTTGTTACGAATATGGAATGGACATCTTTGCTTGTTGGTCTGCTGTTGTAAACGGAAAAACTAAAGATAATGAACGCAAAGTGTCTGGCAGTAATGATCAGAACCAGTTGAGATAAAGAAATGCAATATTTATCTATACTACCAGTATATCGAAGATATTGTAGATTAATAGACAAGTACTACTCGAGTAGTACTGTACTGTACTACCAGTACACGAGAAATCTACATTCGCACACAGTTTTTCGGCGAACATTTGCTTTTCGGCGGAAATACGGATTTCTAACGATTGTAAAAAATCCTAAGAAAATCTAAAAAAAACTAACAAAATCTAAGAAACCTATGAGTATGGTTATTCGCACTGTTTAAGGTTGTTGGTACTTAATTTACGCTTATTAATTTTAGATTGTACATATTGGCGTTCACGTTTAACATGCATTTCGCCGAGGCCGCATGCCTCGGTCTGGTTCGTTCGTTCGTATAGTCGTTCTTTAAATGCAGTTGTATGGAGGCCCATGGCAACAGTTTTAATTTTTTGCCCCCTCTTTTCCCTTTGAGCGTAAAACATGTACACCCGCAATACCGTATAATGACCCGGGGCGTTGCGGCGATTCTGATGTACTTTACCGAGTGGAAATCGGTTCCCCCGTACGCCCAAGCATCGCGGTGGTCAGCAGTTGCTGTTCGAATTAACTGTTAAGAAGCGGCTAATGTAACTGTTCGAATGTAACGGCTAATAACTGTTCGATTGTACAGAGTATGTACTATGTACTGCTGCTACAGTAGCGCAACACCCCTTTCAAAACGAAAGTTTAATTTTTAAGCCCGCACAACTTGCACCTGTCGGCTGTCGTGCCACCGTGGGGAAAGTCATAATCATTTGCCGAAACAGAGTTTTTGATGTGCCAAATGTCCGGTGTCACCCATATAAAAGGAATATCGCAGTCGCATATAAAAAATTTTGTTTTCGGATATGTGCGCCTTTTAAAAAATTACACATAGCTAACAGGTGCATGTAGCAAAAAAATAAGCAAATACCTAATTAGATTCGAAGTACTTGTTCTTAAATGCTAAACGGCGAAAAATAGTGTAATAAGACATACGTATTTTTAAAAACTTCCAAACATAAGCGAAAGACTGTTAAATTTCTAAATCGACCACGATGGGTCCTGAACCCACTTACTTCTGAAGTCAGACACCGTAAACAAATACTGAAAATAGGATAACATCAAAAAAGCTTCGAATTACAGGCGAAAAAACTAGAAAAATCGACCACGATGGGAATTGAACCCACATACTTCTGATTCGAAGTCAGACGCCTTAAAAGAACATTATTTAATCACTAAAAACGGTATCAAGGAAATAGATCTATATTATGATCTGCCGCCCCGTGGAACATGGCTGGAAAAAACCACCAAACAAATTAAAAAACCGACATCACCATTAAACTTAGCATGTTCCAAAAGGGTTGCACATGCATTTTGTTTTCAAAAATATCGGCCCTGAGACCATCCTCGGATGCCGGTACCGGTACAGACATGGGTTCAAGGTGACCTTGAAGGACACTTACAAAAACTGTTGCGTGGAGCAATTAATACATACAGATAGTGTATTAAAAAACTGAATTTTTTCCGGATTAACTTAAAACAATATTTCAGCTTGTGACCTTTCTATAAAATCAAGCGAAGCAATTCACTGGCCTAGCTCCAAAAATTTTTTAGCAAACAAAACGAACAACTGGAGTACATAAAATAACTGTACGTATGATGATACCAAACTTATGTTTTTACATGCACGGGAGATTTCGCTTTCACGCGCTCTCATACACTGCAAATTTTAAAACGCATAAATTACAAAAACATAAATTCTGAAATTCATTTTAAAATTTAAAAAAGAACTGTGGTTAAAAACGACCTTGATCCTCGCATTCGTTTACATGCAAATTTGGGTGAAGAGCGGTTCCTAATGAGGCTTGGTACACCTAAATGATGAGGTACCGGTACCGGGTACGCGAAAGCAAGAGTTCCCGTGAATTCATACGAACGTAGCGCCTTATGCCGGCATAGTTTGACACGAACAGACAGTATATTACCATAAAGTTCGACTACCAACTGCTCGGGCAGTGTTTGCCCCGGGTACGTCCAAGGCCGGCCCTTGACCAGACCAACCGAAAGAACGGAAATTACGGGAACATTGTAAACATAGAACATTGTTCCTAGAAATTAAGACCGTATGAGAGCGGAACCAGTACCCATATGCGTGCCCGCCGGTCAGTGTTGTAATAGTGTACTTGAGCTGTCAAATGAACTGAAACGCGCAAAGAGTCACACTTTCCACTGACCAAACCTACACAATAACAGGAACCGCACGTTACCGCCGGTGAAGTCTGCTGTTGAGTGAACAGAAGCAGGATCCCTATTGGCGCTAGTGGCTGGGTATAAGCGGAGCTATACTGCTCTAGTCCAAGGTCACGCCTCCCTTTGATCGTTACTATACTGATCGGAACATGCTAATTAAATTCGCTAGTCAGACGCCTTAAAAGAACATTATTTAATCACTAAAAACAGTATAATATTTTAAAAAGCTTCAAATACCGACAAAAAAATGGAAAAATCGACCACGATCGGAATTGAACCCACATACTTCTGATTCGAAGTCAGACGCCTTAAAAGAACAGTATTTAATCACTAAAAACAGTATAATATTTTAAAAAGCTTCAAATACCGACAAAAGATGGAAAAATCGACCACGATGGGAATTGAACCCACATACTTCTGATTCGAAGTCAGACGCCTTAAAAGAACATTATTTAATCACTAAAAACAGTATAATATTTTAAAAAGCTTCAAATACCGACAAAAAAATGGAAAAATCGACCACGATGGGAATTGAACCCACATACTTCTGATTCGAAGTCAGACGCCTTAAAAGAACATTATTTAATCACTAAAAACAGTATAATATTTTAAAAAGCTTCAAATACCGACAAAAGATGGAAAAATCGACCACGATGGGAATTGAACCCACATACTTCTGATTCGAAGTCAGACGCCTTAAAAGAACATTATTTAATCACTAAAAACAGTATAATATTTTAAAAAGCTTCAAATACCGACAAAAAAATGGAAAAATCGACCACGATGGGAATTGAACCCACATACTTCTGATTCGAAGTCAGACGCCTTAAAAGAACAGTATTTAATCACTAAAAACAGTATAATATTTTAAAAAGCTTCAAATACCGACAAAAAAATGGAAAAATCGACCACGATGGGAATTGAACCCACATACTTCTGATTCGAAGTCAGACGCCTTAAAAGAACATTATTTAATCACTAAAAACAGTATAATATTTTAAAAAGCTTCAAATACCGACAAAAAAATGGAAAAATCGACCACGATGGGAATTGAACCCACATACTTCTGATTCGAAGTCAGACGCCTTAAAAGAACATTATTTAATCACTAAAAACAGTATAATATTTTAAAAAGCTTCAAATACCGACAAAAAAATGGAAAAATCGACCACGATGGGAATTGAACCCACATACTTCTGATTCGAAGTCAGACGCCTTAAAAGAACATTATTTAATCACTAAAAACAGTATAATATTTTAAAAAGCTTCAAATACCGACAAAAAAATGGAAAAATCGACCACGATGGAATTGAACCCACATACTTCTGATTCGAAGTCAGACGCCTTAAAAGAACATTATTTAATCACTAAAAACAGTATAATATTTTAAAAGCTTCAAATACCGACAAAAAATGGAAAAATCGACCACGATGGAATTGAACCCACATACTTCTGATTCGAAGTCAGACGCCTTAAAAGAACATTATTTAATCACTAAAAACAGTATAATATTTTAAAAAGCTTCAAATACCGACAAAAAAATGGAAAATCGACCACGATGGGAATTGAACCCACATACTTCTGATTCGGAAGTCAGACGCCTTAAAAGAACAGTATTTAATCACTAAAAACAGTATAATATTTTAAAAAGCTTCAAATACCGACAAAAAAATGGAAAAATCGACCACGATGGAATTGAACCCACATACTTCTGATTCGAAGTCAGACGCCTTAAAAGAACATTATTTAATCACTAAAAACAGTATAATATTTTAAAAGCTTCAAATACCGACAAAAAAATGGAAAAATCGACCACGATGGGAATTGAACCCACATACTTCTGATTCGAAGTCAGACGCCTTAAAAGAACAGTATTTAATCACTAAAAACAGTATAATATTTTAAAAGCTTCAAATACCGACAAAAAATGGAAAAATCGACCACGATGGGAATTGAACCCACATACTTCTGATTCGAAGTCAGACGCCTTAAAAGAACATTATTTAATCACTAAAAACAGTATAATATTTTAAAAAGCTTCAAATACCGACAAAAAAATGGAAAAATCGACCACGATGGGAATTGAACCCACATACTTCTGATTCGAAGTCAGACGCCTTAAAAGAACATTATTTAATCACTAAAAACAGTATAATATTTTAAAAAGCTTCAAATACCGACAAAAAAATGGAAAAATCGACCACGATGGGAATTGAACCCACATACTTCTGATTCGAAGTCAGACGCCTTAAAAGAACATTATTTAATCACTAAAAACAGTATAATATTTTAAAAAGCTTCAAATACCGACAAAAAAATGGAAAAATCGACCACGATGGGAATTGAACCCACATACTTCTGATTCGAAGTCAGACGCCTTAACCATTAGGCCACGCGGCCACAGACTTGTAGTAATCAAAATATACGGCAAGGAAGTGGTCGTTTTATCTCTTGTTGACTGTGCGTCAATAAAAGTCTGTACCTACTCATACTCTACAAGCTTATTCTGTCAAAATATATTTTAAAATATATTTATACGTCAAATTTGTTTAATTACGTCTGAGATAAATTTTAACCATCAGCAAAATGAATTTTCGCTTAACCATTAGGCCATGCGGCCACAGACTTCCAGTGATCAAAATATAAGGTTACAAGTTGGTGCCATCACCTTAACCGCACGTTGATTGTACCCCTGATACTTGGAATACGAGTACATAACAGATCAAAAATAGTTAATCACAGATTCACAGCAGCAAAATTTCAGTTAACTATTAATGCATTTAAAATCTCATCTAGCCTTAACCGTTAGGTCACGTACACGGCCATCAGCCTTGTAGCTGTCAAAATATAGGGGGAATTTAACTGCTGAGGCCAGCACTCCCTGTACTTGATGCCGTCACCTGCCTAGTGGAGCCACAGTGTGACCACTGTGACGTTACGGCAATACATTCGGTTAAATCGGGCTCAGTACATATTACATAAGCAATTAATCGTAAGCACCATGTTTAGCCACAACGTAAAACTCCAGCCGGGTGACGGCAGCAAGTACAGGGAGTGCTGGCCTCAGCAGTTGAACACCCCCTATATACGGGAACGAAGTGAGTGGTATGATCGTTTTATCTCCTGTTGACTGTGCGTCAACACTACTTTGAAAATATCTGTATACATATAAATATCCGTCAGATTTATTTAGGTTTAATTATGTCCCCTGAGCTTTATTAAAGAGAAATTTCAGGGAAAACTTTTCCGTAAACCTTAAGTTCCTAACTTCCTAACACAAAAAATCAGTTACCGGCAAAATATTGTTAAAATTCCTTTATTTTAGAGAATTTCGCGCTAATTTTTGAATGCAATACTGTACGGTAATACGGAGCAGCGAGTTTTAAAGTAGTAAAAACGAAGTATAAGTAATACACAGGAAACTAAAATAATTATTGTTAGTTCATCCATGGTTGTTTCACCGGGCAAAGCAGCTGCACGTCGCACGATCAGCAGACCCAGCACCGACACATCGTGATCCGTACAAGTACGACTGCGTTTTTCTCGGTTTATTGCTCGCTTTTTCCAGTTTTACTAGTTCTCGGTTTTTCTCGGTTTGATTGTAAGATTTCCGCTTGCATTGCAAGCTGGTGCTTACTATGAAATGCATCATAACATGCACGTACATTACCTGTACCTTTTAATAATATAGATATAAATATACTGTACGATAATATCTATTAACGTTATACAATATTACAGTACTGGCATGCGTACAATGCCTTATCTTAATGCTTTCGAACGTAATAACCGTTTTCGTTCTCTTACAACAAAACCGGAAGCTGTGGATCACATCCCTTTTGGCAGACGGTGCAAATACATACGCATTTGTGCCTGCTTCCGGTGGAAGGCCGAATATATGTACATACCGGCATCAACATATACTCTTATGTTGCCATAATACTCTCACTCGTGCTCTTGGCTTTCGGATATCACGTTCATCATACAACCTTTCCCTGAACGTATTAATATTATTTTTGTTTCCTTTTTTCGCTGCATCAGCGGAATGCTATATCAAGTCCTTCGATGAACAATTATTTGTGCATCAATCAGTTTTGTGCGACTTGGGAGTTTATGTACGAGTATTAGTCACATACTTCTCGCTAGGCTATATAAATTAAGTGCAAGCTCTGAATGCTTTCCTCCTTCGGAAAACAATGTGTGAATTGAATCACCATTTGTTCCAGTAGAAGTAGTGATGGTAGACATGGTGCAGAAATATATTCCCGTGCTATTCTTCCACATTCTCTACTGTAAATTGCACTGTGCACGGGGAAATACTGTTAAGGAAATCATTTCTCCGCCGGCCAGCAATGCAAGTGTGCCCCTGCATATTATTACTGTGATTAACGGGAATAATAATATTTTTGGATACAACGCGATCGCTCCTGTATATGATGCGGCATTAGCAAATGCAAAAAAGACTTTTGGATTCAGTAATGTCACTTACACTATGGTATACAAACGGGGATCATTCCTTTGTTGGGAAGCAGGCGCGGAAATGTTAACCACAAGTGCCCCGATATTCGAAAGCATTATGAAGCGACCAAACGATTTTACCGTCATGTTTGCCCCGGGTAATAAATAAATTCAACTCGCACAAAATGTAATGAAATGTGAATTATTTTTTGTTGTGTTGTGAGTAGACATATATAGATGAAAATGGTAACAATAAAACTGGTTTAGTGTTATTTTTGTGCATTGGAAGTAAATACGCTAATTATTGCCCAAAAAGCATAAGGTTATGCTGCCGTGTTAACACGGCAGTAATATCATCTTTCTGTCACTCAATGTTTACCTTACCGTTGCTCCTTCCTACCTTGTATTCGTATTTTTCGTAATATGTACTTCGTATTCTTTATAATGTTAGCTGAACTTGCAGGCTGCAGTCTGGAAATCATCTCTTTGGGAGACTTTGTCAGAGGTAAACCAACATATTATGATATTTGAAAATTTTTGTCCTAAAGTCAAATTAATCGACGGAGGTTCTAGGTTCTTGGCATAGCAATTTCGTACAGTATTCAAATTTTACATCCAAATGACATTGCCTATAATTAAGTAAAAGCTCACTGCATGTAGATTCTAATTACATAGCTAACAAATTAACTGCCTGATTGAATTCCATCGCATATCGACATAAGCAGACTAAATTTTGCAATTTTGCAGAATGGGATATACCATTGTTTTCTGCGTAAGTTTCCTGCCGGCTTCCCTTTCCGATCGCAAAACAGCTAAGCGTATACCCATAATCATGTTAACTGCGTGTGCTCTTTATTTCCTATTTTTTTCAGTTTTTTTATTTACATCGGTCCACTAGAGACTCTTGTCGATTTTTGTAGTCTTTGTGTACATGTTTCTTTAATTATAAAGATAACGGAAGGGTGCAACGTTATAATTTCTAAGCGGCTTCTAATTAGTAAACGTCATCATGACCTTCAGACCTTGTAATGTTGCTCGGATTAATTTTGTCTGATCCCCGGTCACAGGTGTATACTACCGGATTGTTCAACGCGTTTTAAGCCGGGCGTACTTGTACTTACCATTAGTGATGTCTTCCTGTTCGCAGAATTGCTAGCGACCGGCTATTAGCGAATAAAAAGCGGTATCCGACGGTTCTGACATTTGCCGCCGTTGATCACAATACGGTGTCGCAATCGGTGCAGCTCCTTTTGGAGAAGTACAAATGGCGAACTCTGACCTTTTTCTGTGATTCCCTTACCCAATATCCGGCGCTGCAGACATACTATACTATGTCGTGCAGTAATATGCGACGGAATCTCGAAGCGTATTTACCTGTCCAGTACGTCATTTCTCAGCTGGATTTTGACTCTAAGAGCTTCCAGGATTATGGTTACCTTTTACGACGGATGCAGTCAAGCAGTCGAGGTATGCGCACATCACGTAAACTGTCTTTTTTCATGATTTCTGCATACACCGTAAATGATGGAAATTAAAACAAACCGGAGCCCAAATGCCTAACTCGCCGCAAAAACTATGCAATTTTAGGTTATCAGGGGCAAAAAGAACGATCGTAAAAAGTGATTGAGAAAATTTTAATCAAATTTCATTGCAGTTGCTGTTCTTTTCACTCATCCAAAAATACTGCGACAAATCATGGTAAGGCTTACCCATGCAAGATTATAATAATTGTTATACCTCGTAAAAAGGCAATTGCATGCTGACCCATGGTAGTTTATAAACGTTTATCGTGTCTTTGATTACGTATATACGCACTCGATGAATTTATGATTATGACAAAGTTACGATTACTGCATTCTGTTCAACTGCGTATCTTTTGACGAACATTGTTTTTTTAATTTTTTTAATTCGTTTTAATGGCTGTTTTGACGTTAAGTATTTGTAGGCCGCTGCGATATGCATTAATTCTACGTTTTTAGATAACTGCCAAGAAGCTGAATATGACCAATGGAGATTATGTTAGTACCATCGTTGGCATTGTCAACGAAAGTAATCCCAATCTTAGCTAGTGGTTTGGCTTTCTAATAGTTATACAGCTAAAACTTAGTGTAGCAGATAGAATTTATTTGAGAATTTATATACTTCATAGACATGCAGGAGAAATGATTATTTTTGCAGGAACCAGTCTATGTTTTGCGATTTGATATCAGGCTGTATCGTTGTGCTGGTAGACGGGAGTGCTTTGAACTGCTCCTTACTTTGCATCAATGTTAAAGATTAGGTTTTATACTGAATGATAAAACAGCAACTTCTCCGTCGTTCCTCCTAAAAATTAAGGAGAATCCCGTGCAAACTTATTTCATAGAATATGTCATTGTATTTTTTGTTACAGATATACCTATCGTCTCAACCTACGCAAGTGCCGACACTCGGAACCGTTGAGTGGAAGCTTCTTGATGATCACGATAATGTACGGAAGGAGTTCATGCAAAATTTCCCATAGACCTCGAGCAACTTTGATGTTAATTCCACTGACAAAAACTGACTAATTTAGCTTAATTTTTCAATATAGTGTAAAATGTCCTAATATATATATATATGATGTAGGCGAAAATAGAACACGACGTCGTTTGCAAATAGTCTTACAGCATACATTTCTATGTATTGTTAGTATCATTTGATTTCATAAAATTGTAAGCACGTGTGCATTCGCATTTGGTGGTGGATTACTGCAGGCTGCTTTTGAGGCCTTTCAATCCCTCATATACTTCAACAATGTCAATCCGAATTGGAAAAACATGCAAGATATTCTTGGGATGAGCGAGCGGATATCGGAGACCTTTTACAACACCACAATACCGAAATCCGACGTGGTAAAACACCAGATATCGTCTTCTGCTATCCTGGATATGCACAACAATAAGCTTGTTTTTAGGAAAATGATATGGCTGTTGCGGCATACGAATCCTTCTCTGCTTTCGCGCAGGTAGTTTAACTGACCTCCTCCATTTTTAATATACTGTGTTTTGTTAGGGCGCGTACAATTACACCAGTGTGACCGGAATTAAAAATTTTGACAACAGATTTGGAATGATGTTGCAACGCGGAGAGGTCAAAAACTAACCGGAAGCGCGTTTGCACGTGAGTTGTGGAATCGGACATTTGTCTTCCCATCCAGATCGATGTACATCTCTGAGAACGGAATGCGGAGAACGGATGTGACCTTTAGTAAACTGAACAAGACGTCCGAGTTGTTTGAGGTGCCTATATGCCTTATACGTAATAGTACAAAAGGACATTTGCACCAACTGGAATTTATTTGATTAATTAGCTATAGCCGCGTAGCGATCATTATACTACGAGTACTTACTTGAAGAGTCTTCCGGGTTGTGCAGATGTATTTCGGTTGCATTACACCATAATTCATTATGTTTTGTGATTAATTGGACTTGTTTATAAAATTATTGGATTTATGAAATTCTAGGTCGCTTGGCAGTTTGACGCGATTTCATCTACGTTAAACGAAATAACACCGGCTCTGGCTGAATCCTGGTACGGTAACAACGGTGCCCCTGTGGATGTGCCACGATGTGGTTTTCACCAAGATCTCTGTCCAGAAGCTTTGAGTGGTAATTCACTGTCTGTTAAAACATACGGTAAATGTAAAAATGTATTTTAGGATCATAATAATAATAGTCTTAACGACTATCTGCCATTTAAGCAAAACCATTACTTAGGATTTTATTCGTATAAAGGCCAAATTTAACAGCACGTGGCTTATTTTACGTGTATAATGGATCATGATTAGACGGTTTAATGACGCTTGAATATGAACACATTTAAGAAAACAAAGCAAAAATTCAGCATCATCTGAAATTGTAGGTAACCATGCAATAACAGGAGTGACGATTGGCGTATCGTGTTGTGTCATAATATTGGCGATCGGTCTGTTCATTGTCTGGAAACGCCGTTTCCGGCATGACGACAAACGTTTATGGTGGTGTTTGGAAGAATCGTTGCTCCAGACGAAAGAATCCCTGAAAACTAGTAACCGGTCTTCAAGTTGCCTGATTGTTAGCAGAAGCACTGATGTTACTGTGCGGCACGAGCAAAAACTGCAGCTGTTTGGTCAGTATGATCAAGCGGTGTGGGCAGAAGCAATTGCACCTTATTATGTATCACCGGAAGAGATCACCCGCCAGAAATATCTACGGGAAACGCTTAATGTGGTTAGTGCGTGCCGCACACCAAATCAGCAATATTGCATGTATTGTAATTACGTAATTTAGCCTCATTATAATTTCGCTCTGTTTTTCGCAGTTGAAAGATATGAATCACAACAATATCGGGAGATTTTTTGGAGTGCTACCAGCCGCCAGTCTGACCACTTTAATATTCGAATTCGGAAGTCGCGGTACTCTTTTGCGCTTTTGCAGAATGATCGGCTGCTGCTTGATCGTGAAATTCAAGCTGCCATCATATGGGAAATAATAGATGTGCGTGATCAAAATTAATTAAAATATTTCGGCAAAAAACAGACCTTTGATGTGAAAGCTTTTCCTTGACTATATATACACCACTTACACAAAAGACGTTTATGCAGTCGAAAGTATTTTTTATAAAATAAATATTTTTAGCAAGGATAAAGTCCAGTTATTCTTTAATATAAAGTCAAAAAATCTAACAATGAACTGAATCCGGAATTTTCAAAGAATTCAAAATATTGGTGTAAGTTGCAACTGTCCCCAAAGTTTTTTTTTATGCCGCAGGGTTTGAAATTCATCCATTTATCCACCCTACGATTTCATGGATTGATGTCAAGCCTGACTGTCACGGTCAATCAACGTTTTCGTCCTTTGTTGATCAACCATGTGGTAACCCGGTTCAGGAAAGCACTGCACAACAACACCTTTCCCGAATGCTTACCACCTGATCCAGCCATATTGTGGGCTGCACCGGAAATGATCCAGCAGCAAACCCATGTCGCCTGCATTGGTTCAAAAGAAGGGGATATCTTTAGCATGTGCATCATACTGTATGAGATGATGTCACCGAAATCGGTGCCCTTTCTGCTTAAAATTACGGAATTATCTATGCCGCTATTTAATGACGGTACGAAACTAATGTACTCATATATTTGTAGGTCACACATGAATGAATACCGGCCCTATATTTAGTTTACACAGATGCCTTGTAGTATGCGACGATTAAAATTAATAGCGCCCAAGTCATTAGGAAATGAATGACCATTGTTATGCATTCTGCTCATTCAGAAGGCTGGAAATTTCTGAAAGATATATGCATGAAAAGGACATTTCAACCTCCATCAGATGAACTTCCGGAAGGCTTGCAGAAGATTATCCAGTACGGCATCGCTGCCGATCCACTGAAACGCCCTCTTATGGCACAATTTACGGCGATTATAGCGCGGCACATTCCACGCCGGAAGCTGATGGACACTATCTTGTCCCGGCTGGAGAATTACTCCATCGAGCTGGAAATCACAGTTACCCAAAGAACCACCGAATTAATATCCGAACAACGCAAAGTTGACCAACTGCTCCGGGAATTAATTCCACCGTAAGTTCTATACAGCGAACTGCAGAATATGATTAGGTACCGGCATCGTACGCTTCATTGTGCAAGTCTACATATACCCATTATACTGAACTTATATTTTTGTGCAAAGAATGTACTGTTATATTATGATTTTACTGCGTTTGCTTAGGTCGCTAATACACAGTCTTCGGAACAAAATTCCTATCCATCCAGAAACATTTGATTCTGTGACAATATCCTTCAGCGACATTCCGCAGTTCGATGCCATTTGCTCACGGTCCACCCCACTGGAATGCGTACAGTTGTTGAACACAGTGCACAACACGTTTGATACGATCCTTTCCCGCTTTAATGTGTATAAAGTGGAGACCGTAAATGATTCTTACATGGTAACTTTATACTTCTGCACACAATGCGAAATTCATTGCGCACAACGTTGTCGGTAAAAGCAGATTTTTGAGCCGGTTAGGTAAGACTAATTAATACTGCAATCTGCATTTAATTTTTTCAGCTAGTAAGCGGGTTGCCGGTTCGCTGGGAAACTGTTCATGCTGCAGAAATAGCGAAAATGGCTTTGGCTATGCGACAAGCAACACAGATGCTCCCTGTACCATCGGCATCATCCGACCGAAAACGTCTTTTAATTCGAACAGGCATAAATTCTGGTATAAGACCTTGACCGAAATATGTACCCATTTTAAATTAATCAAGAAAGCAACATCTTGCAAGCGTGTGCTGATAGGGGGTTGTGTCGCTGGCGTTGTTGGGTCACGGATGCCTCGATACTGTTTGTAAGTTACTGTTGGTTCCTCTATGTACTGTTTGTAAGTTATTGTTTTTCTGGCTTACTGTTGATTCCCGTCAAATTAAATTTTGCTTAGGTTAAAACTCTGATACAACGGATGATACAACATTTTTATACCAGATTATTTAAAGGCTTTTCGTAGGTTTGGAGATACCGTTAATACAGCCAGCAGAATGGAAACCACAAGCGAAGGTACAAGCTAATTGGTTGCATGAATGGATGAGTGATTTGGTTGAACTTGTATTTGGTACCAGACCGATGCTATTACGAAAAATTCACCCATCGTAATTCCTAAGAGAAAGAGAGAGTAACGTTAGAGTTAAATTTTTGGGGAAGCGAGTAACGCTTCAAAGTTGCGTTATACTTCGATAACTCGAAGATTACTCCCGTTAAGGAAAATTGTAAATAATAACTGCACAGGTCTGATTAGTGTATACGTTACCGGAAGTCTTGTGAATAATTAAGAAACCAATTTAGGAAGAGCTGTTGAAAGTGATGCAAAATGTGGCTATTTTAGAAGACAAAATCCAAATGTCCGAGAGCACCAAAATTTTATTGGATAAAATAAGCGGATTTGTGGTCGAACCCCGTGGAACAATTGATGTAAAAGTAAGTTGCGTACAACATTTTTAAATGTTACGTTTCGCAGGGAGAACAACCATAAAAATTGAAGAAGCTCATGTCAGTTTGGGTTAAAGATATATTGCCAAAGAAAACAAATTGCTAGTACACACAGAGTAGAGTGTCTTGGAATGCTGCTGAATATAATATACAGCGCAGCGTATATGCGTATAATTTTTCACTGCTAATTGTTATTGTTAACGTTAATTTCAAAGTTAAAAGATTTAGAAAATACAGGCAAAATGAATCTTCAAAATATGGTATTTGTCTTGCCCAAAATGTTTTATATATTGCAACTATGCCATAGTAAATGTAATTATTTTTCTTCTCTGTAAGCAGTTTAACTGGTGAACACAAACTATGCACAAACTAAAAATAAACCATCCAGCTCATGCTGCTTTTCAACAGTTCCCAAGACACAAGCAGCATTACCGCGCTGATTTCAATACTAAAACGTTGTAGCAGAAAATACTTTGCGCGAATTTCACCAGTCTGCTCTCTGATGCGCCTGGCCAGCTCATTAAATCCATGGTGAGAGGACCGCCGCTTAAATAAATTATAATAATATAATTTATTTAAGCTGTCGGTATAATTATAATAAAATTATACCGACTGAAATCCATTAAATTTCTTAAAAGCAAAACTACCAACGTTGTGTATATATTTGCGGTTTGTACATAACGGTTTCTTCAACTGCGATTTAAAAGCTCACTTTCCTATCAGTCGTAATTGTTCTGTATTTTCAGGGAAAAGGCTCCATGGAGACATTTTGGCTAGTTGACTGCACCAAAGCCTCTAGAGTCAGTTAGCTACAAGCCCTTTTATTGCCCATATTTTGTATTTCCTAGCGCAATTGCACAAATCCTTTCATAATGCCTTTTCGAATGCTGTATGTTTATGCCGGACTAATGACGGCTCTGCTGATGCTTAGAAATGGTTTTGTTAATAAGTGACCTTTTTGTTATCTCGAGTCATTTCATAGCAATATCATGTGCAGTATGACCATTATAATCTGAATGGAGAAAGGTTAATTGTCTTAAAATTTACATCAGTAGGACAATACCATATTATGCAGTTCTGTATTCTCTAATGTGCGCGGAATCGTATTTTCCTGAGGTTACGACAACGTACGAGGTGTATTACAGCACATGCTACCGAACTGAACGAATGCCTAAAACGCATGTTCCGCGTTCCGCCGGAATTCGCCGTAAGAGTGTGCCAAAATTATACAAATCATCTTTCATATGTCGTCACGATATAGGAGAAAACACAGGTTTTAATAATTATTAAAATGGCTCCCGTGATTTGAATTACAAGAACCTATGGTCACGATTTCACGATCAGTCTGTTCGGCTCTCCCCACGGAACAAATTTACATAGTGTACGAGCGATGTAGTGTACGAGCGTACAAAATTTTTTTTCGTTTAGTAGCTAACAAAATTTGTAGTTTCACGAATCCAAAACCATTGCTGTACGACAACCGGTTCATGAACAGCAAACAAAAAACTGAGACCGCCATTCTGTTGGGCCACCCGGTAGTATTTAAATGTAGCAGTGAAGTAGTACGTACTTTGCTAGGTTGCAGTAAGCAGTACGGTATGTAGTAGTACTAGATACTACTCGTAATACGATTGTGGCGACAAATTTTCAATTTTCTCTTTTTGCCTTCAGTTGTTTGTGCAGCAATACTCTACAGCGCTTAAAAGTTGTACCGCTTATACTGTACAGTGGCGTATCAAGTACGCCTATAAACAAGATACTTGAATACGGTAAATCTTCACGACGCAACTGGTGACGGAATTCGCCAATAGGGCTCCGTTTGCTGACTGACCTGTGCCCCTCGGCATTATGCAATTGTTTTGTGTTGTTATAATTGTCGCGACATTAAACACCACGCCTTAACTGCTCGATCGGCATATTTTTACCAAAGATCAATTTGTCAATAGAAATATTTCTAAAATATGTCGATACTACAGCTATATAGGTTCTTTAGTACTCAGCACGTAAAGGTGTAGTCATTTGAGCTGTGTTTCTATATCGCGAAATTATTTTCCAGCGAAAAGCTAACCCAGAGCGGTTGGCAAGTCGAATGCTCTAATGGTAGAATGTTCAGGACAGCTTGTATTTAATACTGTTTACTTTCGGATGCTATTGTGATCGTGGATAATGCATTTAGTTTTGATCAGTGACTTCCGTAAAAGGAAGACATCGTTGCTGGTAACAATATTACGGATGATTGTAATAAGTGAAATTTCAATGCAGCCGGTTTACTCAGTAAAACTGCATTTGGTGATGGTTCTCAACGGCGACAATCCTTTTTTCGGATATTATGCAATCGCTCCGTTATATGACATTGCTTTGACAAAGGTCAACCGTGTCTATCGGCATATATTGGAAGATGCCACTCGAACAACAATACACAACCCGGGAATGTTCGGTTGCCCCGACGGAGCAGCGAAAATGCTGATCCTATCACAAAGAATTTATCGTGCCATTCAACAAACACCCGACCGTTTTCCCGTATTATTTTTTCCAGGTACGAAAGCAAACAGAGTACATACTTTATAGCCTCTGCAAACTCTTCTATTAAATGTAGCCTGATCTGGAAACTACGCTATTTGTGTACGGACCTGTAACAGTGAGCGCCATTCGTAGGTCATAACTACGTTACAACGAGAAAACTGCACAGTCACAAATGATTTACGTCACTTTGTCGTATGTTTTTTTAATTTTTATCACCCACAAAACCTTCTGCCATACGACAACAAATGCCTATGTAGTATATAGTCATACTATATACTTCATCGTTTGCAAAATTAAATGTGTTGACGCATTTGTGGATTTTGTAATTTGAGTCTTGAGAGCGATAAACAGCGTTGAAATAAAATAACAATTAACTGAAGAGAAGTACACTGCATTTGTATAAATATCTGTGTCAACTTAACAGAAGAAGATAGTCCGCCGCGGAAGCGGAAACAACCGGCGTGCGTATATCCTGCCTTGAGTGTCCTTCGATGCTTTTCGCGTACTGAATATAAAAGGCACATCTGTGCATGTTGTTAATTATGCACGTTACCAGGTCATTAGCAGGATTGGTACTCAGGAAACTTATTTCAGTACTTCTTGCATATTGTACGCACATGCACCAAGCACGATATATCAGGGCGTAGCAGAACTATCCGCCTGTCGCTGAAATTATTACAAGTATTACTTAACAAGATATTCCCGTTTACGACTGTACGAAGAAAAAGCACACCTTTCTTGTACAAACAAATTTACCAGGGGGATGATACGCCTCATGATAAAATGTGTAAACTGCAGAATTATGTGTATTTTGCGCATCTGCTGTCTTTGGGGATCGGTGTTGTCTCGGGTAATGGGATATTCCGTTTGCATCTGATAACGGTTTTGAATGGGGACAACAGGCTGTTTGGGTATTATGCCGTTGGTCCGTTGTATGATGTTGCATTTCGTCAAATTATCACTGATTATCCTTATGTGTTTTCTCATGTACATGTCGTACATACTAATGCTATTCACGAGCCCGGAATGTTTAATTGCCCAGAAGGAGCTGCAAACATTTTAACAACGACGGAGAAAATATATGCTGTGATCCAACAGTATCCACATTATTTCACAGTTATATTTTTCCCTGGTATAGACCCTCTGGTTTGCGTAAATCATTTAATTTTAGTTTTTAAAGATGGTATTGATTGTGTACGGAACTGTATTTGTGACTGACCGCAAGTTTTGTAGGATTTTCGCAAAAATTCGCAACAATTTCACCAAATGCAGCATTTGTATTGCTTTTATTGATGGAGACTTAATTTGTATCGTTTTTTTGCAGGATGCAGTTTAGAAGTACTTGCTTTGGGCGATTTTGCACGAGGTTAGCGACAAAATGGAAAAATCAACCACTTTTTTTGCTTCACGTTGGCCGCTAAATGACTGTTTTCAACTGGGGTGTTTTCGTACCAGTCGTTGCATTTTGTGCGTGATTTTGGTACTATACAAATCATTTGATCACATCGATTTATGTTATTTATTGAATGGTAGTACACTTTCTGATTGGCATGAAGATCAGTGTGTTCTGAATTATGAAAAATTAGACACTTTGTTCTGTCTCACGTTTAGCACGAAGAAATTTACGACAGTGCTACGTTTTGTTGGTTTATAGAGTGGGACGTGACGTTAATCGCAGCGTAAGTACGAGTACCTTGTTCTAATGTAACATAAGCGGGATCATTATACAGCTTTAATTTTTTGTGACTAATGAGTGACTGTTTCCGAAGCTTTTTTTTTAATTGAATGCTGTTGTTTAGCTCTATACTTCTATGTGAAAAATTCTTTTGTCACAGATTAGCCGGTGATCAGGCATTGGCTAATAAGCAGCGTTATCCGACAGTGGTGACCTTCCCCGCACCCGATCATGTGACAATGCCTGCCGGATTTGAGCTGTTTGCAGAGACATACAAATGGCGGACCATTACGTTCCTCTGCGATGGATTATCCCAGTTCCAAGCCATGAGCACTTTCTACTTCATATCCTGTAGCAACATTAAAAGGAAATTAGAAGCCTCCACCCGAGTACAGTATCAGATCAACAAACTCGAGTTTGACTCAAAGTTTAACCAAGACTACGAAACGCTGCTGAGACTCATGCAACCCCAGAGTCGAGGTATTATGCAATATCATGACACGTAAACAGTTCGATATTTGTCACGCTTCTTTTATTAAATGTAGTGGCCATAATATTCAGCCATCCTAGAATTGTCCGGGATATAATGGTAAGTAATCAACTGCGTAAGTTTATTATGCCCAAAAATTTTGCAAGTTATACAATCATGAATCATCTGCCGTGTTTACCTACCATGTTGTCCATAAAGGTCACTGCACATCGTCTTAACATGACAAACGGCGATTATGTACGGTGAAAAATATTTTCCTTTACTGTTCATGTTGCTGGTTATAAACAAATGTATCTTGTTTATAGATTTTTCTTACGTCGCAAACCACGCGTGTGCCCCAGATGACCGATATGAACTGGCAATTTTTCGATGGCAGTGACGAGGTAACTGATTTCTTCCAGGATTTCGGCCACTGTTTGTACGTATTGGATTTTGAATATCTGTACGTTTATCGAACCTGTTTTGTCAGGCGGCATTTGACGGATTCAGGTCATTGATTTCCTTTGTAAATCCTAACCCAAACTGGGATCGCATTCAAGACGTGCTGGATGAAGCAAAAAACATTTCTCTAATTCGTTATAACCGCACTGTTACTCGTGACGATCAGGTACATGCAAACCCCAAGTTTATGATTGTACTACTGTGTTTTCCGATTCCAGCATTCATGTTATAAACATTTCAAATCCAAATTCGTAGTAATTTTACGTTCTCTTTGCAGTTGAATGACATATCAATTTCCGCGTACGAATCCGTGATAGGATTTGCCCAAGTGTGTATTTGTGGCCTAACGCATGCAGAACAAAATTAGGATTTGATTAAAACCATTTCTGTACAGGTTTTAAATGATACTTTATCAGAAGTACCCAATATGACCGGCACACAATTTGCACGGAAATTCTGGGACCGGTCTTTTGATTTCCCGTCCCGCAGTTTCCATATCGGACGTAATGGTATGCGCGTTAATGATGTGGTTTTCTCCCGGCTGAACACCACATCCGGCATTGTCGAAGTTAGTAAACCGCTTAAACAGAAGCGCACGGAAATCGGCTACCACTCGTACATAAAAATTAAACGTTTTGACTAATTACAGTTTTGCTGTGCAGGACACGTGGCGATATTATGCCGTTCCCAAGACATTAGAAAAATTAAATCCGGAGCTGGCAGACGCTTGGCGTGACAAGCGCGGCCCTCCACCAGATGTGCCGAAATGTGGATACCGCAGTGACCTTTGTGCTGTTAGCAATCGTAAGACGATAATATATTGATGCCTTTTTGAGGCATGATGTAGATTTGATGTAGATTTGTTATGATCATGTTTGCTGATCCGCAAAAAGTGATAAAATACAGCTTTGTGCCAATACGATAGCAAAAATAAGCTTATAAATAATTTTTGCTTCGTAGTCTCCCAAGGCATCACTATTGCAGTCAGCTGCGCGGTACCAGTGCTTGTGGCGATTGGGTTGGCCCTTATAGCTTATTGGTAATAGTAATGATGTCTGCGTAAAAAAAACGCGGACAAATGGATTTGTACCTTAATTCCATCTGATTTTCTTAGGAAGTACATGGAGCTGCAAGAAACGAGAAACCTTTGGTGGTATCTAGATTTGCACAATTTTGAAAGCCCACAACTGCAAGTGTCACTCCATATCCACGATCTGGATCGTAAACCTGCTGCGGCAAAACTACAAAAAGACAATAAACCTGCAGACAAACGGCGGCTATACCAAAAACAACCGGTTACCCTAGAACAGTTCTCCGATCAAGTTCTCTCTGCCGAGAAAATACTGGATCGCAAAGCCTTACGACCACGGCTAATTTTGGTATGATATCGTCCATGGCATAGATTTAATCGAGGATGAATATTTCGATTATTGTATTTGTACTTTGTAGCTGAAACATTTCCACCACGACAACATCACCCGATTTATTGGTATTTGTACATCCACTAATCCGAATATTGGCTCCTATGCAGTATACGAGTACGGCGCAAGAGATACGCTGCACGTCTTTCTACACAACGACCGAATTACCATTGATCAGACTCTACAAAGTTCCATGATCTGGGAAATCATAAACGTATGGACTACCGGAAATGACTCGTAATAAATACCTCCTAAAGGTTACCGTTTCACACGTACAGGGATTGCGTTTTCTACAAAACTCTTCCCTCAAACAGCACGGAATGCTGTCAAGTTTGAACATTATGATGGATAAAAGATTTTCTGTCCGGATATCATCATATGCGTTAGCGAAGTTTCGTAAAGCATTTGGTGGACATATATTCCCAACTAATCTTCCATTGGATCCCACAATGCTGTGGGCGGCGCCGGAAATTCTATTAGCCAATAAGACCAGCGGCAGCCGTGAGGGAGATGTGTATAGCCTCGGTGTCATTATGACCGAAATCTTCACCAAACGAACACCTCTTTCAACAAATCTTGACGATTACAACAGCATAAAAGGTGCTACGTTGTGAAAAGCTGGCAAATTTTAAATTAATAATGCTACTGTTTTTAGAAAACATTTCGCTGTTGAAAGAGAAGCCCAGCAAAGTTAGGATCGACGAAGTTTCTGAAGTGCCGAAAAACATCCTTCCAATAATCGAGTCGTGCATTGATCCGGATCACTCTAAACGACCAACTCTATCGCATCTGGTCAGCACACTGTCACGGGTGCTGTCCAACCGGAAGTTAGTGGATACCATACTAAGGCGGCTGGAAAACTATGCCAATGATTTGGAAAATATGGTGGAAGCCAGAACGCATGACCTTTTGGAAGAACAACGCAAAGTGGATGTACTCCTTAAAGAAATGATACCGGCGTAAGAAATGACTTCGTCTTATTAATAATAGCGCTGATATTGTAATACTTGAAGTGCACGTATAGGTCACTCATAAACAGCCTCCGAAATAAACAGATTGTCAACGCCGAAGACTTTGATTGCGTGACGATTCTGTTCAGCGATATTCCGCAGTTTGGACCGATTTGTGCCCAGTCTGCTCCGCTACACACCATTATCTTGCTCAATACACTGTACAGTACATTCGATATGATACTCCCAAAATTCGATGTGTACAAAGTGGAAACCATCAATGATTCTTATTTGGTAAAAACTGATCGCGTTACGTTTTGTGATTTTGTGTTAATAACAAAAAAACAGCACTTTCTGTTATAGCTGGCCAGCGGTTTGCCAATCAGAAATGGCATTCAGCATGCCGGCGAAATTGCTCGAATGGGTCTGGCCATGCGCGATGCAACGGAAACCATCTCGTCTCCTCTCAATTCGGCGGAGAAGTTGCAGTTGCGCGTGGGGATCAATTCAGGTACGGGGTATTTGTTTCAATATTACTGTAACAGGAATCGTTGGCTGTTCGTCGAAGTGTAACTTTTGCAGGTCATTGTGCCGCCGGAGTTGTTGGCTTGAAAATGCCACGATACTGTCTGTAAGAGCGTTCCAGCTGATTATCTCGCAAACGGCACAAATTGCGCATTGCAAAATTGTAGGTTTGGGGATACGATCAACACAGCGAGTCGCATGGAAAGTCATGGAGCTGGTATGTCAAAAGCTTAAGCTGTTAGTCAACCATATCGATTCGACAATGTGTTTGTTGTAATTAAGCTACCCTGCATTTCAGTGTCAAAGATCCACCTCAGTCGGTCAGCCAAAGATCTTCTGGATCAACTAGGAGGTTTCGTTACAGAATCGCGTGGCAACATTGTTGTAAAGGTATAAAATGTCAGAATTTCTCGTTATACGCGCAGATTTTGTAATGTTTGCAAGTTTTATGGAAATTATCATTGTGATCCAAGTTTCATGAAACTTAAATTACTTGCAATCCTAGACGAAAGATACAGTTTATATTTTTGCCAGAGTTTCCACTATGGCAGAACCATATTTCCGCTGTGGTTCTGCTACTGTGCCCGTGCAGTCCTAATCAAATATGCGTTTGCAGGGAAAAGGTCAAATGGAAACATTCTGGCTCACCAGCACGTTTTGAAGAATTACTGCGCAATACGTCGTAGTGCGCGGTGACCTATACCTCTCTGTCTCAATATGAAAAACGTTGCTGCAGTGGAAACTGCAAAATATTGGGTTGTTTACCATTAGATGTATAGCTGACGTACGTCTGCGGGTATATGAATTTATTGTTCTGGTTTATGTGATTTAGAAACCACAGATGACCATGAAAGCAGCAATACAGTAAATGGCACTTTCCTTATGCCGGCAAGGCAGTTGTATCGGCGATTGCAATTGACGAGTTTTAAAAAACCCTTCGGAGAAAACCATTAAGAAACCACTGTCTGCGAAGGTACTACTTAAAAATTACAAAACCATTAATGGTGTCTGAAGATCAAGAATTTGTAAAGACCCAGAAATCTTGACTGCTGTTATGCACACCGCAAGGCAAAAGTGTACTTCCACTTGGAGGCAGACGGCAACGGACGAACGGACAGCATACTTTTGATACAAAAATAACTGTTACAAGGACAATATGGTGTTAATAACTATGCGCTGCGGTTTTATCAATCGCCATTGCAATGTAGTTACCTGAAACCGAAAAAAAAACAAATGTGAATGACTGTACCGTACTTATTAAAATGCATGTGTTACGCTAAAGATAAGAATTACCACATCACGGTCTATTGACAGAAATTTTGTCGCTCTTGATAAGTCATAAATGTAGCAGATTTACAGCCACAAAGTGATCAATTTCTTTATAGCTCACACCTCTGAATTTTTCGTGCAACTACGCTAATTAAATTGTAACTTACCTATACCGTGCAGCATGCCATATTTCTATGATTTTGAGTAAAACGTTTTTGTATTAATTTTTCGTGTGTCCGGCCGATCGCAAGGAAAGTAGCTGGAAATGCTCCGTCATGTGTCTGGTAAGGTCAATCATGATTTATCGCGAAGGTTGCAAAATGGCAAAACTTTTAAAGTAATTCTCCAGCTTTTTCCAGGCCTCCTGGTTTTACTAGTCCTCACTGAATCCAAGTTTTATCCGGTTGACCTGACCAATTTCACGACCAATGGGAATCCTGATCCATATAAAACTGCCGACCCAGACTACTTCCGCCAGTGGTTGAGAGACTGGTAAATTATAAATCCGCTTCCGCAACGTGCAAAGGCTCAGTTGGTTTTGTTTATTGTCAATAAAATCAAAAGGCTCAACCCGGCGGCACTGGAAGTTTTCCATAATTCCAACTTGGCGGACTGGGATTTCAATACGAATATTACGGATGAATCGGAAGCCGGTTCGGTGTGTAAATGCGTGGACTTCCGGCAACTGACCGGCTCAGTGTTGCGATCAGCATTGAAGACCATTACTATTATCATAAAATTACTGTATGCAACGTTTCATTCGTGCAGGTGCAACAAAGCAACCTTTCGGCCAACTTTACCAATATCGCCGCAAAAATGGCGAGTACCTTCCAGATTGACAAGATGCCACCGGACGAACAGCTGCAACGCATATACAAAGCGTTGACCATCTTGGGCAACAGTGCCCTGCCGCCCAGTGAATTCGAGGAATTAACCACGATCATTAACAATATGAGCAGTACATATTCTACGGTTGTGCTTTGTTTTGACACAACAAGCAGTGTACAGACCCTGCAGGACTGGCAGACAAGCGGCACCTGTCCCGCCGACAAGCAAACCGTTTTCGATCCCCGTAAGGTCATCTAAATAACTGTGCAAATGAATTGAAAATGGTGATGCGAATACTTGCTAAACGATAAAGACAACGCGGTATATCATCATCCGCGCATGTCGGAAAAGAATAATCCCCTACCTATTTGCAGCCATTTTCAATTATATGGATACGGTTTTTAACGATACGGATCGCAGGTTGTATTTATGGAAAACTTGGAAAGAAGTCAGTGGAAGACCTGTTCGGGCTGAATATCAGCGCTACATAGATTTAAAAAATAAAGCAGCGCAACTTTCGGGTACGTGCTTATAACCGAGTACAAATAAGGCTTACGGTTTTTTAAACAACAAAATTTTACTTAACTAGATTGTAGCTTATCAAACATATTTACTGCAATTTAATAAACAAACAAGATATTGAATTTTCTAAAAATCTCCTGGGCTAAATTTAACAAAGTAAAAACCGTAAAGCAAAACGTTTTGGGGAGGAAAATTGGCATAAGCAATTTATGTACTTAATTACAACCGTACCGCATAGGTTACGCGGATAACGGTCAGCTTTGGCGCTCCAACTACGTTGTCGATAGCCTCAATTACACCGATGCAGCATTCCTGGACAACATGGACAACTTATGGCAGCAGCTGAAACCATTCTACTTACAACTGCATGCCTATATGCGGCGCATATTAATCAACAAATTTCCCAACGCAAATATATCGGCAACCGGACCAATTCCCGCCCATTTGCTCGGTAAGCAAAGGTCGCAAAGAAATACTCTCGATTATATAAGGATGTAATTGTTTTTCTGCTAGGTGACACGAACTCCCAAGATTGGACCGGAATGCTGAGTTTTACGCAACCTTTCCTAAACCAACCACTACTGGATGTGACCACGGAGATGCAGGCTCAAGGCTACACCGTCGAGCGGATGTTTCGTCTGTCGGCCACCTTCCAGGAAGACCTGGGACTGATACCTATGCCGGATACATTCTGGAACCGTTCAATGTTCGTCCGGCCAACTGATCGGGACGTGGTATGTCATGCGTCTTCTTGGGATTTTCTTACCAGCTTTCCTGACGACACCCGGCAAGTGCCGCAATCCCTGCGCATGCATGAAACAATTTGCAATCACGTCAAATAATCATTATTCTTATACTTTTATTTCATCTCTACAGGATCAAGATGTGTACCCTTGTAAATATGCCGGATCTCATTACCATTCACCAGTAAGCTTATAAGCGTTCATTACGCTGGACGTCGCAAAATGATACGAGAGTAAAAGCACATAACGCTAATTCTTACTTGCAAGACTCGGTTTGATTAGCGTTATAATGTGATCTACATACGTAACATTACGGTTTCTTACTAATAAGTTTTTTTGCAGTGAAATGGGACACAGTCAGTATTTTCTGCAGGTAAGCAGAATTATACTTGCAAAATAGCGATGCAGTATGTGGGATCACAAGATGATAATACTCGTATAATTGTAAAATTTTTTCAAAAATCGAATTCAGTGATGAATATTGCGTTGTAAGAAATACGATACGTCATATTTCTCACAACGCTGTAATTATTGTTACCGTGTGATCATCTGATTTCCAGTTTTTAAAAAACCGAATGCGATTGACGCATGTGTAAAAATTACACTTTATTGTTATAGTACACTAATCAGTCGGTACTCTTCCGTGATGGAGCAAATTCCGGATTTCACGAGGCTGGTAAGAATTTAACATTAAAAATTGTCCAGAAAATCACAGTGTGATATGATAATTGTATGTAATCACTTATGAAGCAATGGCCGATAATCTCTGCATTCAGAGCTGTTAATTGTGAGCTGCATACCGGTACCTTCTTGGGGAAGGATGCTACGGCTGACATTACCAAAACAAAAAATTCTTTAGCAAGAGATTCCCAATATGATTTTTGTTTGCAGTCGGAGATACGTTAGCTCTCAGCGTGCGAACTCCTAAACACTTGGCATTGATAGGACTGAATAAAAATAATACCGACGACCAAGGTACGCAGTGCATCGCAAGTGGTTTTGTAGTAACACCATCTCAGCAGTGAAATCCTGGTAAAAATATACAGAAAACAACCTCAATTTCCTCTACCAAACTGCGCTGGAAAAGGTGGCCAATCTGCCGTTCTTGTATTTGATGGACCGCTATCGCTATGACGTATTTTCCGGAAAAATTTCGAAGGATAATTTGAACTCCGGCTGGTGGAAATATCTGTAATATCTGTATGCTAGCCAAAAAAAAGAAAACTTTTCGTAATGTGCGTTTTTCGAAACATTGACAGTACGGATTATCAAGGGATTTCTTCCCCTGTTCCCCGATCGGAGGTTGACTTCGATCCAGGAGCAAAATTTCACATTGTTGCCGATGTCGAATACATGAGGTCAATGGTTTATACGACTAGAAGGATTGGAAATAAATCTTAATACCGGCTTTTTGTGTTTATGTGGAATACATATCGGCACCTATCGAATGCAATCGGTACATAGCGATGAAGAATTTCCTTTTTTCTTTAGGTATTTCATCAGTTTCATCATTCAGTTCCAGTTTCATAAGGCTCTGTGCCAAGCTGCCGGTCAAACTGGACCACTGTACCAGTGCGACATTAACGGGTCAAAGGCGGCTGGAAAACTGTTGGGGTAATGTTGACATGTGTCTGCTAAGCATGATGCGGCACTGATGCCCTTTATTGTGGCGTAATATATGTGTAATTAATTATACGGACGTTGGTTGTCAATTGAAGTTGAAAACTTTTTAGTGACATGTTATCACTCGGCTCCTCACAGCCATGGCCGGTGGCTATGCAGCGGATTACCGGCTCTCAGAAAATGGACGCCGGGCCGCTGCTGGAGTATTTCGACCCCCTGTACAAGTATCTCCAAACTTTTAATGCCAAGAATAATGAAATGATTGGCTGGAAGTAATTTATATGCATGGTTGATGTCAGTGGAATTGTATTGGTTTTTTATGTACTGGCGCTATTTATTTTTACAATAAACAAAAAAGGCGATGCTGTTTGACATTAGTACAAGCGGCACAAGTATTATCATAATTTGACAAAAAAAGCGTTTAGGTCTGTACGAGCCGAATAGTAATAAAGAACTCCATAAGGCAGAATATTATGATGGAAACCAACATTAAATGCATGCAGGGTTTCATAAGAAGACGCTGGTGTACTGCAACCTGCGATGGGTTATCGTTCACACTTCAAATTAACTGGAAACATCTTTCTAGGTTCTTAAAATTAAAAGCGGTGACAGTGTTTTCTTTTGCATGAAATTTATGCCAACCCAGGTAAATGTTTAATCCGTCATAAAAATATTCCTGTTCATCATCAGTTGGTTTTTTTGCTGCATTTCCGACAGGCTTGACGTTTCGAATATCGTCATCAAAGTGCACCAACCGTGTGCTAACGCTTTGTATATACGTAATCAATCCATTGCTGTAACAGAAAACTTCGGCATAAAGTTTTGATATCGCAGCCTTACAACACCACACTGCAGGAAATCCTGTTTTTATTGAGCTAGAGCAAAATCTGATGGATATTGACAATCCGATTATAGACTCTAAATTTAAGGGGAAAAGAACAGGTCACAGTACTGTAATTTTCAATAGTGTTTTTCCGTGTATGTTCCCGATGTGCTGGGAAACCAGTCAAGGGCCGAAAATCTTTCGGCGGTATTTATACAAAATAATAGCGAACATCTTGCCGAACCAAATCTGAAGCTACGGTATACAATTACACTTCAGAGAAATAATATGGTACATATTCATTTCCAAATTGTGTACATAATGTTCGATTAAATCTAGCGCGGACGTTTCTGGAAAACAAATCGCCTGTTTTGTAAGGAGAAGAATAACATATTTACAACTTTCTAGACACGCAAACAGAAACGTGCTGATTTAGAATTATGACGGGTCGTCTTCGTCTGTAGACAACACTTGCACCGTGAAATACGTACTCGTATATATACAGCCAAGTCAGCATTCGGTCGGTCATAACAGTAAAACGCAGTTTCTTTCCTTCCACTGCATGAAAATTGTATAAGTTGAATGACGTAAAGCGCAAAATTTATTAAACGGTAGCGGGTTATTGCTTTTGTTCCTTGATCTTTTACAATGATGGGGAAATGAGTTTACATTTTGACATATGAATTTGAGAAGCTGTGCGGTGTACTGAGGATTCGCCTGGATATTTTTTAAAACTAGCACTTTGAAAAAGCCTGGTGATAATTCACTGCACCATATCATGCTGCGGAACATTATCTCGTTATCGGAGTGTCTCTTTGGTAAAATTATTACTGAACATATGCGCATGCATGAGCACCAAGCTTACACAATTAATTAACTAGTATTATGCTGCTACAATCTGCAAAAGACCATGTAAAATTCAGTATGCAGTTTTATTGTGAAACGAGAAGAGGAAAATCAGTTTAATTTGTTGGACCTATTTGAATGAAAACTTTCTTGGTGTTTAGTGTGTCTCGTCTTGGTGCCCAAAGCGAGTGCCAAATTTCATCCTGTGGATCTTAGTGACTTCTTGAAAAATGGCGTTCCTGACAAGAAACAAGTTGGTAGTGAAGACCACTTCCGCGAGTGGCTCCAGAGTCGGTAAAAGTTCCATTAACACAAAAATATGCTTCCTTGGTATTTTTCCAACCAAATTCTATTCGTGTCAATCCGGCAAAGGTCAACCTAATTATGGAAGTCCTGCCAAGAAGAACGCAACATAAAATATATTATATTTCTTTACTTGGGCGCTAGCAAAAAATTCTGAGTTTTCAAAGTCGAAATATCGCAATACACAGTGCATATATGTAGGTACAACCCGATTGCACAGAAAGTGCTCCAGGAGGATTCGCTTTCTCAGTGGGAGTACAACACCAATATCACCGATGAAGAGGAAGCAAATACGGTAGCCCGTGGCCGGACATAGATTTTCCTACCACTTTCCACAACGTGTTCTTTGTCAAAAACTCAAATTTATGTGCAGGTCAAGCAAGCCCAATTAAGTGCCAACTTTTCCAAAATCGTGGCCAAGATGGTGCAGAACTTCCAGGTTGAGAAGCTGAAGGATCTACAGCTGAAGCGGTTGCATAAAATGCTGACGGAGATTGGTGATCACTCACTAGAAGAGGCGGACATTACAGAATTGACCTCCATTGTTAACCACATGAACACTGTATACAATACAGCAACTATTTGTTTTAACGCCACAAGGAGCGTAGAAACCCTGGAGAGTCTCACAAAATCGGGATGTCCAAAGGAACTTCAAACAGCTGTTGAGCCGGGTAAGCATTTGGTGTCTTAACAATAAACGGTTATCTCTTACTCCAGCGTCATTAAATGACATGCATTAAAGTAATAGCAAATTCCATATCTCCGCATTTTATGTATTCTAGTTCTTAATAAGTACGCCGAAAACGCTTGGGATGACCCGGCCAAGAGAAAATATTTATGGAAATCTTGGAGAGATGCTAGTGGGAAGCAGCTGCGGGATAATTATACAAGATATATTGATTTGAAAAATAAAGCGGCGCGGCTTTCAGGTAGGAGAACTTGAACGCTAGTTTTGGGTGTACTGGGTGTACTTTAACGGAAGCGCCGCTCCAGTATAAACAAACTTGACCGTCATTTGCGCTGTTGACAGGATATCCGGACGCAGGTGCATTGTGGCGTGCTCACTATGTGGTGGACAGTCTCAACTACACTGATGCAGTATTTCTCACAGAACTGGACGATTTATGGCAGCAAATCCGACCCTTGTATTTGCAACTGTTTACCTACGTGCGAAGAAAATTAATCCAGCATTTTCCTAAAGAGAATTTGTCAGCAACGGGACCGGTTCCGGCGCACCTGTTAGGTAGGAATATATTGAAGACGTGCGCTAAAAGTAAAGCAGGATTTGATTATAGGAGACCTGTTAAGTCAATACTGGGCTGGGATGCTCAACTTTACGCAGCTCTTCCCTGCGAAGCCGTTGCTGGATGTTACCGCCGAAATGAAAGCACAGAATTATACTGTAGAGAAAATGTACCGCTTGTCCGAACAATTTCAAACCGGGTTAGGTCTGAAACCTATGCCGGCAAGTTTCTGGAATTTGTCCTTGCTGAGCAAGCCGGAAGACGGCCGCAAAGTCGTGTGTTTTGCCTCTTCCTGGGATTTTCTCACGAATTCACCTGACGATACACGGTGAGCACCCAGCACATGAAAGCACACTTTTAATCAGTAAGAAACTTTTTTTAAGAGTTAAGACATGTCAATGTGCATGTTCCTCTAATTTGCATGTTACTAGCTTGAAGATTTCGCCATTTCGGTGAACCGATTTGATTATAACATCGATGCGCATGCTATTAGCTCTGCGTAGACATAGATGTACGAGTGCAAAAGTTTCTCTTGTAATTACGTGTATTATTTAAATGCCAAGACTTATAACCTGCCAAATGTTGTGCTTACAGAATAAAAATGTGCACACAAATCGATATGTCCGACCTTTTGACAGTCCACCAGTAAGAACAACAAGTATTTGTATGAAATTTATCCCATATATACTGCTAAATTTGATTAAATTTAATTTTTAACCAAGTTTTAAATTCTTTAGATTTATTGTTTTATACACCTTCATACAGTATGCATCGGTCTAACTTAAATTTTAATCTATTATCTGCGTATCTCAGGTTTTACAGCGGAAGTACTCGTATACAAGTGTTGGTTGATTTCATTCTGTATTAATATTTGTAAATTTATTCTTGCAGCGAAATGGGGCACAGTCAGTATTACCTGCAGGTTAGTAACCGTTAGTCATCTGCACAATAATTTTTGTTTTTATAAAAGTTTTGAAAAATTAATATAAAGTTAAACAAGATCATTAAGTATTCTGATCATTAAGTATTCTGATCATTCTGATCAGATCATTAAGTATAAAGTTAAACAAGATCATTAAGTATCCAACAAGGTTATTGAACAAAGCGGTTGCTGGTTTTTGTGAATCATGTATATTTTATAACTAAACTATGTGCTAATTAATCAATAATAATGTAGTTAATTAATATAATTAAACGCATCCAGACTTCGTAATTACAGTATGAAGACCAAACCCCGGTGAATTTCCGTGACGGTGCAAACAATGGATTTCACGAAGCAGGTAGCAGTTGACCTTTCATTATCTGAACTATGCTGTATTTCCTTTGAGCGAGAAATGTTGTTTTTCCAGTGGGTGATACTTTAGCATTAAGCGTTGCAACTCCTAAACATTTAGCATGGTTGGGTTTGCTAAAGAACAATTCGGAAGATGAAGGTACCGTACAGCAAGATTTAAACATACGAGTACATGCATATCTGTGGCCAAATTGGTGAATTTGCAGAAAGCGCTCTGAACCATCAGTTTGCCACTGCTCTGGACAAAATTGCCAATCTTCCGTTTTTGTATCTAATGGACAGATATCGCTATGACGTGTTCTCAGGGAAAATCCCCCAACGCAGTCTTAACGCGGGATGGTGGAAATACGTGTAAGAACTACGATGAAACGCAATTATTTTGGATGCCCGAATAACTTTCCCTCTTTTAATTTCACCCTGCTGGCTAAACATATACTTCTTCTCCCGCTGTAGATTGCAAGTTGTGTTCATTTTTTAGGAAAGACTACCAGGGAGTCGTTGCTCCATTCCCACGATCTGAATCGGATTTCGATCCCGGCGCCAAGTTCCACATCGATGCCGATGTTGAATACATGCGGTGCGCTATTCAACAACACGGTTACTTTTATATGTTTAATATTCCGAAAAGAGTTTAATTCTTTTGGAAAATCAAAATTGAAGTAAGTATAAACCACTCCGAACATCTCAAAACGCCTACCGTGTCGCAGGTACTTTATAAGTTTCGTGATACAATTCCAATTCCACAAGGCCTTGTGCAAAGCAGCCGGTTACAGCGGACCGTTGTATCAGTGCGACATTAACGAGTCCAAGGCCGCTGGTAAATTGTTCAGGTATGTAGCGTGTCATCGGTTCCAAAAAGGATATACGATGTAGGCACCGATTGCTGTAAAGGTCAAACCGTAAAGGTTAAAATTAATTAAGGCGGGCTAACAAAAACCTTTTTGTATCGCAGCGACATGCTCTCACTGGGCTCCTCTCAACCGTGGCCCGTCGCCATGGAACGGATAACAGGCTCGCCAAAAATGGATGCGGCGGCACTTTTGGAATATTTTGATCCACTGCACAAATATCTCCAAAAAATCAATGCGGAAAATAAGGAACTTATTGGCTGGAAATAGCTGTCACGGTTGCAGCGACACTGAAGGAAGTACGACTATCAAGCTATGCTCGATGCCCCGACGTAGCGAGTGTCATCCTTTCGTACTGGCAGCTTTCATTTTGCTTGTACAGCAACACATGGTAACCTGATTTTCTAACGCTTTCGTCTGACTATTTTTTGTAGCCATAGGAAGTGTCCTTTCAAAATCGCCCTGCAATTAAAATGTTATTGATCTTCGGTGGTACCTCCATGTTATGCAGCTTAAAAGATAGCTATAATTCTTTTTTAATCGGCATCAGCCAGCAGTGCACTTAATTATTGGCGTGCGCAGGTTTACATTAATTAAAAGCATCAGACTTTAAACATTAAAAAAACATCAAAAATCTTTGGAGTCACTCGTGACCTTAAGCCGCGTTTAAGTGTACCCAAAACAGCTGTCCTGTTTGTCTGTTTGTGGTCGCCGAAATCCGCTTTCTTACGTTTGTGGAGGACAGTATGCTACACCAGCTGAGGCAATTTTTGCCATGATTAGGTAATGTTAGTAAAACAAGTATATTAAAATGTGTATTTTTCTACTTCCTAAATTTTAAAGTTTAAAATACATAATTTTAAATTTTGTTTTAGTGGATGCGATAAAGTATAAATCATGCTACTTGATAGCACTTTCACTTATAGCATAACTGTTGTCATACAATTAGTGGTTTAACTGAAAGTGAAGGACTTTTAGGTAATTATTATAAATTGGTCCCCCTTAAACGCGTACGTTATCTTAAAAGGCCGTAGAGCGCGGTTCCAGGCCATAAAGATAGGTTATAACACGGTGGATAGTGACCTCTACTCGCCTACGGGATGAAGCGGTAATACCCGGATCAATCTGATGATCTTTAATACGATTCGCACACATGTTGATACAACAACTGCGCAGAATAGGCAGGCAATGCTAAAAACGCTGGCTCAAGAGGCGTCATTGAGAGGCTGCAGCCAATTGCAATGTCGCCAGCCAGCTGGCTGACGACATATATGTACACCACAAAAAAGCTCTTAATCATGTTCAGAAGCCCGTTTCCGAGGATCCGGTGTATCCCTTTGAATTTCGATATCATGGCTGAAGCTTCTTAATGAATAGGTTAATGAGTTGTGACTAGGGAACTGGCTTGTCGTAACTCAAAAAAACGATTCCGTTCCCTTTTTCCATGTTTGTACGGTACGGTACGGTTACTACGGTACGTTTTTATGCAACACAGTTGCGTTACTGGGGAAGAGCGACGTCAAACAAACGTATTTATATGTTGATACTCGTGAATAATTTCAGTTATATCTATACATTTTCAACAGCGATGGTTGCATATGCTTAAGGTTGCACAATTGTATCACGGTTTAATACCCATAGTCTGTAAGGAACGCCGACGGCACATATGGTTTGCAGATCAACTCCAGTGCTAAAACATTCACTGTATTCTTCAGCTTGATCAAGTTATCGGGAACATTGAAAAAATCGTTTTAACAGCGACACATGCATAGTATTGACAAAAATGGTTCAATATTGACATCCTTGCTCATGTACAGTCACAGAAATTGCGATGAGCATCGTGCTACTTCCTTACAGTAAGCAAAAAGCTAACATTCTGACATCAAGGCACTGCAGTACATGCAGTGTCATTGCAATTGTATAATGCTTTATTAAACCATATACGTGCCGATTTGGTTTTCGTAATATGAAAGCTTCGCCAATGCATTCTGCTGGATATGTTGCAGTAAAGTACTCAGTTATATGTGTTCATCTCTTTCTGCAAATGCTTGTGGGCGCAGACATTATCAAACAGAAACGACTGCATATTGTTACCATTTTGAATGGAGACAATCCTCTTTTTGGATATTATGCCATTAATCCCGTGTATGATACAGCGCTGGTCAAGCTGGCACAGAACTATCCACTGATCTTGACCAACGTGACCAGAAGCGTTATTCATCAGGCTGGACTATTTAGTTGCCCGGACGGTGCCGCCATGATACCCCTCGTGTCGGAAAAGGTCAGCGAAGCCATTCAGCGGTATCCCGATCATTTTACAGTCATGTTTTTTCCAGGTAACTTTCAAATAATTTTTCAATAGCGGACGTATGGTGTTCACAATTGTAGGACCAGATACAATTTGAATTCATCATGCAGCTGTAACAAATTGCCGTCTTTGATCAATTTAACCATAACCAAGCATAACCAATATGGGTGCATTTTAAAATACTGCTGCTTGTAGGGAAGCTGGCACCTAGCTTAATTTTTTAAAAACACAAAACTGTTATTACAAGGTTTAAAATTCTAAACGCGCAGTAATCAGTGTATACGTATATTTAATTTATCGAATTTGTCTCTAGTTTCTTGTTGGGCGATCTCTGTACGTGGCCAGACTGGTTTGATTGACTTGTAGGTTGCAGTATGGAAGTTTTGGCTCTCGGAGATTTTGCTCGAGGTATTTAAAAAAAACAAATCGGGCGAACCGAAATACAAATTTGTATCATTCATTTTACTCTATGTGCAAAATTAATCATTATCGATTATGTCTTACTTAATACGAGTATGAATATTCCAGAATGGAACGTTCCCCTACTGGCAGCGTAAGTCATTGCCAAAGAGATATTGTGATTACAGTATGCAGAAGAAATGTTTAGCGTAATTAATATTATTGCCGACTATATACTTTGTATATGCTATGTGCTCTGCAAACTTGAAAACTGATTGATACCTCCTTACACCAGGCAGAACTGTTAACGGGCAGCTTGGTTTACTACAGTGCTTCTAGTAAATTCATGATCAAATGGCAAAATTTGTTAATTGCCCTTTTCTTACAGTGTAATTTGTCACAAAGTTGTTTCCTGCGTTTTAAATTCTAATGTAGGATGTCTTGTACTATATCTGTAGCAACAAGCTACCGGAAGCGGTAATTACACAAAACATTTCCCCTGTAATTTTGTTCTGCAGTATATCGGGAGACATGACACTGGGCGATAAACAGCGATATCCAACTGTTGTGACCTTTCCTGCTCCGGATCATGTGACAATGCCGGCTAGTTTTCAACTGTTTTTGGAGAAGAACCGATGGCGTACCGTTACCTTCTTGTGTGATGCTTTGTCGCAGTTTCAAGCGGTGGCCACGTTTTACCTTATTTCGTGCATCAACATCAAGCGAAAGCTGGACACATCCACAAAAACCAAGTACCAAACATATAAACTGGATTTTGACTCAAAAATCAACCAAGACTACGAAACGCTATTGCGGCGCACTCAAGCGCAAAGTAGAGGTGAGATATTATGTTTTGGATAGATCGGAATAGGGACGTTTCACATTTCTCATACGGTACAGTAAAACAAATAATTAGAAATTGTTTTTTAGACTGTATATATAAGTGCGCGCATACACTGAATTAACAGCAATTTGTTTTTAATTTAGTGGTCATTATATTCAGTCACCCACGGATCATTCGCGATATAATGGTAAGGATAGATGGGCTGCCAGCGGCGTTCAGTTAGATTCGGCTCAGAATTTAGAAGCTTGACAATACGAATATATATATAATCAATTAAAAAATTATTGTGTGCCAATTAAAAACATTCAGTTAAGAATTATTATATGTCGTACTGCAATGAAAAATAAAGAGTGGGAAATGTGACAAATCTAGAAGTTGGCCAAAAACTTTATCGTGATAGGTTACCGCATATCGCCTCAACATGACCGGTGGTGACTACGTAAGTTACCTTCTTTTATTTCAGTTACGAAGTATAAAATATCAGTAATCATCGATATTTTTTATATCATGTGTACATCATACATGCATGGAAGATATTATAACGTCAGCGTAACTAGCACTATAATACGATTTTTTCTAATAATTATGTATAGATTTTCTTTTCATCCCAAACCACACGCGTTCCCCAAACAACCGATATGTTGTGGGAATTTCACGACGGCAATGACGAGGTAACATTTTCTTGATCGCGAGTGACTTTATTGCCTTTCCTTGGTTGTAATTCGTCGATGCCGCTCCCTTGCGCCGGTTGCTTTCCAATATAATAAATGGGATGCTTCCACGCCGTCACATGAAATGTTTTTGGTAACAGGCTGCCTATGACGGATTTCGATCGTTAATTTCCTTCGTTAATCCCAACCCAAACTGGGATCGGATAGAAGATGTCCTGACGGAGGTCAAAGACATCACGTTTAAACAGTACAATAAATCGATTACCCGGATTGACCAGGTGAATAAATTATGGCAGTTTCTTGCCGGACACACCCAGTTATAAGAGCGCTTGTTTAAATTAGTTGATTGTGTAATTTCTCGTTCAACGTGCATGAATATAGCAGTGTCTAATTTACAGTTGGTGTTGTAGCTGAATGATTTGGCAATTTCGGCATACGAATCGATGATGGCACTGGGACAAGTGAGGCAATCAGTCGTAAGGCAATTGATTTCCGGCCGAAATATACCTAAACTTTGTTACAGATTCTGAATGAATCTATTGCGGAAATCGGGAATTTAACGGGAAAACAGTTTGCTAAGAAGTTTTGGAATCGTTCTTTCGATTTTCCTTCTCGTAGCTTTTCCATTGGATCGAATGGAATGCGCATAAACGATGTAATCTACTCCCGACTGAATATCACTTCCGGAATAGTGCAGGTATCACTAGCAAAATACATTAGTAACACCTTTGCACAGCCTGATATTACGATGCGGTAATGTACAGATAATACGCAAAACGAGTTAATGATCGTATACTATACGTATGTAATTCAGGATACCTGGCGCTACTATGCCTCCTCCAGAGCTCTGGTCGAACTGGAACCAGATTTAGCGCGCACTTGGAAAGATGTGAACGGCCCACCGCCTGATATCCCCATATGCGGTTTTCACAATGACCTTTGCGGCACTAGCAATAGTACGCAACAAATGATAATATGGCATTCGTAAAGTATTCTGAGCAGATAATTTGAATGTGATTAACAAAGCTCAGACTACATATTTGCAGTAGCCAAACCGTGCTTTTCGTATTCTAGTGCAGAGCGCAATAATTATTGGAGTGAGCGTTGCCGTTGCCGTGTTGGTTGTGATTGGATTAGGCGGCATTATTTACTGGTAACTGGCTGAATTGGGTTTTATTGACTAAGTTTTCTTTGTGCAGAATCATAACTGCACCTATCGTGCAGTTCAGCGCTGTAACTGAAAGCTGACACTGTGTTATTGCTTTTACTTAGGAAAATAGTAGATTTAGCGGAGAAAAGGAACCTATGGTGGCACATCCGCCAGAGTGACCTAACGGTTTTGGATAAACCTACACCGGCTGCTCAAGAAATGCCTCTAAATGCATCCAAAGTTGCTTCGCAGAAAAAGAACGCCATCAGTAGCAGCCGAGGCCTGTATCAGAAGCAGCCAGTAATATTCGAACAGTTTTACGATAAAGTTCTGCCACCCGAAAAGATCATTGAACGAAAAGTTGTCCGCCAGTGCCTCCATTGGGTTAGTATGCTGTATAATATCAGCTGTTTACACGAAAATAAAATTACTAATGCTGACATAATACAGCATAATATACTGAATGCAACAACAATGATGCACTGGCTGACGAGTGTACGAGTACTGTACATAAACTATACGTTCAGCAACCAAAGTATACGTGAACGTAGAGCAGTGGCAGTGCAACTTGCACAGTCATCGTAGCAGGTGCAAATACGTAACTCACAAGGCAGGTTAAAGTATTTTTCAGTTCGATTCGAGTGTAATAAAGATGATGCGCCAATTTAATTAATTTTTTACCAACAATTAGTTGATCACAGTACTCATACATCCTGCAGTTTACAGTTAGCAATTATAACATTTTTGCCTACAGTTAGGCATGAAAATTTCTACCACATGTCAATAAAATGTTAAATAAAAATACAGATTTGTAGATCTGATTCTTATAAGCTTACGTAGTATCAGTATTTATTTTTTAGCTGAAACACTTCCATCAAGAGAATCTGACAAGATTTCTCGGATCTACGGCCGGCACATCCCCAGCCGGCTCGTGTTTGATCTTTGAATATGGAGCACGTGGAACACTCCGGATGTTGCTACAAAACGACCGCGTCCCTATTGATTACTCCATGCAAAGCTCCCTGGTTTGGGAAATTATAAATGTAAGGTTACCATTTCCAAGCCGTAAGAATACTGACTAAAGTTTGTATTGCTAATTTTTGTTTTCCTTAGGGACTGAAATTTATTCATAACTCGCCACTGCATCATCATGGAATGCTATCCAGCATCGGCATCATGATAGACAAGCGATTCTGTATAAAAATCTCATCGTATGCGTTGAGCAAATTCCGCATGCAGTTCTGTGGACACATTTTTCCCGTAATGCTGCCGTTGGACGCAGCTATATTGTGGGCGGCACCGGAAATTATTGCGGCTACTAAAACTAGCGGAAGTCGCGAAGGGGATATTTACAGTCTGGGTGTCATTGTCAGCGAAATATTCACCGGTTACGCTCCATTGTCCATAAACCTCGATAACGACACAAGTATATCGGGTACGCAAGAGACGACTGATAAATTTATTTCTGTATGTCCAGCTGATGATCAATAGCGAAAAAATAACAACTGCGCGACAACAGCGCCAAGTAAAACGAATACGAGCACATAATCATGACGCAGATACTTTATACATTTGGATACAGTACAGTAATAACACTATCGCGAAATAACTGTTACAATATATTAAATTCTATAAAATATTTTTTCAGAAAATATAACTGCCTTACGAGAAAAACCCGAAAAGACCCGTATTACGGACGTTTCCAAAATGCCGGCAAAGCTGCTGGAAGTGATATTGCCTTGCACTGCAAATGTGCCGGCGGATCGTCCTAACCTGACCAAATTAACTGGAAAATTAACGCATGTCCTTTCACGACAAAAACTGGTTGATATGATTATGCGGCGACTGGAACACTACGCTAATGACTTGGAAAATATGGTGGAAGCTCGCTCGCGTGACCTTTTAGAAGAACAAGTCAAAGTGGATTCCTTGCTGAAAGAAATGTTGCCGCCGTAAGCTTCGACGAAAACGTCAGCAAATCCAAATTTAAAAAAATTGCTTATCGCTATGTTTAGATCCCTTATTAATAAATTGCGTAACAAGGAAACCGTCAACGCAGAGAATTTCGACTGCGTGACGATCCTGTTCAGTGACATCCCGCAGTTCGGACCAATATGTGCGCAGTGCGCCCCTCTTCAGACCATTGTACTGCTGAATACGCTGTATAGTCTCTTCGATTCCGTCCTCCATAAATTCGATGTCTATAAAGTGGAAACCATCAACGACTCGTACCTGGTAAATTTTAAAAATGTTCTAGCATCCCTAACGTGCGATAATAATTAAATGCGAATTATTAGCTGGCCAGCGGTCTGCCCATAAGAAACGGTAACCGCCATGCCGGTGAGATCGCTCGTATGGGATTGTCGATGCGAGACGCGACGGAATCCATCTGTTCACCCTTGGAAACAGCAGAAAAATTACAACTGCGTGTTGGCATCAACTCAGGTGTTTAAACAACAGCCAAATGTAACGTGCAAACGAATTAACGTCTTACACAATCTCAGGTCACTGTGCTGCTGGTGTTGTGGGTTTACGGATGCCGCGATACTGTTTGTATGTTGCACGGTGGATTACACTTTTTTTTAAATTCCGTCTAGCAGTGCCATGGGTTGTTCGCAGGTTCGGGGATACCATCAATACAGCTAGCCGTATGGAAAGCCACGGCGCTGGTACGTTTAATAGAATCAGTTTCCGTATATCCATTACTTAATCCGCGTACAAAATAATCCAAAAAAAGAAGTTCAGAAAATCAGCGATTCCATTACTGCACTCAGAAGTTTACAAAAATTTGTTAAAGTGTACCACATTCAAAAAAGAAGATTAATTCTCTGTTATGAAAACAGTATCAAAGATCCATCTTAGCGGAACGACCAAGGCGCTACTGGATGAACTTGGTGGATTTCAAATGGAATCGCGCGGGAGCATTGTGATAAAGGTAGGCAGCAGAAAGTAACATCCACACCTGCAATATTATCGATATTTCTTTTCCGTTCCAGGGGAAAGGTGAAATGACGACATATTGGCTGTTAGACTTCTCCGCTCCGCCGTAAGCTCCAAATCGAAGGCCGCAAACAGCGCTTTTATGTACATATATCACCAGAGTTCAAGAGGCAATCTGACGAAAATCAGCCTCGGGACTATCCAGATTGACTTCCTTCCAGTCGGGAAAGCGCATGGGACAGGACTGTAAGATCGTGTCAAGAAGCGGTTCCAACAGGCCGAACATTTCCCGGGCGCCGTTCGCGTTGAGATGCAGTCCGTCCGACAAGAAGGACTTCCAGTTCGGACTGGCGAGCATCGTGGCGAAGAGATCCGCAAAGTGTGCTCCTTCACCGGAAGCCACGATGCCCGTCGACATGGAATACTTTTCAATGATACCGTTGTCCCGGGTGGAGACTGGGCGTCCCACGGCATGACATTCGCGTGTCCATGCCTCTTGATCGGTGGGCGGGGGAGACATTAAAATGATACGGTTGGCTGGTACTCCGTGATTCTAAACAAAATAAAAATTCCATAAACACTGGGGAATTATCACTTTAAATTTACTGCCCAGATAGGATAATCGATACAATAAAACTCAGAAACGCTCACACACTGAGTTCGCAAACTGACTTCGACAAAACATATACGAGTACGAGTAGCAGTCAAAAAAGCAACCACCGAGAAAACACAAGCTCTACGAGGAAAATGTTTGTTCCTCTCGAAGCGGCTGCAGACTGCTAAAGCGTAAACTCAGCAACTAACCGTCAATGTCTGGACGAAGTAAGTGAGATTGTCGACAAAGTCTCCCATACCCAGATGCACCTGATTGCCCGTCAGGCAGCAATCATTGGATCCGAACAGAATCACAAACGCAGCAATTTTCTCACTGGGAATGTCCGGCAGAAACAGATCCAGTGCGCACCGTCCCAGCCGTGTGTTGTAACCATTGAAACCGCGGGTGAGGACGTCGCAGCGCCTGTACGATACCAAAAACATCAACAATCCAGCGGATCCTGGAGGATCCTCACAATTCGCACACAATTACGCTAAACAACAGACGCACCAACATCATAATATCGACCAGCTTAAAAACCTAAATACGTATTTCTGATGGATGTATGAAAGACTACAAGAGCGTAAGTCTCAAAAGCGGGTCTACGAATTATGCCAGATTCAACATCTTCTACTTACAATAACATTATAACAGTCCAAAATGCAGGCTACACTGCAGAGTGCTTACCGTTGCAACTTTGCAGCGATTAAACTTGCAATTCCATTATTAGCGAATCCATTCTGAAAATGGGAATCGCCAAAAAGAACAACCTGCGGCCATGCTGTGGATGATTTCGAAGAACTCTGCTCCATCTCGGGTGTCCCTCTCTGCAACAGAATTAGAAGCACTGCAACTTCTGAACCAAGCCTGATCATCAGTTGAGGGCGCAAAGCCACAGGTATCGCATATTCTATGCGAAACTCACTGAGTGTGACGTTAGCGGTTAGCAAACGCTTATAATTAGCATGTACTGCAAGCTGCAATCATCGCAATGATAAATAAAAAAAACCCGTCGACCAACCTCCAGGCGAGTACGTATGGCGTTTTTCGACAGAAATATACCCGTTTCCACACCGAGCCTAGCGGTTATCTCCCGCCAGGATTCCGTGGGATGACTCTTCACCAAGTTGACAATCTCGGCGTCCTGTTTAGCCGTGGTGTTCTGCTTCCGTCCCCGTTTTTTAGGGTTATGAGGCAGCCCCGTTTGGCTATCGTACCGCTTGCAAGTTGAGCGAACCCAGGCTTCACCCTTCCCAAAGATTTGTCCCGTTGCAGCGTAAGTCAAACTCGCTCGGGCCCGGTGTACAGCAAGGGCCAACTCCGGATTTATCCCTTTCCCCCTTGGCATTCCTCAGACAAAACCACCGAAAAGCTGATAACAATGTTCAGCGATTAATTTTTTGGTACTTATCTTACGCAAATGTTGTCTGTCTCAACAGTCAACCAGACAAAAATCACAAAATTGAAATTCAGAGCATGCTGAGCAGCCACCTACGGGAGGGCGATTAATCGGCATTAATTTCCAATATTTCCATTGGCGGTGCTAACCTCCAAGGGGGAACAGTGTGCCCAGCTTGCAGTAAGTACTAAGTAGCACTTTTTAGCGTTTATTTTTTAAATACTTAATTACTACCGAGGCATTACGTAACTTTCGTAATGCCTCGTTACTACTTATATTTATGGATTAATTGCCGGCGTCGCATTTCCAGTCGGACCTAACGCGGCATTTTTTGATCGACGATTGACCCTCGGAGTTGTCATTTGGTCACACTGTTACCATTTCATTTTCTTGTCAGAAACCATGTAGCCTTATTATTAGCTACGGCTTGTCTTTCTTTAATACTCGTACATGTCTTCCTTTAACTTTAACCTAGCAATAAATGAATTACTATTGTGATAAAGACTCGTGTAAAGGAAAGACCGGCGCTGATTACTCACTGAATCAACAAAATGTACCCATTTGCCCATCCCCGATGAATGATTTTTTGAACATATCATGGTTTCTTTTTTTCCCAGCGTTAGCAAGCGTACGCTCCAGCATTTTTTCTCTTCCCAGGCAGTATTTCTTCTAAACGAAATATTTTGTCCATCGTCTCATTATACGCTTTTACAGCATTTTTTGGGAACATAATTCTCTGCCCACTTGCAAAAAATTTCGGTATGATGACGCTGTTGAATTGACGTCAAACACACATTCACCCCTAGACTAACATTTGGTTTCCTGCGTTGCGTTGCAATGTCTACAGGGCCGATGTATTTCCGTCCACTGCTGCTGGCGTCTATTTTCGTAACTGCCGCCAAGGCATCTTATGCGCTATACGATTTCTGTCTAAACGCGCCTTTCTGGTTTCCTACTGCTCGGCATCTTTAATTGGGCTACTAAGCAATAAAATCTCCGGATAAACTAAACGTACGATTTCATACACGAACTGAGCCAAAAAAATATGCAAACGGCCATATCTTTCTCTCGATTCGCCGATATCCTTTCCAACTCGGTCATAAGGGTTATTTAATCAACGATCATGATGCGAACATCTGCATCGGCGATTGCATACATCGAGCATATATACTGCCGGTACCGTTCTGCGGTGAGTTAGAAAAAAGGCATTCGTCTGGAGAGTGCGATTCATCTGCGTGTGAAATAATCAACAATACGAAACTAAGAAGAATAATCATGTGATACGAGTGCTGAGATTTGTTTGTAAGGCATAGTTATCCGTAAAATGGCAACAACTGTGAAAGAGAAAGGTCAGCGGAGTTTTTTTATACACTGCTCGGCTTGTGGGAGCCGGAGCCGGAAGCGTTCTTGGCCGATCGGGAAGATGTATCACGGTCGCCGGTTTTGGGTTTGGACGACGGCGACGGCTCACCGTCCACCTTCCGGGCCTGGTCTTTGTGCATCTGGCTGTCCTTCCGGGCCTTGTATTCTGCAGCATGAAAACTGATAATGTCAATCGTCAATCAATGTACTGTTAAAGTATAATATAAGGTGTTGTCCGTAATTACGTACTTTCCGAAAACATTTCATTCGCAAACCGACCGTGCAAGAGTTTATTATTAGCAATTCTGAACTAAACAGGTTCACAACTTGACAGACTATATTGCCAAATAAGTAAATGAAAATTTTCATCTGAAGAAATTTCTTTGTTGATTAACATTAAACAGAATGGCAGACTATATTTTAAAATGACTTGTTATTTATCTGAAAAAAACTTTCTGTGTTGATTAACGTTATTTTAGACATTGCCGTGTATTCTCAAAACACTGTCGCAAAATTATCTCACGTTGTTAGGAACTGGTATAGTTCTGATTTCCGTGCCATTGTACTACGAAATCCGTTATCTCTGCACACTTGATGGGTACAAATTTACGAATACGAGAGAGAGTATTTACCATCATGAACGAAAACAAAAATCATGGACATGAAAAACTGATATTTATTAAAAACGCAAAATACATAGTGAAATCATGCTGTACATAATAAAGTCTGAATAATATTTAATGTTACGATATCGTTTGTGGACTTAACTTACCCCTGTATTTGGCCTGAATTTTGGAGGCAGCCGCGTGCTTCTCCTGCTCATCGATTTCGTGTGCCATACCGGGGTGGAACATAAATGCCGGCTGTGCGACTATGGGTTCCTCTTCGGGTAGGACAATAATTTTGCCCACAATGTAATTTGAATGCGACACCCAAGAAAATAATTCCAGTCGAGCAATGGAGCCGCGCCGAGTCGGCCAAAACAGATTGGCCAGTTCTGCCTGCAAATACAACATATCATACAATTTACAAAAATATCTTGGGCATATGCCTCCTGAAGTGGTACTGCATAGTACACGAACGAGATTGAAAAAGATTTTTATAATGGTGACATTAATGTCATTATCGACGTTCCTGACCTGAGCATCCGTTTTTGAAAATTTTCAAACAACGGCGAGTCCAAAAAAGTATCACAGAATGGCGTAGAATGTCCAGATCTCGTATGTACAAAACAATCCTCGAAAAAGCCGGTAATCAATCAGTAGTTATCCACAATTTTGGGCTTAAAGAAGGGAGCAATAGTTTTTCAGCAAGAAGAATCCCAAAGTCGCCAGATTTGGTTATACAGAACGCTGCCGCATATCCGAGCCACACACTACCACACCGTCGAACAAAAACCGCTCGGCTAACGTTACAGATGCAACATGTTCCTTTGGCGAAAATGTGTGTCCTCGGTGCAGTTCTCTTGCTATCGTTGCACACTGTCGCAGCGTCTTCTCATTTCCGGCTGCCGAGATCTGCCGAATGACATACACGCCAGCGGTATAATATACACGATTTTACTGCAGAGTACGGTAGTATGGAAGCTGCTGTTTTAAAAATATCTTTTCGATGGTTTTTTGCTCATGAGCAACGCCAGCAGTTTTCGCAGTGATGGCGCATGGGCTAATTGCCTACGTCAACTGCTTGGCACAGTTTAGCCCGCTGCCAGAGCTGCCCGGCATTTGCGTATCTGTATGTGACAGGGATTCATAGATTCATATTGCGAATGTTCAGCTGCCTGTTGAAATATGTATGTCTCATACAACATAAACGATCGGATTACTAACGTAATTTCACAAACGCCATGTTACTGGGTGACTTGGACAAAGCAAAAAACGCTGCCAGTCCTTATAAGCACGGAAAACATTTTCACATTTTTCGCACGTATGGAATGTGTATACTTAAAAAATTCTGTTAACGAATACCCATTTGCAAGTACTTAGTTATCGGAAAAAGAAATCTGCCGATTCAGTTAAAACCTAGAAAATACTCCAAGCATAGACAAATTCGGCCAATTGTTTGCTATAACAAAAAATTAAAATTTTTATGTTTGTTACATAGTTAACCGAAAAATCTGGTGTTTGACAGAAGGTCATACGGATGGTGCGAGCACTGGTAGGTTATTTTCCCATTTCCTCGTGGTAATGATTAATACCGGACTTCCGGTAACGTGTTGCATCACAAACATCTCATTACAAACCGCAGCAACCATCCGAGCATTCCCATCATATGACCGGCGACCGCATCAGTCGATTACTTGTTAATATAAATATGACTGTCGTAATAACGACTATAAACATCCATTGCCTTTTCGCGGTAGCCGACTAATTGCCCATGCGCGCTGAGTGAACGATGTGGAACGACGGCATTCCCATCGTAAAGGTTTTCCTTGCCAAGACTGGCCCGCGCAGTGTCATCCAGTGCAATAATTTTTTATTAATATTGCCGCGTACGAAGAGCCCGTGTTTATTTTCAAAATAAACGTAATTCGCCCCGATAAATAGGTGAGTTTATGCTAAAGCATGTAAAGGGAAATGCAAAAAGCACAACACACCACCCAGCTGCCAAAAGCCACAGATTCAAAAGAACTCAGATCTGTTATGCATTGATAAAAAATTAAAATAATACAAGAATATAATCCACAGCTAAAAATATGAAAACCATAATGAACCGCCAAGGGAACACCACAAGTCATACTCTATTTTTCAGAAAGCCAAAAAGCTGCTTGGTCCCATGCTGTCAGTGCATCAGGCGTGACTAGTCGATCGGTTTTTGCTTAGCGGATCAAAAGCGTCCAAACTGAAATCATCCCGTCCCAGTGTCAACCCGCGACTGAACCCTTCCTGCAAAGAAAGCAAAACACAAATAAACTTACTGGCGCTTACACCACAAGGTGCCGACATTTTCACACGCAAGTAAAATGCAGCATTCAAACGATTACAAAGTCGCAGACGTACCAAACAAAAAATAATCAAAGGCAAAACATAATAACCTAATGTTCGATGTGTGCCATAATATACCGAAAAAATTATAAGGAACCACAGCGCGGTTAATATGCAATAATTAAGAAAGGAACGATTTTACTCTGCGCAAAGCAGCACTTCAAAATATTAAAGAAACAGAGATTCCGCACCTTCATTTCTGACATGCGTTTATCCATACGTCCAATGGCTTCGTCGTACAGTTTATCGGAACCGCCACTGGACGCGCTGTTGGTGGCAAACAGCTTTTGGAAGTCGCCAAACGGATCTTCTTCCGGTGAAATGGTCACCGCAAAGGGATCCAGTGTTATCAAATCACTCTTCCCATCACTATGACCGTTCGTGGCTTCAGTGCCGTTCAGGGGCCGCGGCGGTAGGGGAGGAGGAGGCGCTGCAAACAGAAATCACGTTTATATTTTTTTAAATAGGCACACTATTTCAAAGTTAAAATTTAAGCGAATATAGTGAATGTTTTGGATTTTTAGTTTCGTATGAATATGCGCAACCTCACGAAAGCGTATAAAATAATAAAATAATAATATTTGTTGAAAAACTGCTAAAAATCTTAAGTCTTACGCACAACAATTAAACTAAAAGTAAAAACCATAAAAATATTTTAAAAAATATAGTTTTCTTCGTAAACAAAGGGCGAATTTACTAGTATTTAAAAAATGCAACCGACTATTGTAAACGTTTCCACTAAAAAGCAAAAAAAAATGGTTATGTTATCGGCTATTAATCAGTTTATTTTCCAGGCTAGACAGAAATTTTTTTAAATAGAACTCTGCAGATAATAAATGAGATCAATTTTTCGCAAGCGTTCTTTCACCTATTTCTACGCGATGCTGTTGTCTGACGGCCAACGTCGGGGCACTCGCATAGCTGGTATTCTGTCCGAATCCGCCGCGATTACATTGCGGATCGTTCGTTGAGTTTACGCCATTAGCCAGAAGAGAACCGCCGGTGCCGTTCATATAACCATTCACACTTGTTGAATGCACTAATGGCACTGTAGTTACTGTCGACTCGGATGCGTCGGAGAGCTTGATAACGTCCACACCGTCTACCTGCAAGTAACAAAAACCGTTGTGGAACATTTTGTAGTTATTACAGAACTGATCCGGTGTCTGAATTCTCTGATTGACGCGCGTATGCAAGTAACACAACGAGCAAACAATCTAATTATGCGCATGCAAATTTGCTAAGTCCGCGCCGCATAAAGTACGATAATGTAATTTCTCGGTTTATTGTACAAATACTGAAAGTTTACACCGTAATTTCAGAATTTTAAGAACTGCCATTATTGCTTATATGAGCCGAAAAAGCGTATTTCGAAGTAAATTAAAATGGTTCCACAACGAACAAAACCTTATTAAAATTGCGTCAAATATCTGTTCAAATAAATAACAAATGCAACCGGTACGATGTCGATAGCCAAATCTTGAAAGAGCGGGAAAAAGAACGCGTGTATATGTATAACCCAATCCGATACTTATGCAATGGTCAGCAACCTGAATTGATGTTTATTCTACACCAAGCACTCGTCTTGAATTAACCCGCTTATATAATCTCAACAGCTTCTAGCAAGCACTTCAAATAGCTTCGCATTGTATCATCGCGTAGGCCGCCACCGGAAAAACAACGTGCATAACAAGAGCGTAGTTTTGGTCATAAAAAACTGTAATATCGTATCTCAATTCTCAAGCAAGTAAAACAAAAAAATTTTTTCTTGCACAACCGTACGACGTACTAAACATACAAACGTAAATTTGATAAATTTAACTGCGATAAAAGAAAAAGTTGAACAATCACAAAAATGCATGGTTTTGTTGAAAAAATTTCTAGAAAGCCCTGTCGTAAAATGTACTGGTTCGCAATTTAACGAAAATCAAACATTTAGTATTAACCTAAACTCAATAAGGAAGGGAAAACCACAAATTTCATAAAGGGGCTCTAATTACTGTACAAAATGTAAGCATGACCAATTATAAAATGACGGCTACTTACCATAATTGTATGTAGACCGGAAGGTTCCAGTTGAGCGATGCGCTGCTTGAGGTCCGCATTTTCACGTTCAAGTAGTCTGGCCTAAACACAGGAAATGACTAATGTGCCACAACCAGGACCGACAATACGGTTGCGTAGACTGTCAGTGTATATTTGTAACCTTGCACGTTGTGCATAATCCCTTGAGTGCCCATCAACTTACGCGTTTTTGTAAAATTAATATTTGTTTGCGCATTTCCATTTCACGACCGGATGTCTCTAGGAAGCGTCGGTAAGCCAAGTCAAAGGCTTGTCCAATGGTCAATGTGATATTTTCCGCCTGAAAATTAGTCATCTTTGGTAAAACAACCAATCTAAGAATCCAGAATGCTCGCTGCGTCTTTAAATCGGTTGATCAAGAAGAACGATTTCAGGAAAATTTTTTCTAACAGTAACTTGGATTCATTCAGCTGATTTTAAATTTACTGTATTCAGTCACTAACGTACCCCAGTATGCTGATAAGTAATAACTAAATAACTACTTATAAAGTTCGAGGCCAGTTACAATTTTGCATCACGAAAAATAACGATATGTCACATAATACGTTGTGTACAATATTTTTGTTGATCAGAAACGAGCCAATCGATCGTCCAATTCTATTTTAGCTGTCTCTTCTGTTTAACCTGTTTAGATACTGTACTTCGGTCTAAATCCTTAAGTTTTCATAAAAAATGGTCTCCGTTATAACCCACTGAATCTCGGTACCAGAATAATTGTGCATTCAGTTATACAGATAAACAATTTCGTGGTAAAATAAAGCCGTGAAGGTAAAATTTCGCAGCTTAAAAAACCCTTTCCCTTCTCAGGCAGAATTATTAAAATTTTCAGCATACATATAACAATTTAATGACAAACGGTATGAAAGAGAATGAGTAATCGCAACGATGTACTGTTTTGTTTCGCCACAGCATCTATTTGACCAAAGTATTACAGTTTCCCCCACCCGTCTAATTCAACCGGCCCGCCGGCGCTAAATAACGACAAGAGTTGGACCGGTAATAATCGTTGGCAAACAGCCATTATTTGTGTTTTATGAGCTGTGTGTTTTGTTTTCTTTACAATAAACTCAGTTCGCCCTGTATGAAGTTATGAACTTACCAGTCTGTCACTAACGAAAACAAAACATCGGTGCTGAGTTTGCTCCGTGGATGGGTTCTCCTCCTTGGCGATGAAGCAAAAGAATCGCTTTTCCGCTTTATCATCAGCGCAATATGATATCCGATACAGAGGGTACTGATATAATATTCTCTGCAATAGAAAAACAGAATACAAATTACCTATGCTGGATTGGCAGTCGAAGGGAAGATACTACAAAAAGTAATAATTCGATGCAACATAAAATACATAATACAAAATCGTTATCCGCAAAAAATTCTAAACAAAATTTTAAAAAATGCAAATGCTAACTAGCAAAGCACAAAATGCTAATCTGGAAAGATTTGAAAAGTAAAAATCAAAAATTAATTATCCTAGATGCAAAGAAAGCAATACAAAAATTTGAGTCATATTATCCGAAAACTGATATAAAATTATAATGTATCTTCAGACTAAAAAATAAAAGCACTATACTCTAATTTACAGAAAACATTTATTCAATCAACGTTTGCAGTCAAAAACTTTCACCGTACCGTAATATATGAAAATCGGCATCATTAATTTTCAGCGTCAACACACTACACAGTTTTTGATACGCAAAAAAATCACAGCTGTACAAAAGCGATCAGAAATAATCCGCAAAGACGTGTCAAATCTTCTCAAACAACCGGAAGTGCGGGCGTACCACCGTGAGGCGCCACACCATGACGACTGCTTCATGCCGACTGACCAGAACAAAAGTGATGAGCCAATTTTATTGATCTATTTTTTCGGTCATTTTGATTGTTCACCTTTGTTTTGGGCTCCTGTATGGCGACGCCGTCGATGGAAATGGTCAGCTCCATTTTGGGTATCTTGGATCCTTCTGACCGTTTCAAGTGTGAACTAAACTGCAAGCAAACGCATAATAATTATACAACCAGCTCACAATGAGATTTATCATCCACATATTCGGCTATTCGGTTACAGAAAACAAAGCACCGGCAATGGCAACATGCGACGGCAAACGCGGCAAATTAATCTTCTCGACCTCTGACTGGCATGCATGACAGGCAATATCACACCGGCCAACTGTTAAAAATTACTATTCAGTTATACCAGTTAATGCCGGTCATTTTCTCCGACAATGATATTTTCATTCATATGGGCATCGCATTAATTCACCGTATAGTATTCATTCAGCCAGGTACAATAAGTGAAACATTCAAAGCCAAATCCTGCGATGGTTTATTTAGTTGGTTATCGTTTTACAGCTGTTTACATCAATGTTTTCATAACTTTAATTATTTTTTTACTTCATTATCGTGTAAGCGTGAAGAACGAGAGCAAAATTCCATTCAAAAACCTGAAGAGAATGTTCAACGATAAATAGCCAACTCACTCTCATTTTCTGAATTCCGGCTTTTACTACTTCCAGTCCCTTGGCGGATTCCACTTCAGTGCACCCCAGGAACTGCAATACACATAAAGTTATTACATGTAAATAAAAGCCTTTTCAATTAACCATAGATGCAATCGCTGAGCCGGCATTTGAGTTGTCAAATCCAAAACGTTAGCAAGAAGTGCACAGTCAAAGGAGTCACCGAGAAGTACGCAAATATGAACGCAATTTATTCGAACAACGTAAAGTTTCATAGCTTCAGGACAACAAAATTGTAATGATTCTCGTCTTTCGCTGCACAATCATTAATTTAACCAAAATCCGACACGCCTTACTCCTATCAGCTCAATTTGATTAATGAATACTGTATGCAAAAATTAAAAGCGGTGGAACGCTGCCGGCATTTACTGTACAAGAATAAAATGTTTCCGAAAAACGAATGAATGACTCTTCTATAAAAAAATATAAGAACTGAAAAGGTATTATTGATACATAAACATAATACCCATACTCAAAACTGCAGGAACTACAGTATAATTCACGGGAAATAAAAACTACATGAGAAATCCCTAACTTACCTTGACCAAATAAGCGACATGTGCGCCTTGCAATGCTCCTGGCGGATGAATCCACGGACTTCCCGGCATATTTCCTAGCGAATATGGACAAAGGTCAGCCATGCGCGTCGTGTCAGCGACGCGACGCAATGTACAACGAGCAAAAAATCACAGAAACATGTAATAATCAATCGATTAGGTCGTCCATACCGGATTTGTGCTGTTTGCTCGACCATCTGTTGAGTAGGGCATTACTCCGCATCATGGTATCATCTGTAACAGCCACACCATCACCATCACTACTCTGTATCACATTTTCAAGCTCCACATTGGGCGCCATGATCCACCACAATCGCAAACGACGAAAAAACTTTAAACTGGAACGTTCAAGGAAAAATTCTCTAGTTCACATGCAACAAACGGATAGCGTATCCGTTCTCTCTGTGCGCAAGAAAACAGATAGCGTGTCTGTTTTCTCGCACACCAGTTGTGGCGGAAGAAACGAACTAGCGAACTACCAACTGATCGCGGTGTGGGCCAAAAGAAAAAGAAAAGCCTAATTATTAAATCAGGCACTTGTGTGTTATGTGCCACAGCGGCCACTTTTCACTCGAACAGCAGCCGTCAAAGTGCCATTGGTTCAAGTTCTGTACGGATGCGGCACTCGAAAGATTATTCATCGATCAAGTACAGTACTCGTACCTCGCGGACCGGTAGGCTGTTTGATTAATGATTACCGTTTTCTTCTGGTGTTGTGATTTATCAGCGAGAAACCAAAACAATGATGGGTGGACAATTTCAATCCGATTCTCTGAGAATCAGACGAAAAACATTTTCCAGTAAGAATTCCCGAAGTTACTACAAAATACACTAGGCGCAAGCACATTATAGGACAAACTAAATTTTTAGAACAAACGGTGATACCTACTCTCTACATTTTGGAAAAAGCTCAACCGATTTTCGTTAACAAATTTTGAAAATTTCGTAACAAACACGTCTCACAAATTACACAACGGTAAAAATTTTATCACTTCAACCTTCAGCTTTTAAACGAACAATAAATATAAAATTTTCAGGGCGAGTCAGCGATTCAAAATATTCATGCGGTTAATATTTTGATAGGGTTTAAAATCCAAATCTGTAATAATGCACTTGTTTTAACAGTAGTAAGTACTGGTAGCGTGCCGTAGCCATATGTTATTCGTAATAAAATTAGTAACTCAACGATGCACAGGTTTTGTAACAATGAGAAAGCTGACAAATAAGTAGAAAAGAAAAGCAGAAAGCGAAAATAAAATTTTATTAAACAATTTGCAGCACTTTTTACGGTCCTGCCTCTGCAGTTCAGTGATTTATCAGGAAGATTCCACTTCAGCGACTTCAACAACTATCCTCGTAAGCGTAACCGTATTATGCATAAATCAGTGATAGATTAGAAGAAAACGTAACCGAGAACCAGTTTGACAAGGGCTTCCAAACAGGTGGTTGTCACTGAATATCGCCCAGTCTCAGTCTGGCTAAACAGCTCTACGACTGCTAAGCTGCTACGATTGCTTTCCTACCATGTTATCGTGTTATTGTGATGTAACTCCGCCAGGGTAGGGAACTCGCAGATCTCCAAGCATTAAAAGAAAAATCTTCTTACCTGACATATGCGCTCGCGTGATGCCTATCCAAGAATAATCCATGGAATGCAATAATGCAATCCACCGAACCCTGATCTCCTGTCACTTCGTTATACTTCGAATCACGGGCAGATGAAGTATTCGTCACATCTTCAGAACATACAGACAATCCAAAGCAGAGATGCTATTTGGACATTTAAAACAGACGAGATCCTCCTAGCGTGGGACCTCTGACGATTTTAAAAGAGAATAACAAAGTCAGAGGAAAAGTATTTCTTCGATGGAACGGAATCTTTGAAAAGTCCGAGTTAGGAAAATTATTGAGAATTCTTGAAATTTTTGTTTGCGAGCAACAGACTATACCAACTATAGAGTATAGACTACGGGTAGCTAGACAGCATCAGAGTCGGAAGCACAACTCATAATCAACAAAGCTGCTAGCGTAGCGTGACGAAGCTGTCTACGTCGCTCTACGATTTAGCCGCCTCGCCGGATGCGTGCTGACCTGTGGGCTGCGACTGAACCAAGAAAAATTTTTTTATTCGTTCTGGCGTACCCTACCTAGTTGTGACTGTGAGCAAGTTTTATTAATTTGTGGGATTATGTGTTTGCTTTTCTGTTTATGAGATTGTAAATTGTTGTTTTGTTTCTTTTTGATTTTGATATTTACCGTTTATTGTGCAGCGTCTCGTTGCAGTTCGTATTTCGTGCCTCTGTTGATCTGTTGATAGCACGGACGTGATATCTCGCAGCAATTGCGTACAACTGTGTTTCCTTTATAACTGCAAACAATTACGTTAACTTCTTGGGTCAGAACTGAACTGTCAGGTGTACAAGCAAAATGTTTACAAAAACATCTCAACTATGGAACGCCGTGGACGTGGTGGAGATTCCCGGAGTCGTACGCCGCGGCATTGTCGTGGACAAAAACGATTCGGGATTGCTGGTTGATTTCGGTGTAAAGAATGCCAGCCCTGAATTGGTCCCCTTCAGCGCAGCGTATCGGTGGTCGGAAAGGATGCTGGTTCCTCAGCCGTGGCGAAGATCGACAGCCACAAAGTTGGCGGAGGCAGAAGCGGAGAGTGCATGGGTGCTGGCCAAATTGTCGTCTGGTGAACCGTGGAGGTGGTACCATGGCAGATTGCTGTTAATCTCCACGAACGGATTTGTTGTTGCACAAGTACAGAGTGGCACCATGGTGGTGGATGTCTTTCCCTTCTCCCGCGTGCGGTTGTGTTGGCGTGATAAATATACGGTCGGGTACAATGATTTTCTTATAGAGAAATGTTCCGTTCCGATGGGTTCGTGCTGGATTCCGCTTTCCTTGCCCTCTGGAAAAAACGCTTTCCATTCACGCATCCCGTTACAGTTACCGGCAATTCTTTCCAGTTTTTGCAGCTTCGATATGATCGGAAGCATCGCGAAAACAGCATCGTAAGTACACCGTATAATTTTAAGCGCACAAATCATTGTTAAATATATTTGTTAAATTAATTAGATACCATTAATCATTAAGTAATGAAACATTTGTTAGATTCTAATATCTATATTATAATAATGACACTAGGGATAAAATACATGTATGTGATTCTATTACAGTATTACCTAATTTAATATTTGATGCTTTTAATTTGTGTAAACCTGCGCAGGTGAATTGTTATATGAGTGCTGGCTGATGTCGAATGAAAAGTAGTATGTACATTTAATATTTGTCAATTCTAATAAATTAAATAAATATTTTAACTGGTTGTAATAAATCTTTGTTATTTGATCCTAAAAATTAGATATTTCTTTTACAGAAAAGGAATTTCTGTACAGGTATCCGCACTACGGTTGGGCGTTCCGGCTTCCGACCCATTAGCGGAGGATGAAATAATAGACTATGACTTTGGCTTTCAGCGAGCCGCTTGTAACAGGAACGTGCGTTTTCCAATGAGCGATCTAACTGTGGAAATCCTGACGGAGGTGTTCTCCTTGTTGCATGCAAAGCAGCAGGTTGCTGTACGTCGCACGTGCGCTCTTTGGAGTTCCCTCATCGCGTTACCTCAGTGCTCCAGACTCGTCGTGATCAGTATATTGCGCTTTGTGAAGTTTGCCGAAAGCCCTTATGATCTCGCTGCCTGTATCTTTCACTCCCTCACACCGGCAACAAAATATTGCGTTATAATGGGGCGTGCTGCGAACCGGCACAAAATCGACAGTGCCGTTAATATCCTGCTCGATATTGCCGACGTCAAGAATGTGAAATTGTCCACTCTGGTTTTCGCTCGCATGAAATACACATATGAAGATGCTAGCGGATACGGTGAGGCGATATTTGATCATAAGACGTTTGAGCTGAGAAAAGATTTGCAAAACTTGTGCGATCGGATAACCTTAAAAAAATTCGACATCCCGTGTCTGTTTGCGCGTCACGACGTGTGGTTGAATGGGCATAAAGTATGTCATAATCTGAAAAATGTTTGGGGTGGTGTCCATGTCCAGCCTGGAGCGAATTTTGTGAACATTTTGGAAGAAGCTGCCGTTGATTTTAAGAGCGAAAAGCATCGGGTTCTTGTGGAGGATTTGGCTGAATGGGTTGGCAAAAGCTACAGGAAAAATGATAAGGGGAAGTTGGGCGTTTCACAGTATTTTCGCAGACACCTAAAGCGCGTAAGTCTGAGGTTTACAATTTCGATACGTACGCTGAAATTAAAACTATTGATATTCGTACCTAGTGGTGCTGGAGAGTACTTTCCAGTGTCTGCCATTGAAAAATGTACGATAATTAGGTGCGCTTTTTTTAAAAGGTATTTCGAATGTGGCAGAAGGATGACGCTCGTTTTGGTGCGGCAACTTCGGGAATCAAAATTCTGGCGGCGAACCTGGGCGACAAAGCCAATCTGTTAACCCTGCGCAATTGCACCATCACGGCGCTTCTATGTTTACAAAACAAATGGCAGCAGGAGAATGGCAGCAGCGAACGTGATAATGTGGAGATTGTTGATGAGCATGACTTTATGGTTGTTGATTAACAGAAGGCAGTTGTATACCGGCACTAAGCAGTAAGCAGTGGTTGGCGATGGTAAGCGATATCTGATATCTGCTTGATTTATTCAGCTGCTTGGAACAGGTTGTAAGGTTTTAATGGAATTTTGTATCGTTGTTGTATAAAAACTTTAATATTTTATCGGTGTCTTTATTGAAATGATCATTTTGTCAGCAGTTTCAGTACCTAATAACAGTTGAAAATGTCACTACGATCCAGTGTTTCGTTTGCATTTTCGCTATGAGAACACATACGTAGGATGCTGTTTCAGTGTCAGATAAACAATCACGTACTAGTACTGTAATTTGTTTGGGGGATCTGCTTCTGGAGGGAAGCTCAAAATTTGCTTTCGATATTGACCGAGTATTATGTGGTAGGTGTTGCGATAACCCCAAACGGGCTACACTAATGAGAAGGCAAAAAAACTGTATGGATTTGTGGCCGTTGGTTGCGGCGGGTTTGGTAGGTGTTTCAATTGTTTCAACAATTAATTAGGTAGTGTTATCGTAAAGTCACCGTAAAGCACAGTGCGGGTTTAATACTGACAATATTAAAATACAATACAATACGAGTACTGTACATACAGGAAACTTCTGTAAACACAAGTAAATAATTTGTACAATCAGTTGTTTGGTATCGTGAGCCGGTACGCGGGATGATCGAATTTTCGTTTAATCCAGCGAAAGCATTGTTTTCTTAATCATTCGGCTGATTATGTTCACCCACTTCATTGCTTGTCTTATCTAGCATATGTCCTTGATTGCATTTGGCCTTGATTACACTTCGTCGTGATAATCCGTATAAAATTACCAAATCATTCTGGTTCCTTGCAGTGTTCCTGCATTCCGTGGCCGGTATCCCTACGTTGAAATTTGAATTTATCTCATCCACCATGAACTTCCTGTCACGTGCAGTTTTCGCTCTGGGAGCACTGGCCTGCGTAACGGACGCCTCCTACCTCATCGGTGTGGGCAAAGCGGACGTTACCGGTCCGGTAGCGGAAGTGGGCATGATGGGCTATGCCGATCTGGGCCAGAAGACCGCCGGTCTCCTGAATCGTCTCTACGCCCGCGCCTTCATTGTCTCCAACCCCGCCAACCCGGCGGAAACCGTTGTCTTCGTCAACTGCGATCTGCAGGCCGTCTTCCAGCAAGTGCACCTCGAGGTCATCAAGCAGGTCAAGGCCAAGTACGGCGGCGTCTACAACGAACAGAACATCATCCTCCACGCCCAACACACCCACGCCGGACCGGGCGGATCGTCGGCCTATCTTCTGTACGATTTCACCATCCTGGGATTTATTGAGGACAACTTCCACGCCATCGTTAACGGGATCGTTAAGGCCATCGACAATGCGCATAATTCCCTGGCGCCTGGGAATGTCAAGATGGTGCAGGGCCAGGTGGCCAACTGCGGACGGAATCGATCACCGGAAGCGTATTTGAACAATCCCCAGGAGGAACGGGATCAGTATGCTGAGGATAAAGATTCCACGATGACGGTGCTGAAGTTCAGTGATAACGAGGGAAAACTGCGCGGTGTGCAGGTGGTGTACCCGGTGCACCCGACGAGTCTCAACAAAAGCAATGAACTGGTTAGCGGAGATAATAAAGGTAAGGTAAATGTGATGCCTTAAACCGTGATAGAAGTCTTTACTTTGTGTATGGGAAAATAAAATTTTGATTCTAAGTACTGTATTTCTTCAAATTATCAGGTATAACGAACTGTACAAAGTGCTTCTAACTTGATCCGCAGTTGCACTACATAGCCGTGTGCTTTAAAATGTTGCGTCGCATTCGTTGTTAAAAAGTTTATTTTTAAGAACTTGATTATTTCTTTTATTTCTTTTAAAAAAGTTATCTTTAAAAACTTTCCGTACAAAACATAGCAGCCAGGACATTTTACAATCAGTACTATATACGATCGATTATTTATTTCATTTTCTACCCATAGACTACGCTTCCGTTATGAAGCTGCCACCACGTTTAAACCAAGCGCAATGTGTATAGCACATTTTAAACTACTGCTAAGCGTAATGTGATAAATATTTACTAGTTCTAAGAACTAGTACTGTACCAGTATTCATAGCTTTTGCATTTTTGAATCATATGGAATTACTAGCTGTACGTGAAATTCTTTACTTCATAATATTATGTTAAAATGAAATTTGTTATAGGTCATGCTGCGTGGTTGCTGGAACAGCGTCACAAAGGTGTCATTGCCGCCGTTGGCATTTCCAACGCCGGCGACATCAGTCCCAACATGATCGATAACGGTGACGGGACATTCCGTGGAGAAGGCCGCGACCAGATCGAAAGCACTGAAATCATCGGCACCCGTCAGGCCGACAGAGCCGACGAGCTGATCCGCTCCGCCGACGGCACTCTCCTTACCGGTACTCTCGTCGGGAAACTGGCCTGGGTCAACTTCGCCAGCGTCAACATCGCCAACACGCCAGGCGCCCGCACCTGTCCCGCCGTGGCTGGACAGAACTTCGCCGCCGGCACAGAAGACGGAGTGGGACTGGGTGTTTTCCAGGAGGGCGACACTGACGCCAACCCGCTGTTCGCCTTCGTCTCCAGCGCGATTAAACCCACACCCCAATGGGTGCGGGACTGCCAGACCCGCGCCAAGGTGCCACTGCTCCCGACCGGCTTAATGGAGCCGCATCCCTGGACACCCGATGTGTTGGGCATGCAGATCCTGCGCATTGGACAGTTGGCAATTGTCTCGGTGCCGTTCGAAGTCAGTACGATGGCCGGACGCAGAATTAGGAAGACGGTGCTGAGCAGGCTGGAAGGCAGCGGTGTGTCTCATGTCGAGATTGCCGCTATCAGTAATGGATATTCACAATACCTGACCACGCGAGAGGAGTATGCTTTACAGGTACGTAATGCTCGCAAGGAGTAGGGCCAGCCGGCCAGGCATTTATATTAACGTAACGACAGTTCTAACTTCTCACTAACTAGAGACGATCATCACGTTTGGTAATTAGAAACCTGCAATACCTGCTTGCCTTCTTGAGCGACTTGTAGATGTATATGAAAACCTGTATATGTCAGTCTTTGACGTAAAAGCGTCGGTGACGTAAAAGCGTCGGTACGCGCTTTATATTCATTTGCGCTATTTTTCTTTAATCATATCACTGCTTATTAATGCCATACTAAATTCAGCCACAAGATCTATTAATATATAAAAGTAACATTTCATAAAATTAATAATAATTGTTATCAAAGGCAATATAAAATAAGAGGGCATGACACTGTTCATGTTCCGATATCCGACGATTTCTGAAACTGTTTTACAGAATAATGTTAAGTTCCTAGCTTGTTGTTAATATGAAATTGCGTACCAGAATCACAAATACGAGAAAAACAGGAAAGTGGTTTTTTCTCGTATCTTCAATGATTATTAACGATTACAAACAGTGTTATTTCATTGTGCTTTCGTTCGGCAGCATTATGAAGGAGCCTCAACCCTTTTCGGCCCGTACCAACTGGAAGCCGTCCAGCAAGAGCTGGCCCGCGTTGCTGATTCCATCGCCAACCCCGCTCACACACTGGACATTGGCGCTTCGCCATACTTCTTCAACATCGACGACCTCCTGAACTTCCAGACCGGTGTCCTGCTGGATGACAAACCCTTGCTGAAACCCTTCGGGGCTGTTCGCGAGGAAGCCAGGACCCAGTACAGCGTCGGCCAGACCGCCAGTGCCGCTTTCTACGGCGGTCACCCCAAGAACCAGTTCGCCCAGGTGGAATCGTTCTGCGACGTGGAGCAAATGCAGGCTGATGGAACGTTCAAGCGTGTCATGCGGGATGATCACTGGGATGTGCGATTCAAGTGGAGCCGAACGTCGATTGCCTACAGCAACAGCCAGTGTGAGTGGTACATCCGTGCGGGTGGCGAGTACACGACGGGAGTGTACCGGTTCAAGCACTACGGATTCCACAAGAGCGGATGGACCGGCACGATTCGGGCGTATGAGGGACAATCTAACACGTTCCTTGTTGTCTGATCACGTGTTTAGCTTTTCTAATAGTGCGGCACACAACGTTCTATGCTGTAAGGTCAACAGAATAAAGTGGTAAATATTATACATAAAATTTATTAAACAGGAGACGTATAAATGCTACGAATTAAAAAGCCTGAGCTATACACATCAAATAGCAAATATATTTTGGTATTTAACTTCTGCACCAAGCACTGTTAATACAAAATTATTTATTAGGGAAAAATTTACTCAGAGTACAAAAGTTTACAAATACATTGCAGAATTTCCATCTGCGTTTTTTTTAAAAATCCTTTAGAAATATCTTTCTTTATACTTCTGTCTTTACATTCATACAATGTTTAGTGAATCTGACCGTCCAAAACGGCAAGCGATCGCTCGCAAGCTGAGCCGAGACTGAGGCTCGCGCAGGGCCGGCTTTACCGCGCGGTCCCCGCGCACAAGCATAGAAAGTGAGAACGAGACAAGCCAGTTTCCTCTCAGTTCCATGACCCATTCATTAAGAAGCTTCAGCCTTGATATAAAAATTCAAACGAATATACGAGTACTGGAATCTCGGCAACGGGTACCTGTCTGTGATTAAGAGCTTTGTTGTGCTGTTTATATCACCAGCCAGCTTCGGAATAACGTCTCTGGAAATATTCAGCCTCTTTAGCACTGCAATGCCTATTCTGAGTAGCACGGAAATTTTTGTGTCCACCTGTGTGCGAACCGTAATAAAGTTCATCGGGTTGATATAGTTATTGTCGCTCCAGCCCGTAGGCTAGCAAAGGTTACCAACGTATTCCAAGCTATGTTTTAAAGTACTATTAACTGGAGTAGCCATCTACATTTCAGCGAGAATCACTAACATTTTAATCACCGTGCATATTTCGAAAGAGCACTTACGATGGCTAGTATGGGTACAAAAATTGCTGCAGCATAAGCAAAACAAAAGCTGCCAGTACAAAGGGATGACACTCGTTACTCGTGGATTACTTATCAATAATACCAAGGACTAGTTATCAATAACATTTTCTTATGCGTAGCGCATCCGTGATAGCTATTTCCAGCCAATAAATTCCTTATTCTCCGCATTGATTTTTTGAAGATATTTGTGCAGTGGATCGAAATATTCCAAAAATGCCGCCGCATCCATTTTTGGCGAGCCAGTTACCCGCTCCATGGCTACGGGCCACGGTTGGGAAGCGCCCAGTGAGAGCATGCCACTGTAACCCGCACAGTTACCTTGTCAGCCTGGTTTCATTTAAGAATTACGGTGTAACCTTTGCGAGTCGGTGCAGAAATCTTTACATTAAAAAACAATAGCTACTTGCATACCTGAGCAATTTACCAGCGGCCTTAGACTCGTTAATGTCGCACTTTGACAACGGCCCGCTGTGTCCGGCTGCTTTGCACAAAGCTTTGTGGAATTGGAACTGTATCACAGAGCTTACGAAGTACTGCAACGCGGTAAAATCGATATTTTTTCAGATTTAGTGGTTTCAGTGGTTTTATATTCCTTTCAATTTTTTTTAAAGCGAAACTCTTTTCGCAATATTAAGAAATAAAAGCGCAAAAGCCATGTTTAAGAATAGCGTACCACATGTATTCAGTATCGGCAGTGACATGGTACTGTGCACCGGGATCGAAATCCAAGTCCGACCGCGGGACTGGAGGAACGATGCCCTGATACTCTTTCCTAATCAGTTGAAGTTTACAGCGGCAGAGTGTGCATGTATTTGGCGAGCGGATAAACCGGTAGCATAAACAAAGTTGAATTTATGCCTAACGGCAACCCTTACACATATTTCCACCATGCCCAGTTCAAACGGCTCTTGGAGATTTTCCCGGAAAACACGTCATAACGATATCTGTCCAGTAGGTACAAAAATGGGAGATTGGCGATTTTATCCAGACAAGTGATAAACTGGTTGTTAAGTTCGCTTTCTGCATATTCACCAGTCCTGCTTGGTTTCAGATATTCAGGTAAAATTTTGAGATTTCGCTTTTACCTTCATCTTCCGAATTGTTCTTTAGCAAACCCAGCCATGCTAAATGTTTAGGAGTTGCAACACTTAATGCTAAAGTATCACCCACTAGAAAGACAGCATATTTTTTCTTCGACACAAAACTAGTAGGTATTAACTACAAAAGTAGGTAGCTAGCGAAAGGTCAAATTTTACCTGCTTCGTGAAATCCAGGGTTTGCACCGTTACGGAAATATACTGGAGTTTGGTTTTTGTACTGTTTGTAAAATTACGTATTGTTACAAGTTATGTAACTGACGGACCTTGTGTATCGTACACCTTGTGTATCGTGTACGATACACAAGGTGCAAAATATACAGTACTTAACTTACGTGTTATATATGCAGAATACTGAATTAATACCTTACAGTGTTTGGATTACTTTTCTTGGATGTTACTTAATGCATACATGTTATAAAGCCACTAAATGCTTTGCTCTAAAGTTTGAACTACGTTGGGTTGTTGCTTATTTATTTGTTTAATTCTAAATTATTTTTCCACCTTTTATAAACGTCTCTAATGAATTATTGCCGTGGCGAAGCCGGACTGACCTGCAAGTAGTATTGGCTGTGTCCCATTTCGCTACAACGATGATGCAGCAATGTTAATAATTAATATACGATGATGAAGCAATGATAATAATTATACTTACCGTGGTAAGCAATATTAAGCAGTAAAATTAGCATTAAATCATTATTGGTATATTTCAGTACACGTAAATATGCAGATACATAGTAGGGTTAAAACTGCACAAGTGTAACCGGGAAGTGAAAATAGCAAGTAAAACACATCTAACGATAAACCTACTCTGTACAACTTGTTACAGCGTGATATGCACTGCTTTTCTAAAATTAAACTAAATCAAATTTTGCTGTATGAATATCCATTTTTCTATAAGGCAACAACGGTGCATACTTGAAAATTGAAGAAATGTCTGCCATGAAAGGACAGAAGTCTAAACAACTGTTGTTCTTACTGGTGGATTGTTATGAAGTGGGGCACATTAACTTGGGTGCACATCTTAATCCTGCAAGCACATACTTAGTTTAAACCAGTCTTGGCCTTTAAATATGGGTGTGACTATTTCACCCCTTTTTAAAAATTGAAGTTAACATCTCCGTAGGCTATTGTCACCACCTTTCACACCCCCTTTGACAATTGCCACTCCTCAACCAAGTTATCGGAGAACACAGATGCCAAAAAATCACTGGCGAGCTTCTGTACGCGATGCGAGATGTGGAAGACCTTTCTCACAGACGTGTGAAATTACCGGAAAGGCTCAAAAGATGCCGGAGCCCAATAGAGTGGATGTGCTTGTGCTTGTTCGCAAAGAAGGACATATAAGCTTTATGCCTCCGCGCTTAATTCCAATTTGTGCGTGAACAGCTGTTCCAACCTTACTAATACTTCTTCGGTTGCTGAACTGTTCTAATAATTCTTCGGTTGCTGAACTGTGGTCACTTCAATGACCATCGAAATACCAGGTTTTGCAATGCTTTCTATGCCCGATTTTTCGGTATCGCTCAAAATTTTGTATCAAATTTCTGAGATTTTATCAAGATTTGCAGTTTCACTTCTGTAAAAATAGCACTATGCTCATCCCTGTCAGTTTTGGCAAGAAATTTTTGAACGACCATAGATGTCCATTATTCAGCTACATATCTCCCAAACCATCACTCACTATGTAATAATATAATTTTACAAAAGTGCGTAATACGTTCTGCTTAGCGAATTATATGAACTATCTGGTGTTCGAAGGCCACGGGTACAGCCAAGACATTCGCAAACCCCGAAAATGTCTATTTGGCCAGCTTTGGTCACTTGCTGCATGCCCCGGGCATAATGCATCTGATGGCCAATTTTTAATACCTACAACCTTTAGCTGCTATTTTTCCATCCGATTACGGCCGTTACCGGTTGGGAAAGGTACTTACCATGCGAAGCTTTTTACACCTCATGATTTAACCCGTTTCCGTCAAGCCTTGCCAGCTGACAGGGTGACGGACTTAATCCGGCAACATTTAAAATGCGCGAATCATCGGTTTTATGCCATAATTTACGCCCCCTTTTGGCCGTTACCATCGCCTTTTAATTCCTGCTGCATAAACTGAAGGGTGATGGTAATACGTATCCAAAATGAGGCGTGGCAGGGAGTGACAACTGTCATGATCAAAAGGTTGCTCGTTCTAATTTCAAAGAACGGATGGCGGAAAGGGGGCAGCAGCCATTTTAAATATTTATATTCATATTATAATAACATTTCAATTTTTTTTGTATAAATACTTCCGCACGAAGAGCTAAAAATTAAATCGCTATGTTATTCAGATCAGTTAACCCAAATCTTGAAGTAAGATTTAGTAATGCGCTCATCGATTATGTACTTACCGTGTATCGTCCGGAGGACTTGTAAGAAGCTCCCAAGAAGAGGCCCCACACGAGACAACGCGACCATCATTCGGCTTGGTCAGCATGGATAGTTTCCGGAAACTTGCCGGCATTGGCTTCAAACCTAGCCCGGTTTGAAACTGCTCGGATAAGCGGTACATTTTCTCCACCGTTAACTTCTGGGCTCTCATTTCGTCGGTAACATCTAGCAATGGCTTCGATGGGAAGAGCTGCGTAAAGTTTAGCATGCCAGACCAAGATTGACTCATCAGGTCTCCTAGAGTTTTATTCTGTATTATAATTATTTTATAGCACGTATTTCTTACTCAACCGGATGTGACCTATTACCTAGCAAGTGAGCCGGTACCGGGGCCGTTGCTGACAGCTTCTCGTTGAGAAAATGCTGGATTAACTTGCGGCGCACATAAGTATACAGTTGCAAATACAACGGTCGGATTTGTTGCCATAAATTCTCTAAATCTTTAAGGAATACCGCATCTGCGTAGTTAAGACTGTCCACTATGTAATAAGACCGCCACAGTGCACCGGCGTCCCGATATCCTGTTAAAGTGGAAAACGATAGTCAACATGTTACTGCGATGGCAGAAGAGTATTCCGGAAACCAGAATGTAAAATTACTTGGTTCTCCTACCTGAAAGGTGCGCTGCTTTGTTTTTCAAGTCAATGTATATATCGTGTGTAATTATCCCGCAGCTGTTTCCCGCTAACGTCTCTCCAGGATTTCCATGAATACTTTCTTTTATCCGGGTCGTTCCAAGCGTTTACGACGTAGTAACTAACTGTATAGATAAAGGACAAGCCCTACAGAGATGGAATATATATTCTGTTAAATGTCATAAAGCTTAACATAACATCATTTTAATATGGAAGTAAAGCTTACTGGCAGTGGCTTTTGTCGTTGTTACTTGTTAGCAACACAAAGAAAGCTGACTTACGTAAACATCTGTGTGATATTTCTTTAGACATCCCAACCTTGTAAACGTTAACACCTCCAGGGTTTCCACAGTTTTGGAAGCATCATAACAAACAAATGCTGTATGAGTAAGAGCACGCATGTGGTTGACAATGGAGGTGAATTCTGTGAAGTCGGCCTCTTCCAGCGGCTGGCGGCCGGCCATTAACATTATGTACAACCGCTTTAGTTGGACATCCTTAAACTTTTCAACCTGGAAGTTCTGTGTCATCTTGGCCACGCTTTTGGTAAAGTTGGCAGATAATTGGGCTTGCTTGACCTGCAATATGCAAACAGAAGTCACATTTTTGACTCCGCATACTGTGTCGGATATGCGCATTCGAAGACCGATATCACGGGTTACCGTATTTGCTTCTTCTTTGCCGGTAATGTTAGTGTTGTAGTCCCATAGAGAAAGCCCAGTTGCATGGCGTACCTTTGTTGCAACCGGATTGAATCTGTAATTAATGCGATACATGACCTTCCGTAATTTAAACTTTGACGTAAACGTTTTTGTTTGCACTCTTTTAAAATAAAAATGATAAACCAAGCGTAAATTATTTATTTTATATTACCGCTAACAAGGTTTCCATAATCCGCTTGACCTTTACGGGTTTGATATTCAGTAACTGCGGCTCGTTGAATAAAATGCCGGAATACGATATCGTACATTTAACAGCAACTCGTACCGGTTGTGGACCCACTCCCGGAAATAGTTTTCATCACCACCTTTGTTTTTATCAGGAATCCCGTTTTCCAAAAATTCACTGATATTCACGGGATAGAATTTGCCACTCGCAACAGTCGCAAAAACGAGATAAACTAAAGAACAATAAGATCTTAGTACACACACGGTTTATCGCATATGGCTGAAAACATCATAGCTATTGTACATATGCTGTATGTAGTAGTCAGTATTTACAAACAAATATTCTGATATTGAAAGCATTTTCCGTAACAAGTGTATTTGGAGAGAAAGATTGATAAGTAGCTATAAAAAAATATGTTTTTGGTCAATGACGTAAATCACCACAACAACTTTTCAATAAAACTGCACCACGTTTAAAATTTCAATACACTGCACTGCGCCACTGGCGAATGCTCAGTCAAACATTTTCTTAAGGAGTTATTACCGAACAATAAACACATTATCCTGTCAGGACCAGAAGGGCATTAAGGAATAAAGTAATAAACCATAGCCGTTTAACAAATTTTACGATTTACGTCATAAAATTTATAGGATGTTCAGGAATGACAAAATATATTTTATGACCTCCAAACGCTGGCTGTATTTTGCATGCTTGACTGGTATTTTGCATGTTACATATATTCTTGCGACACATGAAATTGATTTTGTTACTGTACTTTTAGACTGTTAGTTGTGCTTTATATTGCGATGTGATGACCAGACTCACAAGATATGCGCCCCAGGATATGTCTGCTCTTGTATAATCTAAACTACACGATGTATTAAAGAGCTGTCTAGCTAGTGTCTACATACGGGATGATCAGACCCATCATAATTCTAAATAAGCCTGCTTCTGTTTGTTTTGCTCTGAAGTGGTAATTTTGGAACCGTAGAATCATCATCTTTAACTTATCATGTTCTGGTGATTGTCATTGGTAACATCTCAACCGGAAACAGATGTACCGCCATAACACTAAATAGAATTCTGGATACGTGTTATCGGTAAGTTCTCTGACTTGTTCTGACCTTTCCGATCCCTTTCCGGATCTGAAATCAGTAGACAGGCTCACGCTTCCCCACAACTCATGGCTCATGATTAAATTGATGCTGATGTTTCAGAATCCGCGCGATACGCAAAAATTGTGGTTTGTTAAGATCTAGGTAATTACCGACGAACCATTGAGCCTGTTTTGCCGTGGTACGGGTGTGTAACCCACTCTACTCGTGGCAGCTAATTAAAAGTTGCCATTGCCGTATGTTTCCCTTTCTCTTACAAAATCGATGGTTGTTTTGCTAGGAAGGTTCGTGCTGCTGAGTACATTAAGTCGAACTTCGTATACGTACAAAAAAAACAAAAAAAGAAATGGTTTTGTGCGTAATTATTACTGCAGTTTACGGTTTAAAGTTTTGATACATATTTGCAGTAGTTTTAAAAATAATAATTCGGAAGAACGCTACCTGTTAATAGTAACAATGCACAGCCACGGGAAAATTTCCATTTCACTAATTATCTTTTCAATATAGTGAAGGGTACAACACAGGCTTGTTGTAATTATTATACCGGTAAGTACAATATTTACCGTGCAGCTAGCATGACGTCAAATATCAATTTAATCAGACACTGACCACTGTCCAGATGTCTCACACCTGATACAACAAAACCAAAGTACAACTTGTGGCGTCAGCGCCATACATCGATAATCAAAGGTACGTGTATGGAAAAAGCAGATTGGTTTGTAGGCTATTAGTTTGTACAAGCTCACTATAAACATGATGCATGTGACAGATAACTGCCGAGAACTGTGGCGCTTAACCGTCCGTTGTCGCAATCAGATACCGGTCACTGTATACCATTCATGACCAATCCGGGTTCCAAAATATTATTTACAAGTACGAGTACATCAAATCATTCGATCGTGACTGTGCAAAACCGCTACGAGTAGCTTTTGCCTCGCAAAAAATCTTTGCGACAAAAAAAATTTTTAAAATTGTGGTTCACCGCTACAGATCTGAATACAATTACCTTGTCGAACACTGCTATTCCTACCTTAGGCTCCTAGTTGTTAGTTAAATCCAAGCAGATCAGTGACAATGCGTGCATTCGGCATCCACTTCGTACCGTTATTCGTGCCGCTGGAGCGGCGTCTGCAAACCTTAGCGGCGGCCTTCCACGTGTGGACATTCTTCTTCATGGGAGTCACCAGCACCCTGCTGCTCTTCTTCCTCCTTTTCACCCCCTTCTGCTTCCTTCCCATCCTCTACGGGATCTGGTATTGGCTCGACTGGGACCAGAGCTCCCGGGGCGGGCGCGCCCCCAGCGCAAAATTTGACATCCAAACGGCTGGAAAGCGGCCTGTACACTTAACCCCCACAGGGCCTACTTATGACCATTTGCCCCAGTGCGGAGGCCTCCGAATGGAGGCCTCCTTTTATTCGGTCAAAGGTTACAGAAAATGCCCCTCGGAAGGCCTCCACGGGCCATTTGGAGGTGTACGGTTGGGCCTCCCGGGTGCATATAAGGGCCTCTAGACGAGGGTGGTGACAGCCTACTACAGCCCAGATTTTGCGTACGGGATAGCTCGCTCGCACTGTTTTTATTGAGATTCACCGTAATAAGGACAATATCATTGTGCTTGTGCCAACAGGATTTCCATTTAGTTTGAAATTAAATAAAATTTATAAAGGCAACAAACACCACCACACTCCAGGACTAAACAAGAGGATAATTACCTTATTTAAATTTTCAAAGCTAAACCAGACATGTCGTTAATAAACAAGAGTTCATTTAATTAAAAATCGAGGCTAGAGTGTCCAATATCCACTCGGAAGATATATGTTTAATAAGCGGATTCCGGCTCTGGATGGAGACAGACTTTATCAAACGGCCAAATGGAAATACAATAAATGCACTTGACACTCACTCCGTGCGCACCTGCAACCAAAAATTTTTCGAATAATTCCCGTGTGTTTAAAATTTTAAGAAGAAATAAAAACGAGATTACGTACAAGCGCTCGACTCAGTATTGGCACTACTACGCTGACAAAATGACAAAAATAGCTTACCGCGGAAGGCCGCGTCGGTTTTGGGATCTCGACGGCGTAGCCGACGCTGGACACGCTGTGTAGGCAAGGGCCGCTAGGCCGCCACATGAAAGTCACTGCCTGTCGAGAAAAAATAACCGCTGCAATTTCAAATTTATTAAAATTTTTTTGAAAATAAATTATGATCCAAATACGTACTTAACCAACATGATTGACATAAAAATCTATGTTTGCCAAAAACTATAGTAAATAAAATATTAAAACAACCAAATTGATAAATAAACAGATAATTACAGTAATTTCAACTAATAATAAGCAGGCAGCAAATATCCTTCAAAGAACTAACAAATAATTAAAATGAATTAATTTTGTACCGGTGTATCTGCTGCTGAGCGAAACAATCTGGCCGCCGGGAAACCGGATCAGTATGCCCTGGTATTGTAATGTTGTGGCTCGGCGCCGACGGCACTGTCCGATGCGCTCTAATGTCCAACTGGTCCAGCGTCAACGAGGCCGTTACGTCGCGGGCGCGGTAGTCGTTGCTCACTTACAGACCCACCAGCGTCTCTCCGTCGCAGTGTCGCACTGCCAAATTAATAACAATTAGGAGAAATTTAACTAAATCGGGTTATTAATGATGGGTACCCAGAAAAATGGAAAAACTATTAATTCAACAACGTATTTGAACACTATACGCAACGTACACGGTACACTGCATTTGAATTTTGATAAAAATCTATATTTTTATTAATTACAGTACGCTGTACCTGAGCGTCAGCGATCGATGGGCCTTGAACGCATGCGCCTCATTAGTGGTGAATGGTTTGAGCGTTGAAGTTCCCGTTGGCCTTGATTTTCCCAAGCATCACAGGGTACGCCTGCAAAATTAATCAGCAACAAAAAATAAAAATCAAAGGAAAAATCGGAAATATAGGAATTAAGTAAAATCAACGATGACAAACAACCAAACAATCCAACCGAATAATTTATAAACTGCACATGTGCTTATCATTCATCAACGAAAAGATTCTTTATTCAGTGAAATTGTGAAAATAAAGTCGTACCGTAAACACCGTTGCTGCAGCACTTGGGGACCCATGAAGATCTGCGACTGACAATGAGGAGTTTTTACTTTTTAGGGTGATCTCGAAATGAGCGCTGGCTAAGCCTGGCCTCCAGAGTCCAGAGTACAAGATTTAGGAATATAGTTTCCAAGATTATAGGTTTCGAAGGAGTAAGGACACAAGACGCGAAAGTAGTGAGTAGTGACTGAGTACTGACTAGTCCATCGTCAGTTGCAGTAACCCACAGGCCATATGTGTTATTATTACTGTTATAACAAGGGATAAGTATCGCTGTATCATGCATGAGCGCAAACATATCAAACAAAGTGATTCAAGCACCATCTGCCAACAAGCACAATAGTTAACTATTTGTGGTGTCTTGTAATTGTAATAACTGTTAAATTAGAATAAAAATCGTTTATGATTAATTTTCATCCACAAAAACAAGGTTCTTATTTGAGCAAACTTGACAAAGTGAAAAAGACAGACTGCAGCAGTGCAGCTCAGCTGCCGTTGCTGGCTATCTCTGCTGTTCACATGCCAACTGCAGCTCCGCCTCCAAACGCGGGAAAGGGTTATACTGCCGGGTCTGGCAGTGTGGATTTACTCCAATTCTCCAAAATTTAATCATGAAATTAATTTACTTACTTAATTGTACGAGTCGTTCGTACAACGTACTCTTTCTCAGAGCGTTTTTTTTGTTACAGTAATTACAAAAAAATTCTTTTTGCATTATACAATACTGTTAGAAAAAGGAGGAATAATAATAGTAAGTATAAAATTAGCGCTTGTATCCATGAACAATTGCTAATATCTGTAATAATTATTAATATTAATTGTTGCTAATTAAATTTGCCATTTATTTAATCATAGTTAATATTATTGATATTGTTTTTCGCATTCTTTATCAATATTTGTTTATTGTTACTTATTTCTCATTTTTCAATAATGCAAGCGCTAATAAAATTTAAATAATTATTAAATTGGTAGAAAACTGAAGAAAATACTATACAATATGCGTCATTGTCCAGTTAGTTTTATTAGGAACTTAGGACAATATTGGCGATGATTGCGCTAGTTGGTAAATTACAAAAATGTATTTATCTAACTAAAACCTAGCAATTATCGTGTGTGTGCAATTCTGCACTTAAGTTATTAGCTAGCATGATACAATGGCCCAGTAAAGTATGGAATATGGATCATGATTAAATCACACTTGGTTACAATAAACATGGATAATCCAGCCTTATATAGAAGGCAGTGCCGCAATAGGCACTATGTGGTTTGATAACAGGCCCTAATACCCAATCCGGGATTGCCATCTGGAAGGCACCAGGAACGCCGCCATGGCACCTTTGGGAGGCCCATAACCAACAGCCATTTTGCTGGCATCCGGCGGCGCCTTCCAGAGGCCTCAAAGTTGGGGGGCTCCCAGATGCCATCTTTTTGCCTACTTTATGACCTCCTGAAGGCCATCTTGCACCTTGCCCTTTAGAGGTCAGAGGGTGGTCGTAAATTTTGCACTGGGCCTATCCCTGGATACGCCGGCTGGCATTCTGGAAATACTACCGCGACTATTTCCCCGTGAAACTGATCAAAACCACGGAACTGGACCCCCGCTGCCGGTACATTATGGGCTGTCATCCCCACGGGATCATGGGATGTGGATTCTGGAGCGCCCTGGCCACGGAGGCGAACGGCTGGGGAACGCTGTTCCCCGGGATCGATCTGCATTTGCTAGGGATGAAGGTGATTTTTCAGTTTCCACTGTACCGCGAGTACTGTATGGCTTTGGGGCTGTGCGATGTCAGCCGGGAGAGCATTGAGTACTGGATGAGAAAGGCGCCGGGAACTGCGGTGGGGATTGTGGTCGGAGGGGCGAAAGAGGCCCGCGAGGATGACTACCAAAATGTCAAACTCGTTCTGAAGAATCGAAAAGGTACGTAGTTGTTTGCCCAAATACTGGATTTGGTCAAATTACGGCAATGTTTTATACTGCCAGCTTGCGTTTTGTCGTGGAGCTTCCAATATAGACAGCTCCACGAATTATGCATTTGCTAAAGCAAATGCATAATTATGTATCTGTACAGTAGCTGTATTGTCGTTGTGGGGAATTCGCTAATAAATGTTGCGATTTGATGTTGCAGGTTTCGTTAAATTGGCTATTCAGACTGGGTGAGTTTGAGTCATTCGGTAAACTATGCACGCTTTAAATTATTTCGGTACATACTGGGGGTACACAACATTCGCACCGAATTATAAAAAAGTTGTTCACTCCCTTCCATGATGATTTAACTAGAATAAATAATGAGTTCGTACACTGCAGGGCTCATCTTGTGCCCGTGTTTTCATTTGGGGAAAACGACGTGTACCGTCTGTATCACCCCGACGATGGATCCTGGATTGACCGGTTCCAACGCTTTGTGCACGCCAAAACTCGTTTAGCACCAGTGGTATTCTTTGGCCGTGGATTCTTCAACTACACCATGGGCTTCCTCCCCAAACGTCGTCCTATCACGGTTATCATCGGTGCACCCATTCCCACCGTGCAGAATCCGCAGCCGACAGAGGTAAAATTAATCCGAATTACAGTACGAGTACCGTATACCGTACTGTAATCGCACGTGTACGCCTTGTTTTTTCTTAGCGCATGCGGATACCGTGGTAGATACTAGATATCTGTAGTAGATGGTGACAGATACCAACCGCTATTACGAGTACAGATCTTAAGCATTATTTCAATTTTTGCCATTTTGTAGGAAGAAATCGACCATGCCCACCGGCGCTACTTGGATGATCTACGCGATCTTTTCGATTCTCATAAAGCAAGTTGCGGCTATCCCAATGCCCAGCTGTCTTACATTGACTAATATAGTGTTTTGGCATGATATGACGGACATCCAACGGGCATCATTTTTCTCATAATTTTTCTCCGTGCACCTTACTGCGATGTCGGGACTGAGACTTATAAATTTTCTCCGCGGTCGTGGTAAAAACATGTGTTATTTGTACGTACTTTTGCGTTTGCAATGTAAATTTTTGTGAGTATTACAGTATTGACTCATTGGCTTAAATGCCCACTTTTAGACGGTAGCTGTAGCACCAACGACGTTAATCTTCAAGAATAATTCTCACTTTTTGTTTCACCTGTTTAATAAATTAATATAAATCAGTTACTATACAACGACGAAACTGGATGCACCAGCACCGCAAAAATTACTTTCATGTTTCAGTTAGCAGCAATAAAAAAGCCCTTGCAATTGTATGGTACGTATATCACCAGATAATCACCAAGATCTGTCCAGCCAAAAACAAACAAAAAGCACTTGACCACCCTGCTCATCAAGCTAAACATTAGTGATTCCAGGTTAGCCTGTCATTATTATACTAAACAAAAGCAAAAACCAACATAAGCGGAGGAAGAAGCTAAAAAACTGCATTCTAAGGCTGATCAAATGAAAACAAACCGCAAACCTTCTTCACAATTATTTCGGAGCCTTTCTCCATTTCACATAGACCGTAAGGCGTTTGAACTTTGAGCGCAAATAATTCATCCGCAGGACTACGTACTGGGATGTCCTCTTCCTCCTGCAAAATGCATGTTGTCCAGCAACGCCAACATTCAGGCTGTGATTCAGCCCACTTCCGTGCCTTTTTCATTGCCGGTTTAAGCAGTAGCTTTGTTCGTTTCTTCTTTCTCGTCGTCTGGTGGACTACCAGCTTGATTATTTATCTTCAATAAGGCATCCTGCAAATACAATATGCAAAGAACAAAACTGACTCCCACTATACAGTACAGCCCGTAACCGTTAAGCAATTATTTATGAAGAAAACAATAATCTTATTTAGCAGTGAATTAGCACTTTACTTAAAGACAACACAATTTGAATACGGCCAGCATGGGGTTCGAATTTTTAGAGTGCTGCATTCTCCATATACGTACCAGCATCCATAAAAGACGGTCAGTGCTACATTGCACACAAAAATGCGGTAAACTGCCCAATATTACTGGCGAAACAGCTTTACCTCTGGTAAGCTTTCTATGATGTTCTCCAGCAAGTCCTTAGCGGAAGCTGTCCGCTCAAACATAAGCCCTTTCCAGGTTTCATCACTGCTAATAATCGGATTATTCAAGCTGTCGCAATACGTCGAGTAACCACTTTTGATTTCTTGTTGAAGCCATTCGCACATCATGGTTACAGTGAGTTTTATCTATACGTTGGAAACAGAAAAAATTTTAAATAAGACAAAAATGCGATTTCCAAATCGCTCGAAAGCATACTTCGCCGTCTAAGGAAGTCCGCCATCCCGCTAAATCGGCAGCTTGCACGGATTCCTGTGGCGTGTATAGATGGGACAACAAGAAGCGCCATAAAGTTTTGAAGTACAAATAAGCTCGGCGAGGATACAAGCTGCGATGCCGCAACATGATTGATAGAAATCCTTCGGAATGTTCTAGTTGAAAAATAGCAAACGAAATGTTAGAATTTCTATAGACAATCGTTTTGTATCAAAATGTGTACTAAAAATGAAATAAATATACGAAATAAGTTTGCATCCGATTCAATCGTTTTACAAACATATTATGGTCCTGTCAGAGCCTATATATGCCAACTTCTATCAAAGACCGAAGAAAATACCATAGGGCATAGAGCACAAAACATCTGCAGTAAATAGTCACTAAATACAGTATTATTACTTATACACATACTTCAGCTCCGTGGTTTTAACAAATGGCTAGTATGCACGTGACGTGACATTCTGTACCGCATTTAAATAAAAATTCTTAATTTCTATAATAGTGTGCAACTGCTGTTGGTATATATGAAACTTACCCATATCTCGTGCCGTTAAAAATCTATCGACACGCATATTAATGAGCGAATCCTCCAAGCTGATAAATGAAAAACAAAAATCCAATAAGGTAGGCCAGTCTTGAGCCCTCTGGTCATCCAAAGCGGTCAACAAATTACATAGTATCCGGACGGTGAAGTTGGAATTCTCCCATGACAAAAACTAGATGAAACCCGAGTTATCCGATAAAAGTATTCGAAGCGTAGCGGAATGGCAGTCAGCATACTAACCTTAATCATTTGGCGCACTTCTTCCATAGCAAGACATTCTTCGACAAACTTTTTCAGAAAGCCGTCGGTCATATAAGTTTGCTGCACGAGTTCCGGGGAAGCTGTGATCGCATACTCACCATCCATACGGATCGCATATGGATTAGGCAGAGTCTGTAAATGCAGATACGACCGTAATGTTTTGAAGAAAGGAACCGCCGATTGTCCAGTGTACCTCTATCTTGTTGCCAGAAACGATAAATTTCGAAAAATCAACGGATCGCACTAAATGAGCGATAGTTGTATACAGCTTGCTGTTTTCCCCATCGGTATTATTAATATACTTATTCGTTTCGCTGGCAAAGATTCGCAACATGACAGGGGTACCCCGTTCTACTGCATTTTTAAAGCAGAGATTTAGTCTGGCCGTTGTGAAAGGAAATGCTGGTGCGGTTTTGGGCACTATAAATATGCGTCCTAAACGGCCAGACGGCGCTAACGGTTTTGGTTGTTTTTTAACGTTTAAATTTGAATCGTGTTACGTAGTATTACGCGAATGCCCTTTTTGTTATGTTGATGGCTTTTCTCCCAATAAAGCACACACAACACCAACCTACCTGTTCAGCCGACCCACTAGCTGCTAAATCATGAATCATCCCGAAATACTGATCCAGCTGTCGTGCATAATAGTCCGTTTCCTGCCATTCCAGCAGATTCATACAGCAAGAAAAGATAAGGTCACCCAAAGAAGTGAGCTCTTGTGAGAATTCATAGCCTAAAAACAAGAAAAACGGCACCAGTGCAATAGAAACATATCACGATAACAGCAAAAATCACAAGAAAGTTTCAAATCCAATCAAGTTGCAACCATTAGCAGTAATACCTTGAAAGTAATGAAGTCTGCTTCACCAATGGGTGTGAACATCAGAACAATCAAACTTACCAGATATATAATTACATGTTTTGTTTAGAATATTAAGTTGACACTCACCGACATCACGAGCAACTTGTAACGTTGAAGGCGGACACGGACAATCTGCTCGACTGCAAAATATCAAATGTCCAAGCAAACGCTTCATGGCACATCTGATGTCTTGGCTGGGACATCAGACGAAGTACTCAAAGATCCTATGTCGTGTTTTCAGCAAGATACGTTCAGTGAAGTGTTGTCGGCCAGCGAAAGTCACTTTAAGAATTCTCACGAAGCTGTCTGTCAGTTCGCTAACTTCACCGCGCACATCAAAATGCATACGGAACACCACATCAAACAAGATTTTCCCTGAAAACTGGATAACAGCTACGGCAAATTCGTCAATCTGTGCCGACTTAACACCCGGTTTCGCCGCTAGCTGCTCATCACGGATCGGATCCACAGGTGCACTAACTAACTCTGCAGCATTCCGCAAGAATTTCTTGAAGAATTCGAAGTATTCCGGGACAAACTCAGCTCGATTGTAGAGAAAATTTAAGTTTTCCTTCAGTATTACCGTACGCTGATTTACTGGGATTAAGTGCAACACTCTGGAGCCTGTGACAAAGTTAAATTAATGTAACAAATTGAATACAAGACAGTAAAATGATAAAATGCTGATCGTAGTCAGATAACCGGCACGCATATTTCTGGTTTATTTTACCTATCGAGGTAGAAATAGGAAAACCAGGATGATTGCTCTTCGTCGGCATACTTTGGCCACAATGCTCGTAGAATAAGATATAAGCACTCCTTGTTTTCAAAGTCGACGAATTTGGATGTCCACCTCCGAAACACTGCTTTTTCAACTCCTTATCATCATCTAATGTGCTCTCAGTCACGCTCTCATCAGAGAAAAAATACCACTTCTGCCCGTTTCTGAAAGAGAACTAAGCAGTTCATCTAAAAATCTGTAGACAATAGTATATGCTTGGAAGCTTTCTAAAAATATGAAATAAATAATCACGGGGTTCGGGAAAGTATTAACCACGGCCGAACTCGTTAGGCCGTCACCCACAACAAAAAACCGTTTGAACTGCAGATATGTACATACCGGTCCAAAATATATGAGTAGTATTGACCCCAAGTTGCAGTACCAGAATGGATAACAATGCCAACAAGTCTGTAGTTAGTATCGATTATTTGCTGTTGTTTGTCGATTGGAGATTCCGCCAGATGTTTTTCAGTGGAGTATTCATCAGATTCGTCTCCAGGAATTTCCTCACCTTCGCGTTTGGCTAAACCGGCTGCTGTGTACGGCTCCATGTCAATCTCGCGTGGAAATTCGAAATAGTCATTAAGTTTAATTGGCTCTTCGCGCTCCCAGTCGTAATCGAATCGCCTCAAGTGGAAAGTCAGGACTGGCGGTAGTTTTTTTATGCAGAACCGCTTTTTTGCCACTACTTTGCGTTTACATTTTTCACATTCATAAGCATTGACGCCTTCCAAAAGATCTCCTTTTACGTATAGCTCTATGGCATCTTGCAGAGTATGGGAAATTCGGATGTCAACATACAACGAAGTAAATGGTAGTTCGCGAGAATAACGATGCGGACAATCTCGACAGATTCTCTGATCAGCAAAGATCCCACCAAAAATGCGACTCATGAATGGCGTCTTTTTTATTGACTTTAGTCCCTCGTCCACGCTGTCCACAACGCAGTTGTAGAAATGCATGGCATCATGCGGTTCTCTCAGGTTTATCGGCTCATTATCAAGCCGGAAATGTTTCCAGAATTCAGCTGGAGTGTAGAACTTATGCTTGCTATAAGCCAGATGTCTGAAGATCCCCTGCAAATGTTTGATCAATCCAGTATTGTATTCCTGCGCAGCTGTTCCCCCTAATGAAGGACTCGATGTATCACATATTCTCTTTGTATCATCCGCACCATACAGAAAGGTCATGTCATGGAATGTCAGCACGACATCGCGCAGACTAGGTATCATGAAGAGCTGCTGCAGCACACAGTTCATATAGCCGGTGGCTCCGGCATTTTTTAAGCCGACAAAACCATGCGGTGCAACCGGCGGACAGTAACTATGCTCCCAACCGATAATGGATGGAGCATCGGCGTAAAACAGTGCCAGTGTTTCGTCCAGGAGTCGAACATTAGTAGCCGAACCCATACACAGTTCGCTAATCAAATCAAATGCTCGAGTGACGCCTGGTGCGTGAGCTGCGTGGCACGTTTGACAACCTTGGTGTGAATATTTCAAAAAAGCGAAAGGATCGGAACTGGCATTATCGAGAACGGAACAACCGAGCGCCCTTGTCCGACATCCTTGATCACCGATCGCGGCGGCTTCTGAACAGGCCTTGACCAGAACTCGTGCAATCGGGAATAAAAAATCATCCAGCCCCTAAATTATTTTGAATCATTTGCTGCAACGGTTTTTAATTTTAACACACAACATGATACTCAGTTAATATACATTAACTGCGTCGAAGTAATGAACTTATGGAACAATAACTATGGAACACCCGAAAATATGAAAAAAAAGCTTATGGAACTTAAAAAAACTTATGGAACACCCCAAAATATGAAAAAAAGCTTTAACTGTCGCTTACATTATTAAGCTCTGGCGATGAATCGGGAGGCTCGATTGATTCCACGTGGTGGCAGTGAGATTCCAGTAGAGTATTGCGCTGCTTAAGGGCAGTGTTTTTCCGTTCATCTGCAGGCTGTCCAGTCTAAACATAGGGAGATATGAACTTCCCAGAATAATTTTTGTATTGCTAAAAATAATTATATTGATACGACAAGATGATACAAATAATTATTCGTAATCCGTTGCTCGTTGCATATCCGATTTTAAAGCATCGTCTTGCAGGAACGCAGTCACAGAACTAGGAGTGCCCGATCTCGCAATAATATCGAAAGCTGCAGAATTTTTTGTTGCTGCCAACTAGTGAAAACGAAGGCCGACAAGCAACAGCAGCGCATTATTATATATAAAACAATACTTACAGAAACATAGTGTCATATGGAATAAAATAGCCAAGAATGCGAGCATTACCTTGAGAAAATAAGGAACATGTGCGCTTTCCAACAATTCCGGTTGATAAATCCATTGTCTTTCTGCTCTTGACGGTGCATTTCCTGTCGAAAGTGGGTACTGTCTGGACTCCTGTGGCTGTCTATCTCCTGTCTGGTTTCCTGTCTGGAGCCTTTTTTGTCGGCATGTCGCTAGAAAGCTCCCCATTAAAGTAACTATTGTGCACCTTCGTAAACGCAGTCGTCTAGAGGAAAGAAATATTAGCAAATAACAGTCATTTAAAAAAACATGAAGAAGAGCGAGTTTGGCAACGACTTGTAAACAATGCGTCATAAGGCGTCATTGAATATCTATATACTGTACATGTATATTGTACTGTATCGCATATCCGGCTGGCGGTGGAAATAGCTAAAGGCTGCTACGGTATGGACCTAACAACATACTACACTGATTGCTTTTCTCTGGCATGTAACTGTAAAGCTTAAGAACATCTTCCAAAGATACCTGGATTTCGGTCTGCAGTGTAATCTTCTGCAGAAAAAACAATAAAAATAGAAATGCCATACCCCTGCCATAAAAAATTTAATGTCACCGTTTCAAAACTGGTCCAGCGGCTTATTTGAATCACTATCTTGGGATTTCTCCCATTCAGGAAGGCTCGACTGGTAAACTACCGACAAGAACGGTCATTTTAACCTAAGCAAGATACAGGTTCTGTATGCTTCTACCGAAAATTGTTTAATGCAATCTGGAAACAGTACAGTACTCGGTACAGTTTCTGTTGGCTTCACCAACTGGCCGGTAATTAGTAACCGGTACAAGAACACCATGAGCCAGTCTGGCACACCACGAATTCCTTCGGCATCGCCTGTCGCTCGACGTCCAACGGGGCAATGCAGTTTCGGGGTGGTCGGGACCATTAATGGAGTGGCGACGTGAAGCGAGATTTTGTTGTTATAACGGATAACTGTATTTGCTTCAGTCTGTACGCATAAATCCGTCATTTTGAAACTGAATAAAAGTTTAGCAGTACGAAGTATCAGTAAATGGGTGCTGTCCAGCAAGAGGGTACTCGCATGTCTGTTTCCACCGCCACCTGCAACATCCAGTCCGCCCAGCCTGTTGACGCTTTGACCTTGCGCCTCTTCAGCACCGACGCAGTTTTCTATATCAGGAAAATTCAAATGATTCATATTAATAGGCATTGCATATCTACCGGTTTGCTGCGAATCAAACGGGTTGTGAATTTACATATAACAAGCTCTTAAAATGTAAAACCACAAATTTAAAACAGCTTTGGAACGAAATCAAACTTCTCCGAGAATTGTATTCGCTCCTTTTCGGCTCCAGTCTGCACGGTGTCAAGTGAACGCAATTAAATTGGTCAAAAAAACATCGCCAACGCTGGCCGTTATTCTTTGATCATGATGTAAGATATGTTAGTGGTAGTGCTGTTTTACGTAGGGCAGTCATTTTTATGAAAGTACATCTTCCTGTGGTAGTCTACTGTAGCTGAATTAAACAACACAAAAGTATTGCTTAGCTTCCGCCTGGTTGCTTTGGCGAATCAGTTCTTGTGAACTGAAGTTCTGCTCTTTGCAATCCATCCAACTGTTCAATATATTCACTAAACACAAGCAGTCAAAATTATTACTGTAGTCTGTAGAAATAACAAAGCCTTCAGGCAGACGATATTTTACTGTACGGAGCGATAACGAAATTGTAACGATTAAGTTATTCAATAAAAATATTATTTCCTGACGAACGCGAAAGTTTCTAAAAATTGCATCATCCTGTAGCGCAAATGCCGGTTACCAAAGACAGTGCTTACTCGTATATAGTTCTTTACCAACGATTAAAAAACGTTTTTTCATAGCTGATTTGCACGTACTGTCCGCCTTTGCATTCAGATTTTTTGTTACAACAATAAAAATCCCGTAAGTAAGCAGTCGACTTGACAATTCTGATATTACCAGCACCTGCAGTTAGTATGTATGACCTTGTGCATTACGTCGGAATGTACAGTAATTCATAATTTGTAGATATCGCAACCTAGTTTTATGTTAATATAAAATAAAATTAATACATCTTGTTAGCATTCGTAAATGCCAACTGCTTTAACTTCACCGATGTACCATATGCAATTGCGCTACATCCCTTCGTATACTTTTGGACTGTAACGTGGTGCAGCACGTTTACCATAAATACGCGTATTACGCACAATAAAAATCGGCAAAAGTATCAGTAACCATGTTATCGGGCGCTTGGCAAACATGCCTCAAATCGGAACTAATCATAGCGGTTACGTCACGCGAAATGGATAAATGTCAACGATGTCGTAATTAGGCATCCTGCGAAACGCAGGACATGTAGTCAACGCGTGATGCGCGTTGTGGCTAGCATTAACGCTCTACGCTGTCGGCTGATCTTGTTTATAAAAATAATCTCAACACTGTTTGTTAAATAAATGGCGTACGTACAAATACGTTCTTTACGATGGATTACTAATCGAGTCGCCATAACGTGAGGTTATCCCGAAGAGAAAACAGAATTAACCGAAGGGCGATGTTGTACCTGTGACATCCGCTACTTTTGCCGGCAGGAAGTTAAATTGCTACCGCTCTCTAGAGGATTCGGTATACGTATGCCGTACTTACTGTCGTTGCTAGCTACCTTTTTTAGGCGGCATGCAAGCTTATTATCACATGCCCCGAAGGCGACGTTCTGAGAAAGTAAATAATTGTCAAGGGCGCCAAATAAAATAATCTTTACCTAACAAATATGTTCCGGGGGAAAATTGTCTGCAAACTTGTTGGATAATAAAAATGATGATTTGTGATTTGATTTAACACATTGGTTACGAAATGCACTGCCCGAAAATTGTTACAAAATGTGTTTATTAATTGCGCCATGTTCTCAATCAATGTATGTAAAGTTAATTATAAATAAACAGCAAGTCACATCTGCAGAACTTAAGTTCAGTGTAACCTCTACAGTTTGCTAGGTTCCTATACGGAAAATTAGAAGGGTACTTTAGAATGAGAGATTGATATAGTTACACTCACCCGGTTTGGCCTAAATGTATTAGCTTTGTTATTAATCATAACTAAAGGATAATTCCCAGATTTCAAAAACTGCATTTAGCTTTTTCTAAAATCGTGCTTCTCTTGTCGCTAAACTCAAATGTTCTCATGGTTATATTAGCCTTACTGGTGTAACTGTATGACCGAGTGCGCGCTATGGCTTTAAACACTACTAAAACATTGATTTGAACCGATTTACCAATGCCTGTAGAAGTCAGCAATCGCAATCAGCTTGACCTTTAATACTTGGTACGACAATGGCACTACGAAAATGTTGTATGTCTGTACATATCACATGGGAGGCCTTTTGCATAAAAACAAGCGAGCGTAAGTCAGAAAAAAATTAATGGAATGTTCATCAGTTTGCAGCACAGTGACCTTTCCGGCTTCCTTGCAACCGAATTATTTCTCGAGGAAGGAATGGTGAAGTGCTGGAAGGCATGGCAGTCCGCGATTGTTATGTATACATGACAGTACATTGTCAGCTCATCGGTTTCCAGTAATTACTGTTGAGCATTAGCTGGATATCCAAGCAAATCGACATCGGCTTTTACGTAACCCGACGGTCCAATTAAATAACAACATCAGTAGTTCCGTCCACGGCTGGCTCCGTAACCGGCCTTGTTGCAAAAATACTTTCCATGTCCAGCAAATCCACACTTCAAGCAGACATGACGCCGCTTCCTTATACACGGCGTCGTACAGTTGCCGCTGTTAAAGCGCAAACACACTTCCACCTCCCGCGGCTTTATAACCGGCTGCGGTGGTGGTGGTGGTGGCGCGGGTACGGGTGCGGGCGGCGGATCATAATAATCGTTAGCCGGCTGCGACGGTGGCGCCACCGAACGCCGATCAGTGCCCGGTCCCATACAGCGCACGTACGACTCTTCATGGCGCACCGCCCAGATCGTCGGTTCATCCGGATGGGAGGTGGCATAACGGCGGAAATAATGATCATAATCCAGCCACTGCTCCAACCGGTAGCCTTTCGCCGGATCGGCGTATAGCCCAATTAAATCCAAATATTTCAGCATCGGGATGACCATATCCGGGCGGTTGTACGTCCGGTAGGCCATAAAGACTGAATACGCGCGGGCCCATAAGGCAAAGGAGCCGATCGGCTCGCGCCGACTGTTACTGAAGCCTTTATTGGGATCCGTGCGGCTGCGTGCCGTATTCATCGGCAAGAGGTCAGCCATATCAATATGTACGGTATGATCCAGGAGGCGTTCTTTTAGCTGTGTGGATCCGACGCGTGGTAAATTATTCCCGAAATCCGTTGGCTTACTGGGCGAAGGTGACGCCTTCCGCTTACGATCCGATCCTGCCGGACTGGGTTTACGGGGCGGCGGGGAGGGCTTCTTGGTGACCCGAGGAGACGACGGCCGCGGCGACGGTGGACGCTTTCCGTTAATGCGGCGCCGGTTGTCCACCTTCTCATCCTCCCCACTAGATGAATAATAGCTGGAGGAGCGGGAGCGGGAAGAACGGGAACTCTCCGAGCACTCTCCGTCACTGCTCTCCGAATGCTCCGATCCCGAGGCGTCGGAGTGGGCACTTTCCGGATTCGATGCAAAGAGATTATCATCCACACATCCGTCTAATTTTCCATCGGCGGTATACTGCAGATCCGACAAGGGCGACGGCGGCAGGTGCGGTTCGTCGTCGGTTTTAGGGATGACCTTTATCAGGTTGGGATTATCGACGGCAGCCATGAGGGGACAATACTCATAAACGGGATTGGAAAATAAACAAACTCAAATGAATCCCGAATTGTTTATGATAATTTCCATTGTTTTATTCGATAAAAACATACTATGTGAAACGCTATCGGAAAGATTGTCCGTTTTGCGGATTGTGTTACACAAAAGCCGGTGTAACCACTTCCGCAATATGTAATGTAATAATTGGTTAACCCGTCTGCACTATTTCCTAATAACGGCGGTGAGGAGAGAAAATTTTTTTCTGTAAATTGCTCCTAGCGTTCGCGCATGGTGTGGATGCCCATATTGGTGTGTTATCCAACTGTACATGTACATGACATTGTGCGCTAATGCAATAAGAGTCAGGGTGACTTTGCCGGTCCAATTCCGAGAAACACAGAAAATTTACCAAGGCTGGCACGCGTGCGACTCAATTTCCGCAAGCGAAAAACTATCACTTGTACATTACGTTTTCGGGAAAAACGAACACTGACGAATAAACAATTGTGAGCATCGGCATACAATACTGTGTTTGCAAATTACACTTCGTAATAACAGCTTTGGCTGTCTGCATTTTTCGTTGACCTTGAATGTAAATATCGGATCGAGCACTTATATACACGGTACTGCATGCGTTCCTTCATTTCACGGTATTATAAAAATTTGTGCAAAGAATTGCCACTTTTTCCCCTTTGCCCATTATTTGACATTATTGCATTAACTTTATTCTGTATTCCTGTATTTGGATGCCAGTTTGTGTCAATAGGCCATTGTTGTCACGATCGAATCGCCAAAATATTTCTAGATAACAGTATTCATGTGGATGAATCACGAGATCATAATTAACGATTCTAGACAAACGTGTTCTGTGTTTGGTGTACTGGAGCGGAGGTGACTTTTCAGCCAAACCTCAAATTCCCTTAAGTAATTAAATCCTAGGGCATTGCCAGTACAGTATATCATTCCACCATGGGCGTGGAAAACATAAAATGTGAGCTTTTAACTTTAAAACTTGATTTTAACCTAAACAAAATGGTATAAAAGCATAGGCTAAACGTTGCCGCCTCAGGTATAGGATGTGTCAGTCACAAGGGCGACAAAGCGCGCGCGCAAATGCCGGTATTACTGCCATATCTTTTAGCCGCAACTACAGAAAACAGGAAAAGTGTATCGCGCGAGGCTCATTAACCTTTCCGCTGTACAAATATGTTTTGGGCCGGGGATTTTGATAGATAGAGTGCCATATGTCAACAGTGATCCCATTTCCGGTGAGGAGGTATCCCGACGCAGGCTACCGCCATGTGTGTGCGTCGATGGCGCAGACTTTTCGTGCAGTTGTCCAGATGTTTTATCGTCCCATATAGCCAACTGCTTAATTTGATTCGTGCTGTATACGACAACGCACATCGGACCCATGCATTGCGTAAATTGCAAGTTGATGTATGCGTTGCATATAAAGTGTGGGTCAATAAAAAGCAATTGTCACGGATTTTATACGGTTTTACTTTATGCATCCGTCGTATATTTTTTGCGTAATCAGTTCTCAGAACCGAATTATCTTGTAAATGCCGGTACACATTAACGGCAACACATCAATCTGTTTTTGCATCGATTGACCTTTCGGATGCCTTTATTTCCTTGGGGATGGTGACATTGTACAGTGCAGCAGCATGGTCAGACGGTGTAGGTAGTAAACAAACGGCATTTAAATTCACTTCCGTAAACATTACCGACACTTCACATTTTTCGGAGGCACGGTGTTTACAAAATTCAGAAAATCAAGCAAATTGTATTTCGTTTAATCAAACGAAACTGAGTAACCAGTAAAGCAACAAAAATTGGTGTGGCATAAGGAATATAAATAATTTAAACCAAAGATGCAAACGAACGTGCGACTACGGCTGTAAGCACTACGTACAACAGTACGAAGTTGTTGTCGGGTCTTGCTTCTGGCAGCACAGAATGACAGAATGGTAAGATTGTATGTGGATCGTACAGCTGTTTCACCGAATCAGACAGCAGGCCAGTTTTACGCCCCTCGGAAGCGGAAATTCATTGGGCCTCGTTTTTCTTCCATCATCATATCTGTTAGAAAATCGGAAATCTTGAAACCTTTTATCAGTGAAATTCTTCCAGTAATTAGTACAACTTGCATGCGATTTAAGTATTACTTGCTACTGATTTTGCAATTTTTATCCTGCCGCCCAGAATTATTCAGAATATTTTACAATATCCGCAAGACTCAGAGTTATTAAATGCCGCAAATTATATACTGTATGCTGAATAACATTACTGGGTATACTTTACAGATGTTGTTTTTAAAAAGACGCTTTGCGCTCTTTATACTGATTTGGCAGATAATTTACTTTTACTGCATTCATATAATATACAATCCTCTGATTTTTGTAATTTATTATTTACTACATGGGATTTTATCCTCTTCGCTACTTTACTCTATGACGTACGCACCATCATATTGGTTATTGTAGTAAGAATCCCACTCGTCTTTCTTGCCGCGCATCCCGAAGAATCCACTGGAAGGCGCCCGTTTTGCTCCACGGAAGCGGAACGAGTAGGGACTGCGTTTTGGTCGGGATGATTCCGGTGCGGCATGATCAGCCACAATCTGTACACTCGTAGCCGGCTATTAAACAAGAAAAAAAAGTCCAATAAATTCGGCGTTATTTTAATTTCATCCAGCCAGACATGACTGATTTCGCACGCATGCAGCATATGTGCACAGTGCCACACTCACCTCCTCGGCGTTGCGTTTAGCGCCACGGAAGCGGAAATTTAGCGGGCCTCGTTTGTCGCGCTCATCATAATTATACAATTCATTCACCAGTGCTTCCTAGATGCGCGACAACATATAAACCAGTTAAATGATCATTTCCCTAGAAAGGAATAATCCACTGGCTGCTGAATTCTAGCGCCTTACCCGTTCGGCATCCCGTAGTGCCGCTTCCACCGCTTCCCAGGAGACAGGCCGGTCCACATTGGCTTCCACGATTATGCTGATGCACAGTACAACGCCCATGTACAAAGCGCCTCGAAGCAGTTCCATTCTTTTTTTTATGTGGTGTAATATATGGACGTGTCACAAATCACACGACCCTGTGAAAAGAAGCGGGTGTTAATTGTATTTTGTCTGGGTAATTAAACGCCGGCGGCCATAATGTGCCGATGCACATGGTGCTTAATCGGATTTGATTTTTGACATAATTATTTCGACGTAGCAGTGTCCTGCTTAACTAAAACTAGTGACGTCTCAGCAATTACACCGACTAATCACGTACATCCAGAATATGATCTGATTAAGTCGTCTTTCGGTTAATTTTGATAGTTTCCGCATTGTTTTTCAACAAATAGTTGCTACTTCAAGTATACAAGAAATTTCTAAAAAGGTCAATGTCAGCAAAACTACGCTAAAGAAGACGGGCTGTTACTTTAACGATGGAAGAAAGTGATCCGTTTACCTAGTGAGCTAGGAAAATATGAATTAATCTGTTATTGATTATGAAATGCTCATGGATGCCGCGACAGTCTCCCTATAAATACCATACATTAGCCTGGAAATCCAGTGTGCATTAGTCGATCCTTTGACATAAATGGCAGAGCCTAATTATTTTTGTCGTTTCAGAAAACGGGGCGCGACATTTCTCCGTAAACATGCCCGCTTGCTATTGTAATGAAGGGCATAATTCCCAAAAGTTTAACGACATGGAACACGAGATATGCACGTATGAAATAACTCACGGAGAACGAGGAGAAAGAAAGCCCATTACCTAAGCTTTGTTCATTTTGCACAACGCCCTAAAGGCTAAAGGCTTGTCTTGCCTATGGAAGAAAAATGGGAGAACATGCGGCGCCGGAATTACGACCCAGCGGCATGCTATCCGGGTTGCTACGACGCAGTTTTGGCTGTTGACCTTTTGTTAAGCAGTCGGGGTTTGTGCAAAAAAATCTTGAGGAGCTTTCTAAGGTTTCCCTACTGTTTATCACCGGTGTTTCGCCAAAACATGCGCAGTATGCGGATACCATGTATCCTGAAATTGAATTGTTTGTAGATATACTGGTATTAAAGGGGATTAAAGAATTAGCGTGTATATCTGTACACTGTAATTTTCGTGGAAATTTTGCATACGTATTATCTGCGTGCTCTGGCTACGTGTAATGGGTGGTACTTAGTGGAAAACATCACAGTTGGATTGAAAACTGGCATGACCACAGGAATAGCACATGATCTGATGAAATGCCACAAACATTCGACAAGTACAGATATTAGCATTAACGTACAATAAATTAAACAGTTCGATCACACATCACCGGCGCTCGATGAAAGACTATCGCTGCACCTTTGCCACATGCGAACGTAATCCACTCAACACATTTTACCAATATTTCGAGGTTTTTTCTAGTTTCACCTGTATATTTAACTAGGGAACTATTCCTGTTGATCCTGTAAAACCGGACATCGATAGCCCTTGCTGAAAGCTAAGTACAGTTTTTACAGTTCCCGCCTCAAACAGGTGAAAATACATAGTTCAGCAAAAGCATTTCAGGTGAAATCTAATCCGCTTCCTATAACAATGCTACTAAGTGCAGCTCATCCTTTGAATACAAAATTTAGCTTATATTAGTACGTAGTTATACCAAATTTTAATATAAATATAAAGGTCACACGTACCCAAAGGCGATGCTGGAAGTCCGTGCGTGGCAAGCGGAGACTCAGAACTATGGTGAGAAATCTTCCCTCCAGATGTCACAGTGCTAACTGTAATGCAACAGGAATCTAACACAAAGAAATATTGCCCATATATCTGTGATATGCGTACAACCCGGTGCCGGAAAGGGGAAGAGATTAATCCAGTGACGGCATCTGGACGTCGTGACTGGGTCTTATATGTCGCTAACACTTGATGGCTGGCAGATGTAGTCATAATATCGTTTCCTACAGTATCAACCGCTACACAATACACGCGGCCATATATCGCTCTTCCTGTGTACCGGCTTCCCCCCTAGAAAACGTACAGGCTGATGACGCCAGCATGATCCGTGTACACTTTAATGCATCAGTGGCCCGTGCGTATCCTATTCAACAAGTCCGTGCAATTGGCTTCGGGTTTTATGACAGGGATCATATCCTCCATATATCCCCAATATTCGGTCCAGGCTATAAGATTTTTTATCCGCTTGGGCGTGACTGCAGATGTTCTTACCGGAAAAGCTGGGAGAGCTCTCTTTTACGCGCGAACGCGGCACTTTCTTTGTTTGTTTGAGTACCATATTATCCAGTTAAATATGCGTCACTAAGCACAATGCAAGTACGTTAGTGCAAAGTGACAGTTTCATTTTATCTTTAATCTTTGTTAGCAACGACATAAAGCCTCACCGGTGTCACTTTCGTCATTAATATTTTCAAAATACGCAGTTGTAACTGGGACGGAAATATCAAAATTTACAATTTGGGAAAGGTTAAGCATTACTGGAGCACGCAGTCCGTGCTGAAATTGTAATCCATTCAGTATTTAAACTTATCTTTAAAACAGCCGAATGAGTTTAAAAGAAATAAAAAGTAAAATCTGTTTCAGCCTTTTGTGTCCATTTGGTGTTTGCGTTGATGACGTTTTTCCAGCAAATAACATTAAAGTTATTTTTGTGTCAAATTTGTCTGAAACTGAAATAAACAGCGTTTGCAGGATTACTTATGGATCTACATTTTAATCATTAAAGCTACCCAAGGTCTACAAGTGTGACGAATGACGAGCAGGATGCCGTCAGAGATGTTGAAAATTCTAGTGATTTGATTTTTGCGCAAGTGCCCTTTGCGAGTAGGTACTTGTTATCCAGCCACTTAATCATTTCGCTGTCTACCCTATTAAACAATCAAGTTGTTTATACTAAGTCTGGATTGGATGGCCAGGCCTCAGTGACATCGTATTTTCCCAGCATCCACGCGAAAAAAACAGCTTTGCTTATGAATGCGTATCTATGACTCTATACACACCATCAGTGCACTATCCTTTTGCCGGTGCAGATTAGGATAATTACATTGACCACTTTTACGCTCCGTTAACGTAGTGCAGTGGAGTATCCCAGTTCGGTCCCGGGTGCGTATTTACCACTACTTAAGACCAGGCATATGACGTTGACAACGTTAATAGATGTGTGTACAAATGCAAAACACGAGTGTGCCAATGTATTGTGAAGTGTATGCGATTCATAATTAAGTTTTTCTTTTCCCAGTGTACGCCGTTTTTCCAGACGGGTAATGGAACAAGTATGGATAATGTTGTTCCGTATCATTTTATTACCCACTATTGAACAACATGATACGCCCACTGGGAGCAGTTGGGCCTGATTGCCAGTGATAGCGCAGCGGTAATAAAACTTACAGTTGTTAACTTCGCGTTATATCTATATATGCGATATATGCATGTACGTGTATTGCATGTGCGTGACGCATGATAATAAATATTTTTGCGTATTCTCCACGATTGAGCATTTGGTGTTATGGATTGTACAAATCCATTTCCACGGGATATGGGTTGTAATGCGATCGGTCAATAAATAACCTTTTTCTAGATCAAATATGTATGCCGACCATTATCTTGCAACCGCTGGAAAAGAATTTACGCATTATTATAGTTTACCCTGGCCTATAAAGATTTAATGTTGAAAATGGTTATTACGATATTATAAATTCAGCATTGAAATATATATATTCCGCTTTTGCTTGTTTTAGACCTACTTTTTTGCCAATGTGGTATGCATTTGCGCTTTCGCTCAGTAATAAAGCCAAGTACATAAAATAAAACCGGAAAGAAAACAAGAATCTTCCTTTTCCCGAAATGGCCCAGCAGTTTCAGCCTTTCAACACGAACGACAGCTTTTTCATAGGGCCGACCCGGAAACAACTGCTATATATGGCCATTTCCTTTGACAGTTTTTTCCAAATTAACTGCCGATTGTGCTGCCCAGTGGAGCAGAGCATCGTCTTTTCCGGTGTGTTTATACAGTGCCGCACTCCTCTAAACAACAAGTGGCGCTTTTGTTTCGCATTATGCTACTTAAGCACGTCTCATTGTCAGCACGTTTGATGGCAAACAAAACTGTGACCATAGTTTCCGAAGCTGTTCCAGTAAATTATGAGAAAAACTGTCATATGGGGATATTTCGGGATAACCCGTAAAGAGCATAATGTGACGGTATCTTTCGTTATCGCATGCATATCGGCACAACGTTTATTTGTGCCGACATGCGTGCAATAAAGAAAAATATCGTAGTTAATCGGAATAATCGAATTCTGTCTAGTTTTGCGCGAGAAAATACATTCACACAGATGTGTCAACGGCATCATTATGATTTTTCAATAATTATTGTATACGCCATTGTCCGACAGTTTAAATTCTCGTATGTACGTATGTTTGAATACTCGTGATTTAGAAAAGTGGCAATCCAAATTAGCAACATGCAGTAAATGAGAAAATACGAGCAAAATTTGTGGGCTAATTTATTTATTAAGTTTTTATATGAACACTGCATTAATTGGTAAATTAAAATTTTGACTTTTGATGAATACACAGTAATTAGGTATTATTGTGCATAATATATTCTTGAGCATTGTTAGTTCGTATTACCACTCTAAAATTGCTTTATTAGTACAAAAAATAAGAGTTTGCTGTACAAAAGGGAAAGTTTGCTGTACAAAACAGCGGTGAGCGGTAGCGTTATCGTAACGTAAACCACGATTCTCTGTTATTTAAATTCTAACAAATACTGGTAACAATTTAATTGACAGACGTACAGCTAATAATTGTTGTGTTCGCATTCATATTGAAAAGCAACTTGCAGACAAACACGCCTGTAGATACATGTGAACGTGGGCGTAGATTTGTTCAAAAAAGGCGGCGATCGCCTTCCTTTTTACTACGTCATGCCGCAACGCACGTCTTACATAATCAGAACGTCTTGTCGTTTAAAAATACGGTTCTTGTCTGTCAACAAGACATTTGATGTGATTGTTCTCCTGGGACTATGTGACCGATTTCCAAATCAACTAGCCAAGAAATCAGAAGCGACGACAAGTTCTGCTTTGGGCTTTAGGTTCACAAAACGCAAAAAGCGAAGTACATGTTACTACGCCCCAAAAATTCTACTGATAATAACCGATGCACATTATGCGTACGGTTATTATAGCATTTGGTAAAATAAATGCAAATGTATGCACTGAAGCATAAGTTTTTGTTGTGCTCGTAGTCTAACGAATCGATGCATGCTTATGTACGTTTGCCCAGCACGAAATGATGAACATAAATTAAAAGTGTTTTCATAACCAAAAGAGTGCCCTTTTCGAAACAGCTCGAGTCGCTTTCGTTGGCTGATTGCTCAGTCGATTGCTGGCGTCGGATTCCCACGAGACTGACTTCCGGTGCGAGGATATTCGGATGCAGCTGATAATCACTGCGCTTTCTTACGTGATATTGTTCCACTTAAATAGCATTCCTCTGTACCCAAACAAGCCCGCCAAACTTTGCCTGCATTTCTAAACTGAACACAAACGAAGACTTGGATTTTCTTTTCGTGTTTATTAATATTGCGTGTGCCATACGCGTCTTGACAGATTATAACACTAAGATTTAACAAATTATATAAATATTGTGAGAGTGTGTCATGTTGTGCATATTGGATGCCATAATGGATGGCGCTCGCGCATAATAAAGAGCAAATCGTTTGTTTAGGTACTAATATGCAACGATTCGTTTATTCTGTTTTCGAATTTGTTTTCTCGCAATCAATACTATATAGCTAGTGGATATAGTTAAACTATAAGCCTTTATTACTAAACGGAATAGAATACATTCAGTAGTTATGTTATGTATTAGTATCTTTCGAAGCCGAATTTCGATCTTGTGCTTCATGCTGCGCTAAGCAGTTATGCAGACATACAGTACCAGCGACCCTAAATTTGCACATAATCTGTGCAATTTTGCGTTTTCGCAGATCGTATACTCACTGCCAGGCGCATGTAAAAAAATTAATTGTGATTACTTCACACCAGATGGACAGTAAAATACATTGAGGATTTGCAAGTTAGCATAATATGCCATTTATGTACTTATTTCGTTATGGACTTCGCATTAAAAAGAATTCTTGCAAAGAACTCAATTACAATTCCTTAATTATAACTCGTTAAGAATCCACATCAAACTTTATTAATCACAACGCTGCGTGCCGGTAAAGCTAATGGGATTTTTTCAGCAAGCTTTCTTAAAACATTTTCCAGCAAGATGCCTTAAAATTGCTATTAACTATCTATTAAAATTTCTACGTACCTATTTAAAGTTAAAATAAGATGTCGTAGATTTGCAGATAGTGACCAACAGCAATCCTGCAGTATGCTGTCATAATTACTACTGTACGTGTATTGTATACTGTACGTTGTAATGTGCACATGTACAGTAAAACTATACACGCTGATTATCTAAGCTCACCAATATACCGTGCTTAATGTTGTTTGTCCATCGGGTTTTGCGTGACAACGGGGAAGACTGTGTGGATTTACATATTTGTCAAGAGCTCCTCGTTGACCCATTTATCCCAAGTTAACAAATTATCATATTCTTTCATGCGGCACTTTCTTACAAGCGCCATCGATGATCGATCCGCCGCCAAAAGAATCCCATGTACCGATGTCTGCGATAACAATGATACATCTTTCAAGGCTTTACATAAAGTTAACGCAACCGGAAAATACGCACCATAACATGCACCGCCATTCATCCACTTAAAAGCCACATACCCGTGCGTAGCGTCCTTGTTAACCGCAAAGTCAGCTGTCGTTAACGTCTTGCAGAAAAATCTTGAGAAATTCAGGATGGTATATCAGTCCAGATTTGGATATGTTTCGCCCCGATACCCCCTTAACTGATGATCACCGCCAAAACAAGCAAATCTAGTTTGTTATACCATGTTTGTTCCTTGGCCCTTTCCAGAGGACAGGTTATTGTTTTACTTTTGGATGTTCGCTCTCGTTCTTAAAAACGTCAGTGCAAGTTGTAATGGGTTGTCGTATTCTGCTGAAAACGCACAAGATTCGGCTGAATACACCTTCCGCCAAAAACGCCAGTCTGGTAAACGAAATTATGTATATTCATATATTTTATTAATTTATAGGTTATGGATTTTGTTCCATTGTGTGCTGTATATTTTGCTCACAGAACATGCTTCTGTGTCTGATTTCTGGTTTATCTCGACTTCGGATTTAACAGTTATTTTACAACTATTGTGCTAAAGTAGCGCTTGCTAAAGTATTGCTAAAGTACGTATTATTACATGGTTGGCTATTGCCTCTAGAAGTGGTTTTTGTTCCCAGACGAAAAACGCGTTGTGCTACCAATGCGAGGACAAAACTTTTCTTGTGATCTACCATTATTGCGCTATGCCAAGCTGACAGCGAGTTCATCGTCCGGTCCTGCATTTCGCTCAGCGGACAGCGCCCGTTTTACCGGTACAGTACGACCAAATTTTTTGGTGATGCTGAGGACGTTCTATTTTCGCCTAAATTATCTGCAAAATCCTTTTTCGTTATCGGATGAGAAACTGCGGGTTGCAACTTGAACGGAGCACTATGTTTACAGAAGGCGGAGCTCAGAATGCGTGGAGCCCGACAGTGTCCGACTTTAACCAGTACCTTCTGATTGACCTGCTGGATATCAAGCGGATATGGGCAGTGGCCACAATGGGGCGCGCCAAAACGCAGGAGTACGTCGTCAACTACACCCTGGATTACGGCCAAACAGCCGATAATCTCGTTCCATTTACAGATCAGTTTAATGCACCCAAGGTAAATCTTTTGCTGAGGCTTCATAGATCTAGAATTTTTTGTTGCGGCAGCTGTCGATTAATTTTTTAGGTATTGCACCACTAACAAACGTGAGTGTAATGTGTTGACTGTAAATGCTGCTTACGATTTATAGGTACAGAGTATAAAATAATAGCACTGAGTCTTGGCGCAAAAATTGACAAGAAATTCACCGGTTTCGTACGCTGGATATAAAATATATATCTATATTACAGGATAACGATTTAGTGAGTACCAGCAGAGCACGTGCTTTATTATCTACTCTATTTTATGTAGCTCGCACACAAAACCATAAGTTACTATATCACTGCGTCAAGTTACCGTACGTATTAACCCGTACTATAAATTTATAAGAATTTTGTAAATACATTCTATACAGTGACACTGCGGGGCACTTACGGAAAACAGTCGAGCTTTTCAGCACGTGTACACTGCATTGTATGCATGTACTGCACAATGCACATACAAGTTAAACATGATCCGCTGAAAAAGATAACTGCTATATTTTGTTTCATTTTAAGTAGGTTTTCCATGGGAATAAAGACAGCGTGACAGTTCAACGGAATGATCTGGAATACCCACTAGTAGCGAGATTTATCCGCATTAATCCGCGTCAGTGGAGTCACAGCATTAGCATACGAATGGAACTGTACGGCTGTGATCATGGTTAGTACGGAAAATGTACAGCAGTGCAGGAAGTTGTAGGCAAAATAACATAATTAAAACTGATAGTATGTAACTGTAGCCCGAGGAATTCTTAATTAATTTGGTGACACGAAGACAGCATAAAGATTTTAGTTAAAAACTTTATGCCATCTGGGACATCGCTAAATTAATTCAAATTTACGTTTCACTTAATAAAACCGGTAACTGCAAATTTTTCACAACGTTGAAAAATTTTCAAGTCCAAACTGGAAACCGTGTGTTAAATACTTCTCGTATGTTTTAGCATGCTATTCACCGTATTGCCGGGATAATTAACGTTAATATTATGTACCTTGTACTGCAGTTAAACAATTCAAAACGCAAAACGTTTCTGTTACGCAGACAGCGACATGGCCCATTTCGATGGAAGCGGCTATATCCGCATCGACTTAGCCTTTAATCCCATCGCAGCCGTGGAAGACAGCCTGCATTTCCGCTTTAAGACCGTTCAACCCGACGGACTACTGGTGTTCTCCGAGGGTTCCCAGGGCGACATTCTCCTGTTGCAGCTCGTACGCTCCCGACTGTATTTAACAATGGGATTGGGCGGTGGCTACCGCGACACACTGCCAGGAGGCAGTGCCTTGGATGACGGGTTGTGGCATACGGTGCGGGTCATTCGCGATGAAAAACACCTGAAGTTTATTGTCGACAACATCTTACAAACGCAGATATTGTCGGGTGGTTATTATAAACTAAATCTGGAAAACCAGGTATGTACAACTGAGTTTACGCCAAATCAAAAAGCATAGACTAATTGACCGATGAGGATTATGATTGATAATAATGCTGAATATTACTGAATAGATATTTATCGGCGGTATGGACAACTTGCGGAAATATGGCGTGCAGGTAAGGCCTGTAGTCTAATGAATTGAAATTCGTGTGATTATAATTAGACAACATGGTTTATGACGTTTTTTCGAGTTTCCAGGCCAGAACAAATTTCTACGGTTGTATGGAAAATTTACGATTCAACAATACCAACATTTTCTGGCAGCTGCAACATATCCGTCCGCCGGGTTTCGAACGCGTTCGTGGCATCGGTTTCTTCTGTCCGGTAAATGTGCAAATGGCCCTTTATAAAATAATTATATAAAAATCAAAACTACTGTATTGTGCTGTAATATAATATAAAGATTGCAGTTCTGCGGCCCCTGTATGCTCAAAAGCTGCTTCCAATTTTTAGGAAATTGTGTCGATGCCGATGACCTTCACTAGCTCACAGTCGTACCTGATAGTGGCAGCACAAACGTCTTCAAGCATCAACATTTCCTTCCAGTTTCGAACATTTGATAACAACGGATTGTTCCTCTTTCGGGAATTCGAAAATGGATTTATTAAGGTACGTACTACGTAGTATATCTACAGTGTCTGCACATTACACATCCGCTCTTTTCTGATCATTTGTTTGTAATCGAATATTTTTCCAAGTTTACTTTAAGCATGAAGTTACCGTGCATAAGATTACAAATTACAGCTTTTCCTTGATCGACACCGCTTAAAACTGCGCATAAAAACTCCGGAAATTCCTTTGGATACGATCGAGGCGTTTGCTGGTACAATTCATAAATTTACTCTGTACTGAATGGATTCTATCCTAATGGTAAAATATAGTAAAAGCATAAAAGTAACTGTATTTCAGGAGTAACGGTCAATGATGGAATGTGGCATTCGTATTCTGTATCAGCGCGTCTCAATCAAATTATACAGACACTGGACCAAATGGTAGCCACCACCAAGCGATTACTATCCTTCACCGCTAAACCGGAATATGTCTTCGGTACTTCGGTAGCATATTTAAAACCGCGTGGACGATTAGTCGAAAGGCATTTCTTTGCGATTTTTTTAACTATGAATTTGAACTATCGTTGTAAAGGCTACCGCAGAGCGGAAGACGAGCTGGGCATCCGCGGGTGCCTGCGCAAACTGGTTGTTGACGGGATGAACCTGGATATCACCGCAATGGCTAGCCGAATATCTGCATCTTATGTTTCTCAAGTTCTGTTCAACGAATGTCCAATGAGAGATCGGTAAGTTATCAGTTTATGTGCGCTGTAATAGTTACTTCCGAATTTCAAATCCGATGAAGTGAGATCGTAAACTCTAGATCTACAATTACAATTTGCGTGAGGAGGTATCAGCTTATCCGCGTAATTTGCGTCATAAGTAACCGAAGTAGAAGGTTTATGGAGAACAGCGGCTGCGAAGTCAGGTATCATCACTTACTCGTATAATCCGCTAGTTCAATTACGAATAATATCAGATGCAATAGAATAATCCTCTGCAAAACTTTGTTGTCCCTTTCTTGGCAAGCAAAATTATGTGAGCAACTGTTGTTTTTTGTTTATGGCAAAAATGGGAGAAAACAGAAATAAACAACAGTAGTCTTTGTCAAAGCAGTTTTCAGCTGGTGTATCAGCAGTACTCATCTTGTGTATTCATCTTGTATTTTACACAGATGTATTCCAAACCCTTGCCATCACAAAGGGATCTGCCGACAGTCTTGGGAAGAATTCACCTGCGACTGTTCCAGAACTGGCTATGGTGGCGCCGTGTGCCGTAGCTCTTCCCATCCTATGACCGTGAGTAGTACGTGTACTGCAGCTGAAGTAGAAAAATTCATGTTAAGGAATAGTAATTATGAAGATTGCGATATCTTTTTGGTAATCGTGCAGTATAATTACCTGTATTAGTATGCTTAGAATAATATGTAACAGACAAGCACGAGGAGATCACGAGTGATGCTTTATTGTACAAATAAAGGGGGAACAATGCTGCGTAATAGCAGGAAAGCAAGAACAATAGCAGTGATGGCTAAATCTAGCAAGTGTGTGCTAAAGTCGGTTCTTGAGCGTCTTCAAGGCGTGTAAAGAAGCAACTGGCGGCAAGCACGTGCTGTGTGCCATCAGCTGTGTGATGATGCGCAGACTGGACTCTATCCAACGCGAGCGTATGAACGCTGAGTCATACTGCGAAAGAGGAACGAGAGAGCAAGTGTGGCTCAGTGTATGCGCTGCGTATATCCGCTTCAGCGGATGAGTGCAGTGCAGCAGCACACGTACGTACAGTGAGAGAGGTGGTAACGGCAAGCAATGGTGCAAGTACGTCCTGTGTGGACCGTACGCACCAGGCGCAGTCGTACGCCTCTGACATGCCTCTGGGCGGGAATCCGAGCTCCCGCGAAGGATGCTCCGACTCGGTACCGCACCAGTACCGCACAACTCTCCGGTTGGACCCAATGTGGGGTCGCCGGTACGCGTCCTCTGGCAGTGGGAGTCCGGTGTCTGGTCGACCGTCCCTTCTTCACTTCCGAACCCATGAGTGGAAGCCACTCACGGCCGAGAAATCCGGAAGCCGCTCGGGCGTTTCGTTGGACCGGTGATGCTTCTGTTGGCTGGCTTCTTGCGTCTGTTGGCAGCGGAGAACAATGTAAAAAAAAAATGTAATGAAAGTTTTATGCAGCGCGAAAGAAAGTAAATAAAGTTTAATCACAATTCCAGTGAGCAAAAGGGGTTACAAAACAGATCTGTCAAAGAGATCGAACTAGAAAAATACAATTCCGTTTGTTAGGAGAAATGCTAAAAAAATGCAAAAATCTGTCCGGGGGTCCTATTCCGACTAGGATGACGTCCACGGGGCGATTGAGTCTCCACGGGGTCTCCTGTCCACTTTCATCCGGTAAAGTTGGGTCCGGGGCATCGGTTCCCGGGTTACCCGTCGTAACCGGTTACATTCTCCGAGGTCGGGTAAGCACGGTTAAACACTTACTTCCGACTCGTATCCGTCCGTTCGGGATGGAGAGGCACTGTTGCAGATGCAAATGCCGAGGCATCCTCTCTAAATGGGGAATAGGACCAAGGTCGGTGTGACCAAGGTCGGCCTACCGATAAGTCGATCGGCGGCTAAAGGGAATTCGGCTATGTTCAGAATTCTTAAAGTTCAGATCGGAAAAAGCTGTATGTAAGTCATGCGGCCTTTGTGGTCGTCATGTACAGCAGTTCCGTTCGAAAAGTGGTCAGTTACAACCGTTTAATCTGCTACCACGAGCCTGGTTTGGAGTAATCCGAGTCGAACTGGCTCGAAGGTCCGATCGGAAATCGTGGGTTTGTTCGATGGAAGTGTCCGGTCGACTTCCATCCGGTGTATTCCGTTGTTATCCGACCTTCTGTCGAGGTCGGTCATCCTATCCGTCGGTGGTCGACTAGGGTTAACCTGCAATAACATGCCCATGTGGGGCTAAACAAGTGCCTTCAGGTCGAATTCATCCACCGCAAACTGTGATCAATCGTCTTCGGTCATGCTGACTGGGTTTCCGACCTCCGACTTGTGGTCGGTTATGGTCGGCTTCGGAAAGTCGGATGAACTGTGTGCTCATCCGTCCGAAGGCTAGGTTTTTCCGCCAGGAGGTCGGTTCTCGACTTCCAAATGACGTTACCGACTTGTTGTCGGTCACTTCCGACCTTCATTTGAGGTCGGCTAATTTCCGACTTCTTCGAGTCGGATGAACTGTGTGTTCATCCGTCGAAAAAGCAAAGTTCTTGGGCTAGGAGGTCGATTTTCTATTTCCGATGGATTTTCCGACCTGTTGTCGTGTACTTCCGACCTCCCTCTGGTGACTTCCGACTTCCGTTCGAGGTCGGTTATCCATGTCGGAGTTCCAAGGTCGGCTGATTTCCGACTTAAAAGTTCTGTGCCTACGGTTACAGTTGGCCGGGTCTCCGTTGTTCGGACATCCGTCGGTCAGTATTGACTGGCAGAAGGATGTTCGGCAGCACAACTCCGTTCCTTCTGTGGCTTCTGACATGAACTCTGGGTCGGATCCGAGCTACTGTTGGCTTGTTTATCCGAATGACTTGCCTCTGGGCCGCCAAGTCCTGCGAAGTAAGAGTTTCCTTGGCATCTGTTGGCCGAGTGACTGGCGCTTCGTCATGCGACTGTGCTCGCCTACAACACTAGGGGTCTTTGTGGCCCCGGTTGCCGAGCCAGGCTCTTTGGTTTAAACTTCATGCACATGCAAGTCCCTGAGGTCGTCAGATTCGATTCTTCCGTTTTGTTTTGTCGCGAACCTGAGACGCCTAGCCACTTCTGTTGGGGGGTAGACAACTCACGTCCACGGGGAGATTTTCTTTGCCGCTGACGAAGGCCGACTGGCCAGTACTGTTGCGGGCAGGTGGTCATCGTCATCGGGGGTTCGTTAAAGGGGTGCCGGCCGAGTGTTCTAACTCGGTCTGCCTAAGGTGTTCCATTGAAGACATGGGGAAGCAGGTCGCGGCGGAGTCGTTGGAGTGGCGGCCAAATCACCGTCGCTGTTCCTCTTCAGGTAATGGCAGCACGTTCGAGACGCGCGTAGTCGTGGTCACCGGTGAATCGGCTGGTTTACCCGATATCGTCCGGGGGAGACTGCGGTTGGACTCCGGGTACAGGTTCCTAGTTGAGTTCCTGTAGATCTGGGTTCAAACGGAGAATCCGGTCAAGTTGCCACGTAACCGTTAGCTTCCGTTCATTCTTCATGGGCGACTTCTGTTGGCCGTTATGGTCGACCTGTGTGGTCGGCCATAATGTCGATTTCTCGTTAGTCGGCTACCGTATACTTAGTCGATCTGTGTGATCGGCTAAGGTAGCAAGTCGTAGTTCGGCGATCATGCATCGTTGCGATTCCGACTTCAACTCTCTGAACAATCTGTTCCGAGTTTTCCAAAACCGATCTTTGTGATCGGCTTGCACAACCGACCTTTGTGGTCGGCTAGTGCCGCGATATCTGTTATATCTCCAAGTTATGAGTGAAGTACGAAGTCGACCTTTGTGGTCAGCTCCGAGTCTTCCTGCACTGTTGGCAGCTCGGCCGAGGGATATCCGCTATTTACACTGGTGAAGGCTGCTCGGCTACCCGGTTCCGAAGTTGGCCACGGGTGCTCGGCAAACATGGCGGTGAACACGCAGCGACGTATTCAGCGCCACGTTAGCGTAATCCTCTCGGTCTATGCTCCGGAGTCGGTTGGCCGGAGTAATCTTCATAGCCGGTCGTGGTTAATGGTGTGATCTGTACCATGTAACTATCGGTCGGCTCCATGTAACGCGGATTGGGGCTTCTGTTGGCTCCGATGGTCGCAGAACGTGGTTGTCGATCTGCTATGTTAGCAGATGTGGTTCACGATCTGTTCATGCCATGCTGGGGAACTGAGGTCGGTTTGCTCAGTTCTGTCCAGGGGATTCCTCGGGAGACGTACCGGAACGGTGGAAAAACCGGTTTGTCAGGTCTAACCATCCATGTCCGGGTCAAAACCGAAGAATCCGGCTGACTTGTGTAGTCAGCATTCTGGCAAAGTCATCGTTGACTTCCGCTGTATACATGGTTTGGTCGGTTTCTGGGGAGAGAAAACTGAAGAAAAATGTCCATTCCGGGGTCGTTTCTCGACGGTGCCATTTGTCCGTTAGACTGGTTCTCAGTCAGGTCGGTTCTCGACCGTGCCGTTTCTCGGCGTTAAGTCCCCTCGGTTTGTTCCGGTGGGGGATCGAGTTCCAATGTGGGAACTCGATCTTAACTGAGTGGGACTTCGACGGGTTTGTCGCCGCCGAAGTAATCATCTTCATCTTCATCATCCGGGCCAGGTCGATTATGTGGCCGGATGGTCGGATCCTTGGGTTTACAAGTCGCCGGGCCACTCCGTTGAGACATCTCGTCGGTCTCATCCGTTTCTTGGCCGGGGCGATCCGCTCTGCCTTTCCTCGATTCCCTGGCCGCCTGTTTGCGGAGCCGCAGCGCATATGGTCGTGCGCCGGGTGCTATGTCATCTGACATCCAAGGTTCGTAGGGCGATGAATTGAATCCGCTGGGCAAAGTCTTCTTCTGTCGGTACCAGCTAATGAATCTGGTCGCGTCGTCGCTGGGATCTATGTGATCCTCACAAAAGGCATACTTTGTCGCATACCGTTCATGTGTCATAACCGTAAGTCCAATTCCCGTTTCTCCGGATCCAGTCCGTTTTCCTGGTGGAGGTCTGGTCGGCTCTTTTCCGACTTGCCGAATGACTGCACGTTGCTCTTCGATTCTGTCTCGAAGATCAACAGGACCAATCCTGTGTCGGAGGTCGTGTCCCGCTAGGTTTTTACTCGGTCGGCGTTGCTGCTGTTGAGCCGCCGGTTGAGTCCGATTTCCGTGGGTTCCGTGTTGGGGAATCTGCTGGGAAACAGTTGGACGAGCCTGTGTGACTACTGGCGTTGCCCTATGTGGGATTGCCATCAACTGTTCCTGAGTCGCCGGAGTGAGGGTAACCGACTGTTGGGTTCCGTCTGGCATGTTCATCATCATCGTTACCGATGCACTCGTCAATGGTCGGTGTGGGTCTCCGACGAAGACGTCGCGCACGTCGTGGATCAGCTGTTCGCTATCCGAGCGACCCTGTGTGGGTGCCGGTAACCGAATTTTTATTTCTGGTTCATAATCGGTCGGTGGGGGATGGACCTTCATCGAGGCAATTCGTTTGTCGACCTCTCTGATCTTCCTCTGGTCCTCCAATTGACGGTTTGCGTCTTGCAGTTGGCGGTACTCCCACAGTCTATCCGTTAAGACTGGTGGTCGGGT